CCCCCAAACCCCCCACAAGCTCATGATTAATGGTTGAAAAACCGTGTATATGCATTTATTGCCTAAACACCTTAGCACGGCCCCCCATACCCCGCATACAGAACGAAACTTGCTGTCTTGAGAGGTCACGTACATTACATACTGTACCGTTTATTCTTGGATAAAAGCCTTCGAATGTCGTCTAAAACACCGAGATAGTAGCACAAGTACTGTCTCAATTCCCGCGCACAGATAGAGCGCTCCAACAGCGTATATACGCCCATAGGGCCCTGGGGCGACCAACAGAACTACCCAGTTCAATAGGACCATACAGCGACGTGGTCATCAGCACTCGCCCTCTTGCATGACTCAGAATGCAGGAGATGCTAAGGTGTAGTTTGAACACTTGGCATCCATCCATTGGAAAATGCTCTGAATCCATCCTGAGAACAGACAGGTTTCTCAACAATCGAAGCCACTCTAGCTCATTGAGCTCTGATTGATTCTCTACCATTTCTAGCTTAAAAGCTCACCGAGCTCGCTTAATAATTGTTTGCTATGAATCCTCTCTTTGCGATGACACCAACCCTTAAGCTGCAACAGAAATCCTTCCTCAGCTTCAGCAGGGGTTCCAGCTCAGCTCTTCCTCGGACCGTAGAATAACCGCCCTCCCTCACCTCTGTGGACTCTCCCATAAGCACCTACCCTTGGTCTAATCTCAGGCTTGGGACTTGAGCAACTAGTTACCCGCGCGCCTCGTTATTTTACACGCGACATGTTAGTAGTAAAATATCAAGCATGCAACACGGGAGAGCAACTTTAGGTAAGAAGGAAGGAATTCAAAATGGCTTATAAGACGTAGAGACACGGTACAAGAACAAAGAGTTGCGAGGGCGTTGTCCTCAGGTTGGTAATTAAAAATGAACTTAAAGTGCATGGTTACTTGCAGGACTATCTATTCAATTCTGGTATGCAACCTTTATAGACTTTAGACTCAAAAAGACTAGTAAACCTGTATCGCGCCCTGACTTCTCCCTGGGTGCTGCTTCGAGAATACCCTCGTCACATCTGACCATGATCGACCTTCGTCCTTCCCCAGCTTCACTAGGAGGTCCACCTCTTTCGTGGACCGTGGCATACCCTTTCTGAGCTCATTCGGACACTCATGCGAATACTCCGACTTTAGTCGATCTCAGGCCGGGGGCTTGAGCGACGGCTTTCCCGTGCCTTTAGTTCTTCACATGCTATTTGTGAGGCGTTAGATATGTAGTGGGATAGTGTACCTTTAAATGGCTAGGATAGAAGTTACAAATGGTTATCTAGTAGTAGAGACGTGAACTAAGACTAAAGGGTAGCGAAGGCATCTTCCCTAGGTACTAATATAAAGCGAACTTAAGGTGGCTTGTGAATTCTGCTATCTAATTTTCGTATTTTTTACTTAATCCGGTGCTTTCCATGGCTATTAGAGAAAGACTAGTCTGGTCTAGTACTAGGCGAGGGAGGGTGCATTTATTAATAGCTATAATAACTTTCCTAAATACTACTATTATTACTACCATCCCTTTTGCCAGGCACTTTAACACGGCTAGCTGGACTACTGAGAATGGCTGGAGGTTCAGGATATAGGTAGCTTGTCTCTGGATTAGTGATGCTGTCTGCTAAGGGCATGTAGCTGGAAGTTGTCACTCTCCCAAGGCCTGAGATTGGTAAGGATTACTAGATTAATGGGGATGTTGTCTTGGGGTGAGTCTAGTATCCTAAGGCAGTCCTCTAGGCTATTGGTCGAGCTAGATGTACTTAGAGACGGGACGTTATGCGATGTGTTATCTTCCTGGAATCCAGGCGGCTTAGTAGGGGTTCTAGTCTTGTTCTAAGGATCGCAGGGGCGGATCAGATCCAGAGCAGGAACATGGGGCACAGAACTCTGTTAAGACGTGGTACTACGCGCGAATGTCTCTGACTCCAGCTAGGTGTTGGCACTGACATGCAAGCAGACTTCGGCCGGCGCGCTGGAAGGTGATGTTTAGGAGGTGGTATGGTGCTTGGAAGTAGAACATGACAGGGTTTAGGGTCAGGGGTATTAGAAGTTTGTGGGGAGCACGCATTGAGTGTTTCTATGTAGTGGACATGGTTTTGCGGGAAGGGGGGTCCATGGCTTGAAAATTATTTATCTAAAATATAGGAAGCATATTATGGGAATCAGGGTAGTCTTAAAGGTATAACATGGCGGTAGAGATGCAATTTAAAGGATGAGAGAAAGAATAGAACTACTAGAGGAAGGGCAGGCTATGGAAGAATTAACGTGAGGTACCTAAAAGTCTCGTGGGCCCTAATTACCCCCTTATACCTCCCTCCTGGGTTTGTTACTATCTAGCATTAGTAGAAGTGGCAAGGCAAAATTCCCTTGCCCGCAACTCATAACTAGTCTACTAACGCGCCCACGCTCACCTGCGTATGCTAGGCTAAAACCAAGATCTGGGGCCTAGCCCTAATTATATCTCTTCACTACAATTCCAAGCGTCGCATGCCCAAGACATAGAAATAAAATAGATGTGGTAATTTTTCCATTAGCTAGTAGAATAAGGCAAGGATATGTGATTAGATCTTAGTAGGGTCTAGAAGATGGCCATTGAGGGGAGAGATGCAACCCTATTTACCTGAGCAGCACTAGCAGGCTCCGCGACAGGGGTGGTAGCTAGATAATCAAGAAACTACCCTCCCTATATCGGATTTTTGAAGCCTATGGCAAGCAGTGAGCCAGGTTCCTCATCTTAAAGACTACATTAAGGTAGAAGGAAGGGGATTCCAGAACGGCGCGAGGGAAAGATAAAATGGCCTGACAGGGAGTGTTAGCTAAAAGACTATAAGGTTACTAAACGCCGCGCGAATGGACCCCAAATCATAAGAGTTAGTGACTAGATAAAATCATAGAAGGTGGATAGGCTCATTAACTAATCAAAGTAATAGTCACAAGGACTTCACGTCTCAATCATCCAAAACACCCGTCGTCGACGCCGCAGCTGAAGGGGGCGAAGCGAGGAAGGTGGAGATAGCGCCGTGCTGGAAAGGACCATGGCTAGATAACGCGTATTTTGAGGGAAAAGAAAGGGGAAGTGCACTAGGCGCCGTAGGATGAAAAAAAGGGAAAAGTGGAAGAGAGAGTACGTGGTTGTTCAAGGGAGCAAGGTCAGGCTTATATAGATGCAACGGCAGCGTTGGGGCGGCAGCGGCAGGCATGTAAAAGCGGCAAGACTCTATGCTATCCTCAAAACGGTCCGCACTATACTGCAAAGGGCAGTGGGATGTCCGCCCGCGGCAGGCGGTGGCGGGCGGCAGGCGGACGGTGCAATGGCGGCCGTTTCCGGCGCCCCGCTAACCGTGTCATCGTATCCTACATATTCCACCCTAATAGCAGTCTTTGGCAGTCGGTGAATAGTAGAGTGCCTTAATACACAAAGATTGCTAAATAACTCGTCTAGAGGCTTCTTTATGATAACCAGCTTACAAGAATATTAGGAAAGAAACTTAATCCACTTAGTAGGTTCCACTACCTCCAGGCAGTCCCAGCCAGTCCCAGCCATTCTTAACTAAGAGTTAAGGAAGGTGCCTTTAAGCATATATTAGCAAATAACCATAGGTTTTCTTTTATAAAGTACCAACCGGCAAGTTCTTCCTTTTCCTTAATTGTTGGTTGCGTCTGGGATTTGAGTTTAATGTCTTTTAAACCTTCCTTTTCCGAGATCTCCCTTAAAATATTCGCTTCGTCTATTGCTGCCTCTGCTTCTGATGCTTCTCGCTCAGCTTTCTAAGCAGGTGACACATCGAATAGCTCGGGAAATCGGATCTTCGCCCGTTGTTTGAGTGGAGAATTTTGTCATTAAGAAGCCTTTTAGTAACATTACATGTGCGGTTGATATTATATTCTTGGAGAATATCTGTGAGGGCAGGCTAATTCCGTTAGATTAAGCTTATTACTTGCTTCCGTTTGCGGACCATGGAGTTAGGGCCGCGAAAAATGTGCTTGGCAGGCCAGGTAAACTAGCCTTTCATCAGGGTCGCTGTGCGCCATCTCAAGGACAAGGGGTTAGATTTGCGAGTGCAAGAGAGAGTAAAGGTTGAACATTATATATCAGCCAGCTTCCGCAAACGGCCAAAGAGCCTCTGGAGAATTCGCTTTCGTCATTTAGGTGTCAAGTCCTCACGAGAGTTACAATGAATGTCAGGTTGCTGACAACCACAAGCTGTCTTGTAGACGCCTGGGGCTCGAGCTGGAAGTACCCAGGGATAGAATTTCCCCCTAAATCGACATATTTATCAATGGCCGTGTTTTCTTAACGAGCTCTCCTTAACTACATTCACTTTCAATTATACTGACTTGATATTTGTAAACACACTTGAACCATTCCGTCGAAGCTTCTTGCATCAAAGGTTCTGGTCGAACATCCAGTTTCTCGTCTGCAAGACTGATCAAGCAGGGCAGGAGGCATCCCCGCATTCTAGCGCTGGTTTTATGGCTATGCCTTGCAACTAAGTTAGCTAGCGCTCCAGGCGATGAATCTAGTAGCCAATATGAAGGGGATATTGGGTAATAGTGGAAATTAGAGTTCAGCTACATAATTAGTTAGGCAGGTCTCGCGAGACCCACGAGTATAAGGTGAGAAGCTCACCCCTGTCTATTGCGCACTCACCTAGCTCACCCACCTCTCACCCATGTCGCGCGACCGTAAAGCGGCCTCACCCTAATCTCACCCGGGCGGCACCCACCCGACTTCTGACCACGCTTAAGCCACACACCGGTAGGTTAATAGTATGGTGGGTGACCACATGCGAATCCCTACTGGTTGTATGTCAGAGTTCACTTGGAATTTTGTCCCCTGTTAGGACTGGTCAGTTTAGCGCCCGTGTCGCCCTAGCTTTAGTCCTTCACCCGAGCAACCTGAAGCCCTCTAAATTTCGCCCGCCAAGCCCGAACTGCTGACGTGTGGCGGGTTGTAGGTAGCCCTTGTGACTGTGGCGTGTACTGACCTCTAAGCCTTCATGACCGGTGTCGGCGAGTATCATCAGAGAAGACGGCTAAGGGGGATGGGGCAGCTCTACATTTGAAGCCCTGATGGTCGAGAGAGTTGGGGCTTCTGCGTTATATTCATCGAGAAAATCAATCGACTTTCCAGGTTAGCAACCCGGTATAAGACGATTTAGTAATTCTCCACGCCCTCCTCATGGCCTCCTGATAATATCTACAAGTTGAGACATGAGTATTTGGAGGCTACACAAGGAGTTAACAGCCAAAAAGTAGTAGCAATAAAGCCGGAAAAAAAATATAAAGCCTTGGGGATTGGCTTGAAATGCGGATAATTATGCCAAGGAGATCATAGCGAAAAGTACGGTACCCCTAAGGATAAGGTAACTAAGGGTGGAAGGAATAGTGATGTTGTTGTAGATATAAATAGAAGCACATACAAATCTCTGACACCATTGTCACTGCAAAAGTGGTATATTTATCCCTAGAGAATTGGTGAGTGGGCCAGGCAAGAGACTCTATCCATATTAACGAGGTTATTTCCTCTATATACCTTGTTCAGGCGCCATACGGCGTTGCCATACCCTCGCCAAGGAAGCTGTCCTGCTGGTGAATGCGCTCCACTGCATTCTCGGCCACGACCATGATCATTGCCTGGTTATTTCCAGAGGCAAGGTCCGGGTGGATGCCCCCGTCGACGATGTACTAAAACGGCAATTAGCAGCTGGCCGGTCGCTGTACCACGGGGCAAAGGAGAGTAAACAAAATAAAAAAATCCACAGGATAGAAAAAGCAACTTACCAAATTCTGCATCCCATAAACCTTGGTATTTGTATCCACAACCGCAGTCCCGTTGCCAAACCGCCCATCGTGCGTCCCCATCTTGGTCGTCCCCGCGTAGTGAATGCCCGCCGTCAGCGAGCCCAGAATCGCCGACGTGTTGGTGTACGGCTCGACCAACTGCATGCCGGACCCCGGGGCCGTGATCGCGTCCACCATCGACTGGATAAACAACGTCGCCGCCTCGCGGTCTGCCGCCGTCTGCAGGTACGGTGACTTCGTAATGGTCGTCCGCTGGTCCGCGTCGAGCGCCAGCTCGCCCTTGGAGGTGAGCCCGTGCGTCATGTACGCCGTGATGGTGACGACGCCCTCGGCCGTCGGCGTGCACGAGCCCTGGTAGAAGCGCGTGCGCCCGTCGCTCGCGACGTTGGACGTGAAGAAGACCAGCCGGTGTTTCCCCTGGGTGAGGACACCGTCGTTATCCTGCTCGTAGGCGGCGATGTCTCGCGTCGCCGTCCCGTTCAGGATGGCCGCGGCATCCAGCGTGTTGAAGGTCCCGTTCTCCGTCTTGATGACGATGGAGAAGATCGGGTGGTCCATTAGGCTTTTCCCGACCGGGAGGTTGATCCATTCATGCACGGGAGGGACCGCGATCCCGCTCTTTTGCGCGGTCGCGATCTGGGCGCGGGGCCCGATGCCCGAGTTGATGAGGATGCGCGGCGAGTGCAACGCTCCGGCCGCGAGGATGACCCTGCCGCCAGGGGCAAGGCGGATAGTTTCCGTCGCGTTCGTGGCGGTATTGACAATCTCGACGCCCGTGGCGCGGCTCCCGGCGCGCAGGACACGCGTGACGAGGGCGCCCATGCGCAGCGAGAAGTTCTTCCTCCCCAGGGCAAGCGGGAGATACGTTCGCAGGGGCCCCGCGCGCTTGTAGTCCTGCACGTTCCAAACCGGGTGGCTGTACGTCTGGAATTTCTGGTTGCGCTGGGCGCTCATGTCGACAGCGGTCCAGTTGAGATTGTCAAAGAAGCTCGCGAGCGTGCTGTAGAGCGACTGGTCGTACAGCTGCCGGTCTGCGGAGGGGACGCTACTCCCCGGGTTGCGGGCGTACAGGCGCTCGGCGCCGGCGGCGACGTCCGCCCACTCCCACCCGACGGGCCACTGGTCGTTGAAGTCGTGGTCCGGCGGGTGGACGAAGACCATGTAGTTGACTGTGACGCCACCGCCGAGGATGCAGGCGGCGGTGCCGTCGGTGTCGGTGCACATGTAGTCGGTCCACTGGGGGAGGTTGCCGACGTCAAAGGACAGGCCGGGGACGTCGATGGCGGTTAGGGTGTCGTTCCACTCCAGGGTGTATTTGGTTGCGCCTGTTTCGATGGTCGGGCCGACTGTGCTGCGCTCTAACAGCAGGACCTTTTTGTTGGCTGCCGAGAGACGCTCGGCGCTGATGATGCCGGATGGGCCGCCGCCGACTACGATGTAGTCGTAGCCGGTCTGGTTGCTGGCGGCCCTGACGCCCAGTAGGGCTCCTGGGGATGCGAGCAAGGCTGTAACCCAGGGTGCGCGCATGGTGTGATCTTTATGGATGTCAGAGGATGATGTACACGAGATTCGGCGTTTTTATACCTCCAAATATCTTAGCCTTGCATACTAAAGTTTCCCGCGGCTTCTCGATCAACCGCTACGTAAGAGACTGCAGGATTTAAGAAATAAGTCAGCACGCCGTAAGCAAGCCACCCGAGCACTTGCACGAATAAGAAGCATGGGACCACGGTCAGAATCCACCTGTCCCGGATTCCTGGACGGGTGGCTTTGAGCTTTGCCGCAAGATGCCGGTCTGGCAAGCCACGACATTACAGAGCCTCAGGGTTACCTCACGGGCTTTACATTCATTGATTTTATGAGATACTCTTAGGAACTAGCTGAGAATTAAAAAGTCGCCTCGAATAGCCATGAACGTGCACTGATGATTTACAGATTTTCCAAAAGGACAAGCACAAGTCAGAAACCCGTGAAATTGCAGGGGCGGGTTGTGTGGTGGGTCTGGCAAAATACATCGGATTTTCGGATGCTGGAACCCATATTCAAGGTTCAGCCAGAATGTCCGGGACGTGTACGTCTACTTCCATAGAACCGGTCAAGAGGACCACTAGCACTTACAGACTGCTTCCAAGGGCAGAGTATGTAAGCCAATCCAAGGGAACCCCGTCTACAATGTCTATTCCCCAACTGCCTCTGCGGTTTAAGACGTGGAGCAGATGCCAGGCTGGTAGAGTAGGAAACTCCATCATGCGGCAAGAAAGTACCGGGGATACGCACTGCAAAAGCAAGAATCATACTGCAGATTAGTACAGGGGGATCTTTGTGCCGCAGCGTCCACAACGTCCACGGCTATCATCATCTAGAAGTCGAGCAAAATCTGATACGGAGGCCACAGGCCCACTTACCGGATACTAGTAGATGATGATAGACAGGCCAGAGTGGAGTTGATTCGGATAGCTCTGTATTTCTGTGACCGGAAAAGAATCAAGTCTAAGTAAAACGCTCGGCATTATTAACCCGATGACGAACAATTTCCAGACGTGGAGTCTAGTCTGCTAGCTTCGAAGCAGGCGATGCCTAGGCGATGACTGTCCAAAGAATTTATCTAGCGTAAACACAGCGTGCTTCTCCTCACCTCGACCGTTCCTTGAGGCAGCACGAATAAGAAGGCCCAACTAGCTCTGGAGGAGAGAGTCCTGAATCAAGCAGTCTTGAACCCCAACGGCCCCGCCCGCTCCCTGAGCGTCTTCCCCCAAACCATCAAACACACGGGGATAATTGACGCAGCCGCCACAATGCCCGCCTGCGTTCCGAAACTGTTCTTCGCGCCCATGGTATCCGCCCACTCGACCTGGAAATAGCTCACAATGAACCCGCCCGTCGTCCTCGCCATGTTGATCCACGCGGCAACCTCGCCGCTCCCGTCGGGGTAGCTGTCCAGGCCGTACGCGTTGATCGCCACGGTCGTGATCATCACTCCGAAGACGTAGAGACCCCAACCGAGCGAGGTGATCATGTAGTGGTATGCGTTTTCGAGGGCGAAGCCGAGCAGGACGATCCCGGCGATCATGAACGGGGTCGAGATGTAGATTGCGCGCAGGCGCACTTCGGGTTCGAAGTGGCCGCGGTGTTTGTGGATGTACGCCCGTGCGATCAGATCGTGGATCCAGTGGCCTGCTAGCTCGCCGAGGAGGGCGGCGACTACGGGCGTGAAGTAGAAGAAGCTACGCCGGTTGTTAGAGATGGTCTAGTGCCCAGTGATGCTTGGGTGGGTAGGAAAACAGGGGTAATTTTTTAGAAGCAACGTACCCAATCTGCTTAGGCCCAAAATTGTACAGTGGGGTTAAGAAGATCGACAGTGTCGCTGGAGTATATGTTAGCCTTCAACACCTATACTTTTGTATAGATACTTACTATTGATCCCAACGACCCACGCAAAGGTGAGCACGTAGTAGAAGCAGATCAAGAAAATCGGCACCTTGAGCAGGACCTTGACAGGCCTGAGAAACGCATCGACAATCGTGTTTGGCTGCAATAGATTCTGACGGCGTTGGTGGATGCCAATCAGCGTCAGAACGCGGGGTCCGTTGGAAGGGCCAGAATGCTGCTGTCTGCTGTAGTATGTCTCGGGCACAAACAGAACGCAAAGCACTAGGGCAAGAGCACACATGGCGAAGAATAGCCAGAATGCGATACTCCATTCCTGGGTTGAGATGATAAATGCGGTGAATAGGGGGCCGAAATAGGGGCCTTTGAGGATTGGTTAGATATATAAGCCGATATCTATAGTTGAGGGTAAAATTGAAATCGCGCTTGTCCGTTCTACTCACTGAGGATAATAAAGCCTGCCCAGATATTGATCTTTCTCGCCCGTTCATGGAAGAAGAACATGTCGTTGATAAACATCAACCCTCCACCTTGGGCCACCTACCACGCGCATTAGCAGCGACCCAGACACCACAGTTTCTCCCTAGGACTGAAGTACCGTAGAGAAGAACCCATTAAGAATCCTCGCAGCCATAAAGCTCTCAAAAGTGACGGCAGCAGCGCACCAGGCCGCAGTCGCGGTGCCCAAGACAAGAAACCAGAAGAGAACCGGAAGCCGACCGAAATACGCAGAAAAGGCCACCGCAAACACACCTCCCGCCCCAAGCATAAAGACGTTCCCGACCTGGGAATGGTTCACGGTGTCCTCGCTCATCTTCCAGATGGCCGCCTGTGGGATCAACGTGACTGCGCCCGTCGCAGAGCCGTAATCGGGGAGCAAGGCCGCCCATGAGATAATCAGCAGGATGAGGTGCTTCTTGAACGAGGACCAGTTCAAGGGATCTTCCGGGTCGTCGCTTGGTTGTGGGATTAGGATTGTGTGGCCATCCTTGGCGAGCTTCGTGTTGTTGGCGCCGCTCAAGTCGCCGCCCTCCGTGTCGAGAACATAACCATGGGCATCGTGAATCGCCGGTCCTTTTTCATTCTCCAGCGTCATGTTCCTGGGGGCGCCGTCGGGGTCTTGGACGTGCAACGTGCCAGGATTATCAGGGCCCATCGAATTGGCACAAGTGGATAACTAAAATAGAGGTGAAACGGCTGACAGGAGTGTATTTCCAGAAGTGGACGCACAGGAACGAAAGAAGAGGGACGAGGTGGGGGCTCGTGAGCTTTATACAGCATTCCGCAGACAAAAGTATCACTTTTGCAACAGCCACGGCTAACATTGCTTCTCATCTGCCGAGAACCAGAGGCGAGAGGGCGAATCAGATGGCATGAACAAGCATTTTTGGGGTAACCCCATGGGGTTTGAAGCGAAAAAACCTGTCAAGTTCCCCACTTGGTTCAACAATTCGAGCGGGGTCCATGTGGAACACGGCCCTGAGAACAGCATTACTCAATGCTTGGTAAGAGATCCTGAGCAGACTCCTACGGTGGAATCTCTGTGCAATTAACGAGTCGGCCTATAAACTGGGGTTCCTCGGTCTGACTTTTGGCAGTCTTGGTGGCAACGCAAACCAGCTAGACGCCGCGGACAGTGAGGCTCGAATCAAGAGGATCGGCGCCCTTGGGTAACATGACATTTGGTGCTGATGGGGGTTTCCCGGTGACAGCCACTATGGGCGCTATTCCCGTCTTACTAAGTTCTTACCTTGTTTAGCTAGACTTACATATAATTTCGCATCCATTACAGATAGAGTACTGATAGAAGTAACACACTTTTAACTTTTAACCATACCCATGGTTGGAACAGGAGATATAGATGACTTTGTTCTTGTCAGCTTTGGCGGACAGGTTGCTTGAGTGTATAGGATAGGAAACAAGGCGTTCCGCAAAGTGATCTCTTTCCATAATAACTCTGATCAAAGCGTGGGGTGGCCGGAAACATACCGCTGCTAACTCATGCGCCAGGCTGACCTTGGGGGAATAGACTGTACCCCTATAGGAAATCATCTCCACAGAGGACGCAAAAGCACCTGTTTGTTGAGCCTGCGGTCTCACGAAGGGCTATCGAGTTTCTTGGACACCGATGGTTTGTCTCGCGCAGCCGGTGTGCGCTTGAGATTCGACGCAGTGGTCAGCTTATGTGTGTGGAGGTCCAGAGCGGGCTTTCGCCGCAGGGTGTTAATTAACTATCACTCTTTTTAACTGTGTACCCTGACAGGCCGAGAAGCAAGCTTCCTGGCTAGAATTGTAAGCGTAACTGGCGCAGTACAGCAGTGATTAGCAGCGAAGGGCCTCTTTAGGGAGGGCAATCCGCGCAAGCCGCTTCATTGGGGGGCGGGGGGCGCCTATGCCGGGGAATGGCATTGGTGACACCGTGACGGACTCGATAGCCTGCAGGAGCTGTTCGTGACGCGTTGTTCCAATTTGCCATTCTAAGTTTGTTCCCTTGCACGACTACATAGTAATGCAAACCTTTCTTGGAAAGCTGGTCACATGAAAAGCTGTTCAATGATGTATCTATTCTGAATATAAGTCCACCACAAGAGCAAAACCTGTGCTTGGAAACATTGAGGCCCAGTCCCTACGCCCCCGAAGCCAGAATCTTGATGAGAATCCCTTCGGTAGTATACCCCTCAGGGTAGGCCGGACCCGAATAAGTCGGGTCTGAGGCGTTGACGCGCACCCCCAGCAAGCCGCCATCACTGCCACATCCAACCAGAGCAGCCGCCTGCTGGGCCTTAGTGGCATTGACCCCGCCATCAACAGTAGTGGCAATGTCGGCAAAGAGCAGCCCGGGCGTTTCGGTATCGTAGGAGGTGCGGGGTCCCAGGGGGTCTTGGAGGGGTGCTTGGCCGGGAGATATAATGGCGCCGGCGAGGAGGGCGAACGGGAGGTGGTTGATAGTAGAGGAGACCATTTCGAGCGAGGGGGAAGTTTGGAGTAGGCTTGGGGCAGATAAAGCTTTCCGGGTGTGGGAATTAGGGATGGCTATCACTTGGTTGGGTCCTAACAGGATATTTAAATGCGGGAGTGGTCCGGAGACAATAGTGGCTCTACAGTACACACCAACTGACATCTCTAATCATTTCCCTCGCTCATGTGGTTGCACAGGTGTATGCGTGTAAGATGACTGCTGCATGACCCGCTAGGAGGCCAAGGGAGAGGAAGGGCACGAACAAGCCCGGAATATGGGACAGCCAAACGCGTAGGGACCAAGATCGAGGACAGGCCAGCCTTGCTTTTGCTGAAATTATGCAGGGTACCCTACCCCTCAGAGCCATGTCCTTATATACTAGAATTAGCCATGAAAGACCCATTAGTTACCTTGTAAACCGCTCCAGCCAAGCAAGAACAGTCTCATACAGCCGCGCAAAATTCTCACCCTTCTTCACTACATGCCCTTCATCCCCAAACCGCAAAAAGCCCCTCTCCACCCCTCTCGTCCTCAACACCGCAACCGCCGCATCCGCATCCGATACCGGATGCACATCGTCCAAAGCTCCATGGATAATCAACTGCGGCGTCCCCCAATTCCCTAAATGCATCGCGGGGTCCCATCGCTTCCACTCGTCCAGCGCCGCGCCGCTCCACGGCGGCCCGTCCATCTCTTGCAGGACTGATTGTAAATGCTGTTCGTCGCCGGAGAGGTAGGACATTATATTAAAGACTCCGTTACAGCTCACAAGCGCGCGGAACCTCCGGCCCAGCGGCTGGCCCTGGATCCAGTTTACCAGGAACCCGCCGTACCCGTGTCCGAGTGCGATGGCGCGGGTGGTATCGATGTAGGGGACCGAGCCTTTTTCGAGGTATGCGAAACCGGCTTCGAGGTCGAGGTAGGGGGCGCCCGCAAATGAATGCCGGGTACCGTTCACGAAGTCCTCGCCGTAGCCGATGCTCCCCGTTATGTTTGGTGCGACGACGATTACCCTTGTTCGGCGAGGAGGGCGAGGTTTGGGAATGATCCTGTTGTACCCTGCCAGGTACTCGTCCAGCTCCCGTGAATGGTGCCATGGATGCAATAAAGGAGTGGGTATTTGGCCTCTGGGTTGAAGTGCGATGGCTTGATCACCCACACGTGAACACGGTGCTTGTTGGCGCCAGTGAACCAGATCTGCTCGATCTGGTCGTTAGACAGGTCGGATCGGAGGTCGTCGATGGAGAGATTCCGTGCGCCGCGGCCGCCGCTGGATGGGAGAGCCATGAGCATCGATCTCTTCCCGTGGATGAAGCTGTCGTAGGTGATGAGGATTTGGGAGGATTTCTTCTCACTAAGGGGTGAGACGTCGACGACAGAGCTCCACTTTGAGTAATGCGCCTGTTCCACCCGTCTCAGATCTGCAGGAGTCGGTTCGTGTGGGTAGGGGATGGGATTCAGCTGGTATAGCGCACGCTGGCCCTTTTCCTCGACCAGAACAAGCAGCGTCCCGTCGCCTGCAAAGGAGATACTCGAGGGACTCAGGTCCCACCCCCCCTTCCCATCGGGCGAGGCAAAAATCTCCCTATACCGCCGGCCATCGGGATCATCGATCCAGATAATGCGGTTCTTATCAGCAGCATAGCCATCGCATTTCTGGGACAAGAAGGCCACCGCGCCTTTCCGATCGGCAATGGGGGATGTGATGGCCCCTCCGAGTCCGTGATGCGCGATCGCGTGGTAATCATGTGGAGTTAGTCCGGTCCAGTCGAAGATTTGGCAGACGTAGCAGACAGAGGCTGTGTGGCCTGGTCCGGGTAGGTCAGGGTCTTTGGTGACAAACATAATCACACTTGAAGTCATGCACCAATCTCGAGAAATCCCCCCCTCTTCGTTGCTCTCATTCCGTGGCGATGCTTGCAGTGATACCTCTGGACCCAGGTTGTAGTATGTCATCAGGTTTATGACCCTCAGAAGAGAGTATCGACTATTCGGGGACCCCGGCGGACGTACAAGACATCCAAACCAAACGACGTCTCTCGAATGTGTATGATCATCACCTGGGCTATGCAGCGTTCCATCCGGGTTGGCCTTCCCAACCACCGCAAGCGAAAGGCGATCATAAAGGCCCACATCCTCCTCAACGGCCACACCCGCCGTGCGCAGATCCCAAACTTGCCCCGGAAGCTCTCCAGCAACGTACGCAGGCGCTTGCAGCCGTGCATCCGCAATCACAAACCGCGTATGCCCACTCGGGAGCTGCTCCAGCCAGATCAAGTGATCGCTCTGGCCGGCGAGCCATTTTGGAGAGTACGCAGTAGCGGTGTTGGAAATCGGCCACGACCGTGATGTATCAAGGTCCACGACGTATATTGCGCGTGGGCTTTGGGCTGTGGGCGCTTGGCGCGAGTGAGATTGCTGTGTGTAGACCGCAAGTGTCCCGGTTGCGTTTGGAATAGGGTGGCTGCGGGTAGTGGACTCGATGAGTCCGCTTCATCGCTCGTCTGGTCAGTGATTGTAATGCAAACGTGGTGAGATGGACGTACGACGGGGTCAACTTGGGATGTTTCCTGGGTTTGGATAATTGTGTCATCACGATAGTCGGTTGAAAAGGTTGGTGCTGGACAAAAACAACTTGAAGTAAAATCTTGGGTCGTTGAGATAGCTGAGGTTGGCAGAAAACCAAAAAAGAGCGAAACGGAGGGAGGGGGAGAGAGACGGAAAGTCAAGGGAACCCTTCCACGGGAGCGTCATATCAGCAGCACCCTGAAACATGGCATGCCATGTGCACCTCGGTTAGGCATTTAGCTAGGATAAAGCGGTGCGCACAGGGTCCATTCGAAGCATTGGATTGGTCCGTGTCTGCGCCGCATAAATGAATGGGAATGAGGAGAGAGTGTTCCGTACCAGGGTCATGTCACGCGTACCTTTAGCCGCCAGGATCAGTGAGGCCCGGCCCCTGTATCACAAGGTCTGGCCAGATTGACAGGCGAATAAGGGTCCATCTCGGCTTCGAGAACTGTTGGCCCAGGCCGCTCCGGCACCAGTCTGGAAACAGAGGCTCATTCCTGTTGTGGTTAGCCAGCTACTGTACTAACAACCGGGTACTTCCCGACGGGGAAGAAGATGCCTAGGGCCTGATGTGCTTATCGAGCCGCCCCCGCAGTGAGTTGCATCGGATGTAGCACCGGGTCATGAGCGATGCAGTTGGGTTGTGTCATGAATCAAAAGGTCCGGTGAATGTGGGTGGTTTGAACTGTCCAGCCTGGAGGTCCTTCGCGCCTTCCCCATGTGTACTGTGCTTCGCGGTACATACCTACCCTAGGTTAGTTCATAGATAGCTTAGAGGATGCGACTGCCTAATTAATGTATCTAGCCGGGATCCTATATTTCCGACGCCAGGCCTGTTCGACTCGAACCAAGGAGGAAAACCCGCACCGGCTGTGACTGTATACGCTGGCGAAGCTCACTTGATGAAAGATGGCTTCTCGCCTTGGTCGTTCAGCACATTTTCTATGAGGTCTCTACCGTGAAAAGTCAACTAGCTACGCGGAGGTTTTCTGCATCGCTCGTTGGGTCTAATTATCGGAATGATTTTCTGGAGTGGGCTAACTCTTCTTGTTACGCCTGCTTCACACTCGTTTTTCCTAGTCTTCATTTGAGAAATTAGAGACACGGAAGATGCCGCAGCACTTGCAGTAGCTCCGCCTTGCCCTGCTCTCGGGAGTAGAAATGTTCACGATAAGCCGAGATGAGCCGCCGTTGGTCTGTTCATGCCACCTTCCACGCCTTTGGACTCTTTACAAACGGTGATCTTCAAACATGCCTTTCGTCCGGGCACCCTAACGTGTAGTTTAGTTTATGCGCTGTGTTTGAGTTGCAATTTGCGAGAATTGGAGTCACGACACCCTCTGAGGTACGTCCGGCGCTATGTAATGTGTCCGTAGCCAAGGTCATGGACTACTAGTATTGATTGACAGTCTTGTACCATTGCCAGGGTTTAATGACACCCTCACCAACAGAAAGTCCACGCGTAGTCTAATCGTAATCTCACTTTCGTGTTGGCAATATGGATTACCCTCTCACCTTAGATAGCAGAGCAATGAAACTGCTAGTTGTCCCGCAACACCCATACCCTCACTGTTTGAGGCCTGGTCATCGATGCCTTTCTCTCCTTTACCTCTAGGAACGCCACATACATTGCCGCCGGATTCGAACCTTGTATTATGAGGTTGACCATAGAGAAGCGTGGGTGCTTAGGGTTACATCCATCATAGACCCTAGCAAGTCACCTTGCGCCATACAAGGGCCCCCTTCCTCCGGGCATCCTGGCACCCTGCAATATGATCAAAATGGCTCGGGTACACTGCTAAAATGGTTAGTCGACTCTGTCCTATACTCGTATCCGTGGCTTTAGACTCAAACCCTCGGCTAAGGCAGTAGAAACCGGTTGTTAGAACATCCACGTTCGCCTTCCTACATGCCAATATACCTCCCCGGAGACGCGAATGAAACATTTCGTGGACCGCCGTAAGCGATACCGTCCAAATTACATGGCAGGGGAGGAGATATCCCTAGGACTGCTAGCATGGAGAGGCAAAGAGGAACCAAATGGAGGATTGATTATGGTGTGAAGATAATATCGAACCCCTCAACCCGTCGGGGATGAGGGTATCAAGAGCTCGCCATGTGATGAAGAGCAAGTAAGTATAAATCCCAGCTTGTCTTCCCAGGGAATGGCACCTATCACCATCTATCAAGCTCACAGTGAAGCCAGCAGAGCCAGCAGCTACCACAGTCATGGTGCTGTGGAGAGACTTGTTCAGCTCGCAGCAGCAGCGGGCACTTTCATATTGAGTACAGTCTCGGCCGCCCCTTCCTCTTCTTCTTACCCACTCTCCTGGTATGGCAATACTACCTGGCATGGCTCTCTGGAAGCCCGGGGTATCTCTTCTCCTTCTTTCCCAGTCAATCCGGGCATTCAGCCTCGCGCTGCCGAGTCTTTTACGCTCCGGATTTTGCCCCTCGGAGCCTCGATCACCGAGGGCTATCTGTCTAGTGACGGCACTGGATATCGAAAGCTCCTCCGTGCTCAGCTACGACATGCTGGCTGGAAGGTCAACATGGTCGGCAGCATGGCACATGGGCATATGAGTGATAAGGTATGCCTCCTCTTCTTCCACTTTTGTAGCAAAGTTTGCTTGCGCCCCAGCCATGCCATCTCCACACATACTTGCATCTTTTCTACTCTTTTTTTTTATTTTTATTTTTATTTTTATTTTTTTTGTTGTTGTTTCTTAGGCCAAGGCTACGGCCTATCTATCGGGGCTAGTGACTGATTGACTGACTGACTATTGTGGTGCCCGGACATAGAACCACGAAGGCCACCGTGGCTACATAATTGACGAAGTAGCCAACGAGGCCAGGAAAAGCGTGGGATCAAGGCCAAACGTCATCTTGATCAAGTAAGGCCACTTATCAAATCCATTTCCTTGTTTCTTTCTCTTTTGCTTTCCACCCTCCCCATTCCGCAAGGGGCATTAATACCTAGCAAATTTATGAGCGAACAATTGACGCTTCCTTCTACACAGTGCGGGTACGAATGATGCCACTCGCAACATTAATATCGATACTGCGGAGCAGCGGATGGACGCCCTACTAGATTACCTATATTCATCCATCCCCGGCACAACAATCATCCTATCGAGTCTGCTCCCCAACACAGGAGCACCAGCTCGTGTGAGCCGAATCAACCACCAGTACTACAAGATATACATCCGCCGCCGAGATGCAGGCCAGAAGATTGTCCTCGCGGACATGGCAAACACCCTGCAGGTTACCGATCTACAAGACGATACCCACCCCACTGACGCCGGGTACCGCAAGATGGCCACAGTCTGGTGGAATGCCATCCAGACGGCACACGAGCGCGGGTTTCTCTCCGCTCCGGACGACCCAGAGATTGATGAGAAGGCGGCCTCGAACTGTGAGAAGGAGTATGGGAGCGGACAGGACCACTATGCGCAGACGCAAAGGGGCAGTGGCGCGGACGACGGCGAGTATCAGCACTCGGCAGAGAATATGGGACGCATACTAAAGATCACGACCGTCGGGGATATCCATGGGGAACTGAACTTTGCACAGCTGGTGAATGTCTGGAATGCGCCGCGGGAGGGGGCTCTGGATGACCTCGTCTGGTCGCGAGAGGGCCTTGGGACATTCATGTTCGCGAACAAGAACGATGGTAACTTTGACAGCCTTATTGAGATTGATGTCAAGGACGGCTGCAAGCCCCAAGGTTCGTCTTCTATCCTCAACGATCGTCCCTTCTATTTACGAAGGAAGAAAGTTTACTAAATACCGACCTCACTCATAGGTGTTCGCTGGGGCGACGTGAATGGCAATGGCTTGGATGATTTCATCTGCATCGGGCCCGAGGGCGCTATGTACGTGTCAATCAACCGCGGCTCGATTGATGGAATTCCAATGTTCGAATATATTGGTCTCGTACGGGCTGCCCCCGGGGGTGACATGGCGCAGATCAACGTTAAACTGGGCGATATCGACGATGATGGTCGCATTGACTAGTAGGTCTTTTTGCCCCATTATTCGCTTTAGTCCAAGCTGCTGATCATGGATGGAAAAACAAAAGTTGCTTGATTGCCGGAAATGGAGACATACGCTGCTGGCGTAACGGTGGCCAGGGCGAGGCCCCGACTTCTGAGTATGGCGGCTACTGGCAGGACCTGGGTGTTGTATTCACGGGTAAGGGTATGGGTGATATCACTGGGGTTAGGTTCGTGGATATTAATGGGGACTTTCGGAGCGATTGGCTATGGCTTGATAATACTGGAAAGGTGACCACCTATATTAATAACCGGGGCACGGGTAAAGGCACTCTTATCCCAGATTGGGTCTCTGTTGGTACAACTCATGCAGGAATTGGTGTGGAAGGTGCCAAAGCTCGCATTAAGTTCGGAAATATCTATCCGGGCAACCGCAATGGGGCAGACTATGTCTACATCGAGTCAGACCAGCGGGGACCCAGCACGGGAGGGGCGCCGGTCTACGACCACCACCTCCATGTCTGGAGAAACACTGGTAGTGGAGGCACGCAGCTTAAGGGCGACGGGGTCTTCTACTGCGACATGCGGGGCACAGGGGCAGATGACTATGTAAGTACGATGGATCTCTATTATCGCTTCAACATATGCCCAGGGGCACGAGGCTGATTTACGGCGGCGGCGCAGGTGTGGGTTTCTTCCGCGGGCGAGGGATATCTGTACGGTAATATCCACAGCCCCCCAAGGTGGGATCCTGAGGGACCCAAGATTTTCGAAGCAGGAGTGGACCGAAAGGCGATACGTCTCGCAGATTTTGACGGGGATGGGAAGGTAAGCGGCATTATCGTACTTTCCTAAGATTTGGAACTGTCACCATTAACCATGAATCTTCATCCCTAGTGCGACTTGTGGCTGGTTGACCGCATGACTGGTGCTGCAGAAGTATGGATTAACAAGTGGGATACAGGATCAGGCCGCATGTCCTGGGACAAACGCGGCGTGGTCACTGGAAATGCAAGGTGTACTGAGGGCTGGGGTGTCGGTCTGTACGATTTGGGTCTTCGGTTCCACGACATTAAGTACGTTTTCCACGGGCCTTCCCTTCACACAGTTATGGACTCGACTCTAACCTGGATACAGTGGTGATGGGCGTGCAGATTATCTCTGCATGGAGTAAGGACACATTCCCCTCCTACCGTACTTGCGGCTTCCTTTCCCAAACCAACTAATCCTTTACTTGCACAGGCCGAACGGCCGCACAACAGGAGCTCTGAATCTTGGAGAGAATAACTTCAAGGATATGGGCCAGGTTAAGCGCTCGGAAGGGTATGATCGGGCTAGTAAGTTGACTTTGCCAACACTAGGCCGTGTTCACAGTCGTTCTAACCGCGAAGCGCTTACCAGATCATCGGTGGGCGGATGTAAACGGCAAGTCACTCACTGGGTTTCGCCCGTCGTACCGTCTGATGATTCTGTAGGCGACAAGCTTGTTGACTTTTTGTGGGTCGATAAGTTCAATGGCGACACCTGGGTGAGTGACGCTTGGGAAGGAGAAATCCACGATCAATGACTGACAGACATTCCTCCTTTTAGGTTTGGAGGAACGAGGGTCAAATGCCAGAAGGCGAGCTAGTCAGTGGCTCGACATTTCGATGGACAAAGCTAGAGGGCCCTCGGTATCAGGGTGCTGACCGTGGGGTGAGGCATTTCCCCCTTCCAGTGGTGTAAGACAAGGTGGTCCAGCTAAGAAGATACATATAGGCCAACATGCACTTCCCCAATCTCGGTGGGCTGGGCCGGGCCGACTTCCACCAAGTGATTCCGCGTACAAACGTGGCCTACACCTGGTTCAATGTTTGCCCTGGAGGCGGCACAGGCCCAGCGCAGGACGACCAAGACCCGTCAGTGGATCCCCAGTTGCCCACGGATCTCGCGCCGCGGCGATGGCCGACCCCTCATAACTATATCTCCTTCGGCGATTCGTACTCCGCTGGCATTGGAGCCAACTGTGGGTGGATCTATGACAAATTCGACCAGTCCGGTTCGTGTCGTCGTTGCGAGGGTTCCTACCCATGGCAGCTTCTCACCGCCGGCCTAGAACTGCAGGGCGTGGAGTTGAACTTTGTGTCCTGTTCGGGCGCCGAGACTGTTGACCTGTACGAGCCTCGCGAGAGACGCGCTCAACTTCTCTGGATCTATGAGGACCATTATTATATCCAGAGTGGCTGGGGCACCTTGTCAATTGGCGGGAACGACCTGGGCTTCTCCACCATCGCAACCTGGTGCCTGTTCGTGTACGTCTCAAATTCCTGGTGCCAGGACGCGATCCGGAACGCGGAGACAAAGCTTGAGTCGCCAGAGTTTCACGACACCCTGAAAAGGGTCTACCAGGATATTCTCCTGGATGCCATGGGCGAAAGGGAGTGGAACGGTCAGAAAGGGTTCCTCCTTATGGTCACCGGTTACATGCAATTCTTCTACGACAAAGACGACGGCTGTGACCATACCTACTTCCTAACCGGCACCTATCTAACCCAGGCCCTCCGGCAACGCTTGAACGCCATGGTCATCAAACTGAACGAGGTTATCCAAAGCGCCATCCGCGCCGCGAATGACTGGGGAGGAGGCCCCTACAACATTGTCTATTTCGACGGAGACCGCTTATTCGAGGGCCATCGCTTCTGTGAGCCTGGCCGGGATTACCGTGACAGCTGGTTTCTGCTCCCCAACCGCGAGGATTAGTTGCCCGACGGCAGCGAGGTCCCGGCCGACGCATCACAGTATCCGCCAGACCGCCAGGCAGTCGATCTGAACACGTATTGGCAGAGCTGCTCGAATACGGGCGGTAAGGACCTGGAGTCGGATTTCGCTTGCGAGCTCTCCAAGAAGATACGTGATGGCGAGGATCCGGACATCGACCCCTTGTGGATTCCGTGGAAGGCTGCAAGGGCGATGCACCCGAAAACAGTCGCGTACAAGGCCATGGTAGATGAAATGTATCGTTTCCTCGTCAACTTTGGCTGAACATACTCGTCTTTGTCCGCTGGCACTGTTTGACGTTTGCAACCTTGATGGAATGAGCTGGATCTGCTGTTTGATTTGGTTCTACTTTTGATGTAGGTGTGATACTATGTGTGTTTGTACGGGTTCTGGGTGATATAGCGAGTTGGCCTCTCCCTCGCACCTCTGCCGGTCTCGCATAATTCGGAGTTTGCGACTAAGGCAGAATTGTTACATAACCTCGTTGATCAATCCAAGGCCAACATCCGATCCTCCAATAGTCCACATCAAGTCCTCCGACAGTCTCATGGGCGGTGCAGATTATTAACTGAAAAATGGTCTACCTTCTTAGGGCTGGCCTTTATAGCTGGTTCCCCAATTATAGCCAGGACTATTAAGAAACCAAGGACTGGTAGCACCAAGGGTTCTATATTAAGAAAAGTAACAATATTTAGGTTTATAATCTATGCACAAAGGCTATTAAGGAGATAATTATACCTATAAAGGAATTTACTACCCTGGCCTTAAATAATTAAAATGGTTTCCTCTTCTCTATTCTTATATAGATGTGTAATTTATCTAATACTTGTCACAGCGGGTGCCTCAGGCAACCCCGACAGGAGGCCGCGCGACCGCCGCCCGGGATCCGACCCGTTTAGGCCTAACCCCTTTAGGCCAAACCCCGAATGACTCTCTTGGCATCGCTGTACATAAAAGACCCATGGAGGATCGCTGGTCTTTCAGATCGCCAGCGATTCGTTTCTGAATAGAATAGCTTACAGCTCCTCCTTCCTCTTTCGTACATCCTACGTAGCCTGACGTCTCCTTGCTTGCTAGGACTTCGCCGCGGGTGAAGACCGACTGGCCTCCGCCACCGATCCGACCTCGCCGCTTACAAAGCAGGCAGCACTAACGTAATTCCCGGGTGGTCCGGTCATCACGGGTGATCCGGTCACCCACCAAAAATTCCTCGCGCGTTCAACGCGTAATTATTCAAACAACCACCATGCCACGAAAATCGCGTCAATCACGTCAAAACTTGGTGGAGCAAGAGGGAAGGATTCAGCTTGCAATTAAAGCTCTTGAAAATTATGACATACCCAGTATTCGTCGAGCGGCACAGGTTTTTAATGTGCCTAATTCAACACTCCAGGATCGAATGCAAGGACACTTATTTCAAGGAGAACTCCGCAACCAGAACCTCCGACTATCTCAAACTCAGGAAGAGTCTTTAATGCAATGGATTGAAGTAAGAGATAAGCGCGGAGTTGCTCCAAGGCCTTCACATGTGCGGCAAATGGCCGATATAATCCTTAAGAAAGACTCGAAGACCCCCCCTCAACCTATGAGAAAGAACTGGGTCACGCAATTTATTAATCGCCATGATAGCATTAAATGCCGCTTTGCTCGACGATACAAGTATAAGAGGGCTCTCTGCGAGGATCCTAGGGTCATTAAGGACTGGTTCAAACGTTTAAAAGAGGTTCAAGACGAGCACGGCATTCAGGATGAGGATATTTTCAATTTCGATGAGACGGGCTTTGCTATGGGTCTTATTGCAACTGCTAAGGTAGTTACACGTTAAAATATGCCAGGGAGGCCTCATCTTATTTAACCAGGCCAACGTGAATGGGTCACTACAATCGAATGCATCGGTGCCATGGGATTTAGTGTTCCAACTTGCATTATCTTCAAAGGAAAGGTCTATATGGAAGGATGGTTCGAAGAACTCGATTTACCACCTGATTGGAGGGTTGAAGTAAGCGCAAATGGGTGGACAACCGACGAGATAGGCCTCTGGTGGCTTACGAATTGCTTCATTCCTACAACAACTGCGTGGACAAAAGGGTCCTTTTGATTACTAGTTCTCGACGGCCATGGGAGTCATCTTACGCCTGAGTTCGACCAGGCATGCAAGGACAATAATATTATATGTATTTACATGCCTCCGCATTTATCTCACCTCTTGCAACCGCTAGATGTTGGTTGCTTTGGTCCTTTAAAGCGCGCCTATGGAGGCCTAGTTAAAGTAAAGATGCGCTTAGGATTCAACCATATCGACAAGCTTGACTTTTTAAAGGCCTATCCTACTACGCGCAAGCAAGTCTTTACGATACAGAATATTCAAAGTGGCTTTAGAGCAGCGGGAATAGTTCCTTTTAATCCTAATAAGGTTCTTAAGGAGTTAAATATACAAATATCGACTCCGACCCCCCCTCCAAGCCGTGGGGCCTCAACGAGCTCCTCAATGATTAATACACCTCATACAGTTCGAAATTTACACAAGAAGGTCTCCTCAGTCAAGAAGATGCTTGGTCATAGTGATCAGGCATCTTTAATTCCTTCTGTACGAGCCCTTGACGAACTTATAAAGGGCTGCGAACTCGCGATCTATAATTCTGCCATGTCACTAAAGGAATTACACGATCTCCGCGCGGAAACTAAGGTTAAGCAGCAGAAAAGGAAACGATCTAAGCGATAGATGTCTCCTTATAATGGCCTTCAAGTTCAAGAGGCAAGGGACTTAATTACGTTGAGAAATGAGCAATTGAATGTGGACGAAGGGGGTCCTGGTAGTTCTACTCCACTCGCTTCTGGAGCCCGAAAACGTGCGCCACCAAGGTGTAGTGAATGTGGTATACAGGGCCATATTCAAACTGGGTGTCCTAATCGCCGTCAAATTTAGTTTACTTAAAAATATTAAGAATTGCGTTGTTGGGAATACCTTCAAGTTCGACTAGTATATATATTTTCGGAGGGGTGACCGGATCACCCGTGATGACCGGACCACCCGGGAATTACGTTAACGTAATTCCCTGGTGATCCGCTCACCCCCGTTGATCCGATCAACCACCAAAAATAATTCTACCCATCGAACTTGAAGCTATTCCCAACAACCCAATTCTTAATTAAATACAGTAAACTAAGTCGCGCGACGATTAGGACATCTAGTTCTAGTATGCCCCTGAATATTACATTTAGAATAGGTCGGTGGGGCACGTTTTCGAGGTTCTAAAGTTAGTAGAGTAGTTAGATTAGCTTCCTCACTACTACTATCTTCCTGATTCAGTTACTCATTTCTTAATGAAATTAAGTCCCTTGCTTCCTGCACTTAGAGGCCTTGTATAGGGGCTATCTAGCGTTTAGATCGACTCTTTTTAAGCTGTTAAACTTGACTTTCTGCGCGGAGATTATTTAATTCCTTTAGTATAAAGGCAGTATTATAGATAGCCAGCTCGCAACCTTTTATAAGCTCATCTAAAGCACGTTTAGAAGGACTAGAAGGACTCTAGAACTACTTAGAAAGCATCTTCTTAATAGAAGAAGCTTTCTTATGTAGCTGTCGAACTATATAAGGCGTGGCAAGCATAGAGGATGATGTTAAAGCTCCGCGGCTTAGAGGGGGGGTAGGCATAGATATTAAATAATTAAAGCGCTTTAGGACCTCTTTAGGATCATAAGGTTCTATCCTAGTTGCGCGAAAGCCACTTTGAGCGTTCTAGATAGTAAAGACTTTCTGGCGAGCCTCTGGATAAGCCTTTAAGAAGTCATGCTTATTAATAGAGTGGAATCCTAGGCGCATCTTTACTTTAACCAGGCCTCCATAAGCTTGCTTTAGTGGTCTAAAACAACTAATATCTAGTGGTTAAAGTAGGTGCGATGAATGCGCAGGCATATAGACATAGATAATCTTATTATCTCTACAAACCTTATTGAATTCAGGAGTTAGATGACTCCCATGGCTAGTTAATGACTTCTAATTATGCGCTTAGTTATATAAGGAATAAAGGACTTTTGAAGCCACTAGAGGGTTATCTAGTTAGTAGTCTATCTATTCGCGCTTAATTTAATCCTCTAGTTACCTAGGAGACCTAGTTCTTCGAACCATCCTTTAATATAGACCTTGCCTTTAAAGATTATAGTTAGTGGAATAATATATCCCTTTAACCTAATATATTTAATCGCGGTGACCCATTCGCGCTGGCCTGGCTGAATAAGGCGAGGCTTCCTAAGCATCTTAGCCCTTGTGATAACCCGTGAGGTTGTAATTAGGCCCATAGCGAAGCTAGTTTCATTAAAGTTATAGATATCTTCATCCTATATACTATTCTCCTTGCGCAAGGCCTCTAAAGTCTCAAACCACTACTTTATGACCTTAGGATCCTCGTAGAGGGCGCGCTGGTAGTTATACTTGCGCGTGAATTAACTTTTAATGCTTTCATGGCGCTTAATAAACTTAGTAACCTAGTTCTTCCCAAGCGGCTTTGGGGGGGTTGATAATTCTACTTGGAGAAGAAGATAGGCTATTTATTATACATGTGAGACTCTTAGAGCAACTCCACGTTGATCTCTAGATAGAATCTACTCTACTAGAGCTTCTTCCTGAGTTATAGAGAGCTGGAGGTTGTGGTGGCGAAGTTCTTATTAAAATTCATGTCCCTGGATGCGATCGCGGAGTGTTGAATAAGGTATATTAAAAACCTCTATTACTTGATGAATACTTGGAATTTCGTGCTTTTTTAAAGCTTGTATTGCAAGTTGGATCCTCCCCTCTTGCTCAGCTAAATTTGGGCGAGATTGACGCGGTTTTCGTGGCATGGTTGTTGGTTGAATAATTACGCGTTGAACGCGCGATGATTTTTTGGTGGTTGATCGGATCAACGGGGGTGAGCGGATCACCAGGGAATTACGTTAACTAACTAACTATAACTATAGACCAGTTATAATAAGACCTGCCTAAAGGATCTATCTACTAGTAAATAGTATAATAGTATTTCTACCCTATTTCCTATTATTCAGCTCCTTGCCTTTTTATCCCAGGGATAAGCTAAAATACCATGCTAACGCTTTTGTTTATAAACTACCTTGGAAATAAACCCATGTACTTAACGCATAGCCTAGTGCTACTCTCTGTATAAAAAGGTAACGCATGGTCCTCCATATCTAGAAATAGTGTTCCTATCTTTATATAAGACAGGTGCGATGATCGACCGCTCCTTCTGTATATGCTAGGCGAGGGTCCTGCTCAATAAATGGATGTGCTTCATCGGTGGGAGCAGAGTATGTGAACTAAGGCTGTCTATACCTTGAGGACTACTGTTCAGACCATCAGCAGGTCTCGTGATTGAAGAACTGATGTATACACTACGACTGTCGAGGCCATAGCTCAAGCCACACTACATTCTATTCTTACTACTGGCCCATTTCGATTGCTCAATCGCTTTTAAATACCGCACTGCTGGCGTGTATAGGCTGCCGGTTAGCAATATATGCTTGCATTCCATCACGTGCAGTTAGTGACCCTGCACTGGATCAAGCTCTGAGTTGGGCGCCTGGAGTTCTTCTCAGGTTGATAATACGTTCAGAACTCCAGACCTCAAGCTCACGCGGTTTTGACCCACCATCTCCGCCGAAGCCCCGAGCCTAGCTAGCATCTTTATCCTCAACGGAAACGACGACGAACCGTCCACGGTCTAATGTACCAACACTACATCCCCCAGTTCATCCTCAAGCATTTCGCCCATACCAGTGCCATAAGCAGAAAGTGTGTTCCATCCGTATTATAAATAGAATACCTTTAAGTTGAATATAGATCTATACGGGATGGAATTGTCCATGTATATGACGCGGCCACGGGAGAATTCCGGCTCGGAGGGGTCGCACGGACCTGCGGTGCACAGGATCTGTACTACAATTTGGCAGAGATGGTGGATCCGATGAGGATAGAGCATCTGTTCCGCAAGCTAGAGTCAAAGGTCAGCGTGATAGCAAACAATGTTAGAGCTGCCGCGGCCGTCGACGGTCTAGACCATGTCGACATCCTTGAAAAGGACATCCAAGCCCTGTTCAAATTCATTGCGCTGTCCCTTCGGCGATCCGAACACGACAGAGACGAGATGCAAAACCCGCGCCGCGAGAACGATTTCCTCTTCCAGTCGCTGTTCAAGGCCGCCCGGAAGAGGGGCCGCTCGGACGACCCGAAACAGTTTTAGCTGGAACAGCTGCTTTATCTTTTGGAGACGAGCCATGAGGAGATTCTGAGAGATGCAGAGAAGCTCGATGAAAATGCTACGGCCGACACGTACAAACATTTCATCGAACACTACGCTCTGCAGATATGGAATGCCGCCGATGGCTACGAGTTTTTTCTTAACGAGAGTCTGGTCGACTTTGAAGGCGATGCCGAGTCACGCCTGGGTGTCGGGATGGACGAGGAACGGCCCCAGCTGAGATGGATGACAAAGAACGACATAATACATCTGATTCTTCCCATTAGTCCCCAAGTGGCCATTGTATTTTGCGACGAGTCTCGTTGCTGGGAATCGCCGTTTGCTGACGCCATGCACAAAGCCAACATTTCCTACCCGGAAAATAGTCTGTTGAAGGACGCACCGCACAAGGATATCGTCAATGTCGGCGTGCCCAGCGGAAAAAGAGGCAGAAGACGTGGCCTGCAACCGTGGCGTGGCGGGTGAATATCGGGACTCTTTCTAAAGCGCAGTATCGGGTCATTGCTTGCTACTCGCTGAGCCATGCCAAGCTGCTGATTGTGGTCCAACACAGGGCGCGATTCGAACGAGCGAAGCGGGAATTGGAGGTGTTTTCAGTGGAGAGAATGAACCATTGGCAGAGCATCGGAGTGCGATTCGAAACCCAGCGGGACCACCAGTAGCAGGAGCTGCCCCAGCAAAACTCCCCTCTACCCATGAGGGAGAAGATTGAGGCAGGGCTGGTAGAGGATTACATGCTGGCAGTCGACGAAGTCGTCCGTATGACGACTGTCACATATGAAGTACCGCCGCCGACGAAAAGTAATGCGTTCGAGTTTTGGCTAGCACGCTGCGCCCTGGAGCACTTGAGCGGGAAAGCGACATTCGGCCTACAATTGAATAACGGCCCTCCGTCCATTCGAATCATGCATCCTGCATTAAAACTAGCATTTGAGGCCGCGTATCCAGCAACACATGCAGACCACCGGGATCTCAACGACGTCGACTTTTGGTCATTCTTCCAGGAATGCATTGGCGAAGAGACCTTCACTCGGTTATCCGGCGAGATAGAGAAGAAGATATCGGAATTGGTTTCCACAGAGGCCTTCACAGGCCACTTTGAAGCTGCACGGGAAAAAATGCAGCTGCCCGCCTCTTCTCCGCTCTTGCAAAGTGTTGCTGGCGGTGATAGTGATGGTGATCGCGGAGCTCAAGATACGGAAGAGACACTTCAGAAGAGCCCCTCTTTTCGGGCCTTCCATAACGTGGCGGAGATTTGTGATGTTCTAAAGTGGATGTTCGAGGAACGACAGGACATCTTGGCGACTTTTGTGCGGCAGATCAGCATACCTGCGGAAAGCACGAGGGCGCAGGTTGTTCGGCTGCGCGCCAGACGAGTGTCATGGGTCCGGTTGGATTGAATGATGCGACGCCGAAACGGGTCCAGGTAAGTGAAGTTGTAGGACCATTGGTGGAAAGCGGTAGTTTGTTTTCAGTAGTCAATAAAAGCTTCTAATGAGAACACGATGAGATGATACTCTCATGGTAAGACTGTGTCTGTTTAACTTTGTCGGAGATTAAGAGTTTCTGGTGACCTCGATTTATACTAATTCCATTCCATCGAAGAGCGCTGAACTGTATCTGAGATACATTGCAAGCCAAAAGACCTGTACGACATACACAAGCTGGCTTATGTGGCGGCGTTAGCGTCGGCTTCAGATGTGCCATTCACAGAGAACGCCGAGGTAGCCGGACGCTGCAAGCACGCCCTTTCCCTCTGAGTTTTTCCCCAAGAGTTCCGCGGTGTAGAGCGCATGCTGCGCTCGCAACAAGACCGCCTCACAACTAGTAGACACAATAGAAAGAAGCCTGTGTGTGTTGACCCCTCCTCGCGCTGCTTGATACCCATCAGCCATGGGGAGACTTGCATAGTTATGGGTTAGCATCAGCTTCAGGATCCACAAAGGGAACGCAACCTCCAACAGGCCTGCGGCTCCGCGTAAGTACGTATGCCCATCCAAAGGGACCCATGGCAATTCCCAATTGCCAAGAAATTCCGTGCATGATGACAATAACAACAGGGGGGTGGTGACGGCGGTGCGGCTGAAGAGTCCGCGAAGTAAGCACAGCCCCGAGCACCCGACATTTGCACCCAAAATCTCAACGCAGCTGAAGCTTCAACCAAGGGTCCTGTCCCGCTTGGGGGCCGAAACTGCCCTTAGGCGCCACGCTAGATCCTCCGCTCTGCCGATCCCAGCTCTTTGCTTAGCCGTTATTGTTAATTCGGGTCTACAATTGGTTGGTACTTTTTGGCTGTTGGGAGGAGGATCGTGGGATTCTGCCCTATGGATCCAGGTCGCTCGGAGTGCTCAGCAGGGGTTGGGAAATTCGCATAGTGAAAGAGTATGTGTGGGGACGTAAGGCGAGACAGTCGGGCTTGGCTGTGACTCATTTCGATATCATAGCATGGGTTGCTCCTGCGCCATGTCTCGACTTTGGTGGCATCAGCCAGGCATGGTGCGCGCCGCCTGCATCGCGCCTTCCTTATCCGTTAGGTGTATACTCGATGAACAAGGAAGGAACGATCATAGTACCTTCCATATTTACTGTCAAAGCAAATGGGGCAGGCGCGTTGGTTGCCCAGTGGGTTGCCTCTCCCCGCTGATTCTATCTTCATATCAGGCAGGTGCACTGCAGGTGCTTCATCGCTCCTTCTGTATATGCCAGGCGAGGGCGGTCCTGCTCACATAGTCGATATTTTCCATCGGTGGGAGCAGAGTATGTGCGCTAGTCTTTTTATTTTATTTTATTTTTTTTTTCGCGATGGGACCGGAGTATGGGAAGCACTAAGTTGAGGCGTCCATGCATGTCTCATTCATATGTCTCAGAAAACAAGTTGCCACTCTTTTGAATATCAACGAAATTGGATATCCGGTCATCTATACTTGAAGCAACAGAGGAAAAGAAGAAAAAGAAAACAACGCATCTCATAATCGCTTCGCAAAAACCCACAGAAAAATCACATCCCAAGTCTATATCCTCGAACATCCAAACTCCACCCTCACAACCCTATATTTCTTATCTAGACATGCGCCCCACCATAGGATGTCTGAGCGTTATACGGCGTAGTACCGGGATACTGCGCACCAACGGGATTCAGCGAAATATCCATCGAATCAATGCTCCCAGACGCCTTAGCATAGTTCCCACTTCCACTCCCCTTGCTAGAGCGCGTATGCCAAACAGCCTGCGCCCACTGGCCCTTCCAGACGAGACCCGGGTGGAAGGCTGTGAGGCAGATGACAGAAATGGCGATCATGGTTGCTTCAAGGATCATGAATGTCACCTCGTCGTTGGCGAGATGTCCATCGAAGCCCTCGGAGAGTTCCGCGCATCGGAAGACGGATCGTATGAAGATGACGAGCGTCGCGAGTCCGAGACCGTAGATAGATGCCTTGAAGTACGTCCCATTCCGGAGCGTCTCGAAATCCATGTTGAAATCCGCACCGGCGGCCTTGCGCACCCGCCAGAAGAAATGGCTCGCCATCGCAGTAAAGATGAGCAGCGACGCAACCTGCCACGCCAAACCAGCGATCATAATGTTGATTCCGAGGTCGGTAGCCGCGCGGTCGTTGTCGTCGGCAGTTGAGGCGATTGCACCGCCGATGGCTTGCAGCAGGAGGGCGATGAAGTCGAAGGTGATGAATGTGATTGTGTACGTCCGTGGTTTGAAGTAGGAGATTTTTTCGCCGTAGGCGACGACGATGCGGGAGAGGGTTAGGTAGATTGCTGCTGTGAGGAAGGCGGGGGCGATTGTGAGGCAGACGAGGTATCTATTCAATCTGTCAGTGTTCTGGATTTGAAGCTGTTGGGGAAAGTGGGACGTACTCAAGAAAGGCATCACCGTTGAACGGGTTATCCCACAGGTTGACTCGGCCGACGTATCCGACAACTTCACCGATCAGACCGAGGACCATGGCAACCATGAACGTCCATGTCTTGTAGCGGATGCCAAGGCCGAGGTGGATGAGGGCTCCGGCGCCGAAGATGGCGATGAACAGAATGTTTCCCCAGAGGACGGGCCGGTACTCGACCGAGGCCATGCTTATGGGACATGTCTCGAGTGTGCAGAGCTCGGGGTTCTCGAGGAGAGTTTGATTGGTGGGGAGTGTTTCCATCATTTTGGCGGTAGATTTGTGAAGAGGCTGAAATGCAGAAAGACAAAGGTTGAAAGATGGAGAAGGTGAGGAAGAGTAAGCTTAAATGAAGTGCTGATGCTGCTGATTCTGAGGAGATCCAACAGCTGGACATCGTGGACCCTTATATACCATCTCATCTGTCATCTCGAACGTGGCTTATTGCAGGATCTCATCCCAGCACAGCTCAGGTGAAACTCCATCATCCACATCCACACATCAAAAACACAGCAACCTACGCTGCAGGATCCCGGAGACATTAAGCTCACTCTTGGCAGTGTCCGATTGGCCAGCTCGTAAATTGTGGTCCCGTCGCAGCGCGGCATTGGGGCCAGCGGGTGGGCCGCTCGTCTGGATCAGGGAGGATTCTTGCGATGCCAAGAACAGGGCTGTGCTTGCCTGGGCTGGAGCTGCCTGAGCCGCGCGAGGACGTGTCCTATTTTTGTAAGCACTAGCTTACGAACTGGCCAATGACGTTCCCAACGGATTCAGGCATCGACAATCTTTTCCCTGGCTGTTTCTCGTAAGTTTGATCTCCCAGCACTGCCATGTGTCGGGGGTCAGGTCTGTGCTGGAGATCTTTCACTGCTTTTAGGGTCTCTCTTGCGACTGGAGCGTTCGTATGTTTTTCCCTCCACAAAGACTTGGCTTTGATATCTGCCTTGGCTGTCCACAATTTGAGCACCCGTCCAATGACATTCGTTTCCGAGGCTGCCAATCAAATCCTCCAGGGTAGACCCTCGCGAGATTATTGCTCTTTCTGGCATCCAGGCATCCATGATACCTATCTGGGCTATGAATAGTGGCAGCATGCGCTGTCGGTCGCCGCATTTTCCCATAACTGGAGTTTGCCTACCGCATCATCGAAAACCCCCACCCAAATATCATCGTTGCCCTCATCGCTTCGGAGTTCACGATTATCCCCGTATCTCCTTAACAGCGGTAAATCCGTTGAAGGAGCCGCCAGCTCCTCTGAGCTTACGAGTCCCAGCCAACAAACATGATTGGCTCGCGCCTTGGCTGGGCCACGTTTCTAAAGCTTGACTCGGTCCGTTCGGACCGGACTTGAGAGCCACAACTGATAACTCCGACCTGGAGACGAAGCATATAACCAACCAAGAACAGCAACAGCGCACTACAAACACCATCTCTTCCAGTAAAAAGAACCGAAAATGTCCGCCTCAACCTGCTGCCTCAAAACCTTCACCTGGAACGGCACGCCCACTGGCCGAATCAGCACCCTCGCCTCAAACAACACCTACATCGCCAGCCCCGCCGGCGACAACGACGACCTCGCAATCCTCATCATCCACGACCTCCTTGGCTGGTCCTTCCCCAACGTCCGCCTCCTCGCAGACCACTACGCCCGCGAGGCAAACGCAACCGTCTACGTGCCCGATTTCTTCGGCGGCGAGACTCTCCCCTTTGAACCACTACTTGCGGGGCGATTCAACGAGGTCGATCTCCCGGGCTTCCGGGCGCGAAATGCTCGCGAGATTCGGGAGCCCGAGATTTTCGCGTGCGCCGAGGAGCTGCGCACCAAGCATAAAGTCATAGTCGCCGTCGGCTTTTGCTACGGCGGCTGGGCTGTCTTCCGGCTCGGCGCTGCTCGCGACTCCGAGGATGACCAACGTCGGCGACCACTCGTCGACGCAATTGCCGCCGCGCACCCGAGCCTCCTCACGAAAGAAGATATCGACAACGTGGCCGTCCCCGTACAGATCCTTGCGCCGGAGCACGACCCGATCTTCAACGACGAGTTGAAAAGCTACACTTTCGCTAGCTTGCAGCGCCGGGGCGTGCCGTTTGATTGGCAGCATTTTCCGGGGGTGGAGCATGCTTGTATGACGAGAGGGGATGAGAACAAGCCAGGAGAGAGGGCGGCGATGGAGAGGGGGAAGAATGCGGCTGTTGCGTGGGCGAGGCAAATTGTTGCGCAGACAAAGGTGTGAGTAGATATATTATCTCGACGGATATATCAAGCGGTATTAGGGTTAATCCTTTCTCACACGCTGGGATACTTTCGCCGCTCAGGATGTACATAGGTAGATATAGTGTGGCAGCTCCGTGGGCGGGCAGTACTAGTAGGTTCTGATAACTGTTTTTGACTATGCCGACCCCATGATTCGTTTGAGATTCTGCCCAGAGCTGCACTGGTGGGGTGCGGGGTTTATTTCGGCGTAGCTTGGCAGGCTGTCATAGTTGCCGTCTCCAGAAATGGGAGGATATTTTCCCAACCCGTGACTGGTCGAGCCAACACACCGGAATTTCCTTCAATGAGGCCACGAGGTCTTGACTAAGATTTGTGGGTGGCAGGACTCGTTGCATCATCGATTGATTCATGACCCACGCCACGCATGCCACGTGACTATCGAGGTATATATATTGTCCCCCCGTTGTGGAAATGAGAAAGAACAGTGCATTACCGAGAGAAAAAAGATGCAGTCGAAATATCCCCCACAAAGCAAGCCCGAGGTAAATCCAAGATCCGACGTCCGAGTTTCATACCGCACGTAGCAAACAATGGTACTGACGCACCCGCCTCTCAAGCCCCTATCCGACGAAGAGCGCCATGCTTTTCGAAACTATTCCAGGCACACGCGTAGAAGAGATGTAGCCGGGCAGCGACGGTCACGGTCTCCGGTATGTTGGAATTCCTCACCATGGTACAATGTGTTTTCTCCCGACTGACAGTACCTTGACTTGATCTAAAGGATTGTTCTTTCTCGGAACCCAACTTTGAGGATTTCGCGCCTTTTGCGCGGGACGAAGTTGCCGAGCGTGGAATCAATCGACCAGCCGCAATGGGAGGACCGATGAAAGAGCGCTTGATGGAGAATGCGAGGATTCAGTTAGCTGATGAGGCTTGTATAGACCGCAAAGATTCTTGACATTAAGTAATAAGTCCAATACACGCACGCGCTTGGCATATGTTATTTCCACTGGCAGAATAAATTGGACGCATTGGGATCGGAAACGACATTCTAAGGGACCCTTCTGGTAGCCTTCAGAGTGGTGCTTGTAGAAAAGTGCGGCTGCGCATGTTAAGATCCAGTTGCGCTCATGTACCCCTAGGAGTGTGGTAAAAGGCCATGCGCAGGTATTCACATACTTGATACAGGTCATCAAAGCTCTAACATGCAAGGCTGAGACCCGAAGATACCATATCATTTCAACCTTTGCCAATCACGCGAATGGTTGTCCAAATCGTGGTTATATGAAAACGGGCACTGTGATGGTCGCGGGTCCGTAAGAAATGTTTCAGTCCGCCCAAGCAGTTTACAATCGGCGCCCGTGGAGAAGGTGGCCTGTCATTGCGAGAGGATGCTTGAGATGGAGTCGCGAAAGAGTAAGCACCAGGGGCAAGCATACGGCGTCACAATAGCGGTGATTATCTGTCGAGTACCGCAACACTGGACGTGGCTTTGTACAAAGATCGATGGATTCGAAAGTGCTTCCTTATCGATAGTAATGGCAGTGAAGATGATTGTTGGCGGTTGTTCGGTGGGTGGCCTGCAGCCCATTGCTCCTTCCTCTACAGTATCTTCAGCGCGGGGACACCGGAAGCTACGGCCAGCCCTCCAGCATAACTAGCGGACGGTGCGAGTATGCCTTGATATGGTCGGAACTCAACAAAACCGTACCATTTAGCTCGACTAGCCCTCGATCCGTGCATTGGTGTGTCGGGATAATGTAACAAGGATGGATAGAATTCATTCGAGTGTCTCAATGAGATCATAGATCGACCGGGCGACGGCCATCCTCCAGGAAGCATGAGACCGTACTCTACTGTCGGTAGTATCTACTCTAGCCCACAGACCCAAGATATCACATCACACACCCTCACCTCGTCTCTCTTCTCCCTCCCCACTCTCCAACACATAGCCCCCAAACTCTCTCGCCGGAACCCCCCTCTCAAACAAAATATCCAACTCCTCAAACGTCCTCCCCCTCGTCTCCGGCAAAAACCCCCAACACCACGCCGCGCAGACAACCGCAATCCCCGCGAACAGAAACCCAACTTTCCCCCTCCAATCGCCCTCATCCTGACTAATCGCATAGGGGATACTAACCGCAAAGATGATGTTCCAAATATGGCAGGACACCGTGGCCAATCCGATCGTCATTCCGCGCAGCTGCACAGACGGGATCTCGGTTAGGATCGTGAAGCATGCAGGGCCGATTGTTATATCGTAGATGAATAAGCAGAGGAGGATGAGGGAGCATTGGGCCCAGATTGGTGCTGTGTTGGTGCTTCCCGCGCGGGCCTGTGGGATTATATCGAGTATCCCAATGAGGAAGAGGAGGAGCGCGATGGCGAGCGTCCCCCAGATGTAGAGTGGGCGGCGGCCAAGTTTCGAGATGAGGGGCCACGCGAGAATGGTGCCGACGAAGCCGGTTGCTGTAAGGCCAACATTCATGGAGAAGGCGTCCGAGGGGTCGAGGCCTGCGCGCTCGAAGAACTGGACTGCATAGTTCACGTAGAGCACTTGACCGGAGAGCGGCTGGATGCTATAGACCATTACGGCGATGATCAGCCGGCGCAGGTCGGGGCCCCGGAAGCAATCGAGGTAGTTGTGGTGTTTCGTCAGCTGCGCTTCGAGGCGGAGAGTATGCTGGATATTCGCGAACGTGGGCGTGATGTCAATCTTGGACGAAGACGAGGTAAATCGCTTTAGCGCCTTTTTCGCCGCGTCGGGGCGCCCTTTGCGCGCGAGCCACCAGGGCGAATTCGGGCAAAAGACAACAAAGACGAGGATGAGCACTGCTGGCGCCCATTGCGAGGCGTAGGGGATGCGGTAGGCCCATTCGGTATCGAGGCTATTTGTCCCCTTGAGCTCGGCCGAGGCGATGAGTTGGCCGACGACGAAGCCCAGATTGACCATTGACCCGGCCACGCCGCGGAGGACGAGCGGGCAGACCTCGCCGATGTAGGCTGAGGCGACGATGGGGTAGAAGGCGATGACGGTGCCGTTGAACAGACAACCCAGGAAGAGGACGACGGGGGTTGTCGCAAAGAACTCCATGAAGATGCACGCGATTGAGAGCACAGAGCAGGCGGCCAGAGTAATCTTTGGCCCGAATCGATCATACACCCAGCCAGAGAAGAGAGCACCGATGACGCCTCCAATGCTGTTGGCATAGTTGAAGGCGCCGTTCCAGGCTGCACTGATCACGTACTCACCGTTGTACTCATAGCCGAATTGCCTCTTGAAGGGGTCCAACGCGACGATGCTGCCGACGAGAGCCCCATCGAAGCCCTTGAGGATGACAGCAATGTTGATCACGACGGACCACAGGACAGCTGGCTTGTACAGCCTGACAGCGTCCCAGAAACCGAGGGCATGCTGTCCCTCGGTGTACAGCTGGGACTGCTCTGCCTGCCAGGCTTCGTCTTCGGTGTAGTCGTCGACGGGCTTGCCCGTGGCACTGGGGGTCTTGTCCAGCTCGGCCGTCATGGTCATGGATGAAGGATGCGGAGTCGTGATGTTGCATTGACAGAATCATGGGGGAGCAGGGGTCAAGTTATAGTCCATCCTTAGCAACGTCTATCCTATGATTAGTCGGCGATAAGTTATCACGAGGATACCCCATGGTTGCCCTCCTGATGATCCCCAAAGCAGCAACTGTAACAGTCCTCGGGACACAGGCCGAGGCGTTGATATGAGAGTATCTTTCACCAATCGGCTTAATTCGTGGCAAAGACACTAAACCGGATGTAGCAAGAATAGCAGTTGAGTTTTGGAGTTGGAGTAAGGATGCGTTGGAGAATGTGGGGATGCAGCCAGCCCATCGGTCCTAACCGCACCAGGCAACTCTTCCAGCGCCTCGCGTTTCTTGTTTCGAGCCACGCTTTGCTCAGCTCTCTTATTTATTCAGCCGAGCGGCGTGGCCTCCGATAAGACTTTCATCCATTATCCGTTCAACCTTCAATCACCAAAACAACATCTACACTCCAAGCAAGATGGCCTCAACCCAGCCAACCCTGATAACCCTGACCGAGACCGAACTCGCCACCTCCAACATCTCCTCACACAACTTGCAAGCAGCCCTCGAAGCCCTGCATCGCGATGGCCTCGTCGTTTTGTCAAACGCCGTTTCCCCATCGCACCTCGACAAGCTGAACAGCCGCATGGTCCCCGAGGCAAAAACCCTCTACGCCCGCTCCAGCACGCACCGCAACTTCGGCGCCAAGACCGGAAACATCCAGCAGGAGCCCGTGCTGGAAAAGGATTTCGTCTTCCGCGACGTCGTCGCCAACCCCTTTGCTCTCCAGGTTGTAGAGTGCATGTTCGGGCCCCGACCGGCGCTCCGCTTCTACAGCGCGAATACGGCGTTCAGGGCCGAGGATCGACAGCCCGTGCACGTCGATGTGAATTTTGATTTCCCGCAAATCCCCTGGGGGTATGCGATCAATATCAACCTCGTCGAGACGACGCCGGAGAATGGGGCCACGGAGGTGTGGTTGGGGAGTCACACGGATACGACCAAGGACGTGCTAGACCCGCAGTTTGCGCACAAGCAGGTGAAGGAGGACCTCCTTGAAGAACGACGGAAGATCGGGCGCGGTGGTGTGCAGCCGGAACGGTTGCCCAAGGGGAGTCTGATTATCCGGGACATGAGGCTTTGGCATGCGGGGATGCCGAATCGCACCGATGAGCCGAGGGTCATGCTTGTCACGATTTTGTTTCCGCATTGGTATCGCAGTGAGCAGAAGATCATGCTGCCGAGGAGTTTGGAGGGGACTGTTAAGGGGTGGGAAGGGGTTGATGCGCAGGTGGAGTGGGTGGAGGAGGGATATGATTATCTGCAGGGGAGGCACGATCATGATTTTTCGTTGCAGCCATAAGTTCAGGTCTTTGGATTTCATGTATATTCGTATCAACATTCTTGAAGAAGAAATATCACACTAGTGCTAAACGAGATACAACATCTCCCCCAACCCCCGAACAACCTCAATACACCCAACGCGACTCATCTCCTCTGCCCCCTCTATACTCCGCTTGTAGTCTTTGCTTAGCCACACCCTCTCCATCAGCTCACACACTTTTTGCAGAGAATGGATCCTCCGTTGCCGGTACATATCGGTCAATCGCTGCTTAACGAACTCGCGGTCCCCCGGCTCCGTGGCTTCACATCCAGCAGTGAATAGCGGCCAGACATGGGCTGATATCAACGGCGACGAAACCGGTACTGAAACCATCGAGTCGATGCAGCGTCGGACCTGGGACAGCGTAAGCGGGTGCGGCGCGCCAATGTCGTAAATGACTCGGTAGAGGTAGATGAGGGCGGCGGAGCGGTGGGCTTCGGTTGTGCAAGCCTGATCAGATGCGGCTGTCGTAGAGTCGGAGATGTCCATTGACTCGAGCTCGGTCTCCACCTCTTGACCTGCGAATGTGAAGTCTGCCAAAGCGATATCTTGACCAGACGAGAAAGATACCTCTTTTCCGGCCTTCAGCTCACTAATCCGTGCCACGGCCTGCAGAACAGTCGGATGATATCCGCGCAATGACTCTAGATCAAGCTGCAGGAAAGGTGCATTCTTGAGACTTGGCCAATAATGGCGAACCAAGGGCTCACTACCGCGCGAAACGGCAGATAGTAAATCGTGGTAGAGAACCTGATTCAATAGGAACCGCGCACATGGAGAGGTCAATGATTGCGGTCCCCCGCGTGCTAGGATTAATTCTTTTGCTCCGATGAGGTGATTTACGTCACCGTCGTTTTGAGGATTAGAGCTGTCGAACTGCTTGCTGATTTCCAGCAGTAGGATCGTGGCGAGCGTCGCGTCGCTGGTGAGGCCTTGGCTCAGCTTCTCTCTGAGCGACGCAATTGCTGTGATCCGGTGATTCTGCGCCATAAGCGCATAATTTTGCGAAGGACCAGTACCACCCTCTTGAGCTGTAAGATGGCTAGCCGCGATCGAAAGCACTGCATGCCTTAGCGGGCGGCTACCATCGCACAGCGACATTGGAGTCAGGTACATCTGAAACGGGTTCGCCTGGTCGACACCGGAAATGCAGAGCAGTGGAGACGTATGCACTGTCCAATGATGGAGGAGCTTATATTGCTCCAAGGTCATATCTGAGGGACGGAGTGAGAGGCCGCGTGCTGGATTAGGCGGGGGAGACTGAGACTGGTTCCCAGTTGAACGGCGTCGTATGCTGGAACCCGGTGACTGCCATCTGAGCCTCAGGCCATATCCCTTGCAGTGGATATGTAGTCGGGTGCAACGCCCGCACTCGGGCTTTATCTCGTCGCATTTGTAGCCTGCTTCTCGACACGTCCAGCATCCCGTTCTGGTTCTCGTGCGTTTGGCCCGTTGCGGAGATCTAGGGGGTCTGTTGTTGTCCATTACTGACGCAGTCCATGCTTCGCAGACTGGAAAGTGCTTGAGGATGTCAAGGAAACGGAGTTTTAACCGGAGATCGCCGGTAACTTGGCTCGTTATCTTAGGATCCTAGACCGGAGGATGTTGGTCACGTGGCGCACCGAACTGCGGGGGTTTTGGAGACATCTCCGACGTCAAGACGGAATAGGTTAGATCTAGACGGTACTAGGTATCTTGCCAGTGGGTACTACGTGGTAAAATCCGCTCCAATCATACCAGTGTGTTATTCACCTGAGGGTCCCCGACTCCGCGCATCAAAACGTCAAAGAATGCACTATCCACCCCTTGAAATACCCAGTCATCTAGCGGAGCAGCAGCATCAGGGAACATCTGATCATTAGTAAAGTACTCCCCGGGCAGAGCCTGGTCGACAAGTGGTGCATCTAGTGCAGGCGGAATGGCAGCTGCTGGCTGTCCAGCCGCGTCCCCAGTTACCGGTACATTGGCCGCCAGATCTCCAGGCCGATAGTCCGGGTTCATGGGGCTCTTGACCTCGATCGATCCGATCCCTCCTATAGTCACACCGCGATGCAGGCCTCGATGCTGTTCTGTCTCGGCAGCAGTCATAGGGCCGACCCCTTCTGGGCCGATCCTAATGGCCCCGAGATACGGCACCTTGATCATAAGAAAGCAGTCCTCACCACAGGCGCCGGTCTTGGGGCCCCGTGCAGCATTTGCTTCAATTGCCAGCAAGTCCCGCAGCATGCCCACGCATCGCGCGGCGAGGACGTCCTCGTGCAGTTCGGACATGGATTTCATACATTCCAGCGCCTGTTCTACTGTCGCCCGGTCACCGAACCGCTGATGGACCAGGGCATTGCCCGTCGCGTTTTGCGTGTGGCTTACGAGATGTGCGAGGATCAGGGTCATGCCGGCAATCAAGGCGATGAAATCGCCCATCCGAGAGCAGGTCGTGATCGGATTGAAGGTCTTGAATGCGATTTGACGATTCAGGATCTCCCGGCTGGCGTTGACACAAGCGATTCGGGAGTAGAGCACGCCCGGCGAATCAGAGGAGCAGAGCATGTATGGCAGGTGGAGCTGATTGACGAGGCTGTAGTAAGTCATCTGGTCCCAGGCTCGTCGGCTTTCCCAGAATGCCGCCGCAGAGTCTACTTGCAAGCCGGAGAACGACAATGGGCGCCAGAATGAGGAGGGCAGTTGCTGCGTCAGGTGTATTAGCTCTTGGTCGATCTCACGAGTCAACTTTTGAGCGCGCTCCCCGATGGGTGCCTGGTTTCGTTCGAGGATCCGGGCTGTTACGCGCATAGAGAGGGTGGCAAGGTCGTAAATTCCGTCAGGCTTGGTTGCGTCTGGGTCTGTGGAGGCAGTAGTACTAGTACTTGTCGGTAGACCTAGTAGCAGCGAGCAAACACGCTCTGTTGAAACAATGGATTTCCACATAACAACGGGATCCAAGTCATTGTGCTCGTTGATCAGCTTGTATCGATAGTGACCGGGTTGATGCAGGCCCAACAGCTGTGCTACCATGACAGCACGACGGAAGGTCAGCCAAGCACGCCTCATGTTTCCACTATCGATGTGATACAACCCCTCAAGAATAATGTTTTCGAGCCCTTCCAGCGTTCCAAGTAGGGTGTCAATCGTAGTGACCATCTGTATTGCAGAATTTGCGAGGTCTTCCATGATGGCATGGTGATGCTTGCTGAGGCCAGGGAACACAGCAGTCGGAGACAGGTGCTGCAGCGCTGAGGCGAAGAGCAACATTTGCCGCGCCAACAAGACCGGGTGAGACTCGGGATCAAGTAGTGTCGACCTTGCGATTGTTTCTGTCGGCAGTTCATTTGGCGTCTCGCCGCAAGACTTGAAGTTGGACTGATAACATAACGACGAGGTTTTGCTAATCTTTCCAAGGAGTATCTCGATATCATGTCGCGGAGGAAGAGCGCGGAGAAGAGTTTGAGTGATTGTTGTGAGTGCGGTTGATTCTGCAACGGTGACGTGAGCCGATGCTGGTGTTGCCGACAACACTGGCGTCAGAAGGTGATTTGGCGTTTTATGGAGTGATGCGCTGTAGCTGCTATTCCCACCGAACTGCTTTCGTTAGCAGAGTGAGAATTATACAGGCGACTGTAAACTAACCACTGAACTATCGTCGAAGGATGCGAGCGTGATATCGCCGACCGACTGGTCAAAAGCAGCCTCCGGCTCAACGTGTCTGTCCAGTCCCTCGACAGTTCCCTGACTGGCGCATTTGGTACCTCGACGATGACACGTAATGCAAATAGGATCTTTCGATGACGCAAACGTGCATCTCACCTTCCTTCGACGACATTCGCGACAACTGTGTGTTCCTTTCCGCACCTTTCTCGGCCTCCCGTCCTGGTCCGAGCCGTCGTTCATCGTCGACGAGACGCGTCGCGAATCTCACCACAGGGTATTGTAGCTAGGCACAAACATGCGAGGTAATCGACGCCCGCAAGCAGCTGAACTCGGGGGCAGGAACGAACACGCATCCTGTGCAGGATTCCTGATTCGACATTCCGAGCCGGAGATGTTGAGCGTTGGAAGGCCGCCAAGCCTCGGACGAATCCGCTGACAAATGGGCCGAGTTTTCGGCCGAATTTCGAAGACCAAGCTCCACTGTGCAGATTTGCCCAATCAAACGGGATAACGATGGTCCAGCGTCGGATGTTGATATTTCGCCCCGCGCAGCAGCCAGATGCACTTCCATCTCGTCCGAAGCCAACGCTTCAGCTCACATTCACTCACAAACGAAGCGCCAGACGGGCTGTGACGATACTTCGACATGATGCACACCGTTATGATACACGGCGCCACTGGCCAGACCGGTCGTGAGATCGTGGATGGGCTGATTGAAGACGGCAGCTTCGTACGTCATTCCACTCACTGTTGTAATGCACACTCACCTCGGACAGACCATCGCTGCTCTCGTACGTCCGCAGTCATTGGAGAAGCCTGCGACCCAGGCCCTCAAGCAGCGATCAGTCAAATTAGTCGTCGGTGATCTTGAGAGCCAACCCGTCGAGGAGATTGCCGCGCTCCTCGATGGATACCAAACGGTCATCAGCGCGGTCGCGGCCGGCGCGCAGCTGGACCAGATCAAACTGGTCGACGCTGCGGCAAAGGCAGGGACCAAGAGGTTTATTCCCTGTGGATTCACCACGATATCGCCTCCAGGTGGAGTGATGAGTCTGCTTCGTGGAGACAAGGAACAAGTCCACGAGAGGATCTGGTACCACCATCTTCCATACACGATCATTGATTCAGGGTACTGGTACCAGATATCGTTTCCCAGACTGCCATCAGGCAAGGTCGACTATGCGGCATTGGGCGAGAGCAACACGTTTGTCGGCAACGGCGATGCCCCAAACCTGTTGATCGATAAGAGGGACATTGGGAGACTGACAGCCAGGATCATCAAGGATGACCGGACTCTGAATAAACGTGTCTTTCTCCACGCCGAGGTGCTCACACAGCACGACATTTGGACCATCATCGAGGGAAAAAGCGGCGAGAAGGTTGAGACGAGGCACGTGAGTGACGATTGCTGAAGTACCTCAGGGTGAGATTGATACTAATGTTTCTAGGCTTCGGACGATGAGATGCTCGCAAAAATGCACGCCGCAAGGGCCAATCTCAGGGCTAACCAATCGGATACCATGGCACGAGTCGCAGTGTGGAGCGCCGAGTATGATGTGTCCAAGTACGTCAGGAGAGACAATACTCCTGAAAACGCGCGGTATCTGGGATACCTCGACACGAAGGAGCTGTATCCTGACTTCAGGCCAATTACTTTCACGGCCTTCATTGACGAGCTGTTGGCGGGCAAGGCGCAGAAGCTGTATCAGGACCAATTTGAGTTTTTGCGCAAGTAAGAATCGTGAATGAGTGTTTGCTCGTGCGCCAAATCCTGAAGAGGCTCTCTCTCTAGCTTTAGGAAGGCTTCGTAACGAGAGCTATCGAGATGATCAACATGTTTGCAATAATTTGAAGCGTAGATCCGAAAGTTACGTAGACAGAAGACCCATGGTGTGCGGAAGGTCCGACGTGCGAGGTGGGATGCGCTTTTTCTATTGGCAGCGGAGCACAGTGCGGGCAGCAACGACCCCTTTGCTGGTGATTTAAGCTCGCATCAGCGGCTCTGTATGTCTAGCTTAAGATTGGCAAAGCCTGGCGGGCTCACCCGTGCGAGCAGTCTCGGACGAGCCACTTTGATCATAGCCCTCGGACGAATCCTCTCGCAATAGCCTCATCCTTCGGACTCGGCGACCAGCGGCCCAACGGCCTGTATGAGTCTATTCAGCTCGCTGTCCGTTCGGATATGAGTGTTTACTAATGACCTCCTGGGGGATTCGTCCGAAACCGCCAGCTATATCTTTTGCAACTCTCACGATCCCGTAAGCTATTCATCCCGAGCAACATAGCCTGTCATTTCGTGCACGCTTCCCACGTACCAGAAACCTGCAAGATGACAATAGGCGGAGAAAAAGTACCGGGAACGGAAGAAACTACACCTACGGCCAGTACAATGGCAGCAATTTCGGAATCCGATGAGACAGAGGTTGGCAAGGCCGAGACCGTCACTCCTCCCCCCGAAGAGTACATCCACGGCTTCCGTTTGGTTGTTCTCACAGTGTCACTCATGCTCGGCATGTTTCTGGTGGCTCTTGATAATGTGAGTGGCATTTCTCATGGCTTAAATGGGGCTGACCCAGTAGACCATTCTTGGTACCGCCATCCCAAGAATCACCGATGAGTTCCAAGACCTGAACAAGGTGTCTTGGTACGGAGCTGCATATTTCATGACATTCGGAGGTGAGTCTATGCTTGCTGCGTAGTCAATGCCCACTAACCTGCTAGGATTCCAATCCACCTGGGGAAAGCTGTACAAGTACTTCCCTCTGAAACTATGGAACCTCATCGGAATCTTCATATTCGAGCTGGGAAGCCTCATCTGCGCGGTCGCTCAGGATCCCGTCACGTTGATCGTCGGCCGTGCGATTGCAGGCGTGGGCGCGGCCGGTGTCGTCGTTGGCGTGTTTACAATCATTGGTTTGATCTCGTCGCCTGAAACGCGTCCGCAGCTGTTGGGATTCACTGGTGCGACGTATGGTATCGCTGCGGTCATGGGCCCGCTTATCGGCGGTGCATTCACGGACCATGTCTCGTGGCGCTGGGTAGGATGGTTCTTGCTGGATTACAGACGTGTACTGACGTCTCCTAGTGCTTTTACATCAACTTACCCATTGGCGGCATCGCGGCTGTGGTGATTCTGTTCTTCTTCAAGACCCCAGCGAGTGCAAAACCAGCGCACGCTACATTCAAGGAGAAGCTCCTGCAACTGGACTTGGTCGGCGCCGCTCTCATGATGGGATTAATCATTGCCTTTATGCTAGCCCTGCAGTACGGCGGCCAGACACACTCCTGGAGGAGTAGCGAAGTCATCGGTCTGCTCGTCGGGTTCGTTCTCATCACCCTGGCCTTTGTCGCATGGGAGCTCTATCAAAAAGACCGTGCTATGATCGTTGCTCGTCTGGTAAGTCCACGGCCCACGGTCCACGGTCCGCTTGTCGTGCTTTTTTCATTGAACTGACCAACAAATTCCAGCTAGCGAGACGCTCCATCTGGGTCGGCGCCACGTTCATGTTCTTCTTCGGCGGCGCCTACTTTACCCTCCTCTACTACCTGCCCATCTACTTCCAGAGCGTACACAATGCGAGCCCCATCGGCTCCGGAGTACGCATGCTCGCCCTCATCATCCCACTGACATTCGCCGCCATAGCTCAAGGCTTCGCACTATCCAAAATTGGGATCGTGCCGTTGTTCTGGATTGTCGGTGGCGCTCTGGGGACAATCGGATCTGGCCTCTTCTATACCATGGACACTGAGACTTCGACGGGCAAGTGGATCGGATACCAGATTATTGTGGGATTCACCGTCGGCGGGACATTTCAAGTCGCGCTTTCGAATGCGCAGGTTCATAGTTCTCCGGAGGACATGTCGCAGGCCTCGGCTATTGTGAACGGTATGTCCTTCAGAATCCCCCCTCCCCCGCCCGGGCTTTCTCTAACATCTCCGTGGGCAGTCTTCCTAAGTATTGGCGGCTCTTTCTTCCTGTCAGCCGCCCAATGCGCCTTCAACAACGAACTGATAAAAGCCCTTTCCGCAACCCTCCCCGAAATCAACCCCGAAATCGCTCTGGGCACAGGCGCGACTCAGATCCGCGAGGCGTTCACGGAGACCCAGGTGCCGATTGTCATTGACGCGTACGTCGACAGCCTTCAGGCTGTCTTTGCGATTATGGTTGCGGCTTTTGGGGTCGCGACGCTTACAGGGTTTCTGGGCAGCTGGAAGAGGATTAATGGCGATAAGCTCAAGGAGGCGGCTGGTGGTGCGGTGTGAGTGTAGGTAGTCGGTTTAGTTAGCTGGGTAGGAGATGGATAGCCTTGCCCAATGCTAGGCACTCTTGGCCGTGGGTTCGTTGTATGCGTTGGGGGCTTGCTATCTCATGGTACTATTTAGAACAGGGTATGATAGAGGGAAGATACTCGGGATGGGGCGAAGACTGCGCCATATAGATTGCTCTAGATCATTTTAATAATACAAAGAAAACAATTCCTCACGTAAATGCGACAAGTGTCTGAGAATCCATAAAACCCACTCTGGACGACCAAGCCAGGCCATTATCATCGTCCATTGACGGTCCTCCCAGACGCGAGCAAACTCTCCGCGTTCTTATGATAGACCATCTCCCTCAATTCCTCCCCCAAGTCGTACGCGTCGAGGTCCTCCCTGAAGGCTGTAATAGCATTAGGCCGCGCATATGGGAAATCGGATCCTAAACATGTCATGTCAGTGTACCCTCTCACTCGGCAAAAGAGAACCGAAGAAAAAAAAAAGAGGATAGAGTAGCAAACCATAAACAATCCGGCCACTCGGCACAAGCCGTAAGAGCATATCCAAAACAGCCGGGTCGCTCGAAAGCGCAAGATCATAGTAGAATGATCGAAAATCCTCGCGCACCTCCGGCCCCGTCTTCCCAAATCCACCCACTCTGGTCCCCTCGGACGCAGACGCATCACTAATCGTCGCAACCCTCGAGATCAGATACGGGAGGGATCCACCTGCGTGCGAGAGGATGCGCTTAACATTCGGGAAGCGACGCGTTGTATTCGACGCGATGAGATCCACCGCCGTCCGTGTTGTTTCGTGCGGGTAGTCGATTAGCGGTTGTGGGAGGGAAGGGGAGATCGCGGTTGCGTTGACTTGGTGCGTTGGGTGGATGAAGACGGTTGCCGTGCGGGCGTCGAGGGCGGACCAGATGGGGTCAAAGACGGAGTGGCCCAGGTAATGGGTTCCGTCGCCGTACCGGGTGAAGAGGGTCACGCCGTCTGCTTTGAGTACATTGAGCGCGTATTCAATCTCAGCAAGGGCGCCCTCGGTGTCCAGTAGTGATGGCAGAGACGCGAAGAAGCCGAAGGAGTCGGGGTACTCTTCTCGAAGCGCTGCGGCGTATTCGTTGATCTCTCGAGCCAGAGCACGCCCGCCGTCGATATCTGGGACAGTGGGGACACCGGGCGCCGTGACGGAGAGAATCGCCTTGCGGACACCGTTGGCGGCCATGTTCTCGAGCGAGGATTGTGGTGTCCAGGGCGGAGTCGGCAAACCGACGGGGTCACCGCCTGCGCGCTCGACCGCTGGATACCAGGTTAGTCTTTGTCTTTTGTCTTTTGATTGTCTTTGAGAAGTTTGGGGGGTGGCGGGCGGACCGGCTCTGTAGCTTTCCGGGATGAAATGGTGGTGTGTGTCGATTTTGTACGGCAGTTCCTGCCCTTGCGCGCGGACGCTGGCCAGCGCGGCGAAGGCGGTTAGCATAGTGGTAGCTTTTATTGTAAATACCTTGGTCGACATCGGACTGGGGACGGGCCAGAGCAATCTTAGCAGAGAAGAGGGACATGAAGGACTCTTATAGTGAGATGTCACAGCCATCGTACCTGCACCGTAGTCACATTCTTGTCGGGGGCGAACTGCATAGCAGATCATTCTCATCACACCTGAGTGCACCTATCAAAGTCTAGTCCTAATTGATGCCGTCTTGAATGCAATGTCTCGGCCAGAATTCAATTTCTTGCTGGAATTATGGATATATCTATCTAGGCTTGACTCAAGTCTCTATGCAAGGGATGCTGTTCGCAGTGCCTCTATAAAATGATTGTCGATAAAACGTGGGGATTCTGAGGTAAGGGGAGCCTGACGTATAACCTGAATGGTATCCGCCGGTCGAAGCGACGAGCGGTGTGGCACCCGTACATAGGCCATACGTGTTGGGTAACTATTGTTGCAGGGATACGTCTGAGACTTTCTTGGACCTAGTAGGTTCCTAGTAGATGAAGCTTTTTTCTATCCTAGACCAGCATAGCGAGGGTTTATATCATTGCTTTAGCATTGCACGAGGATCTAGTAAGATATGGGTGCAGTTGGTGATGTCCATGTAGCTATCTCAGTGAGCTATGAGTGAACAAAGCCTCGATTGCGACCCCCCGTCATTGCCTTGGGGCCATTATAGCCGGATTGCCAAGGTCTGATATATTTACTTCAAAGGTATAGAGGACTTGGCATAGCCAGGACACGGCTTTATCCGTCCAGTCAACCCCGCATATGACCTGAGATGGGATCTCATCCTAGCTGAGGCGTAGACGGCGTTATCATCGACCGATTTGTCCAAAGCATTCCGGAATCGCTTGACATGATGGTAAGGCTACCGTCCCTACAGGAACAGAATCATCTAACCGTCGGAGGCCGAAACACCCCCAACCCCATCTGAACTGCAGCTGCACACCTGACAGCCCACTTTTCCGTTCCCTGAAAGCCCTCCCACAAGATCCATCCGGTCGCGGGTTTTCGCAGCTCGCGATTAACGGCGTCTGGCGAGCCGTCGATGATGACCGGAACACGGTCGGGTACTACGTCCTGAATCCCGAGGAAATCGCCAAAGCTCTCTCAACCTCTCCCCCGGATCTGCGTCAGAGGTTCGATCAGGACCTGGAGGGCGTCGTCGGGCGAAGTGTGGCGGATCTCGCGCTGCTTATGAATCCGAGTGAGGATTTGTTGCGACAGGCTGGTAAGCATAACAGGGCTATTGAGGCTGCGGTTGCTCAGGTTGAGAAGCGGTTGGCAGATTGTTCGCGCGGCGGTTCAGGCCGAGGGTAGGCTTGTCTACTCGAGAATAAGTAGTTGGCGCTTATGGGATTAGAAATACCCGATTCGTCTTTGTACGAAATCCCTACACGCTGACTTTAGATTTAAAGCTCACTATGGCCAGCATGTAAACGCGAGTTGCTCGGCTCGGACATAAGCGGCTTGCCATGAGACATGCAACTACTTTGGAAGGCGCAAAGAACTGTTCTGGGAAGAAGCGATGGGTATCATTGGTGTATCGAAATTGGAACGAGCGGTCGCGCCCGCACTTGCCTTGCGTGGGAAGCGGTCGCCATTAGGCAGGAACGATGTGGAGCCCGGGGAGCAAAGGAAAGCGCCCTGCACCCCTGCCAGCGGCCAGGCGTCCAGCCATCATCCTCCTTGAGATACGCCCTTCCAACGCCATGACGTGATCCTCCAGGGGCCAGACGTCTCTGCGCTGACGTGAGCGGACGGATGATGATCGTGTTGCCCTCTGAGGGGGATGCTGACGTGGGCCATCGTTTGGCCATGGACACCTGAAAACCGAGGACGCCGGGAGTAGCATCATGGTGATTTGGAGCTGAATGTCGATCGTGCAATATAAGACGGAGGTTTCCCTAGATCATCCGAAAATGCTCTTTTCACATCCCAACGTCCTACCAAACACTTTCTGACTACCCCACAAGGTCAAGATCAATCGCGAATCCCGCCCAAGATGTCGCTAACTGTACAACAGCCAATCTCATAATGTCCGCCTTTAGCCCCGTCCCCGCATATTCAATCGGCGCCCTCCTCCTGGGCATAGGAGCGCACACTTTTATCCGGCCGTCTGCAGAATATGAGCGCTTCGGTCTCCCTCGCGAGTCGTCGCCGCTGATGTATCTCAAGGCCGTCCGAGAGTCGACATACGGCCTCGCTCTGATCGCCCTGCAGCATCAGGGCCACGATGCTGCGCTCACCACTGTCGCGGCCGTGGTCTCGCTCGCGGGTCTTGTGGATGGGTTCGTGATACGGGCGCATGGTGGAGCGCTTAGGGGGAAGGCGTTTCGGCATTGGGGCTTTTTCGTGGTTGTTGCCGGGTGGGCGTGGTGGCGGGCATCGTTTGCTTGAGGTGGGATTTGGTGAAGGGGCAGGTGATGCATTCTTTGATGAAGGGGAGATGTGAGCGTTTAGGGAAGGAATGACCTTGTTACCTTCTGTGAAGTTTTTCAAAAGGCTCGGCGCTGGTGCTGGTGTTTACCTCAGCGTCGCATTCACTGTTTATCTTTCCATCATAGAAAACTCTTCCTCTATTTACTTCTCTCCTGCCTTTCTTTCTGCTTGTCTTCCATCGCCTTTTGCAGCTCTTTGTTTCGAGCTTCTCTTGCAACCTTTCCTTTCGTTGGCCATCGCCTATCCTCAACGCCCACCAGGATGGAGGTCAGCTCTCCAACCGCGAAGCTGGCAGCAGCCGTCCTCGAAGGCTGTACCAACGTGTTACATGCTGCCTACACCAACCGCAACCCTGGGGATGACAATGGTCTACAGTTCCTGCTCGATGATGTCCGGTATTGCGCTCTCTATCACCCCCTCTTCTCTTTCACTAGACTAACAACGCCAGCAAACTGGCGGCCGTGGTGAGCGCCACAGCCCCCTTCTGGGGCCTCAACCCGACCGTTCGCATCTCAGACCACTTCATCAACGTTTTGAAAGCCATGCGCCAGATCTTCATCGATTCCGCCACAAGCCTTGGACGCCTTGAGGTCATGCTCGTCTGTCAACGCGAGGAGCCCTGGCCGCTCGGCTGCAAACCCTTTGACTTCAAGCTCCTTCGCTGGAAGATTCAGCTATTCACTGAGGCGATTAGTTTCGCGAAAAGGTACGTCGCCGTCTCAATGCGCCTTTTTTTTTTTGTCCTGCTCTAACCCTTGAATCGCAATAGACGCAACAACGACGGATACCTCGATATGGAAAAGCTGCGAACCGACGCAGGCTGGTTTCAGGTGCAGGCTGATCACGTTGACGATCGCTGTGAAACCGGAGAGAGACTGTTGTTTGAAATTGTCGACACAGATGACCATCTGCGTCATATTGAGACTCTCGTCGCGGCCGCCAAGAGGTACACCGCAGCACTCGCGAGGATAGAGCTCTTCGACCGTCACAACAACTCTGTGGTGGACTTTGCCAAGCGGGATACTACTTCTGAGGAGATACCCATTCGTGGAGGACCTGCTCAAGCTGAGGCGTCCGACGACGAAGGCACTGAGAGTGTCGCTGCTGAGACATCTATTCAGGATGCATCCCCCTTTGTCGACGCTCTAGCCGATGACTATCTGAATGATGTTGCCGATCCGAGCGGACCACTTGAGAGTGTGGCTGCTGGAAACGTACCCTATGAGGGTTTACCTACTGTTCACGAAGCTCCTGAAGAGTCTGTCTTGGAAGACGTAACTGCTCAGAAGACATCGCTTGAGGGCGCAACTCCTTCCAACCCACCTTCTGCAAACGCTTCTATGATCAACACCGCCATGCAGAGTGAGCCAACTCAGAACCTCGGTGCTCGTACTACTGCAATACACGATGTACTTGCTTCTAGCGGACCCTCTGCAGATGCTCCCATGAGAAACGCCACCGCAAAGAGCGTATTGGCTCGGGGTGTTGATGTTGATAATGTCTCTGCACCAGATTTTTCTCATTCTAGCGAACCTCGTGAAGATGCTTCATTGAATGATGCAGCCACTCAGGACGCACCGGTTGAACCTATTGTTGCTGAGGAATCCACAACGCCCAAGGTGTCTCCTCCTAGCAGCCCATCTGCAAAGCCTTCTTTTATCGCACTCCCCCACGCTGTATCTTCTACTGATGCGTCGACTGGAGCGGTATGCACTCCGCAGGCACTCACTCCTGCCAGCTGCGGTCAAGACACAATGCCACAGGTTCTGGCTCCTGGAACTCAGGCTATCAGCGACATATCTGCCCCGGATGGAGCTGCTCATGTCAAGGCAGACGTCCCTACAGTTCCTCTGGACTTTCGCGATGCAAAATCGTTCAAAACTGAAGATGAACGGGTGGCATATATTCGGGGGCTGGTCAAGAAAGGCGAATACACAGGTCCCGACGAGTTGCTGGATGAAACGATCCGGTCCTTCTCACTGAGCGTCGCAGCTAAGATGATTGTCGCGAGGATCCTCTACGCGGCCGGAAAGCCAGATAGCACCATCAAACTTCTGCAACTGCCCCTTTACGAATACCCAACAGACCCTGTTGTCCGCTCATCGGTCCAGCACCTCCTCGCAAAGGCCTACTTTGCAGTCGGCAACTTCGATCGCGCGATTGACAATTGCAAGATTAGTCACGCGACTAGGAGGAAGACTCTCGGCCACTATCATCCGCTGTTCCTAGAGTCCACGGAGCTATTGGTTCACCTCTTTCGTGCGACTAGACGCACTGCAGAGGCCGAGGACTTGAGACGGCTACATTTCTCGCCTGCCCAGATGGAATTCCTCGGTCTTATTGATGACTTGGAGTTGGCGTTTAAAACCTCCAAAGAGGCTGCCCTCGCTTGTATGACCGACCTGCTCGCCACCAAAGTTGACGATCGCACACCTGCCACCAGCCTCCTGGAGCGGCTCGGAGACTTTACGACCTGGGAATTCGAAGCGGTGGTCCTCGGATTTGACACCCAGCTGTCATTGTTAACCATTCTTGCGGAGATGGGAGATTACTATAAGTTACCTCTCCTCGCAATTCGGGGTAACATCCATCTGAACCTCTCGCCAAATCGCACTCGACCCATACTCGACACTCTTCTGTGGAAGGCTGCCATGGCCAACAATGCGATCAGATTCCAGATGCTCCTCGACATTGGTGGCGACATCGAAGCAGACCACAACTGCCTGGAGGACTGGAACACTGTCGGCGCCGAGTTCAACTCCATGACCCCGCTCCACATTGCCGCCAGGTCCGGTCACATTGACGCCGTGAGGATCCTACTCAAGGGTGGTGCCAACAAAGAAGCGCGCGACTCGGACAACAATACCCCGCTGATGCTCGCTGATAAGAATCGCTATGCGGATACCGTTGAGCTTCTCTTGGAACATGGGGCGACTATTGATTAGGTAGATGCGTTCCATTCTCACCGGGCCTTAGCTTGCCTTGGTATTGTACTGTATCGATTCAGGGCCTTTCGTGTATCTCCAGCTATTGCGGAGACTAAATAGGTTTCGGAATGACAGATACATTTGTCGCCAGAAATGGGATAAGGGTTCTTTGTAAAACCTTGTCGAATCACTATCACTTCCTGATTCAAAAACCATCATATGTAGCCCTAGTTCTCCTCCCACGACTGCAGCCCCGGACTCATTTCCTAAGGTACCCAGCAAGACGAGTCGTCGAACCATGAGGATCCCCCGGATCTGTTAGACGCCGAGCACATGCGTACACAGCCGCTATCACCAGAGGTCAGTCATCTTTGCAGCCGAGCTCACAGGGTCTATGATGGCCATGCTCGTCCCTTGCCCCGGAGATGGTGGTGATAATGCTCTTTTGCTCTTCGAGCGAGAGCGAGGCGTGTGGCCCGGTCTCCGGGGGCATCCAGGGTGCGCTTGTGGGACTAGACTACGTCGTTGGCTTCTATCTTCAGTGATTAGAAAGGACCTCGTCACCATCTGGAGATTGCGAGCGGGCTGTAGTTCTTCGTCCATGGTGCAGAGGCGGATGGGACCGCAACTGAGTATCTACAGGGGAAAACCATACGAGGTGACAGAGCTGATGAAGATATCAAGTATTGGTTCATGAGGTATAGAGTGGACTGGTGGGATTCAGTAGTAAGGAGGAGCACGCATGTAGATATAATTGTTGCTCTGTCTCCTCTTTTGTGAAGTCGCCCATACTGAGGCTAGCGGTGGGCGGCCGAAGCTGATTATTCTGGTGTCCAATGTTATCACATCTGTCTACGAGAAGTAGAGACCGAGAAAATGAATGCGTTTTGAAGAGCTGCGTAAGACTATCGTTTCTTCTGATCTAGGTCATATTTCTCCTCATATCATTAGTCGCATTTCCTCAAAAGCCAGCGGCGATATGGTGAATCGTCACGCATGCCAGAAATCGCATGATGCGGAGAATCTTTATGTGGCGTGGCTACCACGTTTATCAACCAGCGCGTCCTTGCAAACGATCAATGAGTGTACGGTAATTATTAGACCAATATGTTCAACAGGATTTGTCTCATCGTTCCATCTGACGACCCCGATGGTAGTCTGGCATCACCCACTTGGCCATCCATTCCGACTGCAGGATCTCTTCAACGGGGTCGTTCTTTTGGACGAAATGCCAACATTCGGCGCATTAGATCCACAATCGCCATGGTTTCCTCCAGGCCAAACTCTCCCATCCTCCGTTTCCGTCGGTATTTCTGTATCCCTTCTTCAAACCCCCGCTCGATCGGTGGCCATAGCTCTCGACCCGGAGTAGGACAGCCTTCATCATCGAAGAATTTCGCACGATCCTCCCATTGCTCGAACCATTCCTTTGGCATTGGACCCAACACTTCGATTCGTTGTGAAATTGCCTCGTCTGGTGTGACGAACTCCATGCTAAAGATCGCCTTCATGCCGAGAATCTCCCAGATTGCGAGTGCTAAGCTCCAGACATCGGCCGAGTATGACAGAGGTTTCTCTGGCTCGAATCTAGCTTCCGGTGGACGCAAGGGGTGTGCTATGTGAGACTCCTTCCCGAGCCGAGTTTGTAGGTCGGGAGCGAATGCTTCGCCAAAGTCGCTGAGAAGGATCTGTGCGTCAGATAGTTTCAGTTTCTCTGCGGGCTTTCCGAGGAAGATTGGTATCACGGCGTTCGCTGGGACGTTCGGAGGAAGTGGCTTGCCGTTTTGCTCCGTGACTGGGATAGATTGTGGTTCGCCGTATTCTTCGTAGAACTCTTCGACGGACAGGTGGTCGAAGCTTGATGGGAGTTTGAGGAGGACGTTGCGGAGATGGATATCTGTAGCAAAGTTAGCCGTCGCCGACGAGCTCAATCGGAGTAGGTGGGTACTGACCTCCATGAGCATATCCTTGTGAGTGCATATAGGCAATAGCCAAGGTTAGCCTGCCACATAGCGCGCGCGCGACCTCAAGGGGAAATAGCCGACTGTACGAAATCTCTCGGAGGTCACATCGAGCTGCTGGCATCGCGTAACACTGATGGGTTCCGTTGGGACCATGCAGTTGAAACTCGTCGAAGAGTATGGGCATAAAACTGCGACTGTGGAGGGCGAGTGAAGATGGTGATGGGCTGGAAAGTTTTCGAAGAATGTCTGTCTCTTGCAAAGGTGCATCTGCTATTCCAATCTTCAGGGCGAGATAGCGGCGATCAATACTGTCCCAGGCCAGCCAAACCGTGGAATAGCCTCCAAATCCGAGCTTGTCGACGATGCGGTACTTGGAACGAAGAACATCACCGATCATGACTGGGTGGTAGCCTCCCGGCGAGTATCTCTCAAGGTTCTCGGCGCCATCAATCCAATCGTACTGAAAAGGAGGGGACTCCGCGAGCGCTGCAGAGAATGACATGCTCCTGGTGTTGACGAAGCCCAGTCCCGCCGCTGCGAGGACCATGCGAACACGAGGTTCCGTGAAGGCCAGACCGAGGTGTTGTGGGAGAAGGAAAGCAAGGACACGCAAATCTTTGCTCCGATAATCTGAGACAGACCCCAACGAGAAGCTGAGAAACGTGACATCGGAAGCAGCGTCTCTGGTGGTTGTTGTTCCTGTGTTACTCTGAAACTTGCCCTTAATACTAACCTGTCGGGTGCCCGCAAATATCCATGTCGTCTACAAACGGACCGAGACCCATCAAAAAGCATACAGGGATATAAGGTAAATTTGAGGATATTGAGAGCGCTGCGAACGAAAATATCAAGTATAGTATCAAACTTTCGGTTACGTTGTCCAGGGTTGGAGACACTGAAATGCGGGGTCAAAATCGCGTCACGCCATATTTCCGAGCTGATTTCCTCGGCTTCACCTCACCCGTTGCAATCATCAACTTACCTCTGATCCTCATTGTCGCCATGTCCGATACCTTCTCCTCCATCCCGATCATTGATTGGCGGCGACTCCAGGACCCCGAGACTCGGGCTGAAACTCTGGACCAGCTTCGCGAGGCGATCTTCGTCGTCGGTTTTCTGTACCTGACTAACCATGGACTCGAGGTACGGACATCGCTGTCAATCGAGCCTCGCCTAACTGATATAGAACCTTATCAAACGAACACATGCGCGACTCCCCGAGTTGTTCGACCTTCCGACTGAGGTCAAGGAAAAGTGCAACATGATCAACTCTCCCTCGTTTGTGGGGTATACACGTCTCGGCGCGGAGACAACCGCTTTCAAGACGGATCTGCGCGAGGTATGTCCACATCCCCCTGTTGAAACATGAAACTAACAAGGAACGAACAGCAATATGACTTTGGCACACCAGGGATGAAGAAGTGGACAGGGACCCAGGACATCTGGTGGCGCCTGGAAGGCGAAAGCCAATACCCGGACGTGCCAGGGGTGAAAGAGTTGGTTGAAGAGTACATTTCCGAGTCAGCAAAACTATCCAAGGAATTCATGCGCTTTGTTTCGGAGAGCCTGTCGCTACCACCAGATACGTTCGCCTCGTTTAAAGGGAACATGGACCGGCTGAAATTCGTCAAGTACCCGCAATCACCACCAAACTCTCAGGGGGTCGGACCGCATAAAGACTCGGCGGGCTTGTTCACGTTCCTGTCTCAGGACGATACTGGCGGCTTGCAGGTCCTGAACAAGCATGGCGAATGGATCGATGCGCCGCCGATTGAGGGCAGTCTTGTCATCAATATCCAGCAAGGGCTGGAGGCTATCACGGGAGGAATATGTGCGGCGACTACCCATCGCGTCATTGTACGTCTTTTCCCTCTGAGATACGGTCTGTGCCTAACGGTGCAGGCGCCTACCACACGGACACGATATAGCATCCCATTCTTCCTCGGTGTCCGGATGGACCTCACTCTCGAAGAACTCCGCGAATCAGCTGCTCATATCGTAGCCCGGATTCCTGTATCGGACGATCGGAAGAAGCGTGCGGTCGATGTACCGAGTGAGTTTCTTTCTCCGCTATACTCATGTGTAAGTAGCAAGCATCAGATGATGGGTTGATTATTGCTGACCATCCAGTTCGGCGAGGCCTACCTTCGAAATCGAATCATCAGCCATCCGGATGTGGGACAGAAGTGGTATCCGGAACTATATGAGAGGTACACACAGCAGGCACTATCTTAGTCGCTCACTGTGTCAAATGGCGGTTGTTTAAATTATCTTGCTCGATCATCGCACTGTTAGGTAGGTAGTGTAGGATGAGCGCCACGGCGGCCTAGTCCCGGCTTTGATTGGCCATTAGCAATCGAATGCACCCGTTCAAGAGCTATTTTAAGAAAATTCCTGCAGTTGATACGCTCCATTTATCATTTTCAGCTAAGCGCATTACGAGCAGTTTGTCCTGAAATGCGCCTCGGGCCAGCCAACGGGGCAGCCAACGGGGCAGTCCCACACTCCCCGCACACATAAAGGTCTATCGAATCCCGCCTCACCCTTCCAGCCTGCTTCATTTACCTTTTATGTACAGGAATTTTATTTCCATGCGCGCATTATGTCCAATAGCACTGGCAAAATTCTGGAACTCTCCTGCGACGACAGCCCACTCTCGGTTACAGGAAGCATCATCGGCATCTTGACTCTGGCATACGCAATCTTAGCCACTATTGTATTTCTCACCACGTCGCTGGCTGGGGCCTCGCAGGAGAAGAGGCAGTTCGCAGCACGACTGGAGGGCGAGATCAAATCGCTCGAGCTTCTGATCGAACTGCTGCGGAACTCTTCACATCTGGTTCCCAACGACAACGGCGTTGCACGAAGGCTCGACCGTCGGCTGGATCAAGCGACCAAGACCATTCAAGACGTCATGCGGCAAGTGTTTGGGGACGTGTTCGAATGGGAAAGTCCCCATAGGCGCCACTTTCGCTCGCGTGCCCGGTTTCTGAGCGAAAAGGAAAACCTCAGTCAGCATTTTGACCACATTGTATCGCACCGCACGCAGCTCGAGGCGGTGTTTCAGGGGCTTATGGCAAGGTACTCACTGACTGTGTCCCCTAATATGAGGCTGGGGAGACGTGATTTGACCAGGACACTTGATTAATATCTACTTCCAGCATGGTCATCGCCGAGGCGGGCACCTCCTTCAGAGGTCCCACGGCAGTCTTACAATATTACTTTAGGAAGGCACGAGGGTGTGCTGCTCCGCTCCTTCCAGAAGAATTTACTGTACATTCCCTATAAACTTGCCATCTCACTGTAATGCTTGAAATTATCATTACGCCCCCGGCCAGGGGGCCGGGGGGTGGGGCGCGGGTTAAACGCAACAGTTGGGTATGGCGAAGGTTATAATAAGAGAATACGAGTTCCGCCGAGGATCATGCTAATTATGTAACAGGTTTCAGAGGGATTTCCGGTGAAAACCACAATGAGAATACACAAAGAACAACCGATGAGGGCAGAGCAAGGGGTACAAGAATGACAATGATAATGGCCAATTACACCCACTTCTCCTAAGCTGCTTCGTGCCGCTTATACTCTCTCTGCACAACATCCAACCCGACCATTTTCTTCATCGAACTATCCAAAACCCCGACCGGCAAGTGCGAAGCCAGCCTCACAATTGTCGAGAACCTGCCTCGCCAGACCCAATGCGGCGGGTTCTGCTTGCTCAGGTCGCCGACAACCTGGCTCGCCCACTCATCCGGGTCAGTAGCGTTCTTAGCAGTCTCCGCCCCAGACATGAACTCCTCAACGGTCTCCTTGGCAACATTGTACAGCGAAGTCTCGGGCAGCACGGGCACTGGGGCATTCTCGAAAAATCTCGAACGCACCGAGCCAGTCATCAGGTTGACCACTCTAACACCGAATGGTTCGAGCTCCAGCCTCAGCGTCTCGGTCAGGCTCGCCGCCGCTGCTTTGGAGGCGCTGTATGCGCCGGAGAAGGGGACTGTGCCGGCCGTCACCGATCCTGCCGATGTATGGTTCACCAGCAGCGCCCCGCATTCATGCGTGGACTTCATGAGGAGCGGCAGGAATGCACGGGTGACATTGAGGATCGACCAAACGTTCAAGTCAAATAGTTCTCGGGCCTTGGCGACATCGACATCCATCAGCGGCATCGAGTATGCGGCACCGGCGTTATTCAAGAGCGCATCCAGACAGCCACCGGTCATCTCTCGAACCTGCGCGACGCATTTTTGGATAGACTCGTCGGAGAGAGTATCGAGAAGTACTGTTTCAATGCCTGCATCCCTCACTAGGGTGAGCTTTGATAGAGTTCGAGCTGATGCAAAGACGCGCCATCCGGCTTTGTGGAATTGGAGGGCGAGAGCGGAGCCCAGAGTGCCGTCAGAACAGCCAGTGATGAGGATAGTTCGCTTGGACGACATGATTGTTGTTATTACATCAGGTAAGGGGACGATTGAGTACAAAACACGGGGGAGTCGAGGGACCTTAAGAGAGGAGCCAGAGAAGATCTGTGTAACACTGTGTAACTCTCAGACTGCCCCCTGTACCGTCGGGACAAGTCGTTCACCCGAAACCCGACTGCAAGTTGGCCATTAGCACTAGCATCGTAAGCGTATAATCTGGCATGGCCCGTTGTTCTATTGGTGACTCAAGTTCCTAACTACCTACGAAGGGAGCACGGTAGCTTGCCTGGCCAGGAACTAATCTTTCTTCAACAAAGAAACTCGGCCCCAGACCCCAGATATGCTGTCAGCACTATTGCAGTCCCTTGGTTGTCCAGGCGTTGCTGGAAGAGTTAGCTAGTTCAGGGTCCTATCAGAAGCGAATCGGCTGTTATATAGTGGTGAGCCGAATAGATAAACTCAGTGTCAATGGTCCTGCGTCGGGTTTCTCGGAGGCTCCCTATGTTCGTGCATATTGAAATCCTCTCGCTGGGCATTTCTTAGTCTGCTTTTCGATATCAAGGACCGTAAAAATTAGCGAGAGCTGGCCCGACATCAATGCTTGTCCAACATTAGTCTCGGTCTCTCATCTCAGGAAAAGCAGCAACGCGTCTTTCTTGGCTATAGTGCATATCTTGAGGTATTATAACTAATAACCGCAATCGCGGCATGTTTACTGGGTAGATTCTCCTCGTATGAGTCGGTGAGCCTAAAGTACTTCATACTTATCCCTCCCGGAAAGTCACAATCGGCGTCGAAGAATCCCCCTCGAGTACTTAAGGGTGCATCTTGTACGTGGCTCGGAGAACAATGCTGAAATCCGTTCCTGCACCACGGACGACGCAGAGCAGATCTGGATGGGGATCAAGGGACATGTCAAGATCTTCTGGGCTTGCTTTAACAATGCGAGTAGAAATTATTGCTGCGAGCACTAGTCCATGGATTCCCTGCTGAGTGCTGAGTGGGGCAGGCTAGTTGGAAACAGGTGCGTTGACGCTATCCCACCCAAGGCGAGCCCAATCAAGCTAGGGCAAGAGCAAGTCCGCCGCTTCATTGCCTCAGTATAAGTGAATTTTGAATCACTCAGGACGTGGCAAAGCTTACGGATCTAGATCATGGATTAATAGATCAGGTCAAGACAGTCATAGATAGTGACCCCTGATCCCAAAGTGAGAGTCCGTCGGGATGAAGCGTAGATTCACGAGATTTGGTTGAAAGATCGTGTTCTCAAAGTCAGATTGGCTGGTATAGAGCCCTAAGTCCCAGGCAATAGCCGTGGATCGCTGCCCATGCCGCTGTGTCGGAGGAGACAAGGACCAGACGGCCGGGGATTGGATCAGGGGCTCTCTTTATCTTCAGAACACGCCCCATGGAGGAGTAGGAGAGCATTCAAGAGGAAATTCACTTGGATTGACTCCTGGTACCCAGTGTCTGGGTGAAAGATCACGCGTACTTTGAACATACCTGCGTTGAGAATTACAACATCGAGTCTATCGAGTTTCATCGCCCTTCCAGCCAATTTCTAGAAGGAGGCGATGACTGCGAATCGAGGTTCCAGATGCCAATTTCGCACGTCGCGGGGCTTCCATTTTGCGAGCGGTACTGGGACTGGACTAACGCGTCTCGCGCCGCTTCACCTTTCCGGGTATCGCGGACTGCGTGGATGAGGTTGCTCAACCCTAGTTCTAGCAGTTGGCGTGCGGTCTCGAGGCCGATTCCAGTGCTTGAGCCGGTTACCATGGCAGTTTTTCCCAAGAGGTCTGTTTCCAAGCAGTGTAGCAGATGCGGGGTGACGAAGAGTTCGTAGTAGGAGTACTGTGCTTTGCTGGCCTCCTCGTTAGGGGTGACTGTGACCTAAGGACCCAAGATCGTGTCGTCGTGCAAAGAAAGTTTAGTTAGATAGAAGGAACACCCGAGCTTTCGTAGTCGTCGTGGTAGCCTTATCTCACGATATATATAACTTCACGTCAGTGAATCACATGAGCCAGGTGGAGTCTAGAGGTCCAGGTGAATTAGGAGAAAGATGTTGCTGCTGTTCTACCTGCAAATGCCTTTCTAGGTCTTTTGATGTTGTAGTTATGGATCACTCTAGGGGGGTTGGTTCATGCTACACGTGGAGCCGACATCTGGAAAAGGTTTGTTACATATTGGGATGCCTGAGGCTACTAATCACGCACTGTAAGGGAAGGAGCAAAAGACCAACCGTTAACCTCCATAAGAACTTTCATCCTCGCTCTGACCTTTCCATCCTTTCAACAAACCTGTTACCCATGACTTTATCACTGTAGGATAGCTTCAAATGAATTCAGCTTACCCTGCATCCTCATGCGTCTTGTATAGTACCTGGTCCCTTCGATCGCTTTGCTCGCGTTGAACCTTGTCAGGAATAAGGTACAGGATCATCCTGACGATGTCGTATTTGTGGTCTAGCTAATAGCTTGCTATTAGTACAGCACTACGCTATCTTGTGAACAGTGCACTTTTTCTTATTCGCAGCAGTCTCGATGTCAGGGGTGCCTGAGGCGGAAAATTGAAATCCCGGGGAGCAAATGACGTACCTGGCGTTCCCGATCCGAACTCTCCACAACTGATGCAAGTGCAGCCAATCAGAGTGTTTTGAAAAACTAATGCCAAGCCACAGCCGGGCAATGCCGCTTTGCCGCGACGGCACCTGCGCGCGGCAACGCCATGCGATCCGTTCCTTGTATGAGGAGAGCCTCACATAGACTGAAGCCTTTGAGCACAGACGGCCGACATATGTAGATCAGTTCATATTGATCGTCTCTGCCCCCCTGGTTTGTCCTACCAAGATCCCATGGGGGAAAGGCAGCGGTCAACTCCGGCCAGCCATGCGGCCTACCTGCCCTATGAATCATGGAGTGGGACGGTGGAGCATTGGAGCACAAGCCATCGTCGCCAAAAGCTTCATGGTTGGCCGATTCTGTCTCCATCCAATTTGCCCATCGTGACTTCTTGGCATAAAATTTTTATGGCGCGAGATTCCGAACGTATTTGTTGCGCGCGTGTCCCTCGTCAGATGAGAGAATTTCAGTGTGACTTTCTGTTTCACGGTTTACCTTCTTCGCCGCTGTCATTTCGACTGTCGCCGCCTACAACCGTTGCGTTGCGTTTCGATAGTTCCACAAAAGAGATCCTTGGTTCCCTCAGTCTGACTACATCGAGCTTTCAAGTAGCAGCAGCAAGTAGTTGCCCCAGCGTCACCGACTATACGGTGCCCCGTTGTCCCACGCATCTTCGAGACCGATTGCCATACCGACACTGATAACGGATTGTGCCTTTGCGACCATTTCCTTGCGACAATATTCCTTGCGACTGTCCATTGCAGCCATTGACCATTGCGACAACGGACCATTCCATCGCGGTACTGACCCTGACTGACCTCACCGGAAATCGACCTAACCCTAGCGATCTGGATCCCACGCGCCACCCGTCGGAACTATAGATCCCCACGCAAAATGCCCAACTGGAAGGACCTATTAACGAACCGCGACCGCGACTTCTACCCAGAGGTCGTGGTCCCCCTCGCCCGCGACTCCACGTCCGCCGTCAACGAGGCCAAGAACGAGGCGAATGCCCAGGAAAAGGGCGTGGCCGGAGCTCTAACGCTGGAATCCCTGCGCGCAGAAATCGAAGCCGGTGTTGTGGTTTCCGGTCATGACTCTGTCTATGACCGTACGTTTAAAGCTAGCTGAATCATGGATTGCTCTACGGCTTCCCGGCTACAACCTGTCCCTTTCCTTCTTTAGACTCGAGAGTGGGTTACTTATTTTCTGTTATAGGGAAAGCAAAGATTATCAACAGAGCTATCCAGGATATTGGCATGGGCCGTTACCAATGGGGCCTGTTTGTCCTCTGTGGCTTTGGCTGGATTGCTGACAAGTAAGAGCGCCCCACCCCCACTACACGCTATACATATATCTCCGATGAATCAGTGTAGAACAATATATACTGACTATGACTTTAGCCTTTGGCTCCAGGTATGCAGAATTTGGGTATGGCGCCTACCATTCTCCGCTAACACATCCTTTAGGGCGTCGCTCTCACACTCACTCCGCTCTCCATGGAGTTTGGTGTCACAGAGTCCGAGTCCCGATTTGCGACGTGTGCGCTTTTCGTTGGTTTGATTGTGGGTGCGACTTTCTGGGGTATTGCCTCTGATATCATCGGACGACGACCGGCATTCAACTGCACGCTTTTCCTCTGTGGTGCCTTTGGTCTTGCTGCGGGTGGGGGGCCTAACTGGGTTGGGTGAGTACCATTTACCTCGCACTCCGTGGTGCTTGACGAGTCACAGTCGTGGCTGACGGTATCAGAACCTGCGCTCTGTACGCGTGCCTTGGCCTTGGTGTTGGCGGAAACTTGCCTGTTGATGCAGCCGTCTTTCTCGAGTGTCTTCCTCCCGACTCGGCTGACTTACTGAGTGGTCTGGCAACATGGTGGTCCGTGGGAACACTCATTTCCAGGTAAGGCGATTGCCAGCTTATCTATGTTTGCATTTCTCGGTGGTGAGTGCGTTCTGACAGACACAGTATGCTCGCCTGGGCCTTCATCCCCAACTTCTCCTGTGAAGACTCTGCAACCTGCACGCGCGCCGACAACTGGGGCTGGCGCTATCTCGTCCTCTCCCTCGGCGCGGTGACATTCACCATGTGGATCTGCCGCTTCTTCTTCTTCACATACTTTGAGTCCCCCAAGTTTCTTGTCTCCCGGGGCCGCGATGACGAGGCCGTTGCTGCCGTGCAGGGGATTGCGCGCAAGAACAGGACGACCACTTGGTTGACCGTCGAGGTTCTTAACGAGGTTGGCGGATTACCCGCGGAGGATATCGCACATGCCAAGGAGACGTCTGCCTTCAGCGCTGTCAGGCGCTCGCTTCAGCGGTTCTCGCTGCAGCAGATTAAGCCGTTGTTTGCAACGAAGAAGCTTGGGTTGTCGAGTACGTCCGCCTCTCCTCCCTCCATACTCACCGAGATGCTCGGTACTAACAAAAATGTACAGCCGTTCTGATCTGGTTCTGCTGGACCTGCATCGGCATGGGCTACACGCTCTTCAACGCCTTCCTCCCGCAATACCTCGGCGCAAACTCCTCAACCTACGAAACCTACCGCAACTACGCCATCACCGCCGTCTGCGGAATCCCCGGCCCCATCCTGGCCTGGTACCTCGTCGGCGTCCCCTACATCGGTCGCAAGGGCACAATGGCCATCTCCACCGCGATAACCGCCATCCTCCTCTTCTGCTTCACGGCCTCCAAGGACCCAAACGTGCAACTCGTCTGCTCAGCCCTCGAATCCTTCTTCCAGATGATGATGTATGGAGTGCTGTACGCGTATACGCCCGAGGTCTTCCCGGCGCCGAATCGCGGGACAGCGAGTGGGGTTGCGAGTTGCCTTAATCGCATTGCGGGCCTCATGGCGCCGATTATTGGTATTTATGCGAGTAGTAATGCGCTTGCGCCGATTTATGCGTCTGGTGGGTTGCTGCTTGCCGCGTTTGTGGCGATGGTGTTTTTGCCGATTGAGACGCGGGGGAAGCAGACTATGTGAGTTGGAGGTTGGATACTTTACCCTACTGCTGTGGTCACGGGAGGTATGGTGGAGGCGTAGAGTGGACGAAAAGACATTCCGAATCCTACTATGATATGGGGACGTTGGAATAGGCGGCGGCCTTTACGATTATGCATTGAAACGATCATGTTGTACATTATATATCCCATATACTCCAGCCAGTAAAGAAGGATATACCTACATTGTGCATGTACCACGCATATACAAGACGCGACTTATAATGGCCATGCTTCGCAAAGGCAAGTGCTGATTCCCGTCGTCGATATGATAGGGTCTTGGATGGGAGGTGCTACGACTGTCACATCCCCTTTGATCACATACACCCCCGTCTGGCTCGACCTAGTACAAGAATGCCTTGTCCAATAGAAGTAGCGTAGAAGAGACTTGCTGATTCTGCGCTAGTTTCTTCATGGCCACACCAAGGCAGCCACAATCTGGCTTAAAGTGAATAAGGCTATAGAAAGCACAGTATCACGTGGGTGCTAGCCCCAAGAACCAAGGGCAATAGTCCTGACAGAATCGACACAGGTAAGAACAAACAGACCAGAATTCACTTCGTGCAACGCGATCCTGTCCTGTTATAGATACGTACGTACAAGTAGAATACGTGCATGGAATATTCCGCTAACCGACATTTGTCGCATTAGCTCACAGCAGCTCGAGCCTTTCTTGAAATACCCTCTTGGATATCCCTTTTATCCAGCCCAACCAGCTTCTTCACAGTCCCATCAAAAACCTTCCTCCAACCCACTGCATTCAGAAACCAAATCAGCCACGCATTCGTGCCTTTCCACAGATACTCCCCCTTTCCATATCCTGGAGATTTGATAAGGATATCCTTGACAACCTGCGAGGCGAACTCCTCTGGACCCATGCTGTCCTTTGCATGGTTACGGCTTCGCTCCTTCACCTTGTCCGAAAGATCACTGTATATACTTTCGGAACCAAAGCAGATATCATCTGGAGACATGAGCCGTGTGCGGACCTCGCCCATGAATAGCGTAACGACCTTGATGCCCAGCGGCTCAAGTTCGATCCGGAGCGTATCGCTGTACGACGCCACGGCGGCTTTGGAGGCATTATACGCGGCGGAAAATGGGAAGGGGAGCCGGGCAAGGATCGAGGCGGTATTGATGACCACCGGTGGTACTGAATTCTGGGCCGAGCTCGAGGCGATGAGAAGCGGCGCGAATGCGGAAACCATATCGAAGAGCCCGTGGACGTTTGTGTCGAACATGGTGCGGATGCGCGCGGCGTCGGCTTCGATTGCTGGGGCTTCGTACACTAGGTACAAGGACATGTTGGTTAGCAGGGTGAGCTTGGTTAACTGCCTGCGATATTATTGAAAGGATACACCCCACCGAGGTTAATACATACTCATGCCGGCATTATTGAACAGCAGGTCTAGTTTCCCCCCTGTTCGCGTAACGATTTCCTTCTTTAGTGCTTGGATGCTGTCTGCACTTGTAACATCGAGTGGAAACGTCTCTATACCCTTTCCCTCGAGACTCGATAGAGACTTGGTTGACCGGGCAGTTGCAAATACGCGCAGACCGTGGGCAGCAAATTCGAGGGCGAGAGCGTGGCCCACTCCACCTGGTGAGCAACTGGTATTGAGATGGTGGTCAGCTTATGTCCATTGGGCCTCGCGGAGTAGAGTCGGAGGGATAGTTTGAAGATTACGAACCCTGTAATGAGAATTGATCGCTTCGAAGACGAGGGCATATTTTGTGTTTATAGACTGAGTACGGAGCTGGAGTTTGAAATTAGTTGATGATTGTTGTATAGACGTTTCATATCGAATGTGCTTGGCGGCCAGTGGGCGCACGATAAATAAGCAGCAGTAGCAAGGGTCGATGGTCAGCTGCAACAATATTGCCACTGGTCTGAGACTTGAACCGTCCCAAGGGACGCTCCTGTTATCATCCAGTCATTGATTGGTGCAACCAACGGAAATCATAGTTCAAGCGGGAAGATTATTACGGAGGCCTATCAGGACAAATCTGCAAAAACGAAATTTTGGTGTTTACCGCCTTACAATCCGCCCTTCTTAATAACATAAATAAATCTCCTAAAATTATTCCTTACTTCTTCGTACACCACCTTTATCAAGATGCCTCGTCTAATAATTAATCTTGAGCCATATCGTGACTAGATATTAAATCTTTACTAAACTAGCTCATCTATAAGCTCCATTATTGAGATTCTCGCAAACTAATATAACCTTGAAATTAGTGAGCGTATAATTCGGGCTCGCCTAAGTAGATAGGGTGTTAAAAAGTAGAATTATATAGTAATAAAGGACCTTGCTCTTTATGCTCGCATTAAGGTTCTTATGTATTAGGTTAGCCTTAATAAGGTAGAAATCATAGATATCCTTTAGCGTGAAGGCTTCCAACTCTCCCCTCGTATATATAAATATATATGACATAAACTAGGACTCCTATAACATATAACTAACCTAATTCTTAAGTAATAATAGGTTAAGAAGGTCCTTGAAAAGCTTTATATAGAGATTTTAAATGGTTAGCTTAAGGGCTATAGTTAACGAATGCTTTATTACTATTTTCAAAGTAATAGGTTTCAAATTACAAGGTATATTTAATAATATATATGTAATTACATATATACTAAGTCCCCTTTAGAGATTAGCTATATTTAATATATCAAGAGCTTGCACTAGAGGCTATATAAAGACGACTACATGACCTTTAACGCTATTAAGGAGCATATATTGTACCTGGGCTAAATTTTATCTAGTTAATTAATAGCTACCTAAAGCTAGCGCTGTATAGTATTAAGATATATGGCGCTATTAATATATATTCTCGCTATATTATATAGGTCTATGTTAGTATATCTACTTGCATGGCTATAAGTGTACTTCGATAGTTCTTAGATATACTTAAGGTTACTTAATAATAGCCTTGCTTCGTATAATCTAATCAAGGCATAGAGACTATCCTACTTACTAAAATATAACATAGACTTTAATAATCCCTTCACCCTAAGATTACAATTCAGGAGTGCTATTTATATGGTATAAGTACTATAAATTAATAAATTAAAGCATGGTGGCTTTAATTAACCCATGGGCTCCTCTTTTAATATTAGGTAAGCACTAGTAGATCTACTTTGTATAATATACTAATAAGATATTAGGCTTATTTCCAAGGCCTTTTAGTAGAGGGAAACTACTTAAATAGTAATCTCTCTAACTAAATTATATTATATGTAGTTTATATACCTCTCCTCTAGATTTAGATTAACTCCTTTGTACAGACATGGAATATCTATATAATTTAAAAGTAAAATAATCGCCCACACCTTATACTATCAGAAGATAGATGCCTAAGGCATATATATTAATGCCTAAATTATTAGGTATCTATATTCACATGAAAATAAGGAAAGGTCTAGATTGATCTTCTTATAAATATGGAAGATCTGGACTGATCTCCTTATAAATCAATAAGAATTCTATAATTCTATAGAATTCTACTAATACATATTAAAAGTATAAAAGCAAGTGATTCTTTCATGTATCTAGTTGAAAACTAGAGATCCTAAAATATCAAAAATCAAAGTCCACATTCAGTGGCAAAACCCACCTTTATTATATATACTATTAAAACCGCCACCCTATACCTAATTAGGTATAGTTAAGGCTAGGTATATATAATACATATTTCTTTATATGACCTCCACCATCCAACAGATATTAATAAATATCTCCCTCTAGAGACTTATAATTAGACTCGTACCTAATTATTAGAGCTAGGATTTAATCCTAAAGACCCTCTAAAGGATGCTAGGGACCATGCCTTTATCCTATTCTATATAATATATCTCTAGCTTCGTGCCCAGACCCAGGCCTATATTTAACAAGGAGTTTAACTATATCTTATACTATGTTAGCTACTAACTAGTGCTTTTGATTGGGTTCCACAGGCTCGTACGGCTAGGGAAGATAGAATTAAGGAGGTTGAAGTAGAGTATAATTAGGAAGAATAGGATAGACTAAGGAATTTAGTGTTATATAAAGAAAATTCTTAACTACTACTTTAGAATTATAATATTCCTATCTCCAAGATTTTAGCAAAAAAAAATAAAACTATAAAAACTTCTTATATAATGCTATTATCACGATTCTGCCTATAAACTAGCCATGAACATGGTAATATATTATCATGTACCTCATGCCTTGCTACTACCTCATGTATAATTACTATACACCCATGAATTGCTTCACCAAGCCCCATACAAAGCCATGAGATCCTAATTATTAATCTCTACTTATCTACTCCCTTAAGTCCTTTAGTAGTAAATTAAGTCTTTGCCCCTCTATAGCCTATACTATCTCTAGCTCGATCCCTGACTCGTACATAGTTAAATACCTGATTCTCCTAGCTTAATCGTATGGCGGAGATCTACTGGAATGATTTAATTACTTAAATAAATGAAAAACTTCTTGAGAGGACACCAGGGACATGGATTAAGCTAGAGTTTTAGGTTCTATATTAGAAGTGGATAGATAGTATTTTAAAGCCTATATCCTATACTAAAGTTTATATATTTAAGCTTTAAGCTTAATCTATTTATATATATATATATACTAACCTAATTATCTTTAGGCACTATAGGAATAATTATATATCCTTGCTCTATCTACTTGTATAATGACTTTATTTTGGCCTGTCTCCTTACTAAGTATAAGGTTAATATATTTAAGATTAAGCTATCTAATAAGCTCTCTCTTACCTATACTATTAAGTAAAACCTTATACTAATCTATCTACCTTAATCGTCTAATATCCTATAAATAACCCAAGATATATTGGCTCTGTATAAGGCATATACTAAGAAGGATAAATAGCTTACTATCTACGTTATTATTAAACGTACGATAGTAGAGGATACTTGCTAATAAAACAAAGAGCCCGAGAGTCCAAAGAAAAAGGAGGTTAAGACTAAGGTAAAGCCTAAAGTAAAGAAGCAACCTACTATATAATAGCCTATATTAGAGCCTAGGGTATAGCTAAAGATTAAGCAAGAGCCTCAGGCTAAGCTAATACTAGGCGTATAAATAGTGACTAAAAAGTGATTATTCTTAGTAGCTCTTAAAGAAGAGCTAAATAAGTAGCTAAAGAAGGAGCTAAAGATTAAAGAGGAAGAGAAGGATATAAATATCTAATCTACTCCTCTTAAGAAGAAGGATAGGGTTACTTATTATATAAGAAAGTATTATATTATTTAACTAGAGGATATTAAGCGCTCTATAGAGTTTAGGATCCTAATCCTAGCTAAGTATAAAGATTTAAACTAGGAGATGGCTCGTATGGCGAGCTTTAACACTTAACTATTAACTATCTACAAGCTTCAACACTTGATCATCAGAGGAATTAATGGCTCGTACAGAGGGCTTTAATGCTTGACCATTAACTATCTACGAGCTTCAACGCTCGATTATTAGAGGAATTAATGGCTCGTACAGAGGGCTTTAATGCTTGACTATTAACTATCTACAAGCTTCAACGCTCGATTATTAGAGGAATTAATGGCTCGTATGGAGGGCTTTAATGCTTGACTATTAACTATCTACAAGCTTTAACGCTTGATCGTTAGAGGAATTAATGGCTTGTATAGAGGGCTTTAACGCTTGACTATTAACTATCTACGAGCTTCAACGCTCGATTATTAGAGGAATTAATGGCTTATATAGAGGGCTTTAATACTTACTTAAATTACTTTTAAACTTGTTTTACTTTGTACCTAAAGAGAAAGTAAATGAACTTCTTCACAGCTATATACATGGCTTAGTAAGGTGGCTTGCCTTTAGTATTCTATTACTAATTTTCTGTCACTAATTCACCCATGACTAAGTAATAATATAAAGTAGAAGCCCTTTTAGAACTTCTTACCTTTTATCTTACTTTTCTTCTACATCTTCCTTATTATTAACACTACCATTATCATTACCATAGCGTATGAGCTTATCCTACCTCTAATGCCTTCTCTACCTTTTAAAGCCTCTGCTAACCTATTTTCATACGAAACGAGCAATTCCCCATGGGTTTTAAGCGTCTTGTACAAAGCCTATAGTCTTTGTTTAAATATAAATACTATTAACGTGCCTACTAATCGCCCCATGAGCCTAGTGGAGCTAGAGATGCTTTTTATTCGCCTATACGCTAGTACTCTAGTGAATTAGGACCCCGTCCTCCCTATCTAGGGTCATCTTCTTGTAGAGTACGTGAAAAATAATGTATAGAGGCGCTTGCTAGACCTTCTAGGTCGTGGTGTGGCTTTTACCCCTAGTAGGGTTAATACTTATTAGATCCATAGTAAGAGAGACTCGTACATTAACGCCTTGCTTATCTAGTCGAGGGGGATAGTCTATGCTTGGCCTTGTATATTCTGCTAGGAACATGTAGGTCAGACTATCTTCCCTAAATATTACTAGGTTCTAGGCTTCTTCGAGGGCTGCTGCGCTAACTATAAATAGCTAGATAAGGCACTCTAGTGCTCCCTTCAAGGTCAGGCTAGTGGTCATGTATAACCTATAATTAGTGGTCAACCTAGGGGGATTTAAGGACACCGTCCTAGTCTAATTAACTTAGACCTAGAGGAGGGCGATAGTAAGGAGAATCTAATTAACTTAGATCTAGATAAGGGTGAAGAGGGCAATCTAATTATCCTCTAAGATACGTACTTTATTTTATTCTGTCTTTGCTTTTCAATGAATCAAACTAGCTTAGTAAGTATAATTAGGTACGTGGATTTCTTTTCGCCTAGTTGTATGGGCCCTGTGTATAACACTCAAGCGAGACTTGTACCTCTATGTTGGTGCTCGAGACAAGTAACCATTTAGTGAAACTAAGCAAGTCATTTGTGTACGTAATCAGCTAGTTCTAATGAAGTTTTGCTGGCAGAATCCTAGCGCGAAACACCAAAATTTCGTTCGTAGATTATTCATCTGATTTGAACCTCGGATGCGGAGGGTTAATTGCTCCGTACCCACCAGCCCTTTTATAACATCGAAACCCCCCGAGGAGGGTTTCGAGGAGGCTTCAGAGGCATCCCATTATTTCAATCTCAGTCTCCCCTACCCAGAACATGACGGCCTACGCACCGGTCCATCCATCCCAGAGGCGTGTCGCTTGTGAGCTCTGCAGGAGACACAAGTCGAAATGTCAACGTATCCACCGACACGACTCCAAGTGTTCACGCTGTATGATCCTTGGCAAAGAGTGTATTACCGGGCAGCAGAAGAAAGTCGGGAGGCCGAAGCATGTGGCCAGTCCTGCCCGTGGTGCGCCCAGGGAGACTGGTTCCATCTCCAGGCCTGCCGCAAACGCGGCGGTGCGAAGGAAAGCGCCCGATCGGCATAGCCAAGAGGATTGCTTTTTTCGTCCTGAACAGGCCGAAGACTTGGGAGATGTACAATACAATCTAGACCCACCCCCGGTCGCCATGGCAGCAGCAGAGGGTTATTCCGTCCGGCCGATATGGTCAAATCCAGGGATGGAAACAATGCAGCGGACACAGCTGATCCCGAATATTGCCTTTGATGATGACGAGTTTCCCATGGCCGGGATCGACTCTAGCAGCAACTGGAGAGCCTCAGATAATGACCCTCCCAACCCGGCTGGCTATCGCATCTATGGCGCGTCGCCTACACTGGAGATGGCAGGGCATGAAAGTTCACAAGGCGACATCGCAAGCACAGACGCCATGACAAAACTCTCCCAGATCAACCTAGACTTGCACATCCGGATCGCAGCCGCCGAGAAGTGCCGCACGATGGTAGACTTGAATACCCTTTTATACCCACAAGGCCCGCTCTTCATTGGAGACTATACCCTGGCCGAGTTCATCCTCAAGACCTCGGAGGACTTTTCGCAGATACTGACGCGTCTCCGGATCGCGCACATTGCGCCCCCTCTGACCATGGGCGATTCTCCAAGCTTCTCCGCGAAACCCCTGCCTGCCCCTCTTGCATTGACTATTACGAGTATCTTCGCCCAACTAATCTCCCTCCATGAGCTGGTCCTCGACCACCTCATCACCCGAATCGAGCGACTCTCCACTGACCCGCTTACGCCCATCCGAACCGTCAAATTCAAAGGGCTTCTGCAACCAGATAAACCCTGCGCCCAGGGTACGGTCTTCTCCAACGCCATTGTGGCCCTACTAGAGGAAATGGAGGGTGCATTGGGCATCAACGACACGGGCGAGCCTGGTGGGATGTGTCTACTGTCGGCGAGACAGGCGGACGTGCTGCGGAGTGAATTGGAGGGTCGAGTAGGGATTACTTCTCCGGCTGGAGGTGAAGCCATGAGGCTCGCCGACGTGAAACAGCTTTTTCGAAAAGTGGCTACTGTTCTTTGCGAGTTTTCTTTGCGGGAATGATGTGAAGGGCGAGGGTGGTCGCCAGGCTAGCGTTGGCGGATGACTGCCGTTCATTTTCCAGATACCCAATTGATCCTCACTTCATGTGCAGTTAATCTCACGTCTGAAAATATGATAATTTCCCACCTTGGGGACCAAGCCTTGTCTGCGTCTCGTAAAGGCGATACGAGCACAGACATGGTCTGCAGAGCAGAGGGATGCCAGTCCCCGCTACCTTGAACGATTCGGCACTATTCCGAGGCTAGCTTGCAAGGCTGGGGGTTGTGTAAATTAAGTTGATGCTATGTGAGGGAAAGCTCAGACCATTTCCATCGGACTAGCTCATGTGGAGGAACCCGTGGGCGTTCTAGACTCCATTACCCTGAATAATACGTGAACAGCACGTGGAGCGCCCATGTTTACTCGGCCTCGGAAGAGGCAAATGGTAGCGCGAGAGGAGATGTCAACGATTGAAACCCGATCCAAGCTTCAGCCGACGCTGTCATCGGGCCGGAAAGGGACTCGGATGGACCCTGGAACCCTCCGTCGGAGCGGGCCCAAGTTCACGCGGATCCCATCTTCAAGGAGCGATCACTAATCATTCCACTTGATTATGCAAGGGACCAAGAACGTGGTCCACTTTACTCGAATACCACCAATCAGCGCCATCCGGAGGGTTTCAACTTTGTGGTTGGCAAACAAGGTTAAACTTTTTAGTTCCGACTCAGGAGGGTTTCGTTAGCGCGTAGCCAAGGTATAATCAAGCATGGAGCCAGAGGCAAGCTTGTCCCGCCAGGATCCCCCTTGAGCGTATCTTATAAATCGCAGAATGAGTCCCATCGGGCGCATTTTGTAGTTTCCCATATTCATTCACACTCTCCGGTCCGCAAAATGAGCTCCAACTCAACAATCGTGGACGCAGAGTCCACCATCGCCGACGAAACCTCGCACTCGGACGAGGGAGCGGACGAAAAAGCAACTCGCGATGCGAGACCGACGTGGCACATGGAATCCGAAGTGCGTCTAATGAAGGATCGCGACGAAAAAGGGGGCGAGAAACCCAGGAAGCTGGGTGTGACATGGAACAACCTGACGGTCAAAGGCATCGGCAGAGACGCCAATTTCAATGAGAATGTGCTCTCCCAGTTTGCTGGCCCCTTCCACAAGAACGGCAAAGGAGCGCAGATGAAAACGATTATTGAAGACTCGCATGGGTGTGTCAAGCCTGGGGAGATGTTGCTTGTCCTCGGACGACCCGGGGCGGGCTGCACGACATTGCTGAGCGTGCTCGCCAACAATCGACTGGGCTACGAAGAGATCACCGGAGACGTCTTCTACGGAAGCATGTCTGCCGAAGAAGCGAAACGGTATCGTGGTCAAATCATCATGAACACCGAAGAGGAGGTCTTCTTTCCGACCCTGAGTGTCGAGGACACGATCGCTTTCGCCGCCCGCATGAAGGTCCCATACCACCTGCCCCCGGGATTCCAGTCTCAAGAGGAATACGTACAGTCATTCAAGGACTTTCTCCTCCGTTCTGTCGGAATATCCCACACCGCGCATACCAAGGTGGGAGACGCTTTCATCAGAGGTGTCTCTGGAGGGGAGAGGAAGCGGGTGTCGATTCTCGAATGCCTGACCACGCGCGCCAGTGTTTTCTGCTGGGATAACTCGACAAGAGGCCTCGATGCCAGTACAGCGCTTGACTGGATCAAGGCAATCAGGGCAATGACCGACATTTTGGGTCTGACTACCATTGTCACACTTTACCAGGCGGGCAATGGCATCTACGAGCAGTTTGACAAAGTCCTTGTCCTGGATGAGGGCAAACAGATTTTCTACGGGCCCCGAGAGAGTGCGGTGCCATTTATGGAGGATCTTGGCTTCATGATGGCTTCTGGCTCGAATCGTGCGGACTTTCTGACTGGGGTCACAGTCCCAACCGAGCGTCTTATTGCTCCTGGATACGAAGACAAGTTCCCCCGTACCGCTGCTGATATTCTGTCTGCCTACAACCAGTCGAGCATCAAGGAGCAGATGCAGCAGGAATCTCAAAGCTACCCGACCAGCGAGACAGCCAAGACAAATACGGCTGTCTTCAAGGAAATGGTCGCTCGGGAGAAGCACAGGGGTGTGCCTGCCAAGTCTTCTACGACTGTTGATTTCGCCACACAAGTGAAAGCGGCTGTTATTCGACAGTACCAGCTCATGAAAGGTGACAAGCCGACGTTACTGATGAAGCAGGGCGCCACATTAATACAGGCCCTTCTTGGTGGTTCGCTTTTCTATTCTGCGCCCGATAATTCAATCGGCCTGTTTCTCAAGGGCGGCGCTCTCTTCTTCTCCATCTTGTACAACGCCCTGATCGCCTTATCTGAGGTGACCGACTCCTTCACAGGTAGGCCTATCCTGGCCAAGCACCGCTCCTTCGCCTTGTATCATCCAGCAGCGGTCTGTATCGCTCAGATCATTGCCGACTTTCCCATAATGCTATTTCAGGTGACGCACTTTGGCCTTGTTCTCTATTTCATGGTTGGCCTGAAAACCACGGCAGCGGCATTCTTCACCTACCTGGTCACCAACTTCATGACTGCCATGTCGATGACGGCATTCTTTCGGCTTGTTGGCGCGGCCTTTCCTACTTTTGACGCTGCGACCAAAGTCTCTGGTCTGTCCATCGTGGCCTTGTTTGTCTACATGGGCTACATGATCATCAAACCGCAGATGCATCCCTGGCTTGTCTGGATATTCTGGATCAATCCCATGGCCTATGGATTCGAAGCGCTGCTTGGGAATGAATTTCATGACCAGGATATACCCTGTTATGGCCCCAATATCATTCCAAGCGGCCATGGATATCTTGATGGCCAGGGGGGGCAATCCTGTGCTGGTGTTTTGGGGGCGGAGCCTGGCGCGACGAGCGTTACTGGCGATGCGTACCTCGCAGCCATGTCGTTCAGCCACAGTCATGTCTGGCGCAACTTTGGCATCATCTGCGCCTGGTGGGTGTTCTTTGTTGTGCTTACGATATTCTTCACCACGAGGTGGAAGCTGCCTGGAGAAGGGGGCCGCCGACTCTTGATTCCTCGAGAAAAACAGCACAAGTCGAAGCATCTCTTGGAGGCTAGCGACGAGGAAGCGCGACCTACAGAAAAGTCTGCAGCATCGAAGCCTGGGTCTACTTCATCAAGCGACGCTATCGAGAAGAACCTCTTCCGGAACAAGAGCATATTCACCTGGAAGAATTTGACGTATACCGTCAAAACCCCAGACGGCGATCGCGTTCTCCTGAATAACGTGCAGGGGTACGTCAAACCAGGCACGCTGGGAGCCCTCATGGGTTCGTCTGGAGCTGGCAAGACGACCCTTTTGGACGTCCTGGCTCAGCGAAAAACATCCGGCACAATCCATGGATCTATCCAGGTTGACGGACGGCCCCTTCCTATTTCCTTTCAACGCTCTGCTGGTTATGTCGAACAACTGGATGTCCACGAGCCTTTTGCGACCGTCCGTGAGGCTTTGGAATTTTCCGCCCTCTTGCGCCAACCTCGCGACACGCCAATCGAGGAAAAATTACGATATGTGGATACGATAATTGACCTCTTGGAGCTCCACGACCTCGAGCATACATTGGTAGGTCGCCCCGGGAGTGGCCTCTCCGTGGAGCAACTAAAACGTCTTACCATCGGGGTTGAGCTGGTAGCGAAGCCAAGTATCCTCATCTTCCTTGATGAGCCCACATCCGGGTTAGATGGCCAGGCCGCCTACAACACGGTTCGCTTTCTGCGTAAACTAACAGCGGTTGGACAGGCTGTTTTGGTCACGATCCATCAGCCTTCGTCGCTCTTGTTCTCCCAATTTGACAAGCTGCTCTTGTTGGCAGCGGGTGGGAAGACTGTTTACTTTGGTGACATTGGGGAGAATGCAAAGAATATACGCGAATACTTTGGTCGGTATGGAGTCCCATGTCCTCCAGAAGTCAACCCTGCAGAGCACATGATCGACGTGGTTTCTGGCCTACGAGATGGCCAAGACTGGAACCAAGTCTGGCTGCAGTCTCCGGAACATGCGGCCCTTTCTCACGAACTCGACACCATCATCGCCGAAGCTGCAGCTCAACCCCCAGCAATCCAGGACGACAACCGCGAATTCGCAGCTTCACTGTGGACGCAGGTCAAATACGTGACGCACCGAATGAACCTCTCGCTCTTCCGAAACACCGAATACCTCAACAACAAATTCGCAATGCACATCAGCCTGGCGCTTCTGAATGGGTTTACTTTTTGGATGATTGGGGACTCGGCCACGGACCTGCAGCAGAACCTCTTCACCGTCTTCAACTTCATCTTCGTCGCTCCTGGTGTCATTTCCCAGCTGCAGCCTCTCTTCATTGACCGCCGCGACATCTATGAGGCTCGCGAGAAGAAGAGCAAGATGTACCACTGGGCCCCCTTTGTCACTGGCCTAATCGTTTCGGAAATGCCCTACTTGCTCGTCTGCGCGTTGCTGTATTACGTCTGCTGGTACTTTACCTGCGGCCTCCCTACCTCGGCAGACCACGCTAGTAGTGTCTTCTTTGTTGTCGTAAGTGCAGCCTCCAATCAACTGGCTCTATATTCCGTGCTGCCATAGACTTACATTTCTCCAGGTGATGTACGAGTTCCTCTACACGGCCATCGGGCAGATGATTGCCGCCTATACCCCAAACGCCGTCTTTGCATCCCTCGTCAACCCCCTGGTCATCACAACCCTCGTCTCCTTCTGCGGCGTCATGATTCCATACAGCCAGATCGTGGCCTTTTGGAGATACTGGTAGGTCTATCCTGACAAACCATAGAACCTGGACTGTTTCTAACACCCGTCGGCAATAACTAGGATGTACTACATTGACCCCTTCAACTACCTCATGAGCTCCCTCCTCGTCTTCACAACCTGGGACAAGCCCGTCCACTGCAACCCATCAGAGCTAGCCGTATTCGACCCAGCACCGAACCAAACCTGCGGGGAATACCTGGACGTCTACCTCCATGGCGCCATGGGTGCGGGTAGGAATCTCCTTAATCCGAGCGACACTGCTGGCTGCCAGGTGTGCCAGTACACGCAGGGCGGGGATTACCTGCGGACGCTGAATCTCGCCGAGGAATACTTTGGGTGGAGGAATGCGGGCATTGTTGTGGTGTTTGTGGTTGGGATTTACGGGCTTGTTTTTCTCATGATGAAGCTGAGGACTAAGGCTACGAAGAAGGCTGAGGAGTAGTGAGGGTCCATGGCGAGGTTTGCTTGTTTTCATGGTGCCCCTACACTTAGCATTCTCTTCGTGTCTATCACACTCTCTGTTCCTCTCTTTTTCTTTTCTTTTTTTTTGGTTTTGTTTTGTTCAAAAACAATTTTGCCCCTCCTCTAGCCCAAAGGCTCATGGATTCGCCAGCACTGGTCTAACCTTTACTAATTACCTTTACATGAGGCTATCCTTTCTTTCTGCTTCACTTTCCCTTTGCTTTTTCTTTATCTGTTGCAGGCATCCTAGACGGGGCATAGAGGTGCAACATAATCATTACAAGTTGAATTACAGACACTACTAAATAGCCTCTTGCTATACCTGCGGTGCCATGCTGATATCCATGGTGGAAATTCGTCAATATAGGCTGATTCAATCTCAAGGATGGTCGTGTCATCGAGTAATGGAAAGGCAACTTACTTCAACTCCTCCAGTAACTATTGTAAAATCGTGACAGTGGAATTGGGGCATTGACAATAATCAAAATTTGACACTCACAAGTAAGAAATCGCCGCCTTGAACACGTTTCCCGGACCAAGTCTCTCCTTCAGCCCCCTCAGAAACGAAAGGTGGTCTCCAAAAATCTTGGAATGATCCACCTCCTCCTCGCGCATAAATGACAGATACTGCGCAGGGAAGATATTCTCCGCGCTTGTCTTCCGAAGCGCATCTCTAAAATCTCTCCCCCACGCCAACGCGTCTCCCAGCTTCCTGCCATCCTCAACGATCGTATTAATCTCGACTGCAAAATGCGGCTCTCTCGCCGAGAAAACAGACTTTAGTTCCTTCGGCCTTGCACAAGGCGAGCACACGCGGAGCTGATGCATGTCGAATAAGATATGCGGATCCGAGGGCATATTCGTCGTATAGTGCGCGATGACGTTGGCGACTTCGTCTGTGATGCTCCGCAGACTAATCGTCCACATGCTGCCCTGCGTTGACTTGGCGAAGTGCCGTTCTGCTTCCTCGAGACATCCCCGCGGCGTTGTTTCTTGCACTGTGCTAGCAATAAATGGTCCGAGGCTCTTGATTTTGGCGAGCCATTTGTAGCCCTCGTCGAGACCGGGAGAGGACCAGACGAAGAGGACTGTGAACGTTGGAGTCGGGGCGTTCAGGACGCCCTGTTGGACGCTTAGTGGCGGTGGAAGACCGGAGGCTGCTAGGGCCCTGTAACGTCTGTTATATTCTGGTATAACAGAAGACAGGTTGTCTGATTTGAACATGATCATGCCGGCGAGAATCTATGGAGTCAGCAAGAATACCACTAACTAACTCAATCTTCGATGTCCAAGGGGCGCATAGCATACCCGATCAACCCGATAAATCCTCACTGTAAGCTCAACAACAACCCCGAACGCACCTCCAGCACCACGAATGCCGGTCAGTAACTCATGATCAGCTTCGACGACCACCCCACGCGCGTCGACCACTCTCGCCCCAGCAATTTGATCGACCCCGAGCCCAAACCGGGCACTGTACGCGCCATACCCACCGTACATCGCCCACCCCACATACCCCACCGCAGGAAGGGACGGTACTGGAGTCACAAACCCCTGCTCCTGCAGGGCGGAAATCAAATCACCCGTTAGGATGCCCCCGCCTACCATCGCGGTCGATGAAGTTTTCTCCGCTTCTTTCCCTTCTTCAGGGATAGAGTGGATCCGGACGGAGTTGAGCAGCCGCATATCCAGCGCAACAGCATCATTTCTCATTGAGCGCCCGTGCATGTCGTGTCCGCCGCTACGGACTGTAAAGGGGATTCTGTTGGCGGATAGAGAAGACAAGGTGGTGCTTACATCCTCGATGGATTGTGGCCGGATGATAGCCAGGGGCGCTATCTCTGGGTGCGCGTAGATGGCTCTCACTTGGTCGAAGGTTGGCGATGATGGTGTGAGGCAGGGGATGGCTGCGTGTTGCGATTCGAAGATGTGGATTTGGTTGAGAATCGATTCCTTTCCGGCCATTGTGAATTCCAGTCAAGCAGTGAGGTTGTGTCTAGTATTCCTAGAGATGGGAAACCGGGGCAAATGTTGAGAGGGGATCAGCACTTGTATAAGGGCCGCACCCCCGGGCGCCGACGTCATTGCTGAGCGCCTTACAGAAGCCAAGGCGATGCCAAGCTGTCATCCATGTCTATGTACGGAGTACGTTGGGTGGCGCAACGATTGTCCAGTTCCGGACGGTAAGGGCTGATCTTTGTGGGGGTGGCGAGAATACGACCCCGCGAGCCTCGAATTCAACTCGGGAGTGGTGTACTTGGAGCACGAGAGTAGAACAACCTAACTATATGAAGAATGCCAATCCTCAACCCCGGGGCCGGGGGTGCCTAGCGAGCCAAGCAGAAGAGTCACCTCATGCCCTCCCCGCCCTCCCCTTCTTCCCCATCATAACCGGGCCCTCCCTGATATCCCGCGACTCAAGCACGCTCATCCCAAGCCGTTTCTCATACGAGTCCTTGCTCTTCTCAACCGATGTCCGCAACATCACCCAGCGCAAATACGGTAGCGGATCCAACACCTCATCCACACAGTCGATTAGCCACCCGCCAAGACCGAGGCCCTGATACTCCGGAAGAACGTAGAGGTCCGTCAGATATGCGAAGCTGACGGTGTCGGTGATGAGACGCGCGAAGCCGATTTGCTCGAATTTCGCGGCTTCTGGTTCCGCTGGCCGTGCAATGCCGTTGTCAGGATGGGACGTCGGATCTGTATCTGGACCGCCGAGAAGTTTATAGAGGCCGAAGCAGAATGAGCCGTCGATCATCCTCTGCAAGATCTCCTCTGGGAGAGCCTTGACCCAGTACATGAAGTCTTGGCTGAAGGCGTGGTTGATTGCTGGGATTGAGAGGAGAGCTCTGTCGGTTGAGATGATGAACCCGTCCCGCGACCAGAGTTGGGGTTTGGTGGGTAACGACATGGTGATGGGATCGGGACTGCGCGGTAGATGAGACTAGAGGCTCAGACTGCTCAATTCTCACCGGTTGCGTTATAGCGTCGGAACTTGATATCTGAGCTGGCTGTCAACGAACTGGGTCGCAGCGGGTCTGTACCAGATTGCCTACTTGTTCTGTACCCCTGTGATGGCGATATAGTCGAACAAGTTCCTGATGGAGGCCTCCGCCGAAACTCACCTTCACTTCGTAAGAACCAACTTTGTATCGGATACTCTGGAGGAAAGGTTGGAAGCTCTTTCTGTCGCGATGACCGAGTCTGACTCATTTTGTCGGGAACAAGCTCGGAACTAAGGTGGCGATGATTGGCTGATGGGTTGATAGGCACATCCACCTGCTACCTAGGGAGGTACCTCAGGGTTTCCAGGTGACTAGGCAAAATCCCTACTTGTCTTAATTCACTATTGATATTTATGCCCCTCATGATAAGAATATCAACCATATTTTGCGCGGATTGGGAAAAAAAAAAAAACCGGACTTTAGATACTGGTTGGCTGTATACATATCAAATGTACCATATCAACTCGCTTGGCGGGAGATGCTTTATATTCTTTTGACAATCCTGGCGATTGTTGTTCGGCGGGCAGCTATTCGTATCCTTGTCACCCAAGAACAGGAGATTTCAGAGTCACGGCACGGTAACGCCCTACTCATATTGACCTTCAATGTCCAGTCTGGTTATCCTGGCCCGTATCACAAGGTACCGCGAAGGTTTTCTTGTGTGGACTGTGTGTCCAACAGTCGCAGGGCGATGGATGTGGTCATAATCGTGTCGTCCAAGTGAGTATGACTATAGTAATGCCCATATTGTCCATCGCGTGCTCAAGGGACTCCCGTGTAGGTCAAGGACACTATGAGCCTAGCTCCAACAAACCCGGCGCCGTCAAGGATGCACCATTTTCAACGTAGTTCACATCGGCAACGGATTCCATTGTATCGGAGGCACTCTTCATTTGAGCCAGACCGTCGCGATGTATTCGCAAAGAGTATCAGAGGCTGTACTCGCACGTGGAAAATCACATGAGCTGCCCCCTTCCCCGACCCCGCGGACCAAGACCTGATACCTCCTCTCACTCTACACCTCCAGACATCAATCGTCCATCATCATATCTCAGCCATCTCTTTGCTCAACCCCCTCTTCACCCTAGGCTTTAATACAGAACCTCTCATAAACAGCACTATTAACAACCACCATGGCGCGCAGCAGAAACACCCAACGCAAGGCAGCCATACCCAGCGCACGACGAACCACATGGCTGGAATGGCTGGGACTCTCGGCGCCGCCCAGGCCCGCTCGCAGAATTATCGCCTGCGGCCCCCGAGTTTACCGGCCCACCAAGCGCACGGTCATGGGTACCGAGAGCATCCGCGTGTACGGCTGGCCCTCGCGTGGAGGCGTCATTATCCTCAGTGGCGCAAGCCGTGCTGACTTCGACTATCTGGGTTGGGATATCCACTCCCTACCACGAAGGCGCGATCCAGACCAAGACGCCGAGGATGACCACTGCAAGAAACTCCTCCTCCTCGGCGCAACCTGGTATGATAGCGAGCGGCGGTATAAGCTCCTAGCCGATGCTGCGACTAACAACCGCTCGGTACGCGAGCGGTTCGAGAATAAGCAGCTCCCCGCGGTCACTAGGAAGGAGGGGTTGTGGGTTCGAGTTGGATGGCCGAGCACGGGTGGTCTGTGGGTTGTTGAATGGGATGATCCGGTTTTTGAAGAGATCCAGGATGAATCCGCCGAGGATTACGGCCCTGGATATTCGGAGAAGGGTGGGCTCGTTGGGCTTGCGAGGGATATGGATGAGCGGTGTGAGATTATAGAGAGGATTGGTGGGAAGTTCTTTGCCTGCTTGGAGGACTATGATGGGCATGCGTTTTTGAAGGCGTGGGAGGAGAAGACTACGGGTGAGGTTGGATCGCTTGTTGTTACCCACTTTGTAGAGTGGTAGATGAGGATCCTTTTGTGACTCTAGGAGATTATCTGCTTACGCCTTATACTGCTCCTTTTCCAATTGATATTATGCTACTGCTGCCTCCCTCTTGTTCCCTTCTTACAGCCTCTACGAAAAACTTAGGACTGAAAAATAACCAGGCCAGAGACAATCTAAGTTGGTTCGGAATAAAGAACCAAAAGACGTGCTCGAGATGCACATATTCCCAAACTGAGAGGTGCTGCCCCCACTCAAGGATGGGCAGCTGTACGGGATCTAGACCAATAGCTTCAGATACCACAGCCCACCACACACCATCGCAACCAAGGATCCAGCTGCAACGGCCGGTATCTTGGAATACATCTTTGGGGTTAGGATCGGGAGGTTAACATTAACACCGCCCACATGTACCATCTTCTCCTTCGACACAGCATAAAAATGGAGCACGTTCTCTGCATCAAGATCGCTTGCCTTGAAGTACCGTTGACCCGAATAACTGTAATCGAGTCAGAACCATTGTACTTATTACAGATGGGTTATTAGTTTATACCTCCAATGAATCAGACCAGCGGCGATATCCATGCACCCGCGCGTAAATGCCTTCGCGACATCACTGTGCTTTCCGTCTGCTCGGGACAGCAACGCTGCTCCTGTACTCTCAACGCCGCGGGCATTCTCTTCGGCGAAATGGTAGCTCCGCTGGATTGCCTCGTTGATATTAAGACCCTCATTGAGCATCAAGACCGGGACGATGTTTTCGATTTGTCCGTCTCTCTGATAGACGTCAGCTTCTAGATTGTAGTGCAGAGAATGTACGTACTAGCTCCTTTCGCAGGGATAGCATGTCATTCGTTCTGTTGAGCCTGCACGTTAGCATAGACCGGAGCGACAGTCCTGGCAGGTGCCTACATGTGGACGAGATATGAAGTCGACTTCCATAATGCCTGCATTTCAGGGATTGCAGCATATGCTGGGGTTATATCCACTCCAAGAGCGAAGCTAGTATTTGTTTAGTCACGCATCTCCACAAACATATGTCATCGTCCGTACGGTATAGTAGCAATGGTGGGATAAACGCCCGCAGCGTAGTCTCGTCTCCACCAATACGCCTCCACAGACGGAACGCTACCATCGTGGAAAAGAGCGTTGGCGTCACCAACAGCGCTGATATAGGCTAGCATAGCTTCGAATAGGACCTCGCAGGTTCCTGGAGTACGTCTTTCAGTAAGATTTCCACAGCCCTGCGTTGTCGTCACGTACCTCGATCACAGACGCTTCGAATGTGCACGCCAACTTCTTCCCAGCATTCTAACGCCTTTTGCAACTCCAAAGGGTATACCGAAAGGTCTGGGCATGGGTTTTCGGGGAGCAGCTGGTGTTTGATGTATTCCATGCTGGCATCACGATATTCTTTCATTGCAAGAGGCTGGCCTTGTAGAGCGCCGCAGTCGAAGACTGGTGTGTTGGTCAGAACTATGAACATATGTTTGTCATCAAACGCGGGGTTTATTGATGGACTTACTGTCGTCCCATATGAAATACTATCCAGAACAGAGCGTTAGCCTTGGGCGCATGTGTAGCAAGCCGCAAATCTACTCACCCAGGCAAAGTACTTGGCTACCGTACATAGCCGATCAAAGGGCGCATCAGCGCACAGGATGGCAGCGAATACTCCAAACTCGGCCTTCTGGAGCTTACGACAGGTCATGTCATCGTCAACCCATCTGCTGGGGTTAGTGATGATCGACAGCTTCGACAAAAGATATCATGGCGGGTATCCCACGTTCGAATCCACGGATTTAGCACTTCGTCTCTCGCTCTCTCGTAATCGGGATGCAACTTTGCTTTCCAGGATAGGAATAAGTTTGGTAGGTATGGGACACGGACATGCTGGCCCTTGGCTGAGAGCCAGAAGTTGTCTTGTTCCGTCTCCTTGTTCAATGACATGGTGAAAGTGCAGATGGATGTCGCGGACGATGCAGTTGTAGTGGGGATCAGTCTTGGTTTATAAGATAGACTTCGTTTCCTATCTCGCCGACTTCTGTCTTAACGGGCCTATTTCACGCCCATCCTCAGCACGCCCTCCCGTTTCCGGCGCAAGCCACACCACCAACCAGACCAACCCACAGTATAATGTCCGCCGAATGGGCTCTCGCTGAATGGGGCACCTGGTAGAACAAGTGGGGTGTTCTTCAAGAGGTGGTCCAGCTAAGTTCAAGCTGAAGAATCGCAAAAAGTCGGTCTCGTGGCTGGCTGAAATGGGTTGCATATCATTCGGGAATATCCATGCACTGTTCAGCCACACACTGCGCGAATTCATTGCATACTCCAAATATCTGCCAGCGGTGGCGGCTTTTAAGGGAAGATAGCCGAGGGGCTTTCGTTCTTATTGTCGGATGCTGGATGGGTGACCCACTCTTCTGCAGGGCGAATGTGACGTGTAGCGAGGACTGGATATTTAGGCCATGTAGACCATGTTCTACTGGATTCTCGCAAATATGGCAGAAAGCACACTGATTCCTTTCCGCTGTTAATAAGATATTGATCACGCCCCTCCCAATCGAATCAAGTGATGGTGTTATATCTTACTGGGGTTAACATCAACAAAACGCTAAGTTGTGAGTCGAAGTAGCCGAGAACCTGGGACAGTCTCGATCAACGGAGCAATCGAGTCTAGATGCTTGTTAAAGGACAAGTCGGATCATGCATTCTGAAACTGGTCATTCTTCCCAGTGCTCACTCTGCCTAGTTCTCGTGGGATAGACAGGGAGGATCTAGGTAATATGGCTGACGGAACATTGTTTATCAACCTATCAACGTCCGAAATCGGGAGAATAAGCATTGACCATAACGCTTCATGTCAGGTATCTAGCTTCAAGGTATACTCGATGGTTAACATGGTTCAGCTACTTTACGTGCAGATTACGATGGTAGATCCCAACAAGCCCCTCTGCAGCGGTACAATGCAAAACGATACTTGCTAGGGTGAGATACACTCTCTGGCCTGTATATAGCATACCTACCAGCGTCTCACAATACGTAAAGGTTATCACATTCCTCTCCGCCCGAGTTTCGAGCTGCTTATTGGCTTACCTGGCAGCAGTTACCATCTTACAGGTCATGTATACTGTAATATATCGAGCTTCAGCCACATGAAACAGTTCTCCATATCCTTCTTGACAAATCTAATCACTCTGGGGCTCCAGCTCCATCTGACGAGGCACTCCAACCGTAGCAAGGGCAAGTCAATCCATTGCGAATGTTTTCCAGAATTACTGTAGTTGCAACGCAGCCCGCAACGCCGTCAGAGCTCCGAGTAAGTTGCTTTTGTGCTGCCATGGCTTTCGTGAATAAGCGGTCCGTAAACAAAGTTGGTATCTGGTCGATACAGATGATGCCAGAGCCACATGACAAACAAGGTGGGATGTATTGCCCGCGGCTACTTGGTACTCTCATCAAATGCTCCAGCGATGGTGAGTTGAAAATTTCGGCTTTAGATGCAATTTAAACTCGGTCTTGCTGCCAAAGCTCATGCGACAGTCGGTTTTACCAAGACAAGGATACGAGTGTTCGGCCGTGTGGCTCTTCGGACTATCTAGCTCCATATTAGCATAGCAACCGCTACAAAGTCTCTAACACTGAAGCTGAATGCTGGTGCCATCAAAGTCAACATTCTTACCAACGCCCTTCAGAGACGAGAAATAGACCTGGAAATTACGGGGCGGGCGAGACACGGACCAGAATGCCCGACATATTCCTTCACGACCGAGCTCCGAGGCGCAGCTAGGGTAAAACTGCAAGCACCCAGCCACGATTGGGGAATCTTCGATTGGTTCCATTTAGCCTCTCTATTAACTGAGGGAGTCCCCTGTCATGCAAAACTGCACTGCTCTCATTCGTTGTGGACGCACTTGTGGCGGTGGCTCGGCGTTTCTAGTTACACGAGCGACACTGCACTTGCTGCGTCCTTCTGCCCAACTTCAGGACTCGTGGGAAAGGTGGATTCTCTTCCACTGGCAATATCGGCCACTGCATTCAGTGCTTGGGTTAATCTCCGTATCAACGCAGTCTCCCCTGGTAGCAAAGGAACGATCTTGAGATAGCAAATATGGAGCGTACGGTGGGTCGTTCCTTCCTCTTGCGGTAGATACTTCGAGGCCCCAGGCCAGGAATTGGATGAATACAGAAGGCGCAATGGGCTGGAGTACTTCTTGCTTCTGAAGTGCCTCCACGGCAAATTCACCGACGCCTGGAGCCAATTGTCGGTACTATGGCTGCCAATAGGTTGTGCCAATCGCTGCAACCAACAAAACATCCTTGGAATTAAAATGTTTTCTGGGGACGCCTCCGCCTCCCTCAGTCTCTTGGATCGTCGGACTTGGCTGTACAAGATAGTCGAACAACTCGCCATCGACGGTAGATCCTCCTTTGATTGAGTTTACCCAGAAAACGGCAAGCCCTACTAGTACTTTGCTCCGAGGTATCAAATTCGGTATCCTGTGGAGCACAGCACGGTTACCAACAAATCTACTTGATAACGGCTTGTTTCGTTTCCATTCCAGACCCCGGTTCTTACCAGGTTGACATTTGTGTGCCCAGCTCGACTCATGGCAACATCGATTACACCTATCAGACTTCGTCCCATGCGTGCATGAAGCAGATTTGCGATGCATTCATTATCTTTGCGAGTCCTCCTTTCTTCCACAGTCTTAGCTCCAAACCCTGAATAACAACAGTACCTGCAGCGGGGATAGCAAGCGATAGCTTTACGGTCGGGTGGGCTTACTGGAAGGAGCAGGGCTCAAACTTAGTCTGTGATAAGTAAGGGAGCGCAATTTACATGAGTCATAATAGACGACCAAGATAAAGCTTTCTAGCACATGGGCATAGGAAATAGTCAATGGTCCCATTACTCCATGTCTCTTAACCAAAAGATCAAACTGCGTTCACCTCGCCTTGGATAAGTCCGACAATTTAGGAAAGTATAAGGAAAGAATATTAGAACCACAGAATGAAGAAGGACCCCATGTCTCCTAACATCATCGCAATATCATAGCTCGAATTGGAAAAAACGTATGACGGCTTCAACAACTGGGTGGGGACTATAGTCGATGTCATACGGATAAGCCTTCAGGCTCCTTAATGGGCGCAGATTCGGCAGGTGGCGCCACTGGCCTGCGCCTGTCCTGAAAGCGCTCGTATAATCCTCTCAGCCCAAGGTTCCAATCCGGCGCCACAAATGCGACGACGATCAGGGGGATAGACACGGCAAACCCAACTCCAAGGATGTATTTCATGACGAACGACAGCTGCAGGGCGTTTGAGCCCTCTGTGCGAGGGAATTCGGCGATCTCGATCGTGAAGAACGATGTGATGAATGAGATCGGGAGGAAGATAATTGTCACAATGGTGAAGATCATGACGGACTTGCCGGTGCGGGCAGCTCCAGCGGCTTGTTCGCGGGCCAGGCGGGCCTCGAAGGGGTTTGCATGCTTTTGTTTGAGATCAAGGAGCCTGGATGCCGAGTCGTAAACATATGCTGCTTGCCGGTCGAGTCGCTGCAGATCTTTGAGGTGTGCTTCCACAAGTTTGCACTGTTCCTCGAGTTTGCGCAAGACCGTCGCCGGTTCCGCGTCATATGGGGGACCGCACGCCTCGAGTAGGCGCGGGCCTAGTTCGGCGAGTACCAGTTGCTGAGATTCCAGTACGGCCGAGAGCATATTCAGTTCATCCCGGATATCCTTGGCTTCTGCCAGGAGTGTGGTTTCTGGCCCTAGATCTAGAAATTTGTCAAGAAATTGGGGGTTCTGTTCCCGGCTGCCCTGTCCATGGCTTTTCAGCCACGAGGAGGCCGCTGCCGACGCACTCCACAGTTCTGAAGATAGCTCTGCCTCGCGGCCAGCTGCTATTCCAACGGATGCTTGAAACATGGACAGAAAGTTGTACGGGTCGTTGAAGGGTACATGTCGGTCGAACATCCCACAGTATTGGTCAGTGACTGCTGTGACAAAAGTGTGGGCGTCACGAAGACCGAAGCGAACAGCATGGTACAATTCAGGGCGTACCAGATCAAGGTGCTGTCCCGGGAAGGTCGTTATGAACAGTTTACCATCTAGGATCAAAATCCACAACTGATCAACCATGTATAGCTTGGGGTCGTCCGAACCGATGCCTGTGCGCTTCTGGTATCGGTAGACGACCTGATCCCGATCACGGAGTTTGGTATCAAAGTTGGGGTAAAAGTACTGATCCAGGGTGCGTCGAATATGCAAACCCTGGCCTCTGGGAGTCATATATGCTTTGAACAACAGGTCAGCGCCGGACAGGTTGTCCACCTGTGCGTCAGATGCAGTTGGCGTAACAACCCGTTGGATTGTTTCCTGCATTTTTTCAAAGTTCGAAACAGTCTCACAGCTCAAGTATGGCATAGAGACCCATAGATGCTTTCCGTGCACTTGGCAGCTAGGCTGGTGAAACTTGGAGTGGGGGTACTGCCCCTGGTGGCAATTGTTCAGCGACGACAGCAAGCCCTTCAAGCTCTTTATATCCTCCTGGTCTGTTTCCATATACCATTTGATAAGTAGAGCTTCGATCCATGCGGGATTGTGGGCAGGGAGATTAATCCAACGGAACCCCAGCGGATCATCCTCATCTGTAGACGGGAGGACCTTGATATCTCTGTAGAGCAGGTCATAGATTGTTAATGGCCTGGCAGGCTCATACCTTGCGGTCTCTGGAAACCAACTAATACCAGTGGGTCGAAACTCCTCGCACGCCCTTATGGCATCCGATGGGAGTGTCTCGGCGTAGTTGTGAGGGGTGAGGAGCTCCGCAATATCCCTGCGGCCCGATGATGCTGCGCGGAGAAAGAGGTGGTTTCCGGCATTATCCCGCAAGGAGAGACCTTTCTGTTTCACAAGTACACCAACCACCGCTTCATCGCCTGTATAGACAGCGCGAGGAAGCGGTGCGACTCCATCCAATGGCATTAGGTTGCAATCGGCGTTGGCACCCAGGAGAAGATGAACCATCTCCAGACAGTGGTTATCACAGGCGGCGAGTAGCGCCGACCATCCTCGCTCGTTGGTCGCATTGGGGTTGGCCCCAGCATCAAGCATCAGACGAGCGATAGCAACTTGGTCGAAACGCACAGCTTGATGAAGCGTCTTGTCTACCATCGACGCTCCTGCTGCAATGAATCCTGCGCTTTCGCTCAGTAGATGCCGCGCTGCATCTTCACATCCGTGCCGGGCGCTTTCGAACAATCCAGCTTCCAGAAGACTCTGGTCAAACTGGTTTCTTGCCCGCGCACTCCGCAATACTATCTTGATTCTGTTCACATCGTTCGATTTTGCCGCGTCTCTTAACTCGGAAGCAAACTCTGTAGCCATACTTCTTGTTTCGAAAATTTCTCGAGGGTTGATAACGACCTGTTTCGTCACCAAGAGGGGAGGAGTTGGCGAATGTTTGCTTTTTCAGCCAGCCGCAAATTCCCCTCTCCATCGCCAAGACTGCACTGCGTTTTGGTGAGATTGACTGCATGGGGTAACAATCGCAGCGGTACATTCGATAATCAGGAGGCTACTCATGGAGGAGGTTCCGAGTCGTGGAGGATCGAGCGATTGTTCAATAAGTGGCCAGCGCCCCTTGGCTCCTTCCCAACAGTAGCATGGATGGTGAATTGCTGCCTTGGAGCCGCCGCAGGTACGTACATCACTTTTAAACCTCAACTGTTCCATTAAACCTTTTTCAATTCTTATGAATTTATTACATATAATATAGTGTATTTAATGCTGCGTCAGGTGCTCTCCGCCCCTTCTGAATTTTCCATCTCCCTTGGATAGCTTCCTGCAATACAGTCTTTCCGCTTCACGTTCCTTCTCCCTGTTCCAAGTGAGGACATACCAAATCCGGATGCAACCAATCATCTGCCACCCTTCCCAGGGTGATAAGCCACCTATCACAAGCGCACCCTAGCCACTCCTTGACACGACTGCTCAATCTACCGTGGACGTATTTCAGTTCATGGCAGAGCTTCAGTTTTGAATCTCTGTATCACTACCTTACTTTCTCAAGTTATGCTGTCCGCGACGATATCATTCTTACTGAAATGTTGGTCAACTGCGAGAAAGATGAGTTCACGAAGTCGTGACAATCACTTGTTCGAGTACGCTTCTGGACGTTTTTTGTCTGTCTTGCTCTGAAACCCCTTCACGGAATTGCTGCTGACCAGCTTCATAGGTTTAATGAAAACATTCGTCGAGCAGAGCGTCGTGTCGAATTCAATGTCGACGTTCGCACGAGCTGTATGCCATTCCGTTGGACGACCGGTATCTGATCTTCCTTCCATCACCAAGTTCGCGGAAGAGGGCTTCAATCGCGTCCTCCAAGCTACTTTCAGCGATGGATACTCTGTTATCGCCAGGATCCCTTATAACACAACGGTTCCAAAAGGCCTCACGGTCGCGAGCGAAGCTGCGAGTTTTGGCCTGCTGCGGTCCTACAGCGTCCCAGTCCCAAGAATGCTCGGGTATTCACAGAACCACGACAACCCTGTTGGAGCAGCATACCTGTTACTAGAAAAGCTTGATGGAGTACCCCTGAGTGACCAATGGTTCAGTATGGGTAACAAGAATCGGGTGAAGACCATGAAGCAGATTGTTGACATCGAGAAACGATTTATACCAATAGTCTTTCCAGCTAGTGGGAGCATTTATTACCGAAAGGATCTAGACTCATCACAATTTGCTATTCCCCTCCCTGGACAATCAGAAGTGTCTTCATCAGATCAACTTGTTGTTGGTCCCACTGCACAGCATGCATGGTGGTACAAGGAGAGGGCGTTATTAGCCATTGATAGATGTCCATGTATGCTCCTTTTTACTGTTATCTTCATTATTCCTACCTGTCATGCAGGAAACCATACTAACTTAGATCCACAGGGGATAGCTTTTCCACCTGTTTGGGAAGCACCCGCAAAACGTGAAATGGAGTTTTGTGGACATTTTGGCAAACCTCCTCTTCATGTTGAGCGATATTTGCGAGAGCTACATCAGTTTCAACTCCTGCAACCGAGTAATCACGTTCGCCTCCTTTCGCAGTATTTAGAGCTAGCGCCCTACTTGGGATTACCATCCAGCCATCGTTTCTCTCGCCAGGCAATATCCTACGTGATTCTTCCAACCAAATCATTGGGATAATTGACTGGCAGCATGCAGTAGCTTTGCCACTCTGTTTATGTGCTGGTATACCCTTCTATTTTCAGAATTGGGGTGACCCATTATCAGAGACTCTGGCCAAGCCTGACGTTAAGTTACCGGAAAATTTCGACCGTCTCAATCAGAGTGAACAAGAATCAATTCAAGAGACAATGCGAAGGCGTATCGTCCATTTTTACTATGCTGCATTAACGCTCAGACAAATCCCGGATCATTTTGATACTCTGAGGAATGAGAATGCAATGCTCCGGGCGAAAGTTTTCCATCGTGCCGGGGCACCTTGGGAGGGAGATATCTTGTCTCTGAAGTACGCTATCCTCCAAGTATATAAGCATTGGCCTATGTCTTTGGATGATGATAATGCTTCGTCTTTCGAACCGACGGGTTGCCCAGTTAAATTCACGGAAGGAGAGATATAGAAATGTGAACACGATCATGACCAAGAAGAGGAGAAGATCCAGAAGTTCTGTGAGATGAGGGACTTGATTGGAACTGACTCCCTTGGACGGGTCCCGCATGAGCAGTTCAAGAGGTCCCATGAAATTGTCAATGCAATCAAAGCAGGCTTGATGGAACAATCCAGCACAGAGGCGGAAAGGCACGGTGAATAGCTGGTGCAAGACATGCTTTATTTATGGGATGTTGTGAAGGCCCAGCTCTACACTAATGACTCTGGCTGGGTCCCAATGGAACGATGGGAGGAGAAACACGACATGAATCATTGGATACGGTATTGAAGAAGTGGTTAGCCTTGCTAACTGAGCACATGTTCCTCCCTCGTACAGTAGTTTGGTGGTGCTAGAACACTGGTTCACCGAGAAACACATGATCCGTGAGATCTCTCTTGTACTAAAGGCTCGGACCAACGCTTGACTGGCATGGCATGTGATCGGGAATTTAACGTTACTTGCCAGGGGCTGACCAGTAAAGCAGCAACCCTTCTGCGCCAATTATGGCGGTCTATCTAATAGCAGGTGGGGAAACACCACACTACCAGAGGACATATCAGCTTAGACGGGGTGGAGACTCGGGGTAGAGACCATCAACGTTCAAGCACGATCGCGATAGCGATATCTCCAATCAAGATGGCGAATCCCCGCAGCACGCCATATCTCCAACAACCGATCGGGGACGAAGGAATTCGAAATTCTTCCTGCACCATATCCTCTGCTTTTCACAAAAGCTTAGCAGAACTCCTCACTGGCTGGAAGCACCCTCTCGTATCATATCCATATCCATCCCTGCATCTTCATCACGATCCCAACTCTTCGATCACATATCAGACTAGATTATCCCAGCAATGGCCGACAACCCCCTCCCCACCTCGACCCCAATCCTAATAATCGGCGCAGGCCCTGTCGGGTTGTCCCTCGCAATCGAACTCCGCCTGCACAACATCCCCGTAACAATCCTCGACCGCACCCCCGCAATCGAAGACAGCCACCCAAAAGGCCGCGCAAACGACATGCGCACGGTCGAACACTACCGACGCTGGGGGGTAAGTGACGAGATCCGGGATCTAGCGTGGAAAACGGCGAATCCAAGGCAGGAACTTGTTATTACTCAGACGCTGCTTGAAGAGCCGATTGGGAGGTTTCCGTTAAGGCTTGGGAGGGACGCTGTTGAGTCGGGGGTCTTCGTTGCGGAGCCCTCGCTTAGTGTACCCCAGCCGGTCCTCATACGTGTTCTAGAGCGCAAGGCGAGGGAGCTCGGTGCGTTGGTTTTGCGCGGGTGGGAGGCTACGGATGTTATTGAGGATGGTGAGCAGATGATCACCACAGTCCGCGCCCCAGATGGCTCATCACACACCATCACATCCTCGTATGTAATCGGCGCCGACGGCCCGAACAGCCTCGTGCGCCGCAAAGCAGGTATTGACCAAGACGGGACGGGTCCGCTGGGTCGAACATGGACGTACGTCGTTCGCAGCGAAGGATACCCCATCTCGAATCTCATCGCCGGCAAGAAATACGCTGCGCTCGGCATGCTCATGGTCGTGAACGCCAATGCAAGCAGTATACTCAGTATCCCTGGCTCCGACGAATGGGGGTTTGGTATCCTCCGCACGGGCGCCCAGAGCGGGGAGGAACCATCCGACGACGAGGTGAAATCCTCCGCACAGAACCTCCTCGGTACTCCGACCAACATCGAGATCATAAGTCGATCCTCATACGCATCCATGACCCGCGTCAGCAAGCAATACCGCCGTGGCCGCTTCTTCATCGCCGGCGACGCATGCCACGTCTGTCCGCCGACAGGTGGCCATAATATGAACACGGGCGTTGAAGACGCCGTGAACCTTGCGTGGAAAATTGCCGCTGTTTTGCAGGGTTGGGGTGGCGAGGATCTACTGGATAGCTACGAGGCTGAGCGACGGCCTGTTGGGGAGCGTGTTTCGGGTGTTGCGATGGCGAATAGTCTTGCGATGCAGAAGGCTGATGGCTTCTTGAATGAGGATCGGGCCGTGGGGCTCTCGGGAACCGAGAAGGCACAAGCTATTTATGAAAAGACGTACACGCAGTGGAACTCGTACGGCGTCGTCCTCGGCCAGCGGTACGGTTCCTCGCCGGTTATTATCCGAGACGGCTGGGACGATGCGCCGGCTTGGAATCCAACGGAGTACTGGCCCCATGCGCGGCCAGGCCATCGTGCGCCGCATCTCTGGTTGGAGGATGGGAGGGCGTTGTATGATTGTCTCGGGAGGGATTTTACGTTGCTCACTATCGGTGTGAGGAGAGATACTGTTGAGGAGTTCGTAGCGGCAGCGAATAAGGTTGGGGTTCCGGTTGAGGTGCTTGAGGTTACGCTTGAGATCGCGCAGGAGAAGTATCCGGCGACGTTGACGCTTATTCGGCCGGATGGGTATGTTGCCTGGCAGGGAGAGCGGGATGAGTGTGATCCTGTGGATGTTATCCGGCGTGTTTCTGGGAATGGACCACGGCTTCGGGATCTCAAGTTATAGAAGATTGGCTAGACCCCACTAGAAGACTTGAGGATACTCCTTGGGGACACTCCGCTATATACATTATCATTGCTTAGTACGTGCCCATAAAGCCCACTTCACCTAAACCTACCTAGACAGTCTATTTCTCAGGCGGATAAACCACAATCCGATCAATATCCGCCCCCTTATAATCCCACCCATTATACAGCCCACCAATGGTGATCGTGTTCCGCTTCCCCTTCTCCAGCGTCAACTGCAGCGGCGTCGAGAGGATGATCCCCTTGTGCGTGTCGCGCTGGTACAGGGTCTCGACGTTTTGCGTGTCGCCATTGACGACGACGCTGCTGATTCGGCGGAGTTGCCAGCTTCCGCCGATGCGGTCGGGGGTTCCGCCGGCTGATTCACGATTTGTTAGAGTGGGTTTCTGATTGTGGTATTAGAGGGGTGGGGTGGGTGCTTACGTTGGTCGCCAAAGCCCATGTCGTCGGTGTCTGGTGAGAGAAAAGCTCAATTAGAACTGCTGTGGTAAGCTGGGTGCTAGGAACATACTCTGGTAGTAAAAGGATATCCATTGTGGCTTGCCGGTTCCCTCGATGTTCTCAAAAGTGACGGTGCTGTCGTTGCCGTAGATGCCGGTCAGGATGACGCCGTCGGTGCCGAAGTTCTATATGTCGTTAGTACAATGTACCTTGTAGAAACTCACGGAAAGAACGTACAGCTTCCTGCTTGTAGGCATTACCGCTGGTCTTTGCGCTCTTTCCTTTGTAGGTTGTTCCCTTGACACCCTTCCATTCGCCGGTTTTACTAGACGAGTCAGCATATGCAGGCCCGGACAAGATCGGGGAGACATACACGTTGAGGTCGTAAACATCGTGCCATTGCACCTCGAGTGTCTTCTTACGCTCGTCGATGTCCACAGGCAGCCAGATGTAACGACTCTCCCATAGAGAGTTGGAGTCCCACTGTACCCGTTAGAGTGTAATCCTACCATCGAAGGAATGTCCTACCTGGTCTCCGATATAGAGGTACGTTGTCTTCTTGCTCCCCTCAATGCGGATGGAGAAGCCAGACTGCGAGTTGAAAGTGCGGGTGTTGAGCGGAGACACGATGAATGGCTGCGACCATGGGCCGCTGAGGTCGTCGGCGCGGAATGCAACGACGTCTAGAAAAATCAGTAATTGCAGTGACAAATGCAATCTGAAACATGAGTCACATACTGTTTGGCCGGTATCCAGTCTTGTGGCTCATCAACGCCCAGTAACTTTTATCTGTCTGAATGATGGTAGGGGCCTCGAGATCGAACTTGGGGAACCGATAAATAACTTCATCCAGAGCTGTGATGTTGCTGTTAAAGCTGGTAAGATATACGTCTCGACCTTCGGCTCTGTCACCATTTGAGTATAGAGCGTAGGATCTGCCGTCCTTGTAATCCGTGAAAAGACCGAAATCCTGAGACCAGTTGCCGAGGGGAGCCACGGCATCGACGAACTCGTATGGACCCGCGATGTTGTCGGAGGTCGCGAAGCCTTGGAGGAGCCAGCCGTAGGTCGAATTATCTGCGTGCCACCACATCTGGTCTGGTTAGTATGGGTCGTCGATGTGAGTTCGGGTGCGTACGTGGTATTGCCCGGCCTCTTCGCTGTAAACGACCTTCGGGCGCTGGATAATGTGCTCGGTGGAGATGTACGGGTGGCCTTCGACGGGCTCTGGGGGAAGAAAGTCAGTTCCGAACAATGCGTGACATTCAAGTTCCCGTACCCAGTGCGAGACCGTGCGATTCCCATGTGCCTAGGTCATCGGAGCTGTACACAGAGACGCCACCACCCTCTTCTTGTCCCTCAATCTTGTACTCGCCAAAGAGCCAGAATTTGGACGACTCCTTGTCGAACCAAATGGAGCCGGCGTGCGCATTGACCAGGTTACCCTCGGTATCCCTCCATCGCCCACCAGGAACAATATACTTTGCCTGCGCCGCCGAAGCAAGCAACAGCGCAGAAAGAGCTTTGCACACACGCATTTCGAAAACCCAAATGTTGATCCCACAATTCGTTTCCCCAACGTGCCGTCGGAGCTCCTCTTATAGTGCGGGGAAATGACGCCAGGGTCCGCGCCTCCACGAGCTGTCGGCCTTTGCTATCCCGAAAATTGCGGGGTGTGAAATGAAGCTCTGCACAATTTCTCCGGTGGTGCTCTTGGTCTGGGCAACGCTCCTATGGGGTGGACTTGCGGTGTCGATCTCTTGCCGCTTCTGCGGGAGTTTTTCCGTGCTAAGCCCGATGCTTGAGCTGTCGGGTTAATGCACTGCACTATTAACCGATGTGATGCCATACTTTGTGAGATATTACAGCATTGCCTGACCTGCATGCTCTTGGCTCTGACTCTCATTTCTTGACATACGCGACAGCACGGTTCGGTCCTTGACCAGCGCAGTCCGCAGAATGTCCGGATATTTTGCGTCACCTCTACCGAGATCCGAGTGGATTGCACCGTGTGCCGGATCGTAGGCTTTTGCGAATCCCGAATGGCGAAACTGTTTTTGTTGTACGTAAAGGTTTGGTCGAGAATACAGAATCGGGTTGTTGCTGCAAAGCCTTTCGAAAATATATCTGCGGTCGAGCTCCTGTTTCCGGGCCCGAAACTGAGCGTGTAGCTCCAAGTTCTCAATGTCTCTTTCCGAAGAGATGTCGAGATACAGAGTCTTGGGATGCATCGTGAAAGACTCTGGTCCAGAGAAAGAGGAGGAAAGAAAGTGTTGAAGGCGTGGGTGTTGCTTGCAGCCTCAGGCACCAATGCTTGGCGGCCTTGCGTCGCGCCTTCCCAAACAGGTCCCCGAATAGCTTCACTCCCTCCTCCATCACCGTCAACGCGACGCGTTGCTCGGCAATTTACCTCTCTACCTCTCACCAACTCTTTTGGCGGAATTTACACTGCTTGACTTCAATGCACCTCTTGTCGTTTGATGCCCCTATCCATCCAAGTCCAATGTTATCCTCCGTGGCCTCGGAAATGTCGGTCTTCGCTCGCATGGCACGATCTCAAATCGAGCCACCGCCTCTGGTCGCGAGATCTGCGATCTGCGGTAGGAACCATGACTCATGGGCCCTTCTGGTGACAAGCTCCAATTAGCTGCCGATGAATACGATGTATCCGCTCGCGAAAAGCTCGTGTTCAGCGCCCAAGTATTTAAGCAGAATGAGCCGCAGCCTACTTTGACTCCGCAACACCATCTCGCGGAATAACGGCCAGAGACAATTATGGCTCAACGCACTCTTCCTCCCGTTCCTGTCAAGCACGCAGATCTAATCGGATACCTTCGGTCGCACCCCAACGAATCTGTACGCGATCTCTTGAAACCATATAACGATTACGACGCTGTTCTACGGCAAATCTTCGCCCAGGAGCCGAATCATCCCCTCATTGCAGATGGCCTTCTCAATGTCGTGCCGCTTTACAATGTCGGGGGTGACGGCGCCGCGGACCTACGAATTCGCGCCCGAGATCTCGCTACGGAGCCTGACGATGTGAAATCCAAATACATCATGCCCCTGGCGGACGAAGATCGCAGACCGGACGGTTCGTTCGCAGTGGTCCCATCGCTAAAGCAGTTCCAGACCAATTTCAGCATTTTCTCCGAGGGGTCGCTGAGCAGCCTTAACTGGGACAATGTCCTTGCCGTAGGCAGTTCGGTCGCAACGGCGCTCTTGCCCCTGCCAGGTGAGTTTGCGCAGGCAGACTCCAAACGCAAGATTCGCCAATTCTACCACGAGAAGTTTGCTCCTGCATCCGACGTGGATCTCTTCCTGTACGGCCTGAATCACGAGCAAGCTATTGAAAAGATCAAGCATATCGAGCGATGTATCAACGATTCGGTTCTGACTGAAACGACGGCTGTGCGCACGAAACACGCCATCACCATTGTATCGCAATACCCCACCCGCCATGTCCAGATTGTTCTTCGCTTGTACAAATCCCCGGCGGAGATACTCACTGGCCTTGATGTGGACTGCTCTGCTGTAGCCTACAACGGGCGCCAGGTGTATCTCACACCCCGTGCTCTCGGCGCATACATTACACAGATCAATAATATTGATTTATCGCGGCGCTCTCCGTCGTATGAAAGCCGTCTGTCAAAGTACTCTAGAAGAGGCTTTGAGGTCTACTGGCCCGATTTGGACCGATCTCGCATTGACCCCGTGAGTTTCTTCCAATCTCCATTGCGGTTGTGAGCCAGCTGACCTGTTAACAGACCATTTACGAGCGAAACTTGAAACGCATTGTTGGCCTAGCTCGTTTGCTCGTTCTGGAGAAGCTTCCTCATTTATCCGAGCGAGAGCTGTATCAGAACAAGAGGAGACGTGAACGCGGTCGTCCTGCCATCAAGGGGAGTCGGCAGTATGCTTTACCCGGCAATCTCAAAGACGAGTGGGACGATGAAATTCCCGACTGGATGGAGGAAGACCAAATCTCGAATTATCACACGATAAAGATTCCATACGGCAAAAAGTACTATGCAAGAAAGATCGAGAAGATCTTATTTACGAAGGATCTGCTTCTCAATGCAGAATGGAACCGGCCACAAGACCGGACGGCCAACTTGCACCGTCATCCGGCGTTCTTTGGCAGCGTTGATGATGTGCTGCACGACTGCTGCGGGTACTGTCCCGTCCCTGAGACAGATGAGGAGCACAAGATTGCACAGGAAGAGAGCAAGACGTTTATTTCTGGAGAGATAGGGTTTCTGACGGACAATCCTGGCCGCCAGGAAATTGGAAGTTTCAACCCGATCACCGAGGGAGATTGGTCCGGTATGTTGCATTACCTTTTGACTATCATGAAGCTAACTCGTACAGAAATGGCGTATCTCGGAAGCAGCGAGGGTCTCTCCCAGGCTATTGTCCACGGCGACCTTGAGGCAGTTAAACAATGGCTAGCCAAGGGAGTCGACATTAACAAACGTGATCATACAGGGCGCACCCCACTGCACTTAGCAGCCATGGCATCGACTCCGGAAATTCTCCAATATCTGGTCGACAATGGTGCGCGCATCACCTGGCGCTTGGCTGATGGCCGGTCGGCTCTACACTTAGCAGCAGCACGAGGCAATGTGGAAATGATCCGCAGCTTGATGAGAAGAAGTGGGCAGAATGAGGAATCAGAGGCCCAAAGGCAGATGCAAAAAAATGAATCTCAAGCGGCTGATTCCGCGACCGAATCGCACACAGAGGGCGATGCCGAGCTCGTCAGTAATCCCTCGGAGGATGGCTCCACAGACCATGTCTCATACGCCACTGGATCCTTTGTGAAGGTAAAGAAGGAGGAACCAGACAAAGAGGAACCATTCGCAGCCGACTCGGATCTATCTGATCCCGACATCTATGATGTAAATGCGGTCGAGTGGGACCTCAATGCTTCGCCGCTCCATCTGGCAATCATGAAAGGCCATGTGGAGGCTGTTGAGGAACTGGTCACGGCTTTCGGGGCCGATGTGTTGCTTCCTATCAAACCAAATAACGGTCCGAGATCTGTCAATCTCACCTTGGCCCTAGCTCTTGCACTGCCTCTGGAGCAAGCAAAGGCAATGACAGCTAAGCTGTTGGAACTCGGCGCATCTCCTGCCCAGGCAAACTCTGATCATAAAACACCTCTGTTATTTCTTGCAGCCGCAGGACATCACGACATCCTCGACCTATACCTACGCTATGATCAGCCCGCCGTTGCGCGCGCCATAAGTCATCTGTCTGTGGTGGAGATTCCGCATCAAATTCTTTCCGTGCAATCACCTCTTACAGCGGCCATCGGGGCAAAAAACGCCGCTATAGCAAGCAGGCTCCTCGAACTAGGGGCACGTCCGTCGATAAGCTTTCAGGAGTTTATGAGCTCGGCTCAAGAGTTCTCTTTCGTCCGGAATCAATTAACCGCGGAAAACCGAACCCACTTCGAGGAACGTGTCGACCAGCCTGTCGTCTACGCGGCTGAGAATGACCTGCCGCTGCTGGCGATGGAACTACTTGCCCGTGGCGCCGATCCAAATACCCTGACCCAGGAAGGATACGTTGCGCTTGGTAAATCGTACCGAAGCCGGCACACCACTGGCTCCTCATTGTTGGATTATGTTCGCACCAAGCTGGCCGCTCTACGTGAGTACACAGGGGAGCCGGTCAAAGCTACACCGCCAGAGCCTCTGGATCCTGACGACAATGCATACCTGAAAGAGTTCGCGCCCGGCTCATATCAGCATTGGAGGGCAAAGGGCATTCTCGCGGAAGAAAGGAAAACCTTCAAGAACAAGGAGCAGGAATATCTCAAGGCTTTGGAATCTGCAAACACCATGGAGGGCCTGCAGGAAAAGAAGGCCGCGATCAGAGAACTTGTGGAGGCTTTTGCAAAGCTGGAATCGGATTTGGTCAAACGAGGCGCGAAAACATTCCAAGAACTTCACCCGGACGTCAAGACAGATCAACCTGACACTGCTAAGACCTCCACCGCAAAAACATCTCCTTTCAGTATCACCCTGGGCTTCAGGGGCCCTGACATTATAGGAGACAAGCGACTTGACTATCTGAGAATGTAAGCAAAGCTCAGTCTTTTCCACGCTGTTACTCACATTTTACAGGTTCGAAGCCGCGTGGGCTGGCGACCTCGATACTATCAAGACGCTTACGACAACCGTTTCTTCTGATACTAGCTATCGCCAACCTTTGGAGCTTGCCATCTGCGATGATCGGGGGTACTCGGCGTTTACTATTGCCGTCATCCGCGGACATCTTGACGTTGCGTATGGAATCATAGCCATTGCCGCCGCTCAGTATAAACCCCCAGAGGAGAAGCAAGCCCGGTACCGGATGCGACAGTACGATTCGAGCGATGACTACGCTGAAAGCGACGACGATGAGTCCGACGGCCTGCAACTTGAGGAGGAAATTGTGCAAACCGAGTTCACCATAGACACTGTCGGCCAGATCAAAACCGAGGTCGAGAGCAAAACTAACCCAGTGGCCATCCTGAAAGGGCACTGTGCTTTGAACCTATTCCTAGAGGGAATCACAGGAGAAACCATCAACACGCTCATCGGTTATGCGATTTGGACCGACGATACCAAGCTGCTGGCCTCTCTCATCTCACTTGGAGAGCAACTCAACGAGAAATTCCCGTATTATCCAGGCGATCCCCAGCCGGATCAGATAAGTCCGGCCGACTTCCTCATGGCAATTCGACTCGGAAGGCTGCACTGCCTGGAGCTTCTCATTAAGCGAACCGGGACAGGGATTAATCTGGATGAGCTGGTTGAGAAGAGCGATATCGAGGTCGTGGAAACTCCCGACCACTACCGCGGGCTTTCGGTGCGTGGCAAGAAGCGCGCGGACTGGGCGAGTCGTGGTCGGACAACTAGACAATCAGAGACTGAACCACCGCTCCTTCAAGCCGCGAGGACGGGGAATCTAGAGAGTGTGCAGTGGTTCCTTGGTCCTGTGCCGGCTCGCTGCTATGCTACGTTTGTTGCGGCGTGGGAACACGACGAGAGGGTCCAGATGCTGTCCTCTACGAAGAAAGGACTGGAGCGGACGATTACTGATTTCTTGGACTGTAGACGTAAGCCCCCGTAATATCTTGCCTTGGATGAAACTGACTGTTGTAGGCCACTTGGTTCTCCATTGCGCCGTTCTCACTGCAGAGAACAAAGACTCCCAGGCCCTTGTGGAATACCTTGCCAACACCATGCGGCCTCTATTGGATGTCAAGAATGTAGACGGCTATACGCCCTTGGCCGTTGCATTCCGCCTTGGCCGGCTCGAGTTCGCCAAAACCTTGATCCAGGCTGGGGCTGATCAGACCGTCCGGGACAGCCAAGGCAACAATCTGCTCCATCTGCGATTCGGGAAAAAGAATCTATCGTTCGGCACAGGCGAGCCTATCTACGAAATGCTGGAACTGCTTGATCCTCAGCTCCTTCCGTCGATGTTGACCGAACGCTGCGCCTCCAGGGCGGGAACACATACTCCATTTTCTCTGTGGATATCACGAATCCCTTCCAGCAACCGCCCTGAGGCACTCAAGCAGCTGGCTACGGGTCTAGAATTAATCAAGCCTCTGGGCTCCAAGCACCTCGAGCTCCTCGACAATGCAGGAAATACCCCTGCCCATAATGCGGCGCTGAATTCGTGGGAGCAGACCGATTTCCTCCTGAGATATTTGCCTGAGCTAGCGGTAAAAGAGAACGTCAACGGGTTCACACCGGCGGACCTCGCAGAGCAGAAATGGTTCGCGGTGGCGGTCAAGCCTCCGGTTACCGGAGATCAGACGAGATATCGCAGACTTGGCGTGGGCGCGGTAGGGAGGGCACCCTGGACGTTTGTCCGCACATCCGGGGAGAGGATGACAGTGGATCAGAAGTGGAGAACTTATCAACGGTGCTGTGAAAGTGGAACGGGAAGCGAGGGCGTCGAGAGGAGGAGAAAGCTGGTGACGCTCTTCGAAGCGAGGGAATTCGCTGCGGCGTCTTATGCACGGTTCCGAACTAGTAGGGAGCCCTGGAGGCCAAGGGAGACGGATGAGATTAGCAAGTCTCTGGACATGTAGTTCGTACTCTAAATCGTGAACCCCTCGTTATTCTCTTGTGTTTGGAGTCTCTGTGTCTCACATGATCCATCCTTTGTTCATTTGATCCTTCGGCGTGGCCGAGGGCAGGCCCCAGCTCCTCCGCAAAGACAGCAATAGTTCGCGATCGATCGGACGAGTGGGCGATCTTGACTCTCCAAAGGTTCTGGACCCTGACTCCATTTCAGCCCAGGCGTGCCTGGACCTGACTCGCGCGACGAACGAGCGCGTGGCACAGTCGGCTATTCTACCTTCGCCCATGCGCCCAGCCAATAGCCCCAGAAGGTGGCGTTTTCCGTACCTGGGTCAGCATAGCCGACCCATTCACTTTATAACCTCGGGTTCCTGGTTTTTGACGATTTTGAGGGCCAGTCTGTCGTTACTGTCCTTATTTAATCAAAATGCGCTGGATCACTCTGCTGCTTCCCCTCGCGGCCACTGCGGCTGTCTTGCCCAACCCCGGCCGCAAGAGGCCCCACGGAACCTGCCCTCCCAAGGACGATGTCTTCAATCGGCTGAAGAGGGAGCGCGATGCGGTGCCGTTTTGCTGCGATCTGCTCGATATTCCGTCCGAGGTGACTACGATCACCAAGATCATTGAGGGTCGTTCAACCACCATCAGGACCACCGAAACTGTGCGCGACAGCTATCGGGGCACCACCACGAGCACCAGGACTGAGAAGAGCACTTCCACCATAGTCAAGGAGCCCATCACCACCACCGTCACTCGCTACACCACAGAAACCCAGGACGGAGGCGTTGTGACTGTCACCGATTACTATACTGCCACCATCACCGATGTGTCCACTTCGTTCCTTACTGAACCGGTCTTTACCACAATCACTAGCTCGACGACCAATGTCGTCACCGACTCGCTCACTAATATCATTACTTCCTATATTCCTGTTACCGTGACGGACTGGGACGTTGAAACCCTCACTGAGACCTCGACCAACACCATCACCGACTACAGCACCGAGTTCGTGACGGACTACATCACCATCACTAAGACAGGCATCGTCACCAATACAATCACCAACACGGACACGGATACGGTTACCAACTATCACACAGATACACTCACGCTTGAATTCACCGATACCGTCTACGAAACCGAGACCCATACGATCATTTCCACTGCTACAACAGACATCGAGGTCACCGAAACTGAGACAGATCTCGTTACTTCTTTTGACTCTACCTATGATACCATCACTAACCCGGTCTGGACTACCATCACCGAGTACTCTACCGCCACCATCACGACTAGAATCACCATCGGCACTACGGTCACAACCACAACGGTCGTGACAGCCATTCCAACAGCGACAATCACGACTCTCCGCGCCCCGGCCAAACGTGATGTCGAGATTAGACATCGGCCACATCCCGCACCTGTGCAGGCTTTCCCAACTCCTTCTGGTCTGAAAGATATCTCTTCGCTTTCTTTGTCGAGCGCCTGCTCCAAGTTGGATGTCACTGCCAGATGTGCTTCGGAGGTGGTGAGCACGACGAGAGTGCCTGGTCCTACTGTATGTCAATCCTCTCCTTTTAAGTGTCTCATCTAACCTGTTTGCAGACAACAACTACCATCACCACCTACAAACCTGGTGTTGGAATCAAGACGATCTATGCCACAGTATTCCATACCAAATATGTTACCAGCCAACCAACTGAAACTACGACTGCCTTCGTCACCAAAACGGTTGGAGGCTTGGACACGACAACCACTGCAGTTACCGACTTGGTTACGGCAACTAGCATTTCTACCGTCACTGATGTCGTCACGAACACTGTGATTGAATGGCACATCGTCACTCTCACCGACTTTGCGACTGTCGACCTGACCACAGACATCACGAGCGTCACAACTGTTGATTCAACTTCAGTAGAAGTCACTTCCATCACGACCGATGTAACTACCGACGTAATCGAAGTTTCAACAGTCGAGCTGACAACCGTCGATACCCTCACTCAGACCAGGGACTTTACCATCATCCAGACAATCACTCAAACGGCAGACATCACTGACACTGAAACCATCTCGCTCACAGCGACCACGACCGAGACTGCAGTTGTCGAGGAAACTTCTATCTCGACCATCACCTCGACCTCGTTTGTGACCGTTACTGAGACGGGCACTACTGTGATTCCCACGGTTCTCCCTACGACTATCGATGTGACGAGAACCGACCATGTCACCGAGACCGTCGATATTACTGTCACGGCTACCTTTACCACTACCACTACTACGACGATCACGTCCACCGCAGCGGCATCCCCAACCTGTGGGGTCAACGTGGTTCAGAACCCGGGCTTCAGTAATGGCAATGGTCCCACCCTGGCCCCCTGGAACTATCTTCCCTCTGGTCCTAGTGGATACGCATTCGTCGCAGGGCGGAGCGCAAACAATGATATAGCCCTGAGTCTCTTCACCCCAACGGGTGGTTCGGCAGCATCGGCCATCACGCAGACTCTATCAACAATCCCCGGCAGGATCTACATCGTAAACTTCTGGTACTTCGGCGTAAACGGCAATGCGGCGACGTCGTATTTGCGATGCTTTGCAAGCAACTCCGGCCAATCCAGCATCATCGTCCGATATGTGCCGAATCGCTTGCGCTGGCTTCAGGGTTCGTTTGCTTTCCCGGCGAGTTCGGCTTCGACGACTCTTACGTGCCAGCTTGTGACTTCCTCGCCTGCTGCGATTTATGTGGATGATTTTAGTGTTGTTACTTCTTGTGGGAGTACGCCTATATAAGCTTTTTCTAGGTTATGTACATAATACATTGTACATAGTCATTTGTACGATACATATTTCCCTCATTGGTCTTTGGCGAACATTTTACAACTTTCAATACGTCCTAAAATGCTCTGGTCTGGTACTTCTACACCGCATGGACTATCATAATTTCTTTGATAAAACTGGTATTCCAAGGAGATGGACCGCATATATATTCCGCCCGATCAGCGACTCGACTAGGCTCCAATTCACCATTGACGCACAGAGTCTTTGAGTGAGATGTCGGACCCGCCAGGAACCCGAAGGAAAGAGCAGCGGTGGGTCTGGTACGCATATCCCCCTTCAGGAAAACGATATGGAGTCTCGAGGCTGCGATCGACAGATGAGCGCCTGTTGTCAACTGGTCGTCACACACAAATTGACCTACTTTGTATTTTGCTGGCTATAGGCCGGTAGGTATGAGCTGCTTACATCAAGATCCGGTCGACTGGCCCAGTGGTTAAGGCATGTGCTTTACACGCACAGGATCGCAGGTTCGATCCCTGCGTCGATCAATTCTTTTTTCTACATTCTCTTTTTTTTTGCATCTTCGCATATTTGACACCCAACCAAACCTTCTTCTCTTTCTGTTTCTCTAGAGAAAACCCGTCGATCAAGAATCTCCTCGCAAGTCTTTCGTATCCGTGTCTCTTTCCAGTTCCTTATCCTCTTTCCTCGCTGAAACGATCTGCGCCAAAACCACCGAAGGAAACCCTACCTCCACGTCATGGCCCCTGGATCCTCACCCACGCGGCTGTGGTTGGTCGGAGAAATAAAGGAAGGGGCGTTTTGGCGCGAAAGAAAACCCTAATTGCAAATGCGCGGATTCGCATCTCCATCATTGATCTTCCTGATATCCTCGATCCTTTCGCCTCGCTGCTCGTATCGTCCCTTTTTGGTAGGTCATTGAGTGACCCTTAGGGACCGACGAGGTCTATCGACCTGTCGATGATAATCTATCCCCTTGCAACGTCACTTCTCTTCCTTCGCGCGTATCCCAAGAGCGACGTCTCACACTTGCGCTGCATTCCCCTGCGTCATAGCTAGAGTTTATCGGCGACGCTCCGCATAGCTCCACGTCCAGACGGAACAAACATGGATATCCTCTCTGAAGGAAGGGACTCGGGAAGGCTTGACGCGGCCCTGCCCTCACTGCGCCTGCCATCCCTTCTCCCCTGCAGATTGCAGGGGGGACACATAACTCCCGATAAACCCCAGATTCCAACAGAAAAAAACCACTGGGACACTTGAAGTTCTTTTCCGGACTACACCACGCCAATCCCTTTCATCCAACCCATCAACCATCTATGATCTGACCTGACAATGTCCACCGACTCAAACTTCACCGTAATAATAGTCGGCGGCTCAATCGCCGGGCTAACACTCTCGCACTGCCTCAACGCCGCCGGGATAAGGAACATCGTCCTGGAAAAACACGGCGAGATCGCAGCGCAGGTCGGGGCTTCCATTGGTGTCCTGCCGAACGGCGGGCGCATCCTCGATCAACTGGGCATATTTCACAGGATTGAGAAGCTCATTGAACCGCTTACGAGGGCGCATATTGCGTATCCGGATGGATTCACGCTGCGGAGCGAGTATCCGGTTACGGTTCAGGAGCGGTTCGTTTACCTTGCCCATACTTACCCCGTTGATTCTACCGGCGTTTAGTGGGCTAATATGTGATGCGTGTCTACAGCTTCGGCCGTCCCATGTCCTTCCTAACCCGCCAAGAACTAATCCAGGTCCTGCACGAATCGTTCGAGGATCCGTCGCACATCCACGTCAACAAGTGCGTTGCCCGCGTGCAGCAGGGGAAAGACAGTGTCCGCGTCGTGACCGAGGACGGTGCATCCTACGAGGGCGACCTCGTCGTCGGCGCAGATGGGGTGCACAGTAAAGTGCGCGCGGAGATGTGGTCGTTTCACAATTCGCCCGAGTTGGCGAGGGTTGCGCTGCGAGAGCATAGAGGTACATCCACCCACCCGTCCATACTATCCTATACTCCGAGCTCAGGATACGAAGTATGAGTTCTGACATGCGTGCAACAGCCCTTAGAGTCGAATACTCGTGCATATACGGCATATCCTCCGCCCTCCCGGGCCTCGAAGTTGGCGAACAAGTCGCCAACTTCGCCGACGGATTCACAATAATGACCTACCAGGGCCTCGGCGGGCGCGTCTACTGGTTCGTGATTGAGAAACTCGACCGGAAATACACGTACCCGCTCATTCCGCGGTTCACGGACCAGGACGCGATTCGGAATTGCGAAAGACTGGGAAGTGTGTGGTTGCGCAATTCGGTGCATTTCAGGGATGTTTGGAGATGTCGCGAGACGTTTGCCATGACGGCGCTGGAGGAGGCGGTGCTGAGGCCCTGGTCTGATGGGAGGATTGTTTGTATTGGGGATAGTATTCACAAGGTAACCTGCCACTACGCTTATCATCAGCGCGTCGAGTATAGGAGAGGATAATCATACTAACTGAATGTGTAGATGACGCCCAACCTCGGCCAAGGCGCAAACCTCGCAATTGAAGACGCCGCCGAACTCGCCAACACTCTGCACGCACTGCTCACATCCCACCGAATGCGAAACCCTGGCGCCCACAAAGACCAACAGAAACCCTCTGCCCCCTCCCTAACAACCGCCCTCACATCTTTCGAACGCAAACACCTCGCCCGCGCAACACACATCGTCAACATGTCTGCCCTAATGTCGCGCCTGCACGCACGGCAGGGCGTCTTCTACACGATCTTCGGCCGCTACATCCCGCCGCTCTTTCCGAGTCTCCCGGCGGAACTAATCTCGGCTGTTGTCCATGGCGCGCCGGTTTTGGAGTTTTTGCCTGTGCCGCCGCGGGAGGCGACGGGGTGGGTGCTTTTGGAAAGGGTGAAGGGGGTGCTCTTGGGGGTTGTTGTAGTTTTTGCGTGTTTGCTGAGTGGGATTGCGTTTTTGAAGCTTCTGAGGTAGGGTTCTAAGGGTTGGTCCGTTCAATCTTGACACCGAGATAGGAGTGTTGATCGCTTCGTATGGCCTGGAGCCGCGGTCGGTGTGCAGGACAAGCTCAGTCGCGTTTGTAATTGTTGTTCATTTATCAAAAGCAGTAGTAGAATAGATATCCCATCGAAGAATTAAATATTTGCGAATATTAGTCTATAATCTATGTCTATCGGAGAAACGCTAAGATACAGCAAAGCTATACGTTAGGCATCACAAGGGAAGGAGTAAAGACGAAAAAAAAATCTAAGCCTTGCACATGCGTCCAGACTCGGAAACAGTCCAGTAGTCACTGCCAACGCCCTTGAGGACGTAGAAGAAGTTCTCAGGATCCCACTTGGCCTTGATCTTAGCAAGAGCCTCGTAGTTGTCGCCGAAGAACACCTCCTTCCAGTTGGGCTGGCGGAAGTTGGCCTCGTTCTCGTACGCACCCGAGTTGGGGGTCGCGGCCTCGAGCTGGGGGATGAGGTCGTTGGTGATGCGCATCTGGGCGGCGACCATCTCGTCCCAGGGGGCGGTCTCGTTCCACGAGCTGCCGATCTGCATGGTCACGGCGGCGTTGCGCCAGGGAGCGAAGATGGCGTTGGGGACGTCGTTGGTGTTGGCGACGTTGAGGCCCACGCCGACGGCGACAATGCCCTGGGAAGTGATGTTGCGAAGAGCGGTGGCGATGCCGGCCGAGTTGGTCTCGAGATTGTCGCGGGAAAGGAGACGGCCGCCGTAGTTGAACTCGCCGACGCCAAGGTTACCGTTAGGGAGAGGGCCCATGTACTTGTTGTAGTGGTTGTAGTAGTCTTCGTACTGGGTGTAGGCTTCGGTGTACTTGATGCCCGCATCGGTGAGTGCAGTCAAGAAGGGGTTGAGGACATCCTTGACCTGGTCGGTGGTCATGTTGTACGCGGTGAGGGGCTTGATCAGGAAGACGCCGGGGAGCATCTGGTAGATCACGGTGGTTCCCGCGTCGATCATGGCGGGGAGGAGCTCATGAAACTTGGTGATGATGTCAATGTAGGCCTCATCGGTCATGCTGGCAGTGCTGAACGAGACCTGGGCGCCAGAGACGAGGGTGTTGGGGTACGCCTTGACAGTAGTAGACAGAACAACACCCCAGTTGCCGGCACCACCACCGCTGAGAGCCCAGTAGAGGTCGGTGTTTTCAGTGCGGGAAGCAGTCACGACCTTTCCGGCAGCAGTCACGACCTCGAATGACAGAGTCTGGTCAGCGCCCAGACCGAAGCTGGTGCTGAGCGCAGAGTGGCCTCCACCCTGGGTGTATCCTCCGGCAAGACCGACGGTCGGGCACTCGCCACCGACGACGACATGGCCTTGAGTGTGAGTAGCCTCGAGCACCTGGTATCCAAGCACACCACTGCCTAGCTTGTATGCGGGACCAGAATATGTCGAGTCGGACCAGTCCAGGTATTCGATGCTGTTGAGGTTATGGGTCCAAACGGAGAGGGCACCGGCACCGGTGGAGCGACCTAGGTAGCTAAGCAAATATTAGCTGTGCTTCAATGAAGAAGTGATGACACCACTTACTCATGACCGGTGTTCTTAATCACAAAGCGAATGTTGTTCTTCTGGGCAAACTTGACAGCCGCGACGACATTGTCGCTCGACTCGGCAGCAACAGTGTAGCTCACGTAGTTGCCGAGCTCGCAAGGAGTGGATCGGTCGGTGAAGGGATCGCAGCTGCGGTTCGCAAAGAACTGCTGCATGATGGAGGAGGAAGAGGGGTAGCTGGACGCGGCAACAAATTAGCATTCCGCGATCGGCAATAAAACAAGCAAGGGAGTTGCGACAACAACATACTGGGTTTGCGGGTAGTTCCAGTCGGCCTGCAGCGCAGCGCAAGCTGCCTCATCGTAGTTGGGATCATGGCAGGGAGATCCAATGGGAACCGTGGCGATCAGACGGCCGCCCACGGTGCTGTTGAGGGCATCCCATTTATTCGACGCAGGCCAGCACAAGTCCTCAGGCAGGCAGTGGCAAGTAGTATCGCGGGGCTTGCAAGAACCCGCGACAGCGTTGGAGACGAGGAGCGCCGCAACGGCGGACGAGAAACCCTTCATTTTGACAGACGATGAAGCCACAAAAGAATTCTGGGTCAATCGTAGGGTAGATCTCGTCAGATGTACTTATACTCCGTGTCTCGCCCCCAAGTTCCAAAAGTACGCTGCCCTCGGAGATTCCGTGAGCCACGTGTCGGACGTGTTCCCCAAAGCCGTTAAAACTCAGGAAGCAACGCTAACGGCTAAGGCCAGCTCGGTCCAATGAAAATTATGCAGCCCCAGTTAAGCTCCTCTTTGTGCGCCTCGAGGCTTATCCATGAATCGTAGACCGAGGTTCCGGTGGTGGGTTTCAGGAGACCTCTCGAGCGAAATTGCGGTCCTTATCGACTGACTCGGGGAAGTTGGGAACGAGCGAGCGCTTGTGTCGCCGAGAAAGGCAGAGCTCCATCCGATGGAGTCGAGTTGAGGGATATTCGATCGATTGCCCACACTCGATCGGATCATCATCGGCCAAACTCGAAAATGGAAAACTGCACTCCTCAAGGCTGCAGATGATCCGAGGCTCGAGCGGCGATCTGCAAACCAGGTTTTGGACACAAAAGCACACTCCAGCCATCTGGTCGGTTATGATGCAAAAGAAGATAAGCAAACCAGGGGAAAGTGCATGCCGGTCCCTTGCAGAATTCCTTCCTGCAGGATTTTTTTTCTGCAGGAATCCGTCACGACTCGTCGTGCGATTCACCGGCGGTGGCGCTGCTGGTAGTAGTTTCAATCCATGGAACTCAATTTAATAATACCCACTGCCTAACACTCCAAGGGCTCGAGCCAAGCCAGTGAGATTCTGTCTCGGGCCTCTCGGCTCTCGGTGCCTTGGCTAACCGAATAATTTGGGCTCTCGTCCACCATGGCTCAGATAGCGAAAAGCCCTGGCAAGCCCAAGGTTCACTACCCCAAAGTGTAATTCTTGCATTCGGCGTGCCTGGTATAAATAAGTACCTGGAGAATGAACACAGGGGTCACAGTCGCACATCGCCCGCTCGATCGTCCTATCTAGCGTGGAACAGCGTGTTTCACTGTGTTGCTGCTGCTGATCTGCCGCGATGAGCTTCGATCACACAAATGACCCAGGCCCAGCCCTGTCCCGGGGAATGTGGGCGGCGGTCGCCATTGCTGCCGTGATTCTCGCTCTCCGCGTTTTTGCGAAGGTCAAGCTGCGCCAGTTTCGCTTGGACGATGTCTTGATGATCGTGGCATGGGTGAGTGCAAATATTGAGCAATTCGCGGCTTTGGAAATATGCTGACCTTTGCTCGTCATAGGCCATGACTCTTGCAGCCATGGTGCTGCTGCAGCAGTCCACCGACCACGGTTTCGGTACCGACCTAAGAAAACTCGAAGACGACGATCTGAAAGTCGTACTCAAGTCGATCGCTATTGAAGTGCCGCTTGTCACCTTCAGCACCGGATTCGCCCGTTGTGCATTCGCCCTATACCTGCTCGCTATTCTCGGGGAAAGCGCAACTACCAGATCGCACTATGGACGGTGATGCTGCTACAACTTGCTGGGAACATTGTGTCGGCCGTTCTTCCGCTGAGCATCTGTCGCAACCCGAGGGTCTTGTGGGATAAGACCGTCCATACAACATGCGGCGATAGTGAAGCCGTGATCAAGTTTGCCTATTTCTCCTCTGGTTAGTCCCTACTAGAACTAATCGTGGACGACGACTAACCTGGTCAGCTGTCAATACTGCTGCGGATTTCTTCCTTGCTGTATTCCCCACGATCATCTTCTGGAACCTTAACCTGAGACTACGAATCAAGCTCAGTCTGATCACTCTGATGAGTCTCGGTCTACTGTAAGCAAATCCTCCTAATTCGAGGTATTTCTCGACGCTAATGCTGTGCAGTGCTATGATTGCATCTATTATCAAGACTACCAAATACGGCGACATTCCCGGAATCACCAACCTGGGCTCTCACGGCGGTATTGAGCTCATCCGCTGGGGCTTCGCCGAGAACCTGATCATCATCATCACCTCATCTGTACCCTGCATCCGGCCGCTCCTAATTTCCTCGGTGCGAAAGATCTCTAGCGCGGCGCGATCCAGATCGTATGAATTGAGTGGTCCGTTTTCAGGACACAAGGGTCCCTCGAGGAACATCTCCGGCGGCCCCTATTCCCACCAGCCCGAGCCAGACCTTCCGGACGAGGCCGATAGCATAGAGCGGATCCTGCGTGGTGCGGAGGAGGAGGAGCGCATGCGTGAGCTGCGCCGGGGCATTACGAAACAGGTTGATATCTCCGTCATGTCAGCGCATAGCACGTCCCAGAATAGTGGGCCATAGAACAGAGGCTAGAATATCATGAATCTATGTTTTGAGCACTTTGCGCTACAGCCATTTCCTCGGAGTTCAGTTGCTCTTTTGTCGGAAAGGCCCCACTAGATCACAACAAGGCGCCTCTCCGAGGGCTCGAACCAGAACACGGTCCTTCCAAGTTCCAGCCGGATCGATCCCAGCGATAATCCACCTGCCCGGCGCTCTCCGGCTTGGACAGCGGACTTCGGCCGGGTGGGGATTTACCGATTCTAGTGGTCCAAGAGAATAGTTCCGGGCGTACTTCGTGAGAGTGACTCGCTGGAGCAATAAGTTGGAGCAATTCCTAAAATGGCCCGTCGCTTCAAGTTTCCAAACCTTCCATAGTGTTCTCTTGGCTGTGGAGGCAGAGAGCTCGTAGGCAGGGTGGCAGGCTAATGTAGTAATCACCAGTGGCAGTCCTCGCTACGCTGACACTAACAGCTAGCTTAAACTTAATCCCGGCCATGTGGCTTCGTAGCCTGTATCGAACCCCACTGACCAAGTCTCATCAAGAAACGGCCACTGAGCCATTTCCGATTCGAGATCGTATGCCGCCACGTGGTTGGGAGTATCTGGGTTGAGGTTATCAGTAGTAGCAGTACGCTGGAGTACAGTCTCTCTCGGGGGAGTCGTTCGCGCACGAGTCGCCGACGGCTCGGGTCGCGAAATGCGAATGTCGCCGTACTCGTCAAAGGTCCCGGCCAGTGTCAGTCCGAGGCCAGGCTGCGTTGACCGGGCGGTCTCATAGAATCTGTTTGCTTCCTGGAGGGTTCGCCACTTTGTTGACTATTAGTTTCTCCGACGAACACGAGATGGAGACAAGGTGAGACATTCTGACATACCCAGCTAGTCCCTACATCCCAGAACCCACACAGACGTTCTAGATATTCCAAGTTTGATTTCTTCTCGCCCTCTGCTCGCGCGAGACCCCCTGGATATCGCGATGGACACACAGTCCCGTACATGTTGATGTGGGCGGCTACAAAGACACTAAACCCGGCGTATGGTGTGATTACAGGGGTAGCGCAGCTTTCAAGTGATGACAAAATCGCCCCTATTTGCTGCGCGGTTACAAACAGACGGTCAATAGTCCCATCGGGGTCCTCGCCGGTCTGCTCAGGTCCTTCGTTTTTAGGAATTGCCAGGAAACGGTCACGGTAGAGGAAAAGGACACTAAGATAGCCTTTGGTCAATTTACAACCAAGAGAGACAACAAAGAATGTTGAGTGGCCTCACCTCATAAAGTAGACCAGGTTGATGTACGCAAATAGTTCCCCATACCCTACAGCCACATGAGCGGGTGCACTGGTTTCTGGGTAACGGACTGTTATATCCTGCAGGTCTCTCCATTCATCCAGCTCCTCCTTCAAAGCTTGCCAGGTACGTAAGGACGACGGTGCAGACCCTCGCGCCCGGTTTCGACGGCTCTCATTCGCAAAGCGCAGAATCCGGACGAAGATGTCAAAGCCTCGAGTTACAATGGCGAGTCCGCGATCGATCTGAAGGTGCGTTCCATTAAGAGCCGCGCGGCTCATATCGGCTGGCTTGAGCCTCTGTGTCACCTTTGCGAAGTTGAAATCAAAGTCGCTTATCGGCAGCGGCACGGAGATCTGGCGAAAGGAGAGGGCAAAATGTTGCCGGGCACCAGAGCTTAGTTCACAGTCTTGAGCAAAGCAACACCAGTATGTGCGGACAAGCTGTTCGTATGCAATCTGGGAATGGGCGTGAAAGTCGTCTGGGGCATGTTCCATATGGTCGTCGGCACTCTTGAGGAGTGATTGTATCATATACGTTGCCATTCCTGGAAGTCACCAGATAATATCAGTTTGGCTCACGTACTTGCAACGAAAGAAGATCATCTCATACCGCTATACATCCAGGCCCGATAAGGCCGGCCGGAACCCCACTCATAAAGCGAGATCATGACAAGCGATTGAGCGAGGGGGAGAGAAGGAGACTCAAAAGCTCTGTGTGCAAGTTGAGCACGAGCGTACTGAGCATATGTTTCCGGAGACTCCAGGTCACACCCGGCCATGAAGCGAGCACAAAGTGAGAGCAGAGCCGCCAGGAAGACAGGGTCGACGGAGGTGACATCACGAGAGATGTCGGCGATCAAGGAGGGATAGTGGAGGAAATTGACGACAGGGAATTTCTTGCGGTAGATATCACACGCCGCAATGAGGGTTGAAGAGGAAAGAGTAGTAAGAGGAGAGGAAGCTCGACTCGGTGTATTCTCTGGAACTCGAGTCTCTGGCAGGCTGGGTCTGGAAGTCCGCGGAGTTCTCGGTGTTCTGACCGCACGTGGATCTGTCAAAAGGCAGGAACTACGATTGAGACGGAGGCAGCGACGACACGGAGGATGACCGTCGTGAACACACTTGACCTTGGATTGGCGACAATGATCGCAGGAGATGGACAAACGCATCTTCTGTTGGTGTGGAGAGAGTTGGAGAGGGATCGTCGGAGGGAAAAAGCAACTTGGAGATCGGGAATAATGATAGGCTTTGATTATGTATGTTATGTCTGCATTAATTCTGACTAATCCACTCACACAAGCGGTCCACCTGTGATTCGTCGGTCGCCCACGAAGTCACGATGCGGATGACGGTGCTCTGCGTCTGTGTTCGTCTCTGCCACGCGTAAAACCGAATCCTCTCCTCCAGCTGCGGCAGCTTCGTGTCCGGCACGATCACAAACACCTGGTTCGTCTCTGTCTCCGCGGTCAACTCCCATCCCATCCGCACAAACTGGTCTGCAATCCGCCTTGCCATCGCATTCGCGTGTCTAGCCAGCTCAAAGAACAGTCCATCTCGAAAGAGCTCACTAAATTGAACTCCCAGCACTCTTGACTTGCCCATCAATGCCCCTCGCTGCTTCATGTGAAACTCAAATCCCTCTGCCAGGGCTCTGCGAACCACAATGGCCTCGCCAAACAATGCCCCCATTTTGGTCCCTCCAATCCAGAAAATGTCCGTGTAATCCACCAGGTCGCGCAGTGCGACATCATTAACCTCGGCCGTCAATGCCACTCCCATTCTCGCTCCGTCAACAAGCATCAGGAGGTCGCGCCGTCGGCAGAGATCTGACAGCTCTTTCAGCTCTTGTCTGGAATAGACCGTCCCTAGTTCGGTTGCATTGGAAATATAAACCAATCTCGGCTTGGCCATATGCGGGAAGAATGTGTTCTGACTCAGGACGGTCTCAAGGTTCCCAGGAGTCATTTTACCCCGTACTCCAGGGACCGGGATGATCTTGTGCCCCGTCGCCTCAATTGCGCCTGCCTCCTTGTCGATAATGTGTCCGGTCTGCACTGCCAGGACAGCCTCGTATGGCCGCAGACAGCTAGCGATTGAGATCAAATTTGCCGCAGTCCCGCTGGGCACAAAGTGAATCGAGACCTCGTCTTCCGTCGCATTGAGTTGTGTGAGCAGTAGTTGCCGGGCCTCTTGTGAGTATTCGTCTGAGCCATATCCGGTCTGTTGTGTGGAGTTTGTACGGATGAGGGCTTCCAGCAGGCGCGGATGAGCCCCTTCGCTGTAGTCGTCCAGGAAGCTGTATGGAGTGGTGAGCTTGGCTATCATTATGCTTCGAACAAGAGGTACTGGACCAAAATAATGATCGGAATGAAGCTTGAAGAGTCTGCTTTGTTATAGGATTTATTCCCGGTCGGGAATGCCTCGGGAAAGAGCAAAGAGCAAAGTATGGGTCCGCATTACGTTTTGGGCGGATCTAGATCGCTGACAATCAATGACAGGGGGAAAACAATTACGATAAAGAACGCTCTGACCAAGAATGAAACCTCCGCTCTCCAATCTATCCGCCGGCCATCCCCGTGCCCAACCGCCTACTCATGCCGTCCTCTCCAGCAACTCCACATTGCTATCTCGCTTGCGTCCGCGCCGCTGCAATGCAAAGCCAGGATGGATGGCAGTCATGCAAATGCACATGATTGAAATCATTGCTCCCTCCAAGACCATGAAAGCGATCTCGTCGTTGGCCAGCTCGCTGTCATATCCTCCATTGAGTTCGACGACACGGAAGATGGATCGGATATAGACCAAAAGGGTCGAGAGAGCGACGGCTGCGACAGTCAGTCTTGTCCCAGCACGGGAACATATAATTTTGGGAACCTACTGAAGATCCAAACTTTCCACCGGCGTTTCTCGCGGATAGCAGCATATCCGTCGTCTTTCCTGTTTTCCGAATCACTGCTCCCATTCCGCTGCGCCTCTCGTGTCCGACGGCGCAGGCGGAAAGCGAATTCGGATCCCAGGTAGATGAACAGTGTCAAAGCGGCCACCTGGAAGGCCAATCCAGCAATCATGACGTTCGTCCCAGTTGTCCGCATGTCTGCATCGTCGGCTGTCGAAGTGATGGCACCTCCAGCACTCTGCATTGCCAGCGCGATCGCATCGCAAGAGACAAAGAAGATGGCATACATCCTGGGCCGCAGTCGCGAGATGTCTTCGCCATTGTATACAACCACGATCCGACCGAGAAGGAAGTAGAGGGCGGCGCAAAAGAAGACGGGTCCGAGGCTGAGACTAATAAGATTCCTGCATCTCTGTTAGCCTGGGTATCCTGGCTAGTCGCTTGTCTTGGCTTGGCCGCTTACATGAGAAACCAATCGAAGTTGAAAGGGTCATCGTGGAACAAAATTCGTGCGGAATATCCTAGCACTTCGAGCAACAGACCGGCTATCATCGAGAGAGAGAACCCCCACATGCGATACAGCGGAAGCTGGACGGCCTGAACTATGAGAAGGATCCCGAAGAGGGCGATGTAGATGGCGTTGCCGGGGATCGAAGGTTGGTAGTGGATGTAGGCATCCTCGATGGAGCAAGTCTCCAGGGTGCATGTTTCAGGATTCATGACGAGAAACAGAGAAAACCGACAATGAAATGCTATGAATTGAATTCTGTGGTTTCCGCCAGGGGATGAGGCCACTCCGCCAGGGTCATCTATATAGCAGGGCGCGCCAAGAGACCGACTGACCGAGTCCGAGTCCGAGTCCGTGTCCGTATCGCTCAGCCCCCAAACCAGGTTGCAAGATTCCCCCCTCAACAACTTATAAAGGACTCACCGTGTCCGTGTCCGCCTCCATCCGCAATACGAAGTATATGGAAAGCCAGAAAACAAGAATCATGTCTGCCTGTTCAGAGCGCGTCAAAACCTGCCAGACTTGCGCCAGGGCCAAGATCCGGTGCTTGCGCACGCCTGGTGAGACGGTCTGCGACCGGTGAGTCTCCCTCGTGTTCGCCGCGGGGACCCTCCACATCTGACTGATCATCATTCAGCTGTCTGCGCCTGAACAAACAATGCTATTTCCGCCCGGCTCGCATGCGACAAGCATGGTCGAAAAAGGAGAGCCGACTCGAGTCGCTGGAGCGACGAGTCGAAGAATTGCTCGGTCAACAATCCCACGGGGGTTGCAGCCAGCACAGTGACCATGATCAAGGCACACCACGCACAACCTCAACCGCCGGCGACGTTATCGACAGAGGCGTCGTGACGCTGGGCGAAGCGGCTGCGCTGCTGGACTCGTTTCGTCGGCTGATGATGCCTCACTTTCCCTTCGTCGTTGTGCCTCCTCAAATGACGGTTCAAGAGCTTCGCGAACAGAAGCCCTTTCTCTTCCTCGCTATCCTCTCTGTCTCGGTGACGCGCGATGTGGAATTGCAGCGATTTCTCGACGAGGAGACCGCAGCTGTCTTGGCCAATCGAACCGTGACGGACCACTGCCACAAGGCCTCGTTGGAGACAATACAGGGGATTCTCGTGTCCATCGCATGGTAAGCTCTTTAAATTCATCTCCTGCCAGGGTCTGATCGGTTTAGGGGACAACATCAAGCGGGTGCAAAGGGACCGAAACGACACGCGCCGCGAGACTTTTCAAACTATCTCCATCTGGCGATCAGCCTTGTGGTGGAGCTGGAGCTGGATCGTCCCGTCGAGCTCCGCAAACGCTGTCCGCGCATGACCATCGACACAATCAGTCCCATCGCGCGACCGCTACATATCCTACAGGACGAGCAGAGGGCCGTAATCGGGTGCTCCTTCCTCGCATCATGGTAAGCGGTCCGTCCAGACGCACTCTTTCCTTCTAACAAATCAAGCTCCTCCGTCATCACCCAGAAGACATGCACATTCCCCTGGTCCGCCCGGGTAGAGGCGTTTGCGCTCGAGCTGAGCGAAAAGGGAGAATATGCAAGTGACCAGTCCCTGATCCATCTTGTCCGACTCCAGCATCTCTTCGAGCAGATCGATCACCTCTCTGCGGATCCCAACATCCCCACCGCAGGCTACACCAACCCCATTGGCGATACGGACGCGTATCTACACCTATTCAGGACGATGTATAGTGAACTCCAGGACTACACGGCGCAACTCTCGCCACAATTTACGAGCAACAACTGTGCGTTTATTTCTCTGTCTGCGTGGTACGCTTCTGCTGACTGTAGGCAGTTATTCTAGCAGCTCAGCTGCACACGGTGAATCTATACCTATGCCAAGTAAGCCTGTTTGAGAAAGACAGCATCGCGCAGCTCCCTCAATCCATACGAGTCGATATCCTCTGCCACGGCCTCGCAACGGCGCGAAACTCCTTCGACGCTCTCCTCACCATTGCTCTCAACACCGAACGCTACTTGAGCTACACGCAATGGCTCCAAACGGGCTTCTGCCTAATCCTATCCTGCAAACTCGCGCTAATGGCCGCATCAGACAAGTCCATGCGCATGAACGAACCCCGCGTGCAGGCCCTCTGCGATAAGCTCGACATGATCCGCGTCCTGGATACCTGCGTCTCGCGACAACTGTCTCAGCAGCCGGATCGAAAGACGGGATTCGATTACTCGGGCTGGCTGCAGTGGATTCAGGAGTGGTTTGAGAAACATTATTATGCGTATACCTCGCGAGAGAAAATGTCGCACGAGGATATTGCCGTCGAGCATGCGATAGTCCCTGTTCATCATCAACCGACGCACTCGCCGCCGTTCTGTACAGGTGACGAAATCGGTATTCCGGTGTCGGCGGAAGATTACATGCCGTGGCCGGGCTTTCCGGATGTACTTCCCAGTAATAATGTCCTTGGTGGGTGGATGGATCTTGGAGTTATTTCGCTCTAATTGTGTCTTTGAACGACAAGTTGTCGTTCTCTTACGGCCAGGGGGCAGTCCTAGTCCAGCGCTTGCATGCAGGCGCGAGGAATGTCCACGGGTGAAACATCAAGTTGTGTCTAGGTGCCGCAGATAAACGTTCTCGTTGATAGAAACCAAGTGCAGTGAGCTATGCCGCGATGTTCACTATTTCCCCTTCCTATCAAGGTTGAAGAAATAGAAAGCCGGGTATGGTGGACTCATCTTTCGAAGGTCGTCCAACCTCGGCATGCTTTGATTGCGCTGGAGAAGGCATCAACACCCGCACCTCCAGCGCCAAGAGCCAGGATTCTTGAGGGCAGACGGGCGAAAGTGGAAGTTCCTCTTCTTTGTTGACGCCGAGTTGCAGCAACAACGAAGCTCTCACGGCACTCGCGAAGGTCCATTACTAATTCCTCCGCCATAAGCAGTCGGATTTAGCTCGATGGGGTACATACTCCGTGTCCGAGCCCGACAAGCTATAGTTACTCCAGGCAGGCCGCTGATTAATGCCACTCTATCAGCCCTCCTACCACCCCACGATGCTTGAGACACAGGAGAGGCTCGTCGCTCGAGCCTCAAGGTCCCCCAAATTACTATACTCATTTCGCTCCTCGCCATGTCCTATGCAGGGTGTGTTGTATGAGATGGTTGGAATATCGGCGTTATCCATCAGCAACGGCTAATATCCGCGTTATCTCCGCATACCTCCCTGGCTGAAGCTTCATCTATATAAGCTCATGATCATGTCTCGGCATCAAGGGGTATCATCAGAGAACAACCACCATCATGCCCGACACCGTCCTACAATACCAACTATCTGCCCCCAACGGCCATTTCGCCCTAGTCGCCGTGCCCCGACCAATTCCCGGCCCGACCGAGGTCTGCATCCGCACAAAAGCCGTTGCGCTGAACCCCCTTGATGCGAAGAAACTTGCTTCCGGAGTTGCTGTTGAATCATGGCCCGTCGTTCTGGGCAATGATGCAGCCGGTGTTGTTGAGTCTGTCGGAGATGCGGTGCGGGACTTTCGACCGGGGGATGAAGTCTTCTTTATATGTGGCCGGGAAAACAGATCCAGCGCATTCCAGGAGATTGTCACCATCTCGTCGCGTGCCGTCGCGCAGAAGCCAGCTCATCTGAGTTTTGAGGAGGTGGCCTCCCTTCCGTGAGTCCCTATACCTACGACGAACCCTTGAATCACGTTAACACCCTCCTAGACTTTGCTACGTAACCGCCGCCGCATCAATCATCCTCGGCTTGAACATCCCACTGCCTCACCTGGGTTTCGCATCGTCCAACTCCCTTAGGTCTGTCCTCATCCTCGGCGGGAGCTCTGTCGTCGGCGCAGGCGCCATCCAGCTCCTCCGACAAGCCCTCCCAGACGCCACGATCCTAACGACAAGCTCAGCCCAGCACCACGCACACCTCCTATCCCTCGGCGCAACGCGATGTTTCGAGCGCTCAGTCCAAGATGACCCCTCTGCACTCCTCGCCGCGACACCCAACGGCGCCGGTGTCGACGCCATCATCGACGCCGTCGGTGCAGCCGCGAGCCAGCCCTCCATCTTTTCTGCCCTGAACCCGAACGGACCAAACTTATACTCGCAGGTCGCTACCGGCGCAACCGTAAATGTTCCTGAGGACGTCTCTGTGACGGTGATCCGTGGCCCGGAACTCTTTGCTCGCCCGGAGGGTGATAGGGTGTTACCTGGGCTTGCGGAGTTGCTGGACAGTGGGATGTATCGGCTTCCTGTTCGTGTGGAGGTTGTCGGGAGGGGGTTTGGTGCTATTGAGTTGGGTCTCCGGCGGCTTCAGGGGCGTGTTAGTGGGGTTAAGCTTGTTGTTACTTTGAAGTAATCTCCGGTCACATTACGAATCTCTCTCAAGGGAGTTAACCTTGAACCTCGTGGTGGGATGGTTTGTTCTATTATGAAGTTTGTTTCTCTTATCCGAATACAAGCTCCCATTGTGATTACTGGTTAATTCTCAGCAATCCCTCGATATCCTCGCCCTTCAACCACTTATCCATCGCCTCATACATCCTAAAGAACCCCTTATTATTCAAAACCGGCAAATCCGTCAAAACCTCATGCCCCAGCCTCGCCTGACTCGCCCCCAAATACCGATACCCATACGGAAACCTCCCCAACTCGCCTTTGTCAAACCTCGGCACAGTCGCCCCATCAACGGGGACAACCCGGTCCTTCTCATAAATCAACTTCATATACTTGATCTTCCACGCCGGCGGGCCTGGCGTCGCAGAGACCTTTTTACAGAACACGATGAATCGACAGTCACACTCGACGTCGTACTCGATATCATCGCCGTGGTCGGTGCTGTGGAACCGCTGCGTGATGGTCGCCTTCATCTTCGCGACGGCGCGCGCGGTTCTGGGGTTGAGGTCGACCAGCGTCCCGTTTTCGCGGTGCATTATGAAGTCGCCCTTTGCGCGGCCGTCAATTGACGTTTGGATAAAATCGTCAATGGGCATGCCGCCGCTCCATGCTAAACACTCCAGTCAGCACGATATCTATCAACAATAGGGTTGGTGAGTGACAACATACTCGTAAAAATGTAACCCCCCTCCTCAGCAAAACAATCCCGATAATGCGTCCATTCAGACGAGTCGCGGTATACAGGCCATCCCCTGGCGAGTTCGGCGACGCAGTGGCGGTCGAGGATCTCCTCGGGGGTGCCGTTGATGTGGTTCCAGAGGGTTGGCTGTGTTTCTTTTTCGGTGACGTTGTAGGGCATCTCTTCGCTTTTTTCTGTTCACTCGAGATTTTATGAGTGTAAGCCTTGAATACTAGTTTAGGGGCATGTCTCTTGTCCTAAATAGCTGTCTCTGTTCACTGTTGCATGGGTGGTGATGTCACCCACGGGCCGGTATTCGGTGCTTTCCAACGTCATGCAAGTGGAGGACCTGAGTGCCACAATGCTCAGCATACGCCTAGGAGGAGCTTAACTCTGGTTCTACCGGTTATCGATCTCGGCTCTACATCCGAATGCCTGCAGCGTCCCGCCGGGAGAAGATTCAGCCGCTTAGCGCAAAACAAGCATTGTTCACGCTGACATCAGTAGTATATCGATTTTGTTAATTTATTGCATTGAGGTGGGGGCAATGCCTCGGAGGATTTGAAGGACCTTGAACTTGGGAATGATGAAGGCTTACAGCGCTATTGGTCTTTTAAAGCGAGGATCTGTGAAGGCCTGCTTCGGGTTAGTTTGCTGCTTTTGGGATACCGTACCCATATACTATATCATTATTACAGGCCGACTGCGGTTGGATATGGTACATAGGACTCTTTTTATCAGGCTAGTATCAGAACTTATAGGGGCTTTCACTATATCTAGCCTGCTCAGTCTAATCTACTAAGAGGATGACTAGTGCTTGTGGGCTTACCAGGTCCTCAAGGTGTCGCTGGCTGGGTTAGCCATGGTTCAGATGGCCCAAGAGGATCTACCGAGTTGTTAGTTCTAGCGAGATGCGCAATCGCCAACATTAGCAAGATAATCATGTCTAGTAGAACGCTTAACACAACAATAATAAATACTATTGGGGATTGTTGAGGCACGCTGGGCTTCATCGACTTGGCCATTTTCGATTAAGTGATTGGTCGCTGCCAGTCGTAGGCTCACTGGTTACACTTCTCAGGCTTCCGGTGTCTCCCGAGGCTGTATTCCCTATGGATTGTTCGTTCCATCATGCTGAACCCCATTCATCCTTCACGCTTCGACGATATTGGTCTGATTATATGGTAGCTAACTTGACCAAAAAAAAAAAAAAAAAAAAAAAAACACTCTTCCAGATTTGCGCGCGAAAGGCTGTTGACAGTCACATTACTTACTTGGGCTCGCTGCATATTATACTATACCCGTACTATAGGTTCGCTCCAGCACATTAGCTATAATTAGAGAACTATCGATGGCGACCTGATTGAGTTGGGCTGCCCAGCTGAAGAGTATACAAGCGGGCTAATCCTCCTGATTTCCTGTTGTTACTTCACTGTAGCTGCACCCTGCAGCCCCCTCTTCCTGCCTACACAATGATACCACACGACAGAGTCGTTCACCAGCCGCTGGGTGGTGCATCTTATTACTTCAAAGAGAGTCTACTCAAGTACCTTAGCGACCAATGTTCTCGACCGGCAGTCGCTCTGCATGTTGGCGCGCAGCCAAACTGCGCCCCGCACGTCGGTAATATGACGACCTTTGCGACCTGCTTTGCACTCGGCGCTTGCTTGCAGAAGCAATTTGCGCGCAATGTGAGAGTCAAGTTTATGTTTGTAGATAGCGCCCCGTCTCCAGGGCATGAGTTTCTTGTCCACGGGGTCAAGTACCAGAAGAGTCTGAAGCAGATGAGGACGTTCGAGGCCCACCAACGCGCATTTACAAACGTGCTGGATCGTTTATCTGAACTCTCTGGGGTCGCGTATGACATTTCTACGCAGAGCTTCTGGCGTTCAAACCACGCATTTCCCAACGTTATCCGAAGCCTCGTCGCACGACATTCAATCCTCGGCCCCCATTTGTCCCCAGATACAGGCAAGTTGGCTATTCGAGCACCATGTCCATATGAGGGCTGCGGGCTGGCCGACAAGCACGGCGTGAACAATCAGTACCATGCAGATGGCCGGATCACGTTCATCTGCCCCGACCACGGGGAGCATCACATCGATACCACGACGGCCCATGACCTCGAGCGGCTCGAGTTCAACACCCCGCTCCGCAATCTCATCCGAATTACCCTTTGCAGTCTCGACACAGACACTTCGTGGATCATGTGCACGGGCGCCGACTACGCGGGCTTCTACCAGGAGCAGCTAACCTGGCGGCTCCTCCAGCATCCCGCCCACGCGCCGATTATCTTCTACGCGCCTCTGATTCTGGACTGGTCTGGAGCCAAGTTGTCAAAGAGCTTGTACATCAAACAGGGCGGATACAACTACTTGGTCGATACGGGTCGCCGCTACCTGCTCGATGGAGATGCGTTTCTAGAGACCATCGGGGGTATGAAGGCACTTTTTGAGGAAGTTCAGGACTGGGTAAATCACCCACACAAGCTCTTTCGCAACTATACGCTGGAGTATCTGGAGACGCAGCTCATAACACGTGGAATGGCCTACCCATCCGCAGCCAGCGGCGCAAAGAAGTCGGATATCTTACTCTCCCCAATGACACCACCCAACGCCTCCCCAGAAACCTTCGAGCCACCCTCATCTTCACCATCACCCCCTTCTAAGCACGACCCCGACCTTAACCCCCTCCACTCCTCCCCCCTCGACAACAAATGATCCTGCCTCGCCAACGAATACCCCTCCACCAGCGCAACAGGCGCCCAGCAATACTTCTGCGGCGCGCCCCTCAAAAACCCCCGCGCCACCGCATCCCTCAACGAAACCGGCTCGCGCAGCCTCCACAGATCCAGAATCTGATACGCGTAGCTAGACACCTTGCTCCCCGCATTGAAGTCGGCGTTGCCGATCCCGCCGTCTTCGGGGACCTGGCCCCGGGTCTTGCCGCGCGAGATGCGCGCGACGTACTCGATTCGCGAGACGGGCGCTGTCGTGTACAGCCAGAGGCGCCGGACGCTGCTGGGGATGAGGTACCGGCGGTATTCGTGGTTTTTTTTCCCGAGGGCGATATTGGTCATGTGCGTGGGTTTGATGCTCATGAGGATGTCTTGTTTGCTGGTTTGGGAGGTCGGCTTTTTTGTTGATGTGACTTTTTGCTTCGCCATGCTTGGTTGATGGGACGAGATGAGAGGAGATGAGAGGAGATGTAGCCAAAGGCGCTTGTTGATAGTGTTGCAATGTACTGCGGTTATTAGTCTTCGAGGTTTTATGGCTCTGATTGTTCGACCTGCTGGCTTAGTTTAGCGCTAAAAAAAAAATGCTATAATACTTGAAATTGGCGCATAGGGAAATCTGCGAAAGGTGATTCAAGCTCAGCACATGTCTGGCTGGTGTTCCTTGAGTTGTTCCTTTGTTTTGAAAGGTCCAAAGGGGCAAGTCACGTGACTGTATACATACATTACTATACACAGATATAGGCCCAGATCGCGTCGAGACACCGCGACGCGTCTTGCGTACGGAGTAACCTAACCCCTTTATCATCACTCCCTCGGTTATCGGGGCATGTCCTAGCAAGCGGAAGGGGTCTCACGTATGGAGTTGTATTATCTCCCGTTATATCAAGGCGTGGTATCTTCATTTATACGTCCTGACTACCATGCCGATTTGACGCGTTATTCTCATGTATCTTTAGGACAGGGTTGCAACGGCAATGGAAAAGTTCTCAACTTTGCTGCGCTTCGGATGTTGACCTAATACGTGGCATGTAAGTGGTTCAATGGCGTCCATGGCTATGACTCCCTTCACTCCGCCAACGAAAAGTGGCGCTTGGTCGGGCCAAATACGAGGGAGCGGCTTTGCAGCCCACCTTGGCGAAGGACAGGGTCCCTGCGCCGCGAAAGTGCTTCATTTTAAGAGGGGTGAAGAGAACTCGATTTTAAACTGTTCACTTGCTCTATCACCGCCCATTACACCAACCCTGCAGCACCTGACAGTATGTCCGATGGGAAAGAGATTGTGCGTTCCCGGAAACTTATTTTGTTCGAGATCAAAGTACCAATCATGACTAAAACCAATTTAGATAAGCATTCATGTTGGAGAGTGGGTAGGGGCATACATAGTGTGTCGAACGCTGGATACCAGCTAATAATAACCATGATAGGGAGTCGACCTGGGCACGAATATCTGGTGAGAATGAATGTACGCTGCGGCTTTTGCTTTTGCTTATTCCCCACAGGAAGGGTCTGTTAAGTGAGCATGGGATTGATACCTCTGGACGGTATTCCTCCCTCGTATGAGCTGTTGGTGAGCTCGCTGACAATGGATAGGTCCAATAGCGCAAGTGATCTGCAACTGGAGAGACGGGGTGTCTACTTTAATAATGTTTGCTTTCCTCAGTCACTGTTGGCTTGCTATGCTATCAATAGAGACATCTCACACGCCTCAACAGACCGAAGTCGATTACTATATCCCCCGCGCAATAGTTACAGACCTGGAACCGATCACGCGTGAACGCTTGAATGAGAACACAATACACGAGCTACTCCCTGGACAGAACAAGATATACGGCCAGAGTGGTTGCTACAACAACTGGGCAAAAGGATTCTACAGCGCCGACGCGGGAGAAGTAACTGAGAAGGCCCTGGATGCACTACGCTGCGAGGCAGAACAATGTGACAGCCTTCAGGGTATCCAGATGACACACAGCATCTTCGCAGGCACAGGGGGTGGCATGGGTAGTCTACTGTTGTCTCGGCTCACAGAGGAATATCCGGAGATTCATCAAATGACGTCCTCGGTTATGCCAACATATAGTGTTGATGATGGGTGTGTGATTCGGCCATATAATGCTGTGCTTTCGTTGCAGTATCTAGCTGAACATGCAGATTTGACTTGGCTGTTTAGTCACTGGGTACGTACTGTTTTGGCTAAACGCCCATTCCTGCGAATCTGGGGTTATTTACGCTGACGTATACAGGCTATGAACAACAAGATTGTCTATCAACTGAAGATGGACAATTCCTGGGCCCTCTATAACCGGATCATATCAGACATAACGTCCGGTGCGACGACATCGCTGCGGTTCCCTACTGAGCAGGGCAGTGACTTGACTCGGTTCATCATGAATCTGGTTCCTACTTCTCCGAGACTCCATTTTCTAACGTCCGCGATGGCTCCGGTTTACACGAGTCAGGCTCATACCAATTCTGTCAAGATGACGACAACTCAACTAGCGAGAGAACTGTGTCAAGATAGGATGTGGACAATGTCCTGCAATCAACCCCGCTCACAAGTCCACGGCCGATGTCTTGCGTATAGTGCGATTTTGTACGTTTTATTACCTATACCGGCCATGCTTCTGCCGTACTGACATATTATGGTTTAGTCGCGGACCGAACGCATCTGTTAACGATATTGGACAGTTTTTCCAAAACGCCAGAGATAGGACGAGCCCTGATTTTGTTGAGTGGATGCCCGCAAACGCTCACCTCCACGTGTCTCCGGTTGCAGCAGCCGGATACAACTCGGAGACCGCGGCTTTTGGGATTGGAAATTTTACGTCAGTTATCGAGGAGCTGGAAGATACTCTGCAGATGTTTGATACATTGCTCAAAAGGAAGTCTTTCCTTCATTTCTACACAGATCATGGTATGGATCAAATGGAGTTCGTGGACGCCGCTTCAATCATGACCGATTTGATTGAGGAATATAAGATGGCCGAGTCTGATACTATTACTCAGTAACTACCCTATCTAATATGGCCTTCACAAGCCATCTAGTAAAATAGCATATGGGAAAATCATAATTCATGCAACTCAAGTTTTTTTAGATTCATTTAATTAGTTACTCTATACAAGGCCTCAAATGCCAGCGCCGTTAGTCCTGAAAGGCAGATTATTTAACCACGTCCCACACTTTTCACACATGCTAAACTCCATACCCAACAGCTCCCACTGGGCAACTCTGGATTTGATGAGCCACGGTTCAGAAAATATGTATAGTAAATCCTGCGTGTTCTATCTCAGGCTCAGGTAGTTCTCCAGAGGTAGCTGAGCGTCCCATTTGAACAGCTGCCCTACAACGGGGTAAGGTTGATAGCCAGAAGGTTCTGAAAACAGTTGAACTTACTAAGTAGCGATAAAGTAATGGACTTTAAATATCTTGTGTCTATTAGATATCCTGTTCTTCCTTGATAATACGTGGCTTTCAAGGTATGATCTAAAATCTAACATAGCCGATACGTTTCGCTACATATATATATCGAAGGGATTTTCAGCAAACGGGAACGCATCCCAAACCTGACATCCACGAGCTTAAAGATGTCTCATATGAGTACATAGGCATAGGAGACTCTTAAGCAACTATCATTAAGGGAGGAATCATCATAGTCGCCGTCTAAGAGAACAACAAAGTAGATGGGTGCCTGAGGCTTTAAAAGTCTCGGCGGGCTGGGAAGCCTATTTTGAGCTCGCTAATAAAGGCAAAGTAACGCCCAGTATTCCATCAACAGGCAAGGTGGCCGAGCGGTCTAAGGCGCGCGGTTAAGGTTTCCCAATTCGGATCCCTCATCTGATCTCATCAGTTTCCGCGTCATTAATTTGGCGTGGGTTCGAATCCCACCCTTGTCATTTCTTTTTGCCTTTTTTTTGTCTGTTGCTTGCTGGACGACTTTTTTCTTGGCGTCGGTCGATCTTTTTTGGACAGCGTTTTTTCCTGGCACGAATTTCATCTCGTCGCTGTTGGCAGGTATACTGAGCAGTGGAATGTGGCCTCAGTCATGTATCTTCTGTAGCCTAGCAAAAATATCTACTATTATCCATTAATCAATCCCTTTTCCCTGGCCGACAAGTTTGTCCTGACATTTTTCCCGGCTACATTTTCCTGGCCAGTTCAGTAACTTCACTGATAGAATGCATCTCGATGCAGCATTGCAGTGAATCGGAAATCGGCAACTCGATCATCAACACTGGCACAATCTCATCCATACATCTTATCTCTACCCTCCCGATTCCCCAATCCGATCAGGAAGAATGCTATCAACGAGATGGCGGAGCGGGCGCCTGAACCATGATAGCGGAGCGGCGAGCGGATGCTGCACTCTGGGAGGCGGCCCGCGCACCTGCCTGTATCTATGTGACAGCCACGCGAGCAGCTTCCTTCTCTACACTTGAGGCACTTAAAATGACCACTCATCCCCCTCAACAATGGCTTCAAATTCATCAACAGACATCTCCCCTTCACCATCATCATCAACCATGGGCTCAATCTCCGGCTGGAAGCGCCTCAACGTCGCCATCGTCGGCGGCGGCATTGGTGGGCTAGCAGCCGCCATCTCGCTCCGTCGCGCAGGCCACCAAGTCACCATCTATGAGCGCCACGACTTTGCAGGTGAAGTCGGTGCCTCGATTTCCTGCGCTGCAAACGGCACGCGCTGGCTGCACGAGTGGGGAGTTGATATTCCCAAGGGCGACCCCGTCGTGCTGAAGAAGCTCATCAACCGCGACTGGAAGACCGGCGAGCCGGTTAGCGTGTATGACCTTGATGATTATGAGGAGCGCTGGGGTTATGTGTATAATATGTTTCATCGGCAGTATATGCATTCTATGCTCAAGGACTGTGCATTGCAGGAGGAGGGGAAGGGGATGCCTGTGAAACTGCTTGTTAACCACCCTGTATGAGAGATACCCTGCCTTCTTCTAAACACTGAGTACTAACGGCAACAGTGCGAAAACATCGACATGGAAACCGGCCTCATCACCTTCTCAGACGGCACAACAGCCCAGCACGACCTCATCGTCGGCGCCGACGGCATCGGCTCCGCCGTCCGTCGGATTATCGGCCTGCACCCCGAAAAAACCGCAGCCCCCTCCAGCTGTCTCCACGCAAACGTCATGACAGAGGACGCCGTGAAACTCGGCCTCGTCGACTACTCGCAGGACTCCGCGCTGCAATACTGGGGCGGCCAGGAGGGCAAGTGGGATAAGATTGTGCTTTCGCCGTGTAATGGCGGGAAACTGCTTTCGTATTACTGCTTCTTCCCACGGGAGGTTGGAGACTATACGAGTCATACGTGGGGAGGCGAGGATCGGCCGGTTGAGGAGTTGCTTGCGCCGTATCCGGAGCTGGATGAGCAGGTGCGGTCGCATTTGGCGATTGGGATTGAGGTGCGGCCGTGGAGGCTTTGGGTGCAGTGAGTCCCACCATTACTTGGATACCTGAAATGATACTAACAAATGTAGTCAACCATACGAATATATCAGCCGCAACATGGTCTGCCTGCTCGGCGATGCAGGCCACCCGATGATGCCGCACCAGAGCCAAGGCGCCTGCATGGCGATCGAAGACGCCGCCGCGCTGGGCATCCTCTTCAACGAGGAGCACTTCTCCGGCGACGTCGCGCAGACGCTCCGCTACTACCAGGAGATCCGCCTCCCCCGGGTGACCAAAGTGCAAGCTGCGTCGGCCAAAGCCGCATACAACATCAACGAGCGCATCGGGTTCTCGAGTAACACGGGGAACACGAAGTACAGGGTCGAGGATGAGAAGAAGAAGCTGACGATTGAGGAAATGAATGCGTATGACATGTATAAGGATATTGAGGAGGTTATTGCGGTGGATCGTGGGGTGCCGTTTGAGGGGAAGTTTATTCGCGGGTTGCCGGTTGGGTTGAAGTTGTCGAATGGAGTTACTGTTGGCGAGGAGGCTTAAATTTGTACTTTATGATGCCTTGTTGTTTAGCGTTTATTCATGAATACTGTTATGTTCAATCTGATTCATGCAAGACGAGGAAGTAGTAATAGCGGAAAGTACATTGTTACTTAGCTGAGCCCGAAGCCCAACATGGGGCTGTGTCCATGGAATCCACCCCGCGGTCAGTCCTATGTACTGATTACATCCACTTCCCTTCCAAGCCAGGCCTTATCGAGCTGACTTGAGCCATGCTAGTGATTTTACTGCCTCAAAGGGCGTGAATAATAACTAGTCCGTCCCACTTTAGGCCTCCCACCTCCACTGATATAAAGACCAACCCAGCGCCTCTCTCTCACTCTCTTTCCCCCCTCCATTACCACTACCATCACAGTCTCCCTCCCACCTCAACCTCAACCATGACTCCCCCAGCGACCAGGAAACCAACCTTCGTCCTCGTCCCCGGCGCCTCTCAAAACCCCGCACACTACGCCTACCTCCTGCACCTCCTCCAATCAGCCGGCTACGGCGCCTCAACTGGCCTCCTCCCCAGCATCGGCGCAACGGGCCCCGTAACCGCCTCCGACGACGCAGACTACGTCCGCAACAGGCTCCTCCTGCCCTTACTCGACGTCGGGAACCAGGATGTTATCTTGATCAGTCATTCGTATAGTGGAATGCCGGCTAGTGCTGCAGCGCGTGGGCTGGGGCCCGCTGAGCGCAAGGCGGCTGGGAAGAGCACGGCTGTCCTCGGGCAGATTTTCATCGCGACAATTTTGATACCTGGCGGGGATGGGTTGAGTGTTATTGATGGGTTTGGGGGGCAGTTGCCGCCGCATATGTATATGGATGTACGTCTCACACTTTCTCCTTTTCTCTTCGTCCTGCCCGTACGCCCATTCCCAAACACAAGCACAAACATAGCCACGTCACTAACATGCAAGAACCATAAAGAAAGAAAACAACCTCCTAAAATGCGACGACCCGCTTCCCCCACTCTTCCACGACGTCCCGCAACCGCTCGCCTCCGCCGCCGTGCAAACAGCCCTCAGCCAAGGTCTAACCTCCTTCTCGAGCCCGTGTCCGCCGGCAAGCTGGAACACGGACGACTTCAAGGGTCGGATCGCATACATCCACACGCGCGACGATCGCGCTGTCCCTTACGAGGCGCAGGTCGCTATGGTGCAGGCGACGGGCGCCGAGTGGATTAGGCGCGAGGTCGACTGTGGGCATAGTGCCCAGTTGGCTAAGCCTGAGGAGTTGAGGGATGTTATTTTGGGGGTGGCGGGGTTGTGGGTGTGATTGGGATGGATCGTACTAAAGAGCATTTGCGCGCTGGTTATATTGAACTTGGATGCTGGGTGTCAGCAGACTCCGATCAGGTTCCGTTCTGGGGCGAGCCGAGCAGCGGGCAGCGAGACACCCTCTGGTTTGTGGACGGACATGCATGGAAAATACGCATAGAAGAGATTTTGCACTGCCTTCAGGTTTCTCGTTCAAGCCGCATGCTATGAAACTGTTAGAAGTGACTTGGGTTTAGGATTTGTACGTGCCCGTAGATAAATGGTTGAGTGGAGAGATAGCCTAGGAAGTGGACAGTCCCTAGGGAAGCAGCTCAACGCTGTGGGTTATAACCGAGCAAACCAATGACAAGAGTCTGTTTGGAAACTGGGGCTTACTTTACTGCGGCTAAGCCCAGGATCCTTCGCCTTAGCACTGCCTCTTCTCCACTCACTACTAGTGACTCTGTACCCACGAGTCTCAGCTGGTAATGAATGGTATGGACTGAAAATGATATAGTAGACAGGTTTTTGGTATTGTATGGACGAAGAGGTACTAGTAACGGTGGGCAAAATGCCCCCCCGCTTATTTCGAAATCGGGCTCCACGCTCCAGGCATCTCTCATGTATCTAGAATTCTAGATAATCTTTGGAAATATGGCAACTCTCTCTTCTATAATTTCCTTTTCGTCCTTACTATCTCCAAAGGTTCCTTTGTGTCCCTCGCGATCGGTTTCGGGGAACATGTTTATGCCCTCAGCCGACCGCCGTGCCATCAAGACTTGCGCCGTCGCAAATTCATGGTCTCGATCATGTTGAATGGGGCCTGAATTTGTAGACAGTCATCGATGTACCCTGGATCCGCCACTCTCCACGAAAGGAGCGATGCCCGAGATCACATGATTCGCTCGATGAGGGTAATATCGCTTCTACTGCACTCACTCTTAAGGATGCTTTCGACTATCCCATACACTCTCAAGCTTCGTTCGCTTCAAGGTTGAGCGACAATCATGCATGAGTGGCGCCTCGCCAGTACCATCAAACATCTCTGGAACGCGAACGCAGGTGCCAGATACCGCTGATAAGGTCCGTAGATCCGTCCGCTCTTTCTACCAAGTGCCTTAGCCGCGCTTTCCTTCTTCGTTGACTAATGCGAGGAAAGAACTACCTGGGTGGCTCCTTCCTTATTTGTCCCTCACTAAGTAGGAACGGCCCTCCCCCGCCGTCGCCTAGTAACGACCTGCCCCTTCCTCTTTTGATATCCCTCAGAGTAGGAAAGAACGACCCGTGACATTGGTGGCTCCTTCCTTTTCTGGTTACCGACGAACTACAAATGGAAGGCACGACTCTCTCCAATTGTTACCCAGCAACGAGGTACTCCTTCCTGTTTCATTATATAACAGAGTCGGAAAGTACGTCGTGATCGCGCCTTCCTTCCTTGTCACACGCCACGTATAAGGGGAAGGAACGACCCCCTTCTCGGCGTAACCTAGCAACGACTCGCGCCTTCCTGGCCTGATATAGAATGGAGCAGGAAGGTACAGCTGGACCACAGCATCCTCGTGGACCCGGAACGATCCGAGCCCTGTGCCGCCGGCCAGACGCGCCCTCTTCATTGAACCACGGCCGAGTTAGCCCTAACCCGCCGGAGAAATTCGCGCAGATAGCGGACGGCGCTTTCTAGAATACGGAATGCTCATGCGCTGAATGTTCATTGGATCATATGTGCTCTTTTAGACCCAAACCAACGAGTCATGCGAGTAAAGTAAGTATCATATGTGAATCAATTTATCCCGGTTTCGTACAATCTCTTATTGAAAACAGAACAGAAAAACCGTCATTCATAACCATAACCATAACCTCATGACCTCAAAACCTACTCGTAATAATTCTCAACCTTCAACCCCTTAAACTCAAACTGCGTGTTCTCGCGGCGCGTAAGCACAGTCTTGTGGTGCACGTCCTTGACACGCGCCCGAACATACTCTGTCCCCGTTGGAGCAACAGCGTTCGGATCCTTGTCCTCGTCCGTCAAAAGACCCAGCCTGTCGAGCAGCGGCGACGGAACGGGCTTCATGATCGTGTTGTCGCCGGGCCGGGCAAAGTATAGGAGGCCCAGACGGGCGATGTTGATTTGGTCCTTGGGTGGCGTGACGACGCGGTGGACGGTTGATTTTATGAATCCTGTCATGCATCAGCATGTCTGCACCTACATGGAGATATATCCCTGTGGTGAACGCACCTTTGGTCAGGAAAGTAAGCGTATCCGCCGCATTGCACGTAATCCCCCCCTCGACGGGCTTCACCCACTTCCACTCGCCCTCCGGCGTGCGAATCTGCAGCCCCGCAACATGCTGCGAAAACAGCAGCGTCAGACTCCCAAAATCCGTGTGCCCGCCCTTACTGTACCCCTGCGCCTTATCCCACTCTTCCTGCGTGCGCACGTTGTAGATCATGTAGCGCAGGTGGTCGTCCGAGCGATTGTCGTACGCGTGGGCGTCGCTGAGGTAGTTTTCGGGGAGCTCGAGAATGATGCTCATCAGCACGAAGAGCTTGTGCGCGACTTTCTCGAACAGGTCCCGGTGGAACGAGGCGATTTCCTCGTAGTTCTCCTGCACGATTTTGTGGCGCGGGACCGAGTCCCATTCGGGGATTGCTTTGGGGATGTTCAGCTATACCATCCAGTTAGCACCGACAGAATTCTGTATTCTAGTTCTCGCTTGTATGGGGGGACGCACCATCTCAACATTATCCTTGACCCCCGTATCGCCAATCCACCTCGAATTCTCACGATACCCAAAGTACTCGCCCTCGGCAAAATTACAGGGGAAAAACCTCTTCTCCTCAATCGGCTGCTTGAAGAACGCATCGCCAAAGCTAAACTGCCGCAGGACGCGCTCGTCGTCGATCCCGTGGCCCGTAACGACCCAGAACCCGACGCGCGTTAGTGCGTCGTACAAATCCCGCGCGAGAGATTCTTTGCCACCGGGCTCGTCGAAGCGGCTGAGGTCGATTTGGGGCAGGGGTGCCCATTCCAGGGGCTCGGTTGTGGGCGCGGGACGGCTCCATGCTTTTACGGGGATGGAGCGGGTGGCAGAGGCGGGCTCCTCGATGATGGCTCCGGGGGCCATGGCGATAGCAGTTCAGGAAATGATTTTCTTAGTAGAGCTAGTCGTGGTCAATGGTTTGAATGCCCAGACAAGCCTGCCATCGGGGTAAGCCCAGCCCTGACGAGGATGGAGCTTTTATAGCACGAGCCCGCGAGTAGTGCAAATGCTCCGCGATTGACGCGTTAATTGATTGCAAGTCTGGATTAGCTATGAGCCTATAGTGTGGGATATGAATTTGGAGACGTTGCGGAAGCGGGGTTGCGCTGCGCAGGTGTGGCTTGTGCTCATGCTTGGATGGGATGGCGTGATACAACCACCAAGAACAAACAATACTGCTTGACGGGACAAGAACTGCCACTGCCTTGGCTGGAAGTAAATAAGAGAATGAGGCTTGCCTGTGTGTATACTCTTGCTTGAAGTTTGTATGCTCTACATGTTGGAATTGAGCAGAGAGTTATTCGGATCTGCCTCACTGCTACAGCTACAGCTTCAGATACCAACATCGCCAGATCGACTCCAATGTCGCTATCCCTGCACCCGATGAGCAATCCCCAGTCGGCCTATATTGAGCAACCGACCAGTAAACGCCTGATAAACGCTCCGATAAATGGTCCGCTGTATTTTACCCTACATAACGCGATCTACCGTGCATTACTCATGCACAACCCTGTGGCAACCCTGCGTATTACCACAAAAATGCTCTAGATTCGCGGACCATTTCGCTGCCCAGACATGGCAAAATAAAGAAATCGACAGCACTAATTGCCGATCGTGTATGGCTAACGCCGATACTCAGTACATGCAGTTAATGTCCTCTGACTTTGTTCATGATAACAGATGTCGTGATTCAATCCATCATGGTATCAGCGCCACGACAAGAGCAGCCCTCACTATATAAACCTCACCATGTCGTAGTGGATAATTCCCCAGCCATCGAGGCGCCGCCGAGATGACTTCCCCTTCCATATCCCAGGTTCCTGAAAAGGGCCAGACCCAGATCACTTCTTCGAGCACTTCCCCTTCATTGTCTGCTTCTGCATCTGCACCCTCATCTATATCCCCTGATAATGCCGTTGAGCCAGCCGACAAGTGGGCGAATGTCTCGCCCGAATTCCACAAGCGCGCCATGCGCAAGGTCGACTTGTGGCTGGTGGGCTTCTACTCGCTCGTCTACATCTTCCGCGTCATCGACTCGAGCAACTACGCGAATGCCGCCATCATCAACCTCGAAGAGGGCAACGGGATCAAGGCCGAGCTCGGCTTCTCGCCCTCGCAGTGGTCCTGGAGCCAGTCGATTTTCTCATACAGCTACATGCTCTTCGAGCCGACGAATACGATCCTCCTGAAAAAGTTCAGGCCCTCCGTCTGGATGTTCCTGCTCATCCTCTCCTGGGGTGTATCCGCGACGTGCTCCGGCGCAGTCCAGAACTTCGAAGGCATGATGTGCGTCCGCTTCGCGATTGGACTTGCTGAAGCCGGGTTCTACCCGTCTGTTTTGTACCACATGGCCTTTTGGTACAAGCCCTCCGAGATGCCCTGGCGCATCGCACTCTTCTACTCCGTGGGCCAGCTCTCGTCCGCAATCTCTGGCCTCCTCGCCTACGCAATCAGCCACATGAACCGCCTCGGCGGCCTCTCCGGCTGGCGCTGGCTCTTCATCCTCGAGGGCCTCCCGGCCATCCTCTTCGCCTTTGTCGCGCTCTTCGGCGTCCCCGATTACCCCGAGACGGCCAAGATGCTCACGCCAGAGGAGAGAGAGTACCTCTCGAACCGCCTCTCAAAAGCCGCGCCCTCGGGGCGAGACCACAACTGGAGCTGGGCGGCTGTCAAGTCCCTGCTGAAGAGTCCGACAGTGTATACATTCTCGGTGTACTGGATCGGGCATGGGATTGGTGGGTTCGGGGTGAACTATGCGTTGCCCACGGTTATTTATGAGTTGGGGTTCACCACGACGGCGAATTCGCAGCTTATGAATATTGTACGCACCCCTCTTCAACTCTTCAAAGGCAATGAAGGTAGCTGACTTTGGACGTGTATAGCCCCCCTACGTCGCCTGCTTCCTCTTCCTCAACACCATTGGCCACTTTTTGCAGAAGAAGTGGATCCGCCCGTGGACTACCGCTGTTGCCAGTACGCCCCCCCCTCTTTCTCCAATCTATCCAGCAAGCATCCGCTAACAGGAACCTCTAGTCGAAAGCACAATAATCCTCTGCTACATCCTGTTGATAACAATCCACAACAGCGTAGCAAAGTACATAATCCTAATCATCGCAACCGCCTGCGCCGGCTCCGCATACCCCGTCATCTGGCCTGAACGGATCCGCGCACTCGAGGGGACAGTGGCCGCGGGTATCGGAATCGGCCTGACGAATGCCATGGCGCAGTTTAGTGGCATCGCCGGGCCGCACGTGTACAACTCGAGGTTTGGGCCGACGTATCGGACTTCGTATATTATTTGTTTGTGCTTTTTGGTGTTGGCGATTTGTGGGGTTCTCAGCTCGTGGGTGCTGGTTTGGAGGGGGGATAGGAGGCGCCAGAGGGAGGGGGAGGAGAGGGGTGTTGTTACTGAGAGTGAAGGCGAGGGCGTCATTACGAGTGAGAAAAGGGATGGGGAGAGGGTTTGATGGATTAGAGGACTTGCAAGCGATGAGTATGTGGTCCTACTCTATCAGATAGAACTGGATACCAAGACACCGGCAATTGACACGACTTCAGACCAATCCACGCAAACATAGTCTCAACAGGAGGACAGCCCAGAACAAAACAAGGGCAACACCTACTCCTTCATAAACTCAATAACAGCCGAAACATCCACATCCGCATACCCCGCCTCCGCAGCCCTCGTCATCCTCCCCAGGATCGGCATGATCAAGTCAGCCGTCACGCCGGCCTCCTCACTCGCCCGAACAATATTCTGCACACCAGTAACCTGCATCGCCATATTAGATCCCTGCGTCGCGTAATCACCCTCGTCGATCTGCTTTGCTAGAGCGCCGAGGTAGTGCGTCATTGCGCTCAGCCAGGGGGTGAGAAGCTGGACGAAGCCTGTGGCCGTTGTACCGGGTTGGGACTTGACGAGCGCAGTCGCGTGGAAGAAGCCCGAGAAGAGACCGTACATTCCCGAGAGCAGCGCGAGGTCATGCAGGGATGCGGAGCCGGGGTCAGTGCCTAGGAACTTGCTCGTTCCTAGATGGCTGAGGTGCGCCTCGACGCGCGAGAAGGTCTCCGCCGATTCCCCGCTATACAGTAGCACGGCATGCGGCGACCCGATCATATCGGGGACAGCCATGATACCGCCGTGGATGTACTGTGCCCCGTGAGAGATAACCCACTCCGAGGTCTCGCGCGCCTGCGAGGGCGTGCCGTTCGTCAGGTTGATGACCGTCTTACCATTCAGGGCAGCGGTTGCCTGGTCGAGGGTCTGCCGGACAGAGGCGTTGTCGAGGAGGCAGAGGATGATGAGATCCGCGGATGCGAGGCCTTCGCCGACGGTGTTCGCGAGCTTCGCGCCTTTTTCGACGAGAGGCGCTGCCTTTGAGGGCGTACGGTTCCAGATTGTCGTGGTGTAGCCCTTTTCAATGTATTTGGCCGCGAGGGCTTTGCCCATTGCGCCGAGGCCGAAGAGGGTGATTGTGGACATTTTGAGTCAAGATGAATTGGGTTGAGATGGGAGGGGATGATTGGATGTTGTGGTTTTGAATGCTTTGATTGTTGAGCTGCTGATGATATCTACAACACAGGGCAAGACGCCCATTTATACTCCTTCCACGACGATGCCACTCCGACCAACATCCAAACCCATTTGGTATATTAATAATGTTCTCTTCGATTCCACCTCAACCTCCGTGACGCAGATGAAGCCAAACAGTGGCCATAACCTCGTATTCAGCCTTGGCGGTTACAAATAACAGCAGCCTGCAAACAGGCCAAGCTCTGTAGAGAGAGACACCAGAACTGAAGCAGTTAGAGTGTCAGCAGCGTGCAGCATCTCCGGCTTGGCCATCGCTTATCTCCTGCTGGGCGTCTCAGCACGGAGTCCGCGGGTTCGCTCGAGACCAGAACCTCATCGAATATCATAACCGGCTCCCCTTCCCCTTTCCATCCTTGCAAATACTCTTCTCAATAACGTCCGGCACACCCGCCGTATCCCGTCGACAGAAACACGACGCGCGAATCGGTACATCCGCAACGGCCATTGCAAGTCTCAACGCAGGCTCAATAACAGCCGCATCTTCTGTTCTTCCCATCCGCACCAAACACTCATGATACCCCTGCAGCGCCCAGACATTCTTCGGGTGCCGGCGCGGTCGAATGAGTGATGTGTCGAGGCCGAGATCCGCACGGTACTCTCGCGCTGCTTCTTCGACGTGGCCCTGTTCGAGTAGGAGGGCGGCGTACGCGTGCCGGGCTGGTTGCATCCACGCCCAGGGTTCAGAATAGGGGAGTTTGTCATCGAGTTCGGTGGAGTGCCGGAGGTGTTTCCAGGCTGCATCAAAGTTTCCTTCGCGGTAGGCGATCTCGCCATCGAGCATGGCGGAGGCTACGGCCAATGTCTCAACCGCTTTGCAGTTGTAGGCCCGACGCGAGGGCGCAACGCGGGAGCGCGCTTGATAGAATGCCTCGCGCTCTTTCTTGGCCATGGAGACTAGACCTGTCGCTGCGAAGGCGAGACCCTTGGCATAGTGCGTTGTAGCCGTCGTGGCGCAGTATAACTCTTGATCTTTCGGCAAGGCAGTCTGGATAATCTCCGCCCACATCCCAAACCGAATAAGGACATGCAACCTCGCCGCCAGAAAATTCTCCAACCAGTCCGCCAGCGGCGGAGATCTCATACGCAATACACACTCAGGCACAGACTCCTCCATCCGGGTCACAGCATCAATCGCCGTCGCGTACTGACCCGCAAACATGGCCGCGTAGATGAGCGAGTGGTAGTTGTGTAGTCTGTAGAAGGTGTATAGGTTATACGGCCCGACGTTCTTGAGGTACTTTTCATCAGCAAGCGTGGCCTTTTGATTTGATGTGATGGATCGTCTCCAGTCGCCGACGAGGATGTCGAGGTGGGTGGGCATGTGGTGGAGGTGGCCTGCATCGGGCACGAGCTCGCGCAGGCGGTCGGCGAGCTTGATTCCGAGTTCGGGCATTGGGGACATTTCGATATAGTGGATGTATAAGTGCAGTAACCCGGGATGGTCGTGTGCGCCTTCTCGAGCGAGTGCCCCCTCCAGCACAGACTTGACCAGCGTCGTCGGCGCATTCGGTGCGGGTTCCCCTGTAAACAGGTTCCAGAGCGCCCAGGGGGTAACGTTCATAAGGGCGTCGGCGTATAGGACTGCAATCTCGATATCCTCGCCAAAGGCCTGATACACACTCGCCATGGCGGCGGCATATCGTCGATTCACGAGACCGGGGTCACTCGGCGGATCTGGGCTCTCATAGCGCGTCTGGATCGCCTCGATAACCGCCTGTTCCCACGGGGCTACATGCTTCTCATTCGCATTGACAATCTTCTTGGCCTCCCTCGCCGCATCAAACCCCCTCCTCGCCGAAGTCTCCAAATCATGCCGATCAAACCGTTCCCAGGGTTTATTATAGTTCGGACCAACGGCATACGCAAGACCCCAATATGCCATGGCACACGAGGGGTCATGTGCGATGGCCTGCCGGAAGCAGGAAACCCCCTCGGCGTGGTTGAAAGCGTAGACCCAGACGAGACCGCGGTTGAACCATGTCTGTGCGTCCGGGGAGGTTGTGCTTATCGGGCGGGTGAAGGGGCCTAGGGCGTAGTACTCGGTGCTGGCAGGAATGGGTTTCATTGTTATCTCCGAAGGTGAGGCTCGGAGATCGGGTTGAGCTGCTGGTTTGTCATGGCAGGGGACGCTGGAGGTCAGGTACAAGACGGCGATGTCACTCTGATGTGGTGGCGAGAGGGGGTGGCCAGTAAGGGGTTGCGGAGGGGTTAGCGCAGTCACTTTTATCTGGGTAATGCGGGGAATTGGCGATCGTATGATAGGCAGCACTCTTTCTTGCAGTTAGAAGGAAAACTCCATTGAAGCAGCCTCAGATCCGAGTATTCCGTAGGGAATTTTCACTGTTGCTCATTTCCCACTTCGCGGAAGGTTCATTCTTGTTATTGCTTTTGATGAACTTCGCCTGGGACAGCCAGCTGCGTGGAGACAGTGGACCGTTCTGTCCAATCAGCATAGGCAATTTTCCTAGCGCGAGCCTTTTATTTGGGTTCAAATGCGGGGTTTGCAGCTCTGCTGATCAACAATGAGTCAAGGCCCAAACAACAAAACTGTAATATTTGACAACTCACCATATTCCAAAAACAACCATTGAGACATGATGGATCGCCTCTCTCTGCCCACCGGCTCAACAGCCGTCGACGTCGGCATCATCGACAGGCAAGCAAACCACCCTCAAGCCCTTGGTTGAAGCATTTATTTAAGAATAGCACCACTGTAGCACCGCCCGCCTCACCATCCCTGCATCGCACCTCCTCTCCCCCGCCACCGACCTCGACGGAGTAACATTAACGGCGCCATCGTACTCATTCTTCATCGCGCACCCGTCGGGTCGCAAAATCCTCTTTGATCTGGGGCTGCGCAAGGACTGGTGGAATCTCACGCCCGCCACGAATGGTTTTCTCAAGAGTGCCGGCTGGAAGCTCGAGGTGACGAAAAACGTCAGCGACATCCTGCAAGAGAATGGTGAGGCTCTTGATGAGGTCGAGGCTGTTGTCTGGAGTCATCATCACTTCGACCATGTTGGGGATATGAGTGCTTTTCCAGAGACGACGAAGATAATTGTCGGGCCGGGTTTCAAGAGGCATTACACACCCGCCTATCCAAGTAATAAAACCTCGACCCTCTTTGAATCCGACTGGGAAAGTCACAGCCTGCACGAGCTCTCATTCGATGAATCCGAAACAGAACCGCTGCGACAGATCGGTCCATTCGCCGCAATCGACTATTTTGGCGACGGCAGTTTCTACATACTCGATGCACCGGGACATACTTTTGGGCACGTCGCCGCCCTCGCCCGCGTGGCTGCTGACAGACATGATCCTGGGAAAAGCAGCTTTGTGTTTATGGGCGGCGATACGTGTCATTTCGCAGGGCAATTTCGGCCGACGGTGGAGCGGCCTCTCCCTGTGGGTGGGATTGCAGCTGGTGAAGGCGCGGAATATACTTCCGAGGCGTCCCAGATCCAGCCCAATCTTCAGCACCAGGCCAAGCACCAGGCACAGGCCCAGGCCCAGGCTTCCACCGCTGCCTGTCCCGGGTCCATAATGGAGAGACTATTGGCTAACCCAACAATGCCACTCTTCGAAATGCCGGCGACAAACACGGTAGATGTAGCCGAGGCGCACGCGTCGATATCCAAGATGCAAGCCTTTGACGCAGCCGAAAATATCTGGGTCGTCATCGCGCATGACCAGGCCCTCCTCGACCTCGTCGACTTTTATCCCGCGAGCGTGAATGATTGGCAGAGAAAAGGCTATGCCCAGAAGACGCGGTGGAGGTTTTGGAACACGTTGGCACGGAAAAAGTCTGAGACGAAGCTTGCGTGATGGTGCAGGATCTTGTATCTCTTGGGTACCGGCCCGATCGGAGATTTGGTTCGCTGGATGCTTGTGGGTGTCTCGTATCGATCTGTTTGTGGAGGCTGTGACCCAGCAAGGAGGATTAACTTGTTCAGAATCAGAGCTTATTTCAGCTCGTCTGCTCGTCGCTGCGTGCTAAGCCTACTAGCTGGAGGGCTATTTGAGGTTTATCGATTCGGTGGACCTGATTGGTTGCGATTATACGAACGCCACGGCCAAATTCAAACTCCGAGTCGCATCCCAGATAGAACAAAATCAAAAGAAAACATTACATGCTGTATCCCTGACACCTGCAACCTGCTGCTTACCTACCTCTCCGCCTCAGAATCCGGAATATCCTCCAGCCCCAAGCCACGATTCTCCCTCCTCACACCACTGGCACCCCCAATCACACTGCTATCTTCCCCAATCCTCGTCCCAGCAGAACTAATACTCGCCTCCGAAACCCCCGAAACGTACCTTGGCCGCCCACCCCCACTCACACTCCCATCCGCCTCAACCAGCTGCGTCGAATACGACTGCATGCTCGAGAGACTGGAGACGTTGCGCGTATGGCCTGGCCGTGTTGCAGTCGCGGATGCTGGGACGTCGGCTTCCTTTTCCTGCGGGAATTCGGGGGAGACGGGCGATATGTATCCCATGGCCCCGGGGGTTGTTGCTGGGCTGGTTGTTGCCGCGGGGCTTGATGCTGATGCCGGGGATGGCGCGAGGGGGTGCTCGTTGTAGGATGTTGGGAGTTCGACGGCATAGCCTCTGCTCGTCCCTACAGAACCATTTCCATTAGTATCACGCACAGCGCAGTATAAGGCAAGAGAAACTGGGTGGGTGATGCCGTACCCTGCATCTCATACACAGGCTCACTCCCCGCCTCAGCCGTCGCCGTCGTCCCCGACACGGCCCCGATGCCCGTCGTAACACTCGGCGCAACCGTCTCGTCATTGGTAAACCCACCAGAGACCGTCGTCGTCTCCTCCCCATCGTTCGCATCCTTGGGCGGCGAAAACGCACCAGCATGCACCCACTGCATCACCCGTGATCCACGGGATGCTTCACTATGTCGTCGCCCCCCAGCGCGGAGCTTTCTGCGGCGCCGCAGGAACCAAAAGGCGAATGCGCCGACGAGGACGAGGACGCCGGCGACGACGCCGATGACGGCGCCGGCCCAGGAGGGGAAGCTTGATCCGCCGGAGTCCGGGGTTGGGACCGTGGTTGTTGTTATGTTTGTGGCGTTGTAGGGGTACCAGGTTGAGATTGGGGACGTGTATGTGCGGGAGAAGACGGCTTCGAGGGAGGAGTTTGTCCATGAGGAGGGGGATGTCCTGTAGACAGAATCAGTATGGTCAAGACATAAACAGGGTAGAGTTTAGTCTTGTTTGGATGGATCACTCACTCTCCACGGATCCTCGAGGCAACCAACTCCGGCACCACATACTCCTGCCAAACCTCGGGATCATAGCTATCCTGAAACCGCCCCGTATTCAAATTAAACACCCTCACCATCCCATCAACACAAACCATCGGATCCGTTACTTCCCCACCGAGCACAAGCATCTGATCCGGATACGGCTTGACGCACTTGTGCCCGTGTCGTCCGGGCCCGTCGCCGTCGTACAGGTGGATCCATTCGAAGGAGGGGAGCGATAACACGTAGACGGAGTCGCTGGGGGTGTTGGTGGGTCGGAGTCCGTCGTAGCCGCCGTAGATGTAGATGTTGTGCGTGGACGTGGGCGTGGGCGTGTTGTTGTCCGCGTTGGAGGCGGAGGCGTAGACGGAGCAGAATTGCGTTAGTGCTGGGGGGATGTCGCCAGTTGTGTTTTGCAGGTACCTACATCCGATCAGTACATGGACACCCCTCTGGAGGTCAAGGATAGAGATGATGATGGGTGTCTTACCACCGCTCCCCGGCAACATCATAAACAGCAACCGTGCTCATGTACCCAGGACTAACCCACGCACTCTCCGCCTCATCCTCGTCACTCAGCCCGCCCGCATAAAGAGCCTCGAGGTGCCTCACCCCGCCAACCAGCACAACAACCCCCTTATCACCCACCGGAACCCAAACCGCCTCTCCGTTCGCGCGCGGCGGCACAAACTCCGGCAGGGACACATTTGTAAACACCGGATTGCGCATCTCGGACATATCCACCTGGATCATATGCTGCGAAAGGTTGGTTGCCGAGCCATTCTCGTAGATGGGAGCCCAGTTTGGTGCGCGCAGCCCGCTGATGTAGAAGCCGAGGTTTTCGGAGGGTGAAGAGACGCCTGCGCCGGCGGTGATGTAGCGGGTGATGTCGTTGTCGAGGTCTTCGTTTATGAATTGCGGTTCCCACATTGTGAGGTGTGGGCCGTATTGGTAGAGTTCGTAGGCGAGGATCTGGTCGGGAGATGGTTCGGATTGGCTTGCTGTTGGGGAGAGGAGGCCACTGTAGATGGGTTAGAAGACACGAGGAATAGAGTGCGCAGGTGATTATTAGAGTGGAACAATCGAGGAGCGCTAGTAAGGGAAACGGTACCCGTAGAGCCAGAATTTGTTATCATTTGCAAACATGACTCCATCGTGGTATGTCGGGGCGAGGTTATTTGCGATGCCGCCTGCCTTGCGTATGGAGCCGAATAATGCAGTGAGGTTTGTGGTTGCGGTGTTGAAGGTTTGGTTGAGGTGGAGGTAGTAGAGCAGGCCCTCGTCGTTGTCTGATGAAGTGTCAGCGATTGCCATTCGGACTCGGAGTGTACATACTCGTGCTTTCTACACGGGTGAGTCCATCGTCGTATCCTCTGTCTCGGTCAGTGTCGCCCCTTCAGACCGAGTGAGTGACTTACATCTGCCACCAGAGGGCGCCCCCGTCCAGGTAGACGGTATCGCGAATCGTATTCACTGCCAGGGTGAGTTTCATCGAACCACCGACAAATTTCAGAACAGAGCAGAGCTCACCTCTCGCCTCCCTCCAATTGCACATGGAAACATTGACTGTATGCTCCCAACTCTGCGCCCGCGACTCGCTCACCAGCAGCGCGAGCGCAAATAGCCATCTCGTCGAATCAAGCGGCATGGTTTACTGCAGAATATCGCTAGATCTATCGTGGATGCTCATCACCTCGACATATTTTCTCTCCCCTCTGTTCCTCTGTTTTCTGCTTTCTTTCTTCTCCGCGTGCCCCTTTTCGCTGCGCGGCGCTTTGCGTTTTCTTTGTTTCGCCTGGGCCCCGCGCTGAACAGATGGTGTAACCAGCAAAAGCAAAACAGACAAAGAAAGCGAGATGTTCCCGGCGGGCTAATATACGCTGACAACTCACGGGCGAGTGTGCAGGGCAAATGTCAGACAGACAAGCCGAGTTGGTCTTACCGATTCTGTCCTTCATGTAGTACGGTACGTATTTGTTGCACTGCCGAGGAAATAATGAATTCCGTCCATCCCATAATAATTATCCCTTCCCTTCCGTCTGTCCTCTTTAATCTATTCGTTAGTTTCCCTCTCGGGCTAGGCGCAGGTTGCTTCTTTCTTCGGTCGTGGATAAGCACACGCCCCGCTGTCAGTCTACGACAACACTCTCGACCAAGAGCGGCGCTGGCAGCCTAATGAGGAGGAGGAATGTCGCTGGGCCACACAAAGGGTCTGGGTTGTTCGGTCTGGATGCACTTCTACCGCAAGGTTTGGGGATGTGCATGGGCCCAAGCACACGCCTGCAGCGTAAGTGGCTGGGCACCGCACCAGAGGCTATGGCAGGATTTAGGCTGACGAGGGACAGACGGGGCTCTGCTTGACAAACTCTCTGTCTTATTTTTCGATCAAATAATTCATCCGAATGAGTTCAATCTCTTCCCACAGATGGAACGCTCTCTCGCCAGTCGACTCTCGTATTACCTCTTCGCATCCCTGCATCAGCTGCAACCCTTGCGCACAACTCGCAGCTCAGCCGTAAGCAGGTCAGCAGACTCGCCTCCAATAGTCGACCAGCCTTGTCCTTGCAGATCTGACCGCCTGCCACTGCATACGCCCACTTGCACCATTCTCCGCGCGAGCCGTGGACACGGGATTGTCGTCTTGGTCCAGGTAAGGCTGCTCAGTCCCAGTAGGCGATTGAGCCGCTGCCACCGCAACGCTACCCTGCCTACGTGCGTACGTACGTAACAAACCCGACTTCCCTCCCCTGCTGTTTCTCCATTTTCTCCGCAGCCGCAGCGGAGCATTCGCTGCCTGCCTGTCGTCCGGTCCCTTGCCCGCAGCTCCGTTCCTACTGGCCCCACTAGAGGGAGGCTCTTGCAGGACCCTCTCACAGCGCAGTGGCAGTGGCAGTGAGTGCAGTGCGCAGTCGAGTCACACTCGATTCGATTCCGTTTCGGTGTATAAAGACTTCCCTCCCGAATCCGCACCCGCTCTGACAAAGACGGAGACGATGGACCTTTTTCCAATTCTTCTCGAGGCCGAGGTCGATTGCGGTTTCTTTGTTCTCTCTGCTGCTACTGCAACCTTGTAATCATCCAACCATTAAAATATTAGCCTGTAGTCTGTCATCCACTGTCTTGTCCTTGTTTGTGGCCGTCTCGCCTCGTGCCCCGGTGGACCTGGACCGAACCAAACTGTTGTTTTCCTTTTTCGTTTCTTTTTCCCTTTGAATTGGCCTTCGCTTCGTTTGTTTCTTCGTTGCGTCGTTCGTTCCTTGAGGCGATCCGATTCTCCCCCCTCTCGCTTATCGTCCATCCTCATCTTACGCGCAGCTCCTGTCGGGATTTCCTTTCTTTCTTCATCCTGCATCTCATCTCTCGAATGAGTGCATGACGGATTGTGCTGGATTTTCCTTGCAAGTCAAGTCGCGCATCGAGTCCTAACAGACCGCCATTGCCATTGCTCTTGACCTGACTGGACCCGACTGAACCAACGCACAAAGCCTCAAGGCTTCACCTGTCGCAGCCATGCGCATCCGCTACGGCCCGTCCCTGCTCCTCGCGGCAGCCTCGACGCTCTTGCTCTCCGCGTCCGCGCAGGTGACTACGACGATCGACTCGACGATTACAGTGACGGGGTGTGGCTGTACTGAGGTAAGTCACCTCCACTCGGTTCAATTGGGTTGAATCCATATCAGATACAGTGCAGCGCTGACTGGAGTATGGTAGGATCCGACGTACTCAGAAAACCCGCCGGCTCCGCCACCGGTGACGGATACGAGTACAAGTACCACCACTTCGACTACTACTAGTATTACGACGACAATGCAGGAGCCGACTACTGATTCGACTACGACGACGACGACGACGACGACTACTAGTACAACAACCACTGAGGACCCCACTACTACTACGACTACGACTACTACAACTCCAACTCCTCCAATCACCGATTCCACGACCACAACTACTACTAGTACGAGCACTTCCACGACGACTACTGAGGACCCGACCACATCTACGACGCCTACTACGACTACTACGACTACTACGAGTAGTACTACTACTAGTACCTCGACGACAACTACCGAGGACCCAACCACAACCACAACTACAACGACCACCGAGGACCCGACTACATCTACGACGACCACGACGACCACTTCTAGTACCGGGTACGCCACTAACCCTCTGCCGGTAACCACACCGACAACCACAGTCATAATCACCAGTACGGGGACCTGCAATGCAATCCCGCCGCCAGCTGGCGAGACTCAGACAGTCACCGTCACCGACACAGTAACCGGTCCACCGGGCCCAGGCCAAACACAGATTGTGACCGTAACCGCGCAGCCTGAACCCGGGCCGCCGGTTACGATTACGAACACGCAGGAGATCCCGGTCCCCGGCCCGACGGTTACGGCTACCGCGACCTACTGCGGCGAGCAGCCTGGGCCTGAGCCACCGGTAACAATTACGAATACACAGGAGATCCCGGTCCCCGGCCCAACGGTTACGGCTAACGCGACCTACTGCGGCGAGCAGCCTGGGCCTGAGCCTGTCACTGTTACTGCTAACGTCACTGTGACGGAGACTGAGACGCAGACGACGACTCTGCCGCCGAGTACGATTGTCGAGACGACGACGACGACTGTTACGGGCGAGCCGGAGACTATTACTGTTCCTGGGCTGAACACGACTGTTACCGAGACGGAGACGGTCACTCAGGATGGAAGTACAGTGACGATCCCCGGCTTGCAGACGACAGTTACCGAGACCATCACTGAGGGTGGAAGTACAGTCACGGAAACAGTGACCTCCGCTGGAGGTACAATCACCGAAACCGTCTCGGGCCCCGGAACGACCGTCACGGATACGGTCACTGGAGATGGAAGCACGATTACTCTTGAGGTCCCTGGACCTATTACCACGGAGCCGGGGACTACGATTGTTCAAACGACGACCGTCACGGGGCCGACTTTGGTGGAGACTGTGCTTGTTACTGAGATTGTTACGACGACGGTTGTTGGTACATATTGACTCGCATCCTCTCTGCTTGGCCATGCTGATGATTGACATGACAGGCCCCGGCACGACTTCGATCATCACCCGGACAGAAGTCACAACCCTTCCTGCGACTACACTACCAGGCGAAACCGTAATTATCCCTCCAACAACACTACCAGGGGAAACCCTAATCATCCCCCCAACAACGCTCGCCGGAGAAACGGTCACCGTCACTGGAACAGGTACACCCACCCCCAATTCCATCCAGCCTAGTACCAATATACTAACTGATCATGGATATAGCCACAGAAACCCTCTCCATCTGCCCATCCCTAACCGTAAACCCCACATACACCCCTCCCGCCCCCCTGCCCACAGACTACACCTGGGGCTGCCCGCCCGCCCACCTCTGCCGCCCCAAACACCTCGACGTGATCGGCGGGTGCAACCTCGAAGCCGGGCTCCCCGCAGAAAGCTACGTCTGCAGCCCCGACGAGTGCATCGAGTCGCCGCCCTACATCGAGGACCAGTACTGGGGCGAGCCGGTGACTTCGGATGAGGTTTCCACGTACAATGTCTCCAAGTATTACTTCAATCTCGACCCGGAGATTTTCGGGTTGAATTATTCGATTTTCAGACTTCCCGAGGGCGAGCGCGCGAGGACGGTGCATTACAAGAAGGCGCTGCTGGACTATTCAATCACGGATATCAAGGGCACCGGCAGACGACCCCTCCTCCCGCGCCAGCAAGACCCCCTCACAGATGAAATCATCCCCGGCGTGTGCTACGACGAATGCAACAGCGCAGCACTCGAAGCCCAACACGTCGGCAAAACAGACTCCCTCTGTGATGGCCCCTCGCCGTTTATGAATCTGCTCAACCAATGTCGCTCGTGCTGCGATCGATGGGGCAAGGATGATAACCTTACCTTTGAGGAAGGTGTCGTTCCGGAGTTTCAGCAGTTTTTGGGATTCTGTCAGGGGCGGCATCATGAGGGGCCCACTGCGCAGCCGATCACTACGCGGAGTTCAACGGGGACTGCGACTGGGACGAGGCCGACGACGAGGACTTCGGCGGGGCAGTCCACTAGTTCTAGTCAAAGCTCGGCTACGGCGACGGCGACGGCAACTACGTCGGCGGGTGATGATGAGCCAACGGGTTCCTCAACAACGGTTACCGCGACGTCTACCTCGACATCGTCTCCGACATCAACCGATGATGACAACTCGGCCTCGACTACAACAACAAGCACAGAGACAGATAGCGCGTCCGAAACAGAGACGGAACCACCTTCGACGACCTCTGGCGGTGATGACGACGAGTCCGAAACGTCGACGGATTCTGCATTGCCTACGGGTACCTCGGGCTCAGACTCAGACTCCTCGACGACGTCTTCATCCGGGGACGATGACTCCACCGAGCCCACAGGAAGCCCTACTAGCACAACTTCTTCAGGAACCGGATCTGGCTCCGGCTCCGACTCCGATGATTCGTCGACATCCGGCCCGTCGCAGCCCGAATTCACCGGCGCAGCGTCGTCGCTAACCCGGACCGCGCCGCTGCACTACGGACTCATACCTGTTTTGCTCGCATTCATTCTCTAGACATGAGCACGAGACTGCTGTACGGAGAATTGATACTGTTTTGTTATGCGCCACGTTCACGGAGAAATGATGGATGACGTGAGGCAAGGGGTTTCTGGAAGCTATCGAGAGAGGAAGGAAGCGTTGAAGGATTCCGATTCTATATACATGCATACGCATGCGAGCCGCGAACTTGATATCTTAGTACAGCACTAGCAGTAATTATTGCTCGTCATTCCATAGAAGTGAAAATGATTCGCTTACCAATAATAGGCACAATCGAAATGACTAATCTATTTGCTTCCGAATCTGGGGGAAAAAGATTACTTGTCGAATAAAATCGCTGGATTCTGTGTTTTGGGTCCGATGCTGCCATTATCATTTTCGACCTCCATGGATCTGTGTTCTATAATATATGTTTATGCGACCTGAGGCTGTGTCTTGCCTCCCAACTCAGCGCGCCGGGAACCTGGGCAGGATGCTCGCGACGTCTGGACGTCACCGGGTTATTGCTCTGTGCAACTAGAAATAAAGAGAATGCCGCGCCGCGGCCGTGATTCTGAACGAGAAGAAAGGAAGTTAGAAGTGATTACATTGAATGGTTGTATCGCCACACCATGCTATACCCGCTGAAAACCAGGCAGACGCGCTACCGGAAGTCAACTAACTATCCCGGAAAGCAATACAAGCTCAGTTCAGGCTCAATGGCTGTGCGGGTCAAATCGATAGATTTATCAAGCTTTTGCCGAACAGAGCCTCTTGATTCTTGACTCGGTTTCACATATCCAAGAAACTTTCACTTTTACTAGTATGCCGTCTATACAGTTCGCTCTTAGCGTGTTGTTGTTGTGCTAGAGTAAGGCAGGGACCAGTAGGCTTTGTTTGCGATTGGGATGGAAAATCGGGTTAGATAATATTATCGAGATAATTGCAGCGATTCCGGACGAAAAAAGATATGGGGATGAGAGACTTGCAGTAATGACTTGGGAATTGAGGTCCAAGAGGACCATGTCCAGCTAAATTAACCGAGATCTTGGCCCCTCGTGAGTTTGCACGTCACACGGTCATCTCTCTATCCCTCCCCCTGCGTAGCCCTTATTTCCTGCTTGCCGGCTCCACGTCGCGCGGGCAGCCGCAGCCTAGAGTTGGAGCCCAAAGACGCCATGGAGGTACAGACTCAACCTCCGTTTCTGGCCATAATGGCGATCCACGAGTGTGTCGAGGTTGTTCTGGGCTGCTTACCCCGCTCCGACCTCAAGAGCCTGCGCTTGGCATGCAAGGCGACAGACGAGGTCGTTACGTCCAGTGTATCGCCCCTCTTTCGTCGGGTGTATATCTCGGCGTATCGACATGATCTTGAGGCTCTAAGGGAGATTGCGCGCCACCCGCGCTTGTCGCGCTGTGTCCGTGAGTTGGTCTGGGATACCTCCATGCAGCCTAACATGTATCCGCTCCGCGAGTCATATTATTACGAAACCTACTATCAGCAGCAAGCGTCTGAATATATCGTCGCCGGATTCACGGATGCACTCACCCAGGGGAAAGACTTTGAGCTCCTCGTCGAAGCGCTCCCTTGCTTCCCGAGATTGCAGGGTGTAACATTTACCGTGCTCATGTCGCACTGGATCCCGCGGTCGCATAGTCCAAATACCGCTTCGCATCCGCGGTTTGATTTTAGGACGGAGCTTGCGCTGGTGGATGGGGTGACGCAGTATTCGTCGCCTGCGATGCGGGCGTGGGAGGAGCGCGGGATCGGCTATGTCCTCAAGCATCACAACATCCCACTTGGGTATCCACGCCAGATACCGGATGATGATGTCTTGACGAGTCTCGAGGAGATGGCGGCGGGTCTACCAACTGCAGAGCGCGTTGATTTTGCGGAACTCGCGACGTATACTCATCGCGCGCCGCTTTTGATGCTCGCTGCTCTCCGTGCGCTGAGGATCCGGCTAACCTCCTTCGTCATCGACCTCCCATTCCTGCGCGCGAGGCATCGCAACGTATCTACTTCGTGGTTCCGAGGACTCAACCTTCTTATCCTCGGGTTCCCAACTATCCCGCTGGCCTCCATATGGTTCTTCGACATGTTCCGCTCCCTCCGCCGACTGCGACTCGGTCTGGATGACACCCCTGGCGGCAGGGAATCGATAGCGCGCGCGTTCACCGGCGCCACAAGCCTCGAGGTCCTGGAGGTGGTCTTGTACCGTCACGGCTGGCTTGATTTGAACAACCTTCTGCCGCCGCTGAGACTGAAGAGACTCGTGTTGCAGAATTTTGATGTAGGCAGGGGCGATTGGGAGAATGTTCTCATGCCCTGGTGCTTTGGGAACCGTCTGGAGACGCTGCACCTAGCTAGGTGTCGTTTTCTGAGGCCGGAGGGTGTTGGCAGGACGGAGATTTTTGCTGCGCTGTTGGCGAGGGATACCAGTTGTCCGCCTCGGGATGTACTGTACTCGGATTTTGATAGGGAACTCGGATACCGCGTCGACTCGGACTCGAGTTCTAAGGATGCAGAAGACGACGCCGAAGATGAACACGGAGCCTGCTTCCTGGACATAGACTTCAACTCCGACTCATCCTCAGAATCAGACCCAGACTTCTTCCCCAGCACAGAAGAAATGCTCTCCCGCCACGCCGATGCCCCATTCTACGACGACGCAGCCGGGGACTTTGCCGAGGAAATGGCATACGTATACTGGCAGTACTACCACAGCGAAGGCCCAGACGAGTTCACCGAGCCGAGTGACACGGTGCCGATAGAAGACGAGATCCCCATGGCGCGCTTGCGGGCAGACGCGGCGCGGATGATTGACGACGAGGTCACGGATGAAAATGTTGAGCTTGTGTACGAGGCAAGGGCTTGGGGGTGTGAGGGGGGTGGCAAGCTGAGGGTTTGGATTGACGGGTTTAAGGTGCATAGTAAGAGGTACGAGGTTTGACGTGTGTGTGGTTTTGGGGAGTTGAACCATGTGTCTTCTCTCTGCTTGGCCTCGGTCCATTGTCCGCGACGTGCTCGAGCTCCTCCCGTCGCAAGAGGATGGACAATTCCGGGCACGGCTCCGCGGAGGCAGGCTCGACCCTTGTTCAAGATAGCAGAGAAGACGCGTCGGACCAAGGTGTGCCTTCTGAAAATGAAATAGGAAGGTGCGACCCGTGACGGAGAATCTAAGGAACGGTCGTTCCGTCCTTAAACACATGCTGTGTACACAATATGGAAAGAGTATAAATTGACTGTCTGATACCGTGAGAAGATTAATCCTGCCTAGCAGCACCTGTACCTTCTCCTTCTGACTGGTACTCACTCGCTGCCCGAGGCGCACTCAGGCCACTGGCCCTAAAGTCAAGGGTACAAGTGTCCGCATAATGGTCTAATAATACGCAAGCCGCCGGCTCCTTTGACGGGACGCCCAGTGTAAATGGCAGCTCTTCAAGCCAACGTTCGCTCCGTGTCCAGCTGAGGACGCACGGATCCTTGCTACTAGCATACTTCCCGTACCTGTCATATTCCCATCAGCTATTTTTAAACCAGGTAGGGACCGTCGATCAATCACTCCGGCTAATTCGAGAAAGGACCTCGGAACGTCACCCGCTCGAGCGTTTGCTGCATCCGGTACCCCCGATACCATACAGGGTTCAACATCCTTGTCCCGTCCTTAACTTGCAAGAGTCGTGCCGCGGACGATCAACTCCCTCAGTTGTCTCACAGTGCTCTTGCTACAAAGGGAGCGGAGGGGCCGAAACAGCGAGCTCGGACTAAGGGAGATACTGATATGGATCAGACCGTCGCCATCCTTGCTAGTGTTGAATGAGCAGCTAAGATGACTGCTACGAATGCGAGACAAGCTTGCAAGATACTCAATTGATACAGTCTATCATCGCCAAACAAACAAACGCCGGACTGCAGAGCAGAGACCAAGCTCAGGCTACGCCCCAAGCGCCTGAATAGCCACAACATTACACCGATCCAAAAACACCAATGCCTCATTCCTCGAATGCCACGCATCATTATACGTCGCACTCAGCGTCAACCGCCCCTTCCAAATCCCCAAATACAATCCTAGCCCCGTAACAAGATGCTCGCGCGTAACCCACGGGTTGTCAATCTCGAACGCGCCGTGCGTCGGGCGCACGATATCCTCGATCGTCCCCATGTCCGATACACTGACTGACGCCTTTTGGTATGGCATCGGCACGGGCGGCGTCGTGTTGTCTGACGGGTACTGCGGCGTAATCATGTCCCAGTACGCGGGGACCATCTGGATGCGCGTCTTGTCGTTTCGGTTTGCGAGGTCGAAGCGGCGGACGGCACTTGCGACGCGCATGTACTCTCTCCGTCGCGGGACACTGTAGTCGAGTAGTTGATTGGATACGCCGATGGAGGCTGCGGGAACGGTCAGATCGACGGCGAGACACTCGCCGGAGACCGAGTTGTATACCGAGACCGGGTGCGCGGCTGTATTGTATGGCTCCTCGCACTGTGGGCGCTCGTCGAGGAGGGTGTAGTTGATGTACCGGATCGTCCGCGAGCGGACCTGACGTTTCTGGAGATCGCGCAGGACGATACCGATTGCTGTGTGGTATGCGTGTGTCACGCTCAATCCGAGTGCTTTACAAGCTTTGAGAAGACGATGCGTCGACTCTGTTGACAATGTGATGGCAACGCGCTGATGGCGCCCGGGCTTCGTCGGGCCCCGACCACAGGGGATCCCCGCGACCTCGACGCCGTTCTTCAGGGCTGCGTTCCACGCAACGGTCTTGTCAAGACGGGCCTGCTGCTTCTGGTTCAGGACCGGCGGGATCCCCGCTGCGATGCGCAAAGGCGGACTCAGGCGCATCCACTCATCCCCAAAGACGGGGAGCGGGTATGCGTCGCCTTGCTCGAGGGCTTGCGCGGCGTGCGACATGAGGTTGTTGAGTAGCATGAGCGTCCCCGTCCCATCGATGATGTCGTGCCTCGCACGGAGGACGAGGTCTGCAGACACAATCCCGCTTGTTCGACTGGAGCGCTTGATCATGAAGATCGTTGGGAGTCTGGGGACGGGGGGATCGGAATTGCACCACTGCAGTCCAGACATTTTACTCCGCACCACGCGAAACGTCTCGTCGATCCAGGCGCCCTGTTCGCCTTCGCTAGCCGCCATCTCGTACACTTTCTTACACCGCTGGAACGTCTCGTTGTATTCAACGCGCGAGGCGAGGGTTGGATGATCGTGTCGCAAGCGCAGCCATGCCTTTTTCAACGCCGTCTCGACGTCGGATTCCTTGCCAGCCGCGGAAATCGAAATATACCCGGTGATGGCGAAACAGCACCGTCCGCTCCCAGAGTATGTTTTTGAAAGCGAGGTGTAGAATTGCTCTGTTTCGTCGATGTCGCGCTCCCACCGGCCTGGGGATGTTTGTGTCCAGGAGAAGTCGGTGCCTTCTATTGAGCCCATGTTTGCAAGTCAAATCGATCCACGAACTTGGAGGTGCGGGTCAAGTCAGGTCAAGTCCGAAAGAAGACAGACAACTCGGGACCACGCGAGTTATAATGCACGCCATGTCTCGGAATCGAGGCAGCGACAGCCCACTGCACCGCAGCGCACGGCAGCGCAGGGAAAGGAAAATTAGCCGGGTGCCCATCCGCCCGATCAGACGCGGCGTCGCGGCGAGGACAGGCACCGTCCTCAGCGTAACCGTAGGACGGGTGGGTGGCAGTGTTCAGTCGTTGGTTGTGCGGGTTGCCCAAATCGGTCGAGGTGACTCGGCCCGTTGCCCGTTTCCAATGCGGCTCGGCATTCGCGCGGCGAAATGGAGAGAGAGAGAGGTGGATACCTTGAAGATCAATTGCGATACATGCCGTGTGGATTGACAGATTGTCAGCAGGGAACAACTGTCATTGAGATTTGATCTCGTCGTGCTTGACGAGGCATTTTGCTTTGGCACAGGTGGTGGTTGTCCCTGCTGCGCCGGGGAAACTTCGGCTTCATTCAATCCGCTAACCGCGTTAAGAAAGGACGAGAATAGGCCCAGGATCCCATTGCCCATTGCGATCAGGAGAACTCAGAGAAGAATGGCTCGCCTCGTCTTCTTCAAAAATAGCGCCAGTCAGATAAACTCACAAACCAATAGAAACCCGCTCAGGGAAAGGGGAAGCACGGAGTATCCCGAACCCACTATATATTAAACCTGTCAGCAGACTGCAGCTTGAAAAGCTTAACCTACACAGTGATGCCAAGATGGGAGAGCTAGTCAATTGACGGGAGCTTTGTGTAGGATAGACAGGCCACTCACAGGCTCCGACTCAAGTGGACTCCGTAACTGGTGAGCTTGCGACAATCCACATCGAATTATGGCGTCACCATCTCTGCTTAGTATGGAAAGGCAATAGGTCCGTCCGAGGAGGAGCAGCAGATAAAGATGCAATGGGACTCTAGCTGCATCCCTTCTCGCATCAACGCCTCGGAAATGTCCCGAACTGCCCGAGCATATGGGGACGACAGGCTGGCCTGGACCGAACACGAGCTTCGTGTCAACTTCAGCTTCACGGCCTTACGTCTCGTCGCATTCACCGACGACGGTAGTGACGACAGCGCGCTGATGACACCTCGTATAACCCACTTTCACGATCCGGAAAACTCATGATGAAAGAGTTGTGGTATGCATTGTTAACCTATCTATCAAGAGAAACTATCCTATCTGTCCAACGCCATCTATGCACTCGCCTCCATTCTGGATCTCTTCGCATTCAAGATGCGAACCCGCCTCATCCTTATCTCGTATCCTCTACGAAGACGCAATCGCCTTCAGGATCACATCCGTCATGGCGAGCACATTCTCATCCTCGAGTCGTCGCCCGACTAATTGTAGGTTGACGGGCATGCCGTGGACAGATTCCGCCGAGTCTGAACGATTCATTAGCACTTGCTTTCCTTGACGGCACGGAACCCGTGATTGAAGGATAATGGGTTGGGGCACATACAGTCCCCCTGAATCTGCGCATCAATATCGCTCAGCGGCGTGTGCTCGATGTAGGCACCGTCCACCTCCTTGTCCGTTAGCACGCCGCAGGGGAACGAGGCGGCTGGGTAGTCGAGGACGTTGAAGACGCCCGTGTAGCCGACGTAGGCGAATTTGCCGTGTTCGACGGTGCTGTAGGGGGTTGTTGGGCCTGCGCGCAAAGATCAGCCTTAGCCACCCAGCCCAAGCACCTCACTCGGATCGTCCAGAAGGAAGGAGAACGGAGGTGGGAGGGGAGAACATACAAAGAATCGCATCAATCCCAGCTCGATTCCAGCGATCCAAATACGCCTTGCAAAGCTCATTCCGCTTCAGCTGGAGCTGCCACATCTCATACACGCCGCAATCCTCAGCATCCTCATACATGCGCATCTCCGGACGAAACGGCTCGCCCGTAGGCTCGAGCAGCTTCCGCACGGATTTCCCACCGTCCGCAACGAACATGCGCGAGAGTGTCTGGAGGAGCTCTTTGTGCTCCGTCGGCGCCCACGTAACAACCTCGTGGCCTGCGCGCTTTAGTTTCGCGACTGTCTCGTTCAATGCGCGGACCACGGGTGGTGTGGGCGTGACGATTCCGTCGTTGTAGAGCACGCCGAATCTCAGTTTCGGTTTTGGGGTGATGGTGCGCCAGGGGATAGGAAGACACTTTGGGTCCGTGAGCCAGGGTTCTTGTCCGACGACTGTGGACGCCCACAGGATGACCTCGTCGAGGGTTGTGGCCATGGGTCCGTTGACGCTCAGTACGGCTTCCTGTCCCGCGAGACCTGAGCGTGTCATGGAGTTTGGGAAGCGCCCAAAGGAGGGGCGGATTGTGTAGATTCCTGTGCAGGCCGCGGGGATGCGGAGGGAGCCGCCTACAGAATCAATTAGTTCTACCTCGCTTCTGCAAAGTTCGAGGGGAAAGAGGCATACCAATATCCGTCCCAACCCCAATGCGACTTCCCCCAAACGCAATAAGCGCCGCCTCACCCCCCGACGAGCCGCCCGAGGTCAACTTCCGATTCCGCGGATTAACCGTGCGCCCAAAGACGTTGTTCACGGATTCAGCGATCATCATTGCCGTGGGCACATTCGTCTTGCAGTACAGCACCGCGCCGGCACCCAGAAGCAGGTCGATCAGCGTGCTGTTGTACGTTGCCGGATCGTTTACAAGCGAGGCGAAGCCGACGGTCGAGTCGACGCCGGTGATGTTAAAGTTGTCCTTTATCGAGATGGGGAGGCCGTGGAAGGGGCCTTTGGTCGTCCCGTGGGTTGCGAGGTAGGTGTCTAGGTCGCGGGCTTGTTGGATTGCGCTGGTGAAGAGGGTCTCGGAGAGGCAGTTTGTCTGTTCTCTTATTTAGCATCTCCTCGTCTTGATCCTGTGCTGTTGATGGACACGGAGCGAGAAAATGGAGGGGGATACCAGTTGATGCGCAACCGCCGCAGTCTTGCAGAACGCTTCGGCAACCTCGACAGCCGTCCACTCCTTGCTCGCCACCTTTCCCAGGATATCCGCCGCATTTGTCGATGTAATCTCGAGTTCGTGCTCTGTGAAGAATCCCGATTCCTTAGGGAACGTGGTCACATCGGCCTGATCGCCGGGAGGCAAGATATCGGACGGGATGATCCATTGCGAGGGAATCGAGTCCCTGAGCGCCGCGCGCTTCTTCTCGGCGATTGATTCCCACGACATGTTGGTTTTGCCTTTTTTGCTTTCTTATATTCCTGCGCGGTATTGTGGTCTCACAAAAAGTTGACGATAGGCCAGCCGGAGACTTCAAATGATGAGTCTTCAGGGGCGCTTATATATCGCTGTACGGCCGATGCGGGGTTGTGCCGAGTAGCCGATCGTGATCGCAGTGGTACAGGTACACCGCAGCACAGGATATTGCGATCCACACAGCGTTATTGGAAGAGTACGTACAGTATAGAACAGTGGAGATCTATCCCTCGAGCGTGATCAGAACAGTACATACAGCACAGCACGGGATCGGACTGTCGTCAGAGGATGAGCAGAAGAATACGTACATTACCCATCACTCCAAAACGGAAAAGCGATCCTCGATATGATCAGCGATGAGTCTCGGAGGTACCAGCCCATCAGAAGCTCGACTTGCACCGAGGCTATCGCAAGAAGAGAGATATCTTATCCTCGGGCGAAACCCCGATAGCAGCGCGTCTCCAAGTGGGGAGCTTGAACCTGGCAATCGACGAATGAGGTCCGCGCCCGCCTTGTTGGAGCTTCGATACGAGGATGTTACTCCAACTCTGCCCAGAGTTTGGGCTTGATAAGCCGTGCGATTTGGCTTTTACTTGCGGAATGGAGATAGCAGTTGTCACAGGGACATTTGGTGTCTCGGAGTTGCCCCTGCGCTGCAGATACCGGGAGTGAGGATATAAAGTGGCGAGTTTCTGTTGAGTAATAAGCGAGCGATTTCCCCGGATTCCACAGTCACCACCCCCACGGACCTGTCATCGATCATTCCCTGCAGAGCCAGAGCCACTCTTCCTCTCTATCCATCTCTTCCTGAGGAATCACTCCCCCTATCTACCTCTCTAGGTAGACCCTCGATTCTCTCGAGGAAAACAGCCATCATGCCGTCCAAATTCCTCACCTACATCAGCGGCACGGAGAGCGTCCCGGGCGAACGCAAACTCCTCCGCAAGCTCGACGCCTTCATCCTCTCCTTCTGCTGCCTGTGCTACTTTGCCAACTACCTCGACCGCACGAACCTCAACAATGCCTACGTCTCGGGGATGCGTGAGGAGCTCAATTTCCAGGGAAACCAACTGAACCAGATCAACACTGTTTTCACGGTCGGGTACATCGTCGGCCAAGTTCCCAGTAATCTAGCATTGACGTTTGTTCCGCCGCGATTATTTTTTCCAGCCGTTATGATCATCTGGGGCGGGTTGACGATGATTACCGCAGCCGTCTCGAATCCGCAGGGGATTATGGCGATTCGGTTCTTTTTGGGGCTTGCCGAGTCGAGTACGTTCGTCGGCACGCATTATATTCTTGGTTCGTGGTATACGGAGAAGGAGCTCGGCAAGCGCAGTGGCATTTTCACGGCGAGTGGGCTGGCAGGCACCATGTTTGGGGGTTTTATCCAGACGGGCATTCATAGCTCGATGGATGGCGTGCATGGCCTTTCAGGGTGGAGGTGGTTGTTCATCGTGCGTCCCTTCCTTGCTCCTCTCTCTCCATCTTCAAATGTTCTAATACAGACGCAGATTGATGGATTGATCACAATCCCCATCGCAATCTACGGCTTCATCGTCTTCCCCGATACACCAACAACAACAAAAGCCCGGTACCTAACGGCAGAAGAAAAAGCCCTCGCCGTCGCGCGAATCCCCGAATCCGGCGCTGTCAAAGTGCCCCTCAATCGCGCGTTCCTGAAAAGCGTTTTCTGCAGCTGGCACTGGTACGCCTTTGTGATGCTGTGGATCATCGCAGGCGAGACCGAGTCGTTTTCAACGAATTCGCTCCTGGCTTTGTATATGAAAAGTCACCCGACGAATACATACAGTGTGTCGCAGCTAAACAATTACCCCACAGGCGTCCCCGCCATCGGAATCGTCTCAACGCTCTTCTGGGCGACGCTGACGGACTTCATGGGTGGGAAGCGCTATCTCGTCGGGTACTTCATTGCGATAACGGGGATCATCACCTCAGCACTCATCCTCACCAACTTCGAAAATACATCCGTCGTCTTTGGCGCGTATTACTGGGCGGGCGCCGTGTATGCATGCCAGGCGACCTTCTTCGCATGGTGCAATGATGCGATGCGGTACAAGGACGAGCGCCTGCGCTCTGTCGTCATCGCGAGCATGAATATGGGGAGTAATGCGGTGAATGCGTGGTGGAGTATCCTGTTCTATTCGGCGAATTTTGCGCCGCGGTTTACGAGGGGCATGTGGGCGATGATCGGCTGTTCGATTGCGTTGGCGGGGTGGACGGTCGGGATCACGTATATGACTGTGCGCGAGGAGAGGCGGGGGGAGGGGAATGGGGAGAGGGATGTGAGAGTGGTGGATTTGCATTTACAAGGGAAGGAGGTTGCGGAGGGGGCGTGAGTAGATATACATGGATAAATTTACGCATACGAAGCATGGCTCAAGAGCAAGAAACTTAAGTGGGCAGTGCTACCACATCATCTGATTGGCCCGTTCCTATATTCGTCAAATGCTGGCGATCATTGCTTAGAAATGGAGGATGCCTGCTGGTGTGGGTGTGGGCCCTGGGGCGCCGTGGCCCCCAACAGCTTTGCGGCTTATATCGTCCAACGACCCGAACCCCTCACGCTCTTCACACAAGCACTAAATTCACAACCATGAGCGAATCCCCGGAAATGTACCCGCTCGGCAGGGATGAGGTCGAGTCGAGACGGTGAGTCTGAGATATCTCCAGTAGATCGAGTGACTACCAATACCAGAAGCCTCAATGAACAGCACAAATTCCTCCTAGACGTCGTCGACGGCGCTATCGACCGAGACGTACCGCTAGAAAACATCTCTGCAGTCGCCGATGTCGCGACTGGAACTGGGTAAGTGCACCTGCCAATCCTATATATCCACCTCTGATGTTGACCTGACTGAATAGAATCTGGCTCTGGGACGCAAAACAAATCCTCGACCAAAAAGCCGGCGAATCCTCTTCGCGATACTACCACGGCTTCGATATCTCCGCTGCCCAGTTCCCCTCCACATCACATGGTATCACCCTCTCCGTCCAAGACGTCTTCCAGCCGTTCCCCGCAGGATTCCTTGACGGCTTTGACCTCGTGCACGTCCGGCTTATGGTGACGGCATTCCCGGAAGGGAAGTTTCAAGAGGCTGTGGAGAATGTGCTTACGATTGTTAGTGAGTATTCTTTACTTAAATGAGTACCCTGGTTCCATATGCTAAGCACGACAGTGGTAGAACCGGGTGGCTACCTCCAATGGGTCGAAATTGATTTCTCAGCCGTCGAAGCGCAAACAGAGCATGACGCCCGAGTCGCACCAGGCGCAAACTACTGGATGCGCTTCGTCGATAGGAACCAGATGAGTCGATGCGCACCCGACGCGCTCTTTGACGCCTTCAAGAACACCGGCCTGCTGAACGTCACGAAGAAACCCTTCCTCATCCGCGGACGTGACGAACTGAGAGAACGCGCGCAGAGTTGGCAGATGCAGTTCTTCTCCGGGATCATGCCGCTGGTTCTAATTCGGCTAGGGGAAGCGGTGGATATGGAGGAGGCTGCGAGGATGGCTGAGCCGATTAGACAGGATTTGGAGAATTACTTTGCGGATGGGGATGTTATTGATACAAGGTTTGGCACTGTTGTCGGCCAGAAGCCACTTTGAGTATTGCTGTGAGTGTAGAAGGGCCGGGATTTGTGACGCTTTCTAGGCTGCAAGGCAGTGATACTCATCGGTCTTTGTGTTTCTACTGCATACTGTAGGTTACTAGTCATCATTATGACTATATAGTCCAGATACAGAACCGGTGGCGCGATCGTGGGTTATCAGAGGCTCTAGTAAGACACAAAACCCTTTCGTAGCATACATTTCAGATTTCCTTTCGTAAAAAAAAAAAGGTCTATAGTAAAGACCATCTTTATTATCTGCAGAAGACAGCAATGCATCCATTCAACTAGAAACAATGCGCGCATACCCAGTTCAAAGATAACCCGACTAGCGATCGCTTGTATAGTCTATATCAAATATTATCTTTATGACCGTACTATAAAGGCCATAGATAGATAGCAAGCAAAGATAGACCCCTTCCACCCCTCGAAGTATATTCACTATACCGCCACAAGCTAGTCTACGAGCTAGCTTTCTGAAACTTCACAATCTGACCATCCAGAAACTAACCAACTCGAGAGAACACTTCACCTTGAAAACCTTCTCCTCATACGAAAGCACAGCAGAGATGTCTTTCCGAGACTTCGGTAAAGGAAAGAACCAGGGGAGCGGGAAGGGCAACGACAAGGGCAAAGGCAAAGACAGCGGAAAAGACTCTGGCAAAGCCAACGCCAGAGGCTCCGAGAAAACAAGCAATTACACCTACGCCTCCGAACCAGTACCTCGACCATGCTCAGCCACCCAAGCAGGTACGAGCCGGCCCTACCAATGGGGCACGGCAAATCCAAATTCCTTCCCTTATCCTGCGCCGGCTCTCCCGAGAAGAAGGCCCCGGCTACTGCTGCTGCGTTGGTGAGTAACCCCGCGCTGAGCTCTGCAGCTGTTAATCACGTGGTCCACAACCACAATAGTTCTTTCTTATTGAGATTCCCCTCTCGTAAGAATACCAAGCGTTTTCAAGATATTTATAGGTTATGTCGTGCTTCTTGAGGACCTGTGGATTCATGCTGTGGTTGGTGTTGCCTTTTCGGATATGTAGCCGCCTGCGCTGGTCGTACGAGCATCTCTCGGTCGCAAGTGCAAGGTCTGGCAGATTTCGTGCGGTGCCCTTCATCCCATGACCCCAATCGTCAGGAACTGCATTCATGACCCTAGGTTCTACTCTCGTTTCTCTGAAACTGTCTGAAGCCTAGAGGTGTCCAAGTCGAGAGCCCAAGCCCGTGCTCAACTCAAAGCGCGAGGCGGATCTCCAGATAAAGCTTCGAATCCAGATCATCGTCCGCCTTACGTTGTCCACCTGCCCTGCCTCATCATTTCGCGAGCGGATTGTATACATGAACGCCATCTAACTGCCCAACCGAGTGACTAGGAGTTTGACATTTAGGCTGTGACTCATTCTCAAGCTGGCTTTCGTCTCCCGCCAGCAAAGCTCCGAAGTGGAAAGTTACTTGAAATCTAATGTCGGATCTAAAGGCGCGACTACTTGAGGTTTCGCAAACATCAAACATATCTTATATCTGAACAGAGTCAGGGATTCTGCAAGGGTAGTTGGAGCAGCTTATTAATAGACCGTCGGAAAAGTAATTTGATTCAAAGCTGTGGTTCATATGACTGAAATTACCGAACGACATGAGCGGTCGTAAAGTGCTGGCCCAGAATGGAAAACAATATCAAGGGCTCAGAATATCCTAACCCTTTGGTATTCTACCAGGCCCACTGTCCTTTGAGCCCTTCGAAGGTTCACTTATGCTCGGAGCGGATGTTGGAGTAAGTTGAAACCCTCGTCCATATCGTCTATCAAATTCTGAGGGGGATTCGCTCGAGGGCATATCGCTAGCAGCTGTGGTTGTATTATTGGGTGAGGATAAGTCGTCACCTGTGGTGTGGTGAATATTTATAGTAGTAAAATCCCTGGATAACTGCTGAACGGAAGTATCATTAAGGTGGCCTCCAACCTGTCTTGACCTCCACCCAAGTCCGCGGTTTCTTCCATGGATAACCTGTCCATCAGTCGAGACCATGAACTGTATAGCATCGCCCGTGGCATAGTTGTCCACTGTTGTAATGGCTTCTTTGAAATGGATGTCTGCTTTGGAGCAGATATCAATGCATTGGCGAGTCGTTTTCCATTCATCTCGCAGCCTGGCGAGATCAGCTAAATCCTCTTGCGACGCTGATGCCGATGCCGATTTGCTCAGTAATCGATCAACTAAACTATGCATATGCGTTTCCAATTTTGCGGATGTATGCTTGAGGCTCTCTTTGCATTCCTGCAAACCCTCATTGGTGAGTCTCTCGGATAAGGCATCCGGGTCAGATGGGCCAGCGGAGCCATTGTTCGCGGGTGAGATTTGAATCTGACTGATATGCTCGGACAACTGAGCACATATCTGGAGACATTTTTCCGTGCTCAACCGCTCTTCTTTTATTTGCTGAAGTTCCAGTGAGACTTTATCAGATCCGGGTACAGCCTTGCCCAGCAAAAGCTCCAACTTCTCATCAATGGCTTCAAGATGAGCCTCGAGATCGACCTTGGCAGTCTCGATAAGACTTTCGTAATTCTCAAGGGTTTCCGCAGTGACGGTAGATTTTTGACTGACTAATTAGTTAAGGGGGAAAAAAAAATCAAAAAAAATCGACATTTATATCAGTGACTTACAGGTTTGCGTCCGTAAGAGCGATATTAATGGTCAACTTATACGCTGCTAGGACTCTTCTGAAACCATCGATGTCATCACCCATGTACTTCAACTTTGCCCAATCGCGGAAGCTTGTTCGAGTAGCACTAGACCGACTAGCACATTTCATAATTTCTTGCTCAAATTCCTTGCATGCATTGCCGCACCGTAATAGAGGAAGATTGAGCACAGAGAGATCCGTATCATGAGTGGCCTGGACCTTATCGACAAGCGGTCCTAGAACCCCACTTAAGGCTTCAGGCTCCTCCATAAGCTCACGCACGCGTATTGGATGCGAGCGAAAGCTTTTCACCATGTCGTAGAGACTAAGGCTTGATTGAAAGGCGAAAGTCGCGAGAGCTAGTAGCCCAGAAGCCAGGCTTATGGGATCTGCCATTCTTACGGCGCTCTGAGGAGGAGGGAGAAGCACACAATTGAAAAGAGGCTGACATTCGCAACTGGGTTTCAGGATTGAGCCGCCTTATTAATCGCTGAACGCGCCGACTTACTAATGATGGAGGGCACGAGTTAACTAATCAGAACGTATATCACAGCACCCACTTTGTGACAGGCATTGTGTCCAATCATTCGGCGTACAGAAGCGCTACATGCATCAGAGGGGTTGTGGCGAAGTGGCCAATCATGTTGCTTATGTACTACCGCCCGAAAGAACGGGCGGTAAAGAAGTCGATTCTAGATGTCGAAGGTAATAATTGGAGACTGTGACTGTCAGGAGTGGGGGTGAGGTGAAAAATTACAATCTGGGAATTTTGTTTCTGAAGTTATCAATCCTAAGTTTATTACAGGGCGTACTAATAGCATAAGTTATTGGGTCTGTCAAACAGGATGTGAATACAAAATCTAAGGTAGCCCGTCTGCAAATTAGTCGGGAAAGTTCGCTGACGTCATAACTGAAGCTTTCTCTGTACTGAACCTAACCAAGAAATAGATAACAACAACTACACCAGGCAGTGTTGGAACCGCTAGTGCCCGACTTCCTTTACCAGCTATAGAAATGTTGACTGTAGGCAGTAATAAAAAAGGCACTACAAAAGTGTACAGCTATCGCCGAGTTCGGTGAGGATGGGGTTCTAGCGGTACGTATGGTTCTTGGTTAGCTCTGATTGAACTAAAAGGTGAAACGTATTGTCATTTTACTCATTTCCCCACATTGAGCCTTCATTATGCCAAACAGGATCTCCATCCGCGCACAGGTCCTGCCAGACGACGACGACTCGCCCCATTGTGTGCGCCCTGTTGTCCCGAGGGCGGTAGTGGCTGGCGGAGAGACAAGATACGCTGCAGCAAAGGGGAGTCCGAAAAAATGGTAAATCTAGTGTGTGAGTTTCATTGCGAAAGTAAAATGGAAGTCTATGGCATGTCAGGTCCACTGCCTACGATAATACTGAATAGTGATCAAGCGGTGCTTTACAGATACTATAAATACTAGGCGACCTGAATATGAATGTATTCAAAATGCGTTATATTGGAAGAGGAAAAACTCCACCAACCAAGACGTTTAGCGAAGTTGGTTAAGCAAAGATGATTCCAAAATCATCCAATTAGTTGGTGACCATGTGATGGCTGCCATGCGGCATAGTTACACCTCGCCAGAATTTGTTACGTTAGCTTAGGCTGGGGACAAATACGGCCATTGTCTTATTGAGGCTGGTTTCTAGTAAAATTTCAACCAGCCCGTTTCACCTTCACCCGATCCAGCGAGATAATGTCGCTCTCCTCTCTTCCAACGGAGCTGTTGGAACTTGTGGGAGAGGATATGAGGTCTATCCAGACTCTGAATGCATTATCCCGCGTCAACCGCCGGTTCCGCAACGTATTCGAGCCCCTGCTCTACCGCCAGTATTCTCGTTGCGCCCCACCTGGTCCCGCCGTGTGCTGGGCAGCACGGTACGGCATGATGGCTACGTTGAAGAGGTGCCTTCAATATGGCGCAGAGATTCCAACCTGTACGCCTCTAATGCAGTACGGCCGGGCTAAAGACCACCGGTACCTCTACGGATCAAGCGTTGCCTGGTCCGTTGAAAATCCGCCACATCCTCACCCCCTGTGCCTCGCGGTACAGGGGGGTCATCTGGCGATGGCTGAATTGCTTTTGGACCGGGGTTGTGATGCAAATATGCTCAACCCGGGGGCATTCTCCTTGGTCTCGCTGGCGGTAATCAACAACCACGTCCAGTTAGTTGATATGCTCCTGCGCCGAGGAGCGAGCCAAAGCTTCCGGCTCGAGGCAATTTCGTGCCCAATTCAGATTGCTGCCTTCCTAGAAAATGAGAGAATGGTTGAGTTGCTTTGGGCGTACGGCTCGGAATGTCTGCGAAGTCATTTAGAACTGGACTATGCTCTGGAGAGTGCCATGGCAATGAAGCATAAGGAGACCACCCATCTCCTGATAAATTATGGAGCAGAAGTAGACACCAAGTTCCATAGCCACGGCTCGATAACGCCCCTTCAGTTGGCGACAGAAATTGGGGATGTTGATTTGGTGCAACTGCTGCTTAGTAAAGGAGCTCGTCCCGACTATGCTTTCCACGACAGGGAGTGTGCCCTGGTACGGGCAGCTTTGAAAAACGACGCAAAGATTGCAAGTCTTGTGGTGGACGGCAGTTCGCGCAGGGCCAAGACGATGGCTCTTGCCTTTAGCGTGGAGCACCCAGACGGATGCATTGCTCGGCGTCTACTTGCCCATGGAGCGCCTCCAGAGTTTATCGACGAAGACTACGGCGATATTTTCCCCACTCCGGACGAAAACTTCTACCTCATCCCGCCCCTCGTTCGGGCAGTCAATGCGAGGCATGGCCATTCAGCCCGGCTCCTCGTAGAGCATGGCGCGAGCGTCAACACCGACTACGAGGGGCTTGTACAGAGCCAGTCTTCTCGGCAATCAGGCTCCCTGCTAAAGCTAGCCATGGACCTTGGAGATGAGGAGATCATATCATTCCTCCTTGAGCATGGGGCGCAAGAGGAAGTCCAAACCCGCTATGACAGGTGGAGGGAAATGGCGGAGGAAGATAATTCAAGGCTAGGCAAACAGAAGGAAAGAAGGCAATTGCGGCGAAATATGGGCCTGAAAATCTATCAAAGTTCTAGGGAAGCGTAAGCGCTAGCGCTATATATCTAAGTCAAATTGCCATCTTGCATTGCTCATCCAAAAAAGCTTCCTGCGTAGCCAAGAGCGTTGAATCCCAGAACCGTAGTCCCTGTACAAAGTCCCTCTGTGTCACGCGTATTTCCAGAGCTGTCTGTCCGTGTAATAGATGGCCGGCTTTTCCGTATCGCTCTCGGGTGTGACCGGAGGATTTTGGTAAATGTATGCAGCCATTGCCAGGAAAACATAGGCTCTGGAATGTCGAGTACCGTGGGATCACCAGATTCGATGATTAGTTCTGATTTTATAGCTTGCAAAGTGGATGAACGGTTGTAAATCTGTAAAGGGGATCAAATACAATCTTGGTCATTATCCTCACCCTTCGTGTCCGTCAGATGGAACAGCTCATGATACAAGGTAAAGCGGAGCGATGAGAATTGCGCAGAATTATCTGACGCTCGGGTAGGGTATGGTAGTAGTAAGTGTAATAGTAAAGAGAGTGTATGGAGCAAAGATGATGTTAAATAAGAAGACTCTGATCCACTTCCATGACAACCCGGATTTGCATAAAGGATATAATAGGAGCAACGGGCCTCATGTAGATCATAACACAGTAAGGTCTGATATACCGGGCATCTTATTACTTAACCCTCGAGCTATCTTTACCTGATTAATATCCAGGGTTTTCCTGGAGTACTCTAGAGAAACCCAATTCCGCTTGATAGGGGATAATTATATAAATATTTCGGCGACTCCAACGGGATGAAGGCACTGTGGCATAACTGGAACCTTTTGTTGCATAGTAGTGTTAAAAGTCATTCAAACTAACGCCAGCAGAATTGAAAATTGATTTATACTACCTTATATCACAAATCTTCCAGGTCTTCCTCTTCTACTCATTGTTCTTGTTTTCATTACTCTTCTTCTCTTCTAGGGACTATTCTCAGCCCATTCTCAGTGCAAGTCACCTAATATTATTATACATCCCACCAAGGAAGGCGCACATACGGAGGAAGGCGCAGAGATACTTGTTGCAGAGTAGCCATTATCAGGGCCTCTTTGTTCTATGGATCCTAGACAAGAAAAGGGAGCATACCTGTTAGTGCACTAATGTAAGGCTTGGAAGTCGTGGCCGCCTTATCGGGCTGGCCACGGCCATACCTCTACCCTTAACAGGCGTATTGATTGATATTACTACTTCTTCTGATTCATCATGCCTCTTCTTTTGCTACAACACCTAACCATATCTATGAAGACACACATGAGACCATGGGAATCCAAAGAGACATGTATACACACACAGAGAGAGAAGGCGGGATATATAGATACAGTTGCCTTTGCTTCTCTGAACGTACAATGAAGCAAAGCATTGCCATGCATCCAAAGACAATACTTTGCCACGGACCATCCGCCATGCAGCAGTAGAATGGTCTGAGAGGGGAATCCGTGGACCTTCCCAACAAGCTATGTAGAGCCTATAACTCAAGAATCAATCCTATCTGTTCTATCTACATAAGACTAACTCGCCACCTTGATGAATGCACCATGTGCTATTTTAACACGACTCTTGAGTGCGTAGTTTGATTTTAATTCTCCTCTATCATAATATTAACTTACCTCAAGCATTGCCACAGAGGGGCGAAGTAAGGATAGATCCGGGGGTATGTGGATCCGAACTATACGCACACGCGTATATCTCAAAAAGCTCCTTCCTGTTAGCCTGGGTGAATGGTTTTCCCCCGTCGCTCGACCTCCGCGGGTTTATGTCAACTAGGGCAAGTTTATCACAGATAGTGCTTATAACAATTGGTAATCATGCATTATATCGTATTATACATCCTACAGCACCAAGTCTACACTCGAAGCACCTACCACGGAATTTTAATATTCCCCGCCAAAGTCTGAATACTCCCCCCATAGCGATGCCAAACAACAGCCCCCGCCGCCCCGACCGCCATAAACCTAACCAGCGAGCCAAGCACTGATATCTTCGCCGCGTTCTCCAACTCCCCAACCTTCTTCTTTAGCAGTCCCGCATCAATCGCCGGCAGGGGCAGGTACTCCAGCCACGGCGCACCGCTGGCATACAACACGAACAAGTTCGCCTTGGTGTAGTCGCTGACGAGCGGGTTGATGCGCTGCGCGAAGAACTTGTAGAACCAGTTATCTTGCACCTCGGAGCGCGTGATCTTGCCGGAGAGGGTGACGACGAGGTTTGCGCGCGGGCTGTGCAGGGTTTGGTATTGGTTGAAGGCGGCGGTTAGGTCGGCGGTGGTCGGGGTTGGGTGGGACTTTAGGAGGGGGATTACGGTGTTGGTTAGGTGGGCGATGCCTTCGTAAACGAGATTTCCGCCCATGCCGGCGTTTATTGTGGCCTATTACTGGGGATTAGCTCTCTGGTCGTGAAATTCTAGGAGGAAGGGTAAGGGGTGAGGTTCTCACCTTGTGGACAGCATCGCCGATCAAGACTGCTCGCCCGTGGCTCCATTTCTCGAGGACACCCTCCTCCAACGCAGCCATGCTTGCCTTCACGCGGGCGTCCCAGAGGTCGCGGAACGTGTAGCCAGGTCCAGCCTGTGCACTCCCATACTCGCGCATAACCGCTTCGGCATCTTCATCATTAAACCGAGGGCAATTCGGCATGCGCGTTTCCGCAGCAGCCTTGACAAAGAAGAACCAGAACGCCAGGCCTGGAACCCCAGCCGCAACAATACCCGAGTGTCCGCGGTTGTACGTGTTATGCACCGTCCCGTCGGGGAGAAAGCCATTGTTCTTCGAGACACCAAAGACGCAGTTGAATTGGCTCGTGAAGCCCTCGAGGAGCTGGCTGGCTTGTTGGGCGTCGGTAGTCTTTTGCGCCATCATCTCGCGCACGCAGCTGTGCACTCCGTCTGCGCCGACTAGGATTGACCCATGGTGTGTTGTGCCGTCTTGCGTTGTGACGATAACTCCATCTTGTGTCTCCTCGTAGCCCACGATCCCATTGTCGGCGTGCAGCCTGGACTTATCGGCGACGTGGTCGTGCAGGATCTCGAGGACTTTGCAGCGCTCCATGAACATCACCGGGCGGCCGAGACTAGCGTTGTTGTTCGTATTAGCACTCGCCCCCTAAAGCTCAGAATCTAGCTAGGCAACTAACCGCTCCCACAACTCTACCTGCGCAACCGACTCCTCAAAACACCTCCCAGTCTCACTATAATGATTGCGATAGATAATCGGCGTGATGACCTTTTCGATATCACTCCACACACCCAGTTGATCCAGAATGCGTAGGCAGTGCGGGAAGAACCCAATCGACGCGCCCAGCTGCGCCGCGAACCGACCCTTTTCGAATAGCTCGTAGTCGATTCCGGCGCGCTCAAGGGCCAGTGCGAGGCCGAGGCCTGCGATGCTGCCGCCAGCGATGAGGACCTTGAAAGGTTGCGCTTTTGTGGTGTTGGAGTCGGACATTGTTGTTGTGATGGATTAGGGTGAGGGAGTGAAGAGGAGCTGCGCAACGGCCACAGCGACTATTTAAGTCGCGGACAGGACGTAGCACACGTGCATCCATCTTGAAGAGTCAAAGCGGCCCACGAACGGCTGGTGAAATGAGGCCCCAAGAGCCGAGAGTTACTCAAAAGGGAAGGGTTGGCGCGGGCCTAAGCGGGCCTAAGGAGAGCCGGCGTTTCCGCCAGCTCCATCCTGCAGAACCGTCCCATTTCATGATTCATGTTTTCTCCCCTGGAGCTAGGGAGGTTACGGAGTATTCTTGTCTTTGTATTTGGCGAGAAATTGAACTTCTTCTAGAGGTCTGTTGCGGGAGAGCTGGGTATGAAATTTCTTGCTCTTGGTTTAGGGAATAAGGGCTCCCATGCAACCCTCCAAGATATACCTAGTGCTATATATGTGGGGGTTGCCCATCTTAGCGCTTGTTATTGCCATGACTTGGATATACTTTCGTCGCTCGCGGTAATATTCGGTGGCCATGCAGCTTTGCGGAACTTGCGAGGTAACTGAATGAAGTTTTGACCTGAGTTTTCTTTTTTGGCTCTACCTGGCGATGATGTTGGTATTAGAAGTTGAATAGGGATGAGGGTGCACATGCCGCTTCGGGGAAGACAATGTGATGCATCATTTTCTGGAAGCAACAAAGATGATAGGCATAGAATAAAAAAAAAGACGCAGCAATTACATTTTAACAGTGGCTGGACTTGGTGGCTGTTTTCCTGCGGAGGAGGGCACGGATTGCGCAGATTTCCTGCATCATCGCGGCAGACACGGCCACATACAGAAGTGAAAACGATGAAGATTGCAGGACTTCCAACCAGAACCTGAACCGGTACCCTGCTTTCGAGCCGCACATCCGGTCCGGTTTTCACCCCCTTTTTCACCAAGCTGTCTAGACTCCAGTACCTGACAGGAAATCAATAGAAAGAGGTGGACTGGGTACTTCGTCCATCAGCTGCGTGAAGATCTAAAATAATCCTGTGTGAAATCGCGAACAAGCTTCAGTACAGGCAAACTTTTGCTCAATCATGGAGTTTTTACTGTTGACTGTCAAACGTGTTATTCTGTAGCCCCGCTTGATGGATGCCAAAGTGACAAATTAAAACGCTTCAGGTGGCGGTCAGGGCCACGAGGCGCGAGATCCTGGCGTGAGGGCACCATATCCTCAGTCAACCAGATCAGTTGTCCCGGCCCATCTGCATGACAGATTCAGGATGAGACAAATCGAAACCGTTCGGCCGACGATCAAAGCCACGAGGCAGGAAAGCATAGGCACTTTGATGGCCTTGCTCGACTTCAGAGTCAGACTGGAGCCTAGGCAGGCATTCGCATCCTGCAGCTAGGAACGCCCTAAGCACAGCAATAAGCATTAACCCTGCGGGGAAAGAGCTGTGATGAGCCTTGAACCGTCAGGCTGTACCTGCCGTGAGTATTCACTCGCTGTCGATCCCATCCCTCCCATGCAGCACCATGCCCTAATCCAGGTTCATCCCCGCAGTGCCCCGGGGTAACTTTTGCCACTGTCACCTGCCTGGCTTCGCTTGATATGCGGCGGCCGCCCCTTTCTCTCTCAAGAGGCGAGACGCACACATATGCCGCGCGGAATGACAGCTGCAATTTCAGGACGGCAGCGAAGCAAACGGCACAGAGGGCCCGGCGGAGAGCGGAAGCAAGGACACCTCTGAGCCTTTCACCCTCCAGCCCCGAAGCCCGAATGTAGACCCGCCTAGTCAATGGGAGCACTCCAGGCCACATCTCGATGCCTGGTGTTCCCGGCCAGGTGGAGGATTTATTGTTAGCACTGGCTTCACTTACAGAAAACTAACAATGGGAACTTACCAAATGGCTCCTCTACCAGAACGCGCGAGTCCTCCGGAGGCCTGTCAATGATAGTTGGGCAGATGAAGTACCTAGAAGAGGACACAATTTCGCCTCCAGTCACTCTAGACCAAGCCTGCTTCTTGATATCATCAAAGAAAGGGCCTGACTCGGTTATACTGTATTGTATTCTGCAAGGGAACATGCGTGATACCAGCCTTAGCACCATTTCGAAGGTTATATGAGTCTACGTGGTTGACTAGCGCGGCCTTGAATGCTTCGTATCTGTCCTCATGAACATAGATCCGCTTCAGATTTTGGCAGATATGTATTGGAGTCGCGTTTAGCAAGCCTGATATGTTGCAACTGGTCGAAGGATATATATTGTACACACTTACCTGGACAATCGCCGGGTTATTGATTCCCTGCCATGAGATTAGAAGCGAATCTGGATGTCCGTGGTTGGTGTACTGACAGCTCTAGGGTCACACGCTTCAATGTCTTGGCTGCACTCTGTACAACCAGCTTAGTAGTAGAGCCGGTGAAACTTATCTTGTGGACGCCTAGGTGGCTGGCCATCCACGGCCCCAGGTTATCATCGCTGCTAAAGGATTGAACAACCCCGGCAGGAAAGATGCGTTCAGCAAGTTTCACCAGCTTTAGGCCGCAGTGGGCTGAAGGGGCTAGACCAAATCATTAGCACAAACTCCCTGTACTCCGGAAGCGGGGCACCTCACGATGGCTTGATAATACATGTTTCTGGGTAACAAGGCTTCTGGGTAACAAGGCCAGGGCAATCTTCCCTATTACTAATAGGAGAGGAAAGTTGCAAGGAATAATAGCGCCCACAACACCAAGTGGCGTATAGTGTGTGATAATAGTGGTGGATTTGCTCTCAAAAATTACGTCCTCTCGCAGTTTGATACCTGCCATGCCTCGGATCCATTGAATAGCGGCATCCGTCTCGTATGCTGCTTGAGGCATCTGAAGACCGGGCAGCACGTTAGTTGATTGCATTACTCTCAGTCGGCGAGTGACAAACTGGCTTGCCCTGCTCTGAAATCAGCAGATCCATAAATTCATCCCGCAGCTCATCAATAGCATCTGCGTATGCAAGAAGCGCCTGTACGGCACCTGGCGTCATTTCTTGACGGTAGCTTTGGCGGCTGCGATGGTATTGCCAAGATCCTGCTCCGTCGCGACAGGAACCTCCGCTTTTGCCTCGCAATTGGCACGGTTCAGGCCGAGGCGTGTACTAGACGACCTGGGCTTTCCGTCGATAATGTGCACGAAAGAGTCGAAGCTAAGCTTCTGGGTCTCGTTGCCGGCTGGGGTCGTCATTGTGTTCACCCTTACCAAGGAATACTAGTGCAGTGATTTACGACGAGTAGGGTTCATTCTAGGGTCGCCCATCCGATCGGGGAATAGCAAATCTGATCCCTGATAACCTGCACCGATCATGATCGCGGGGCAACTTTGACTGGGCTCCGTGGCGGACCGCCAGTCCCCACCCTGCAGGCCTCCTATCCGGGGCCGGACCGATCGAGCGGGGATATGAGCAACTGATATTATTGAATCCAGGCTGGGTCAGATGCGCCAGCAGGGTGAGTTATAGTAGGTCCATGAGCTGCCAAGGGTTCGGGGTTGGTGATTTGTTCAATTTGTGCCGCCTCCGCGGAATGGAGAAGCCGCGCCTCCGGGGGATGAGAGCCAACCCCACATTTGGTCTTCCCCCTCGCGCTGTCTTCCTCCCAACATCCATCCGTCTGCCGCCATGGAAAGTCGTAATCTCAAACGTATCCGGCAAGCGTGCGCTAGCTGCCGGTAAGTCCAGTTGTCGGACGGTGAAACGCTACTGACGCAATGCAGACGCAGGAAATCGCGCTGTTCCGGGGAGCGCCCGGTGTGCCTGCAGTGCCGACGCACTCGAAACTGCTGTGTCTACGAGCCATACTCGGTCACCGTCGCTGAGAGTCGCTTGCCGCCCTCCGGTCCTTCTACCAGTGAGAATGCACGTTCCACTCATCCCAGCCCTGCGTCTGTTCGGCCGCTGACTGTGCCATAGCCTGAACTCCTCCAGAGGATCTCCTTGATCGAGTCACGGCTCGCGCAGCTGGGCAGTCCCGCTGCTCCGCCACCGAGGTAGGCACTGCGCCACTCCTCCATGTTGCCAGCCAGCTAACCCGCCACCCAAGGCTGTCGCCTGAATCCTCAGGCAGTTTGACTACCCTCCCCACATTTCTGGAACCGCCCCAGCCCATCCTTCTTTCGGTCATTGATGCTTACTTTGAACATGCCCACAACCAACCGTATAGCTATTTTCATGAGCGCACCTTTCGAGATCGCCTGCTCAGCAACACCCTACCCCGATGTCTACTCTTAGCCGTCTTGGCAGCCGCTGTCCGGTTCTCCACGGACGAATTTTTCGCGGGGAGGACTTTGGAGGCCTCGGAGATATATGCCCGAGAGGCGTGGCTGGCAGTTCTCAAGGATGAGCTAACATCAGAAGATAACCCAGCGTTACATGCCGTACAAACAGCAAATATCCTTGCAGTAGTTGATTATACAGGTAAGGGAACCCAACTGCTATCCTTTCTCCATCGGCGGCTAACAATGCCTTCTATTACAGCCGGTCGGGTTAATTCCGGTTGGATCAAGATTGGCCTTGCAGCGCGAGTCTCCCAGGTAATAGGCCTCATGGAGGAGCCCAGCATCTGGCTCCCCCCGGTCGAGCAAGAAGAACGGCGACGGACTTTCTGGTCAATATACCTCCTTGACAAGCTCATTTCGTGTGGACGCAACCGGCCGCTCATGATGCACGACCGGGACTGTCATGTACTGCTACCCTGTCGCGAGGATGCGCTGCAAGAGACTCCAACCAAATGGCAGCTCAGCCTACGTGAGCTGCTCGACTGGAACTCCCATCTCAACGAAGAGCCCAGCCCGTTCGCCATGACGATACTGATGGCTTCGATAGTGGGACGATGTACTAGATACCTATGCAGCGGGAAAGATGAGACTGCACCGTGGGACATGAAGTCCGAGTATTCATGCATCAACGCATTGCTGCTGCTGTTGGAATCGCACGTAAAAACGGACATCACAGCACGGTTAAGGGATATGGCTGGGGGTGCACAGAAGGACGCATACATCCTGCGGATACAGCAGCTGACCCTGAACCAGCATATCTTTGCGCAGACCCTCTTTCACCTCTGCCACTGTCTCCTCAACCATCCATTCTTCCTGCACAACTGCTTCCGCCCCTTTAGGTCCAAGGTGCCCCGCAGTTTTGCGACTCGAGCCATCCAGACTGGAGTTGATCACGCTACCTTGCTGGTCAGACTACTGCAGTCTGCCTCCGAGGCTGGTGTGAGGACCGAATCCTCCTTCTATACATACTCCATTGCGGTCGTAGGCGGTATTCTCTCTCTTGCTTCCAACGCAGAAGATTCGCCCGTCAACTGCCAGCGATCGGACATGCTCGATTACTTTAAGCGTACTGTCAGCATGCTAGATCGACTGGCGAGGATCTGGCCGAATGCTGCGAACATGGTTAGTGATCTTTTCCCCCAGGATATTCTTACACACAGGACTCACCTCGCCACTGGTAGGCAACTCGTCTGCGCGACTTCCACGCAAGATCCCAATGCTTCAGTGGGCTGCTCAACCCGGTGGACTCGACGCCGGAGCTCGATCCGACCTCGGTGGAGATTTTGTGGTCAATTCTGGAGTACGCCGTCCTCGGAGCAGCGCCTTCAACACAGTCTCCAAGCAACAGCTTAGACATGCTGTCTTTTCTGTCCCCGACGCAGTGGGACCTTCCTTCTGGCTCGCCCGAGAATGTGGGTGGTGGGTATGACATATTCCGCGGGACGACCCCAGTCGTTCGGCTTAACGAGATTGAGCGCCTTTTAAACTCGTGTAGCCCGCGTAATGGCATGTTATAACCTGATCTGTCCCGTGTCAAGCTCTTGGAGGTGCAGTTCTCTGCTGCTACCCGGTCGGACCGGTGCGAGATATCAGTGGCCGGACCGTGATTCTACCCCAGTAGCCCTGAGTAGAGAAAGCGGGCCAGAGGAGACCCGGTTTCACCCTCCCAGTGTGGTAGCACCTACACGCTACGATATACGCAGATACCTACTGTTGTAGTTATTTCATGGCAATCACTCGCTTGACCCATTTCCACAAGCTTGGCCAATGCCCCTCATGTATTCACTCGCTGTCTCCCTCCTTTCCTGTACTGTATCAGCTGCGCTGTTGCTTCTCAATGAAAACTCGATGATGATACTCTGGCGAGCACGAGCGCTCTGTTTTGAAACCGCATCAACGTACTACCAGTACAGCAGCACTATTGGAGGTAGGGTCGCCGTGGCCATGACCCTGGTCGCGTACTAAGTGTGCGGACCGGTGCAAACTAGCTCGGGCCATTCTTGTGTATGGAGGCAACTGCTCACCGCGATGTCGGTCCAGGCCCGCAGGAGGAAAACTGCACGGGGTGAGCCGGGCGGGTAATATCCTCGGTCCGCTACCCGACCTCAGGTCCTGTGTTGCGCTCCGCCCTCTGAGTAGCTATGATACAAATCCCGTGACAAAGACATCTGCGACTTCACTCACCTTGCTTCTATCGCTCCGACCATCTCAGACCAAACCTGATGGCTTCGCAAAACGAGATCGGGACGCAGCTGCCACTCGCCTTTGTCCAAGGCCCCAGCGAGCCCGAGCTATGGCAGAAGAAACTCGGTGACCTGATTGACGAGCAGGAACATCGTTTCGGGGACCGCGACGCCCTCCTTGTTCCCTGGCAGTCCGCTAAACTAAGCTACCGGCAACTCGCTGAGCGAAGCCGCTTGCTTGCGCGGGCACTCTTGGCCCTGGGCTTGCAACATGGCGACTGTGTGGGCATCATGGCAGGAAACTGCTATCAGTATATTGAGGTGTTCCTCGGCGGAGCGCGCATTGGCTGTCCGGTTGTGGTTCTGAATACTACATATACGCCCGAGGAATTGAGGAATGCTGTGCGCCAGAGCTGTTCGTCCCTCCTATTTTCCATGCGCTTCTCCGGGTGGAATCTCTGTATATATATCACGGCTGACTCTGTAAAAAGCATGCAAAGTGCTCTTCATCAGTCCTTCAATTGGCGGAAATAATCTTGCTGCGCACATCGAGATCCTCCGTGGGCGAGAGTCACCTAAGCCCTCGCTCCCAGAATTGAACCGCCTCATCCTGCTGGGCCAATACGGATCCGATCGAAAATCGGGGATTGAAGTCCAAGAATACAGCGCCTTCACTGCGAGTGGGTTATCGGTCTTCTTAAACTCGGTGGAGCGCAAGGTGCAACCAGACGATGTGCTGAATTTGCAATTCACATCTGGTACGTGCTATTCCTCTTGACTGAACTGCTCTGACCAACTATCTAACCAAGGCAAACAGGAACAACTGGTTCACCAAAAGCCGCCATGTTGACGCACGTGTAAGTTCCTGAAAACAGCTGCTAGCCAATGCTATGAAACAGGCCACTGATATTGTGGCAGTAACCTCATCAACAATGCGCGATTCGTTGGCCAGGCGATGCAGCTTAACCCAGAGGATGTCATCTGCTCCCCGCCACCGCTGTTCCACTGCTTCGGGCTCGTAATGGGGTTTCTCGCGTCCTTCTGCCACGGCAGTACGATCGTCTTGCCAGCAGAGTACTTCGACGCTGCCAAAGTGGCGGCAGCTCTGATTCGGTACGATGCTACAGTCTTCCTTGGTGTTCCCACAATGTATCTGGGCGTGCTCGACACACTAGCGAAAACAAAGCAGAAGCCACGCAGACTCCGAAAAGGCATTGCGTCTGGGTCCGGCGTCTCACCAGGTCTAATGAAGCGGATCCGCGAAAAGACCGGGGCAGATCAGATCTTGATCGCCTATGGTATGACGGAAACGAGTCCTGTTACATTTATTACCTCGATGGACGATCCATCAAGCAAACGTGCTACAACGGTGGGAAGGGTCCTACCTCATACTGCTGCCAAAGTTATTGACAAGGAGGGATGCATCTTACCGCGCGGCGCTAGAGGCGAACTATGCACCAGTGGATTCGCTCTGCAGAAGGGGTACTGGCGGAATGAAGCAAAGACCAAGGAGGCAATGCGCAAGGATGAGCATGGTCGCCTCTGGATGCACACCGGCGACGAGGCACTGATTGATGCTGATGGATATGCCCAAATCACCGGCCGAATCAAGGACCTGATCATTCGAGGTGAGTACTGTCACTAATCGCTCCCAATCAAAAGGTACCACCCATACTAAGCCTCGTTTTGTCTCGCAGGTGGTGAGAACATCTTCCCGCTCGAGATCGAAGAGCAGCTTATGACCCACCCCTCCATCACCGATAGTAGCGTGGTGGGCATCAAAGACGAGAAATATGGAGAGGTCGTCGGCTGTTTCCTCAAGCTTTCCGACGGTGCCTCGAAGCCGTCGGACAATGAAGTGCGGCAGCATGTCCAAGCACACTTGGGTACACACAAGGTGCCGCAGCATATTTTCTGGCTGGGAGATCCGGGAATTGGTCATGACTTCCCCAAGACGGGCAGTGGCAAGCACCAGAAGCACATCATGCGTGAAATTGGGACTCGGTTAGTGAGCGGAAAGTCGGGGCCGAAGGCGAAGCTGTAGCTTAGACCGAGAATAGGCCCTATCCCTTATATGGCAATGCGTAAACATGTGTTCGATGTGTTCCCACAGTAGCTGATTGCGGAATACATACATATAAACGTGGGTTATAGTCAACCTGTAACGCGTGGCATGTCATCATCTTTGGGCTCGCTGACCTGGATGCTTTCAAAGTTCCACTGTCCCTGTCCATCCTCAGGAGGGTAGCAGACGATTGCTTCAATGGAGTGAAAACTCGTCATCTTGTGGCGATCGAAAAGAAAAAGAAAAAAGTTGCTAACAAGTCATCGACACAGGAACCCCGCACCCGGTTTTCGATCATCCGATTTCTCGGCGGCCGGGCCGAATCCAAGTTTTACAACTGCGTTAGGATCTGGTGATCCTGTACCCGTGTGGCCTAGGGAGGACTGTAGCTAAAGACCAGGCGTTGCACTAGCCTAGTTCTTAGACAGGCGGAATCCTAGCAGGCAAAGCAAGAGGACCCGGTTCACATGCTTTCGCGAAGGCGAGGTTCTTGGGGAGGATGAAGCTGGGACTAGCACTCTGCGAGTCATACTGTGTGCAAACCCCACGTTTCAGAGCAGACGGAATCTGGGTATATGGGGTAAGAACGGGGGTTGATGGCTCGGCTCTGCCGAAGCTCCCCGCCGCACGATCATTGGCGTTGCTGGATGAAAGGACCTTCATCTTCCCAAAGGAAAGGTTAGCCCGATTAGTCCGACGGCCTCGCCCAGAAGAAGTACCGAAACCTCTTCCGGGGTAACTGACCGCCGCGATAGCCTTTGGCGGCGCGCTCTTGATCGCGTCGTATTGCCCTGCCCGCTTCCAAGAAATAGGCTTCTGTATGGGTTACGAGCTGCAGCGCCGGTGAATGATGACAAAGTCTCGAGGAGAAATAGGAGAAGGCTGAAGGGCGGATCCTTGGAACATTTGAGCGAATGCCTGAGGCGAATATATATGCGACGTGAAAGAATATCTATACCAAGATAATAAGTCGGGTTTGTGGGAAATGGCTATGGGTGCCACAGCCGATGCACGTTTTACCAGTAGGCCAAAAAGGGGCCCAGACACCAGTCCGACCCGGTATCCATGTATCAGCTCAAGGTAGGTATATTCTAGATGACAACAGGACTATAGCGGTTCCTACTGTAGCACTGAAAGAGTGGAATATGACGACCTGTAGAGAGAGAAACATATACGGAAATATTACCATTCGCTTTATGCAGGTTCCTGGCAAATAACAGAGGCATGCGTCAATGCTGTAACTCGTCCTACTGGAGTAATATAACTTGGAGCGCTTCGGCAGCTACACAGCTACACAGCGCCCCGCAAATCGCATCAACAGACGACGAAATGGCCCCGTGTTTTCAAAGTTATGGAAAAGTAGGAAAGTTATCCGATATACTTAGCGCCGGAACCCAACTTTCTGGAGAAGGGAACGGCATCTCGTCCGAGATTTCGCCTTCTCTGGTCATTTTGTCAAGGATGTGCTCTAGCGAAGCCGGATTGTCCTCTGACTGGAACGGGAACCCTGCAGTTGAGCCTTGTACTGGTCGCTCGCCTGGCAGAGCAGCGACATCCTGCGTGGTCTGTGGCCTGGCTCTCTCCACCGGCGTAGGGAGCCCGTGGTCTATATGCCCTGCACTGTAGGTGACAATGAGCAGTGCCTGGAATACCGCAACCGTATCATGCTCGTAGCGATAATCGTAGAGCAGCCGTACGCGGTGGTACAAGGCCTTGCGTGCTTCGGCACGCGATCTATACCCCTCGCGCTGCAGGTGATGCATGTTGACAAGTGCCGCCCCGGCAAACATGATGGCTTGAAAAACAAGCAGGCTTATCTGAAACGACTGGCCCAGTCCGTTCATGGATGCGCATAATCGCGGCAGATCGAACAGGGGGAGTTTGGGATGCATGAAACGGAGGTAGGTTGTAATTAGCTCGTGGCGAAGACGAGCGCTGGGGATCGAATAGCACCCCAAGCGGGTGAGGTAGTCGGCACCCCGCGAACATATGGTGGATGGGTGGTCCCGGATGCAGCTGGGCAAGGGGGACTGGGTTCCAGAAAGAGAGACTGTGTTGGATGCGTGCCATTGCTCAAGCTGGCCCGTTGCGGCTGCAAAGGGGGCCTGCGCAAGGAGTGAGATGTGCTCCGCCAGGCCCCATGGGGGGATCTGGGCTTCATCTTGAAGCATGCCCACTGGGTCGGGAGATGACTGGTCATCAAGTGTCGGGAGGCCATTCTGGGACCCTTCACTACTGGTTTCTTCAATATTTAATCGCCGGGCAGCGGGCCTTTTGGGTCGTCGGTCGCGGGGCTGGGGCTGGCACGATGTCTCTGAATCGGACTTGCGATGACCACCGGGCTTACGCCTTCGGACAGGCACACCACTTGACGTGCACGATTAGCGTTGGACGAGGAGAGACGAGATCATCCGACTCACTGGCGGCTCTTCTTTGTTGGGACGGTGCACGGGATGTGGTCGAGCTTGCAGTTCGTGCAAGGGGATGCTACTTGGACGTCGCAGCGGACCTTGCGTTCCCTGCACCGGGCACACGCCCCTGAGGATCGTTTCTTCTTTTTGCGGGCATCTGCTGCCTCGTTGTTCGGGGCGGGGATCAGCCACGCGGCTTCTTGCTCGGTGAGTCTCAAGATTGAGTCCATCTTGTTCAAGGATACCGGCCGGCGAGGGATGGGATTCAGAGCCTCTGGGCGGGAGCAGTACTGCTACATAAAGCCTCGACAGATACGAACTGAAACGTGGCTGAGCCGTAATGATACACAACGAGCCAGCCAGAGGCTCGGAACCGGCCCCGGACCGGCGTAGACGGTTTCTGACGTGTACTCAATCCACCGTCGCCACTTCGCCAGGGAGCTGATCCTCTCACCCTGACTTGTTTTTCTTTATCCATTGTGCTCTCAACTAGCGGTTCGTGGTAACTCACAGTACTACCACTGGGCTTACACCGACCGGGTGGTGTGCCGACTTGCTTCGACCCCGCGTTAGCTGCTCCCCTTCCCCTCCCCTCACAATTGACGCTCACGCCCACATTCCGACTCCGATTGGCACCATCCGCCTGATGGAGATCGTCAGGATACATGGGATTGGTATCGTTTTTGTGTGCGTTATTGTGCATTGTGCGAGATTCGGAGCACACCTGCCGGACCGATCAGCGTGGGGTTTGACAGCAGTACTCGGCACACGAGTTAGTATTTCAATAATTTGCGAAGCGCCGGACAGAGCGCCGACCTTCTGATCTGCCTGCTGGCATTGTCTTCATACTCATTATCCACCAGCCTCCTGGATGATGCTGGGAAAAGATGGGCTATTGACCGTTCCCTGCTGGAAGCAAGGTCAAGCCACGTCTGGGTTGATTGTGTCTTGGTCCTTGCTTGCTCTCAATCAAGTCTAGCATGCCAGATAGTGGACGAATGAGAAATAGCTTGCTACAGCGTGGAATCGAGGTATAAAGGGGCCGCCTATCGCCGAGGGTTCCATATGTATTCAGCAGTTTCGGGTGAATTTAATGACAGAACTTCAAAGTCCATCGACGGCCCTCGGGCCCTGCGGGTTCCTGGCGAGGCATGCAACCGGCAGCACAATTAATCTACACAGACGGCCTCACCGTATCATCGAACATGGGACCTGGCTGCATATCCGCCTGATTCCGCTGCTCAAGAAGCGTACTTCCCGGGATCTCAGCGAACTTGTGCTTTCCGGTCTGTTTGCCGGATTATTCCCGGCGCACTGGTCCACCGGCCATGTCCACCCGGGTGTGACCTTGGCTATACCTACGAACCAACGCATTATTGCCTGCTCCGCCTCCATGTTATTTCCTCCATGAGCCGATGGTGATCCGCTGATGGGTTTGTTTGTTCAACAGCCTCCCCAAGACCAGTCGGACCGCGCATCTGCGAGCTCAAACGGATCGGACCGACGCGGATACCCCTTGGCCCGTGGTGACAAGCTCCTACTAACTCTCGTCATCGTTCAGCTGCGCCAGGTCAGTTCGACTTGTACTGTGTCACTCTGAGCTTTGACTATGCCATCCACCAGTTTTCTTTCCAATGCGGCGCCAGAGCGACCGACTCTCTACGTCGCGCCGCCTCCGCTGCGTCAAGATGGGAGACCGGTTATCAGAAAGGTCCTGATTGCAAACCGAGGAGAGATCGCGTGTCGTGTCATCCAGACCTGTCGCAAACTCGGAATCGCATCCGTTGCCGTGTTCGTCGATGAGTATGTTTTGTTTTGTCCCCGCTCCCTGTTGCTTGTAGGAAGACCAGCTAACACCGCATCGCCAGAGACTCTCCATCACTGCACATCCAACAAGCCGACGAGGCCGTCAACATCGGAAGCATCGACACCAGCGCCATAAACCCATTCCTCAATGTCGACCTGCTCGTCCAGACCGCCGTCTCCATCGGCGCCGATGCTGTCCATCCAGGCTACGGCTATCTCAGCGAGAACGCGGCGTTTGCGGACCGTGTGCGCGACGCAGGCCTGATCTTCATCGGGCCGGGCACCAAGGCCATGTTGACATTAGGAGACAAGCGCGCGGCCAAGGACTTTCTGCTCGAGCACGCTCCCGAGGTTCCCTTGATCCCGGGATACAGAGATTCGAGCCAGGACCCTGAGGAGCTGAGAAAGGCAGCGGCCAAGATTGGTTTTCCAGTGATGCTCAAAGCATCTGCGGGTGGAGGTGGCAAGGGGATGCGCATTATCCGCGAGGAAGAGGCGGCCGAGCTGGACAAGGAGCTGCTGCGAGCACAGTCGGAAGCGCAGAGGAACTTTGGCTCGGCGGATATCATTCTGGAAAAGTACATCCAGAGCAGCAAGCACGTGGAGATCCAGATTATGGGCGACTCGCACGGAACCGTCCTGTCCTTCTTTGAGCGCGACTGCTCCGTCCAGAGGCGGCATCAAAAGGTCATTGAGGAGACTCCGTGCACCTTCCTCACCCCGGAAACCCGCAAGGCGATGAGTGATACGGCTCTGACGGTGGCCAGACTGATCGGATACGAGAACGCGGGGACAGTCGAGTTTGTCGTGGACGCTGTGACTGGCAAATTCTACTTCCTCGAGGTCAACGCTCGTCTCCAGGTCGAGCATCCCATCACCGAAGAAGTCACGGGCGTCGATCTCGTCGCCCTGCAGCTGTTTGTGGCCGCGGGAGGCCGCCTGGACAGCATCCCCGAGCTCAAGGATCTCAAACAGACCGGACATGCCATCGAATGCCGGCTCTGCGCTGAAGATCCTCGCAGGAACTTCTTCCCCGAGCAGGGAAAGATCCATCTGTGGTTGCCGACCGCGGAAGACCGCGACCTTCGCTACGAGACTGCCGTTCGAACTGGTTCGTCCGTGTCCATCTACTTTGACTCGATGATTGCAAAAATCGTAGTTTGGGCGCCAACCAGGGCTCTTGCCGTTGAGAAGATGGCCGCAACCCTGTCGCTTACGGTCTGTGCTGGGGTTCGCACGAACCAGCTGCTTCTCCAACGCTGTCTGCTGCACGGTGCCTTTGGTGATCCAGCATACACGACTTCGTTTCTCCCAACCAACTTGGACCACCTTCTCGATCGCCCCGCGACACCAGGTCTCCCAGAACTACCCAAACTACTCCCCGTCCTCTCTTCGTTTGTTCGCCGCGGACTCGACTCCCAGTCGTCCTCGGCGCGGCGACCGTTCCAGGACGTCCGGCCCCAGTTCCGCAACCAGCGCTTCGACAGAGCGAATGGCCACTACGATATCGTGACGGTAGCCGATTGGCCCTTCAAGGCTTCCGAACACTGGCCTCGGACCAGCATCTGCAGCTGGAACGCACAGGCCAAGGCCGGACCGTCAGCGAGTGCGCAACAGATCTCCGTCCTTGCAGTCAACGAGGACGAGAAGCCTCAGGACAAAAACCTCTCGGTGGCCAAGGAGATTACCTTCCGCTACAACAAGCTCAGCCAGCTCGTGCGCGGTACCGGAGACCTCCTAGAGGGGATCCAGAGTCAGTACTCTGTAAGCCTCGATTCCTGGGACGCGGCCGGGCCAAACAGCTACACTGTCAGACTGCTTATCAATGGGTCCGCGATTCTTGCCCACTTCGTTGCCACTGCACCGGCAGGAAGTCAGTCGCAGACTCTCCTGGTCCATCTACCCGCGGTCGGCACCTTTGTTAAAGTCAAGGTTGACACGGCTCTTTCTTTCATCGAGAGCACGCGGACGGCGGCAGCAGCAAGCGCTGGAGAAGCCCAGCGGACAATCACTGCGCCGATGCCGTGCAAGGTCCTGTCTGTGGTAAAACAGATTGACAGCGAGGTCAAGTCCGGTGAGACGGTCATGGTGATTGAGAGTATGAAGATGGAAGTCACCATCACTGTGGCGGTAGACGGGAAGTTTCAGACGAGCTGGAAGGAAGGGGATGCGGTGGAGGAGGGCAAGGTTCTTTGTACTGTTACTTGATCTAATGTAGGGTCGTATGGGAGGTTGTTTGTTGAGTGCATCCTATCGTCAAACGAAACCTGTTCCAGAAGAATGGTTGCTTGGTCAAATTGTATACTTGATACAGATAGACTGAAAACTACAATATGATCCTCGATGTTCAACACAACTAGACTAATTAATCTACAGTTTGTTCCGCTGCAATCTGGCCATCGCCTTGACCTCCTGGCTCACAGCCAACTCGGACAGGATCTCCTCACTGCCTCCTCCGACGACCATAACTCGCACGTCTCGACTGATCTGCTCGATCCGCGCCCCACGGCCCTGTTTCGAGTATGCGAGGCCACCCAACACCTGCTGGCTCTCGCGATTGACCTTTTCCAGCGTCCGACCGGCCAACACCTTGAGATTTGCAAACAAGCCTCCCATTGCCGCGTCGGCAAGAGCATTGTTTTGTTTTGCGGCCTGCGAGATGTAGACCAGTTGCTCCATCCACGCGTAGGCCGAGTCGATGAGACGACCCATGTCAGCAAACTTGGACCGGATGATTTGGTTGGCGAAGAGTGGCTTGCCGAATGTCTCGCGAGTAATGGCGTGGCGATACGCATCCTCTGCGCATACTCGAGCCATGCGCAGAGCCGTGCAAGCCAACCACAGCCGCTCGTGGTTGAAGTCTATATTCTCCGGTTAGAGAAACCAACGCTGTTTCGGGCACGGGGGACGTACTGTTCATGATAATCGGAAACCCCTCATTCTCGTTACCCAGCCTGTTGCCCACGGGCACCTCGACGTCGTCGAACTCGATGTAGGTCGAACCACTTGCAGTGACACCCGAGTTCTCAATCTTTCTGCACGTCACCCCCTTGGCCTTGAGCGGAATGATCAGAGCGGATATTCCCGCCGTTCCAGGCCCTCCTGTTCGAACAGCGGCGGTGCAGTAGTCGGCGAATATTCCGTTCGTGATCCATTTCTTCGCCCCGTTGACGACATAAACATCGCCCCGTCGCTCAGCCGTGGTGGTGATACCAGCCACGTCGGATCCGGCTGTGTAGTCCCGTCAGCGACACGAGACTATGCCTATAATACTGAGAGGTCCTACCGTCGGGCTCAGTAACCCCCAAGCAGAACCGAGCTCTTCCACTCAGCATATCTGGCAAGAATCGCTGCTTCTGCTCTTCATTCCCAAAGGTGATGACCGGAGGGCCGCCGATGGAATTCCCACAGCCCAGCGCCCAGATGACGCCGAGGTAGCCGCAGCGTGCAATCTCGTCGATGAGAATCAAATCGTGGAACGCATCCCATTTCTCGGGCGCGATCCCGCCGGGAAGTCGCTGCCCGCTGACATGTCCAGCCGCGAGGGGGTATGGCGTGACAGCCACGTATCCGAGCTCTGCATGCCGCTTGTAGACCTGTGCGACGAATTAGCATGAATCAACAACCTAGGCCTGCGTTGTAGCCACCTCCGGCGGAACAAAACCCTGCTTCTCCCACTGCTCGCAGTGTGGCGCAATGGATGTCTCAACGTACTCCCGCACCTCCTTTTGCAGCCTCCTGTGCGAGTCGTCGTAGTACGGGCTGTAGCCGCGACTCAGCCAGAGGGCTTCGGAAAATGGGGGGTCTGCGGTGGGCGGCATCGTGATGGACTAGCAAAATGTGCATTCGACCACGTCTTCTCGCGGGCCTCACTTTTATGGCCGTGACTTGATCGGTCCGACTTCCGGGGTACCTCGGCGCATCAGCCCGCAAGACTTGCCGGTGTGGGTAGGTAGGCACCCTGGGCTACTAACTCGTCTAGGAAGGACCGCGGTCCTACAGGAATGCACTGACAGTAGGCATTCGTTCATGGCAAGTGGCGGAATCTTCACTGTTCCCCGTCCTCATTCGCACCTCGGCTTACGCGCTCTTCAGGATGTTGGCCCCAAACTTGGACAAACAGACAAATCAATTCGAACTAATACAAACTGTATGTGATACAATCTAGATTCTAGCCAGGAGCTTGTGCGTATCCGTGCCCTTGACCTCCTGCAAATTGACCACTTCCAGACAAACCCCCAGCACGTCTCTCGTGTCCCGTGGATCGATAATCCCATCATCAATAAGCATAGCACTGGTCGCGTAGCATTCACTGTCCCTCTGCGCGCTCTGCCGGAAGGACTCAACGGATGCCGTTAGCTTCTCCGGCGACAGGCTCTTCCCCTTGGACTTTGCGCTCGCGCGCTGCACCTGCTCCATGACTCCCGAGAGCTGGTCCGGGCCCATGACACTGCAGCGACCAATGGGCCAGGTGAAGATGAAGCGCGGCTTGTAAGATCGACCGCACATGGCGTAGTTGCCCGCGCCGTATGAGGCTCCCACGATGACGGAGATATGTGGAACCGTTGAGCAGCTCACGGCAGACACCATTTGGGCGCCGAGTTTGATGATTCCGGCGTGTTCGGCTTTGGCCCCGACCATGAAGCCGGTGACATTGTGCAGGAAAATGATGGGGACGTTTCTGATGGGTTAGCTTTGTTTATCGAGCATGGGGATGCGGGGAGTACGTACTGCTGGTTACACATGCGGATAAACTGTGCTCCTTTGGCGGCCTCGTTGGGGTTGATTACTGACAGCTGGTTGGCGACAATTCCGACCGGGAATCCTACAGTAGCATCTGGTTTAGAAATGTGATGATATTGCTTCGTAAGAGGCCAATCCTACCAAGTATATGCGCTCGTGCAGTGATCATATTCGGCCCGTACTTTGGCTTGAACACGGACAGGCGAGATCCGTCCACGAGACGGAGGAGGACTTCGCTCATATCGAGAGGCTTGCGGATATCCGGATTGACGAGGCGGAAGATGTCGTCTGCTGGGTAGAGAGGTTCAACGGATTCCACACGGCCTTGCAGTGGGGATACTCGTAGATCCAATGAAGCAACCCATTCGCGGGCTTTTATGATTGCATCGAATCTATCACTGTTAGAAAGGATACGTAGGTGGGCATGTAAACACTCGGAACCTACTCGTCTGAGGCGAGCTGGTCTGCCAGGCCAGTAATCGTGGCATGAACGCTGGCTCCTCCCAGAGCTTCTGCCTCGATCACCTCTCCTGTGGCCATCTTCACCAATGGCGGGCCTCCGAGAAATGCCTGTGCCTGGTTCTCGACAAAGATGGTGTAGTCTGACAGCGCAGGGTGGTACGCACCACCTGCGGTCGACGAGCCAAAGACAATGGCACAGGAGGGCTTACCATGCTGTGTTCTGACTGCGAGATCGCGGAACAACTGGCCCCCCTTGTGGAAGACTCGGAACTGCTGGGGGAGGAAGACACCGGCCTGGAGAGTTAGCACCGCCCAAATGTCAGCGTTACGGGTTCATACCGATTGCACCAGTGAGATCAGCGGGAGATCGTTCTCAAAGGCAACCTCCATAATCCGGTTGACCTTAAGCACTGCGTAGAACTGTGAGTTGCGTCCCAATTACTGTTTCACGCCCATGTACCTGTCATCTCATTCCACGCGCCTCCACTCTGTGTCGGGATATGCGACATGAGCATACACGGGTGGCTATTGACATTGCCGATGCCCGCAATCAGATTCCCCGACGGGGTCGAATCGGGATTGCCAAAGCCAGCGAACGCGCCCAGCTCGAGAAACGGGCTGTCATGGTCCAGCAAAAGGGCGATGCGGTCGCGTGCTATGGGCAATGTTAGTTCGATCCGACAACGACAGTGGTACGACGCACGCAAAAGCTGCCCTCTTGACTGGTGGCGCGTCAAAGAAACCTCGTCGCCCTCGGAGGCAATCTGCTGCAGGTTCCGTTCGAAGCGCTCCAGCACGGGCTTCCAGCCCTCCTCGTTCTGGCGGAAGAGCTTCCCCGCGAGGTCGAGACGCGATATCTGCACAGGAAACAACGTTGATCCAGACGCCATGATGAATTGAAATGCGGCCTACGCAGACGCAGCAAGTCGATAATTGATCTTTACCGAAACTCTTGACTCTGGGACAGGAAGACTGCGATCCGCTTCTTGTCGGTCCGAGTCCGGTTCTCCCGCGTGTCTCCCCCACTGTCGGTCCGGGGCTCCGCGAAGGACCACAAACGATCCCCTCAACCGGCCTATTCGCTTGGGACCATCAGGTATTTATTGCCTACCAAGCAGTTATGCGAGATCCAGGTTCTGCCGCCGTCCGCATTGTGGAGGTTGGGCCGCGAGATGGTCTACAGAACATCCGCAACCTCGTCGACACCTCGACCAAGATCCAATTGATCCAGCGCCTGAAAGACGCCGGCCACCGCACCATCGAACTCACCTCTTTTGTCTCCCCGCGGGCAATTCCTCAGCTAGCAGACGCCCAGCATGTTGTTGGGAATCCAGGAATCAAACCCTTACTCCAGGACTCGGGCCTGAACCTGCCTGTTCTCGTGCCGAACCTGAAGGGTCTAGAAAAAGCCATCGCATCCGGGGTGAAGGAGGTTGCGGTATTCATAAGTGCGACCGAGGGTTTTAGCAAGGCAAACATCAACTGCACAGTTGACCAAGGACTGGAGCGCGCAAAGGCTGTGGTGCGAAAGGCGACCGAGAGCGGCATTGTGGTTCGAGGGTGAGTTTCAGCACCTGAAAGAAGGGCATGGCGCGGCGCCTGACGTCTTAAATTTCTGCAGCTACGTCTCATGCATCTTCGCTGACCCCTACGATGGCCCGACACCCCTCGCTGCGGTACTGCGCTGCGTTGCCTCGCTATTGGAGTACGGATGCTACGAGGTCAGTCTTGGGGACACGCTGGGAGTCGGTGTTCCATCAGACATCCACCGGCTTCTCTCGTACCTCGAAGCGAATGAGATCCCCATGCAGAAACTGGCCGGCCACTTCCACGACACTTACGGGAGCGCAGTGGCAAACGCATGGGAAGCCTACAAATGCGGGATTCGAGTGTTTGACGCTAGTGTTGCTGGGCTGGGAGGGTGTCCATTCGCCCCGGGCGCAAAAGGCAACGTGTCATCGGAGGATCTTGTCCACATGTTTGAACGAGCAGGGGTGCAGACTGGAGTTGATCTGGTCAAGCTGGCTGAAACGGGAGACTGGATATCGAAACAAATCTCGATTCCGAATGCCAGTCGAGCTGGAGCGGCTGTGACTGTGTCGAGGCAGAAACAACCAGCAAAGAAGGCGGTCCCCAAACTGAACTGGGAGCTCGTCCGACAGACCGAGGGACTCGACGTCTACCGATCTGGGGTGAATCTGAAACTTGTCTTGAATCGCCCGAAGAACGGAAATGCCCTGACGAGCGCCATGATTGCGGACCTGACCGCGCGCGTTCGCGAGGCCGACAGCGATCCCTTGACTTCACGACTCATCATCACAGGCAACGGCAAGTTTTTCTGCACGGGGATGGATCTGACGACAGGAAGCACGCCGGTCGGGGAGGGCGGATCCACCAGCGACACCCAGTACAACCGACTCTACGGCCTCTTTGAGGCGATCGACCAGTCCGGCAAGGTGACCATTGCCTGTCTAAACGGCCCTGCCTTTGGCGGTGGTGTTGGACTCGCCTTTGCATGCGATATCCGGGTGGCTACGAAAAACGCAAGCGCCACGCTCAGCGAGGTCAAGCTCGGGTTATCGCCAGCTACAATCTCCAAGTACGTGATTAGAGAGTTCGGCTTCGCATTTGCACGCGAGGCGATGCTCTCTGCACGCACAGTCACTGCAGAGGAGCTCCATCAACGAGGGCTTGTCTCGCAGTTGGCACCGAGCGCCAGTGAGTTGACGGCGACGATTGACGCCCTGCTGAATCGGCTGAAGATTGCCTCCCCGGAAGGGTCTCGGATGTCCAAGCAGCTGGTCCGGTTGGCCTGGGCGGACGCCGGCAAGGAGGCGCAGGAGAAAGGGATCCGAGGAATTTTCGACGCCATGATGAGGCCAGACGCGGAGGGCGCATACGGAGTCAAAGAATTCCAGTCGAAGCGTCCGGTGGACTGGGATGCGTATTCGTTGCGACGGGCGTCGAGAGCCAAACTGTAGATGGTAAATAGCCCGGTGGCGCCTGCCGAGGCCTTGGTCGGGTTTCCGTGGAAAGAGGGATGAGCAGGGCTGGATTCCGTGGTTATCTTCTTATTTGCCTGCCAACCGCTTCAACGAACCTTGATGTGTAATTCCTCCAGATCGTGTACAGTATTACCTCGCAAATTGTCGGTTGTCCAGATATGATGCCCCCATCCGCAAAGAGAATCCGCCTTGCGTGTGCCCATTGCCGGTAAATCCAACGACATCTCTAGAGTAGCCTATGTTCTTACGGTTGCGGACTGATCATGTCCTCAACACAGGCGACGGAAAACACCATGCACCGGCGAGCGCCCCATATGCACACCCTATCGGCGCAGCGGCCGGCAATGCGTATATGAGTCGTATTCAGTCACGATTGGGGATCATGAGACGGGAGAAGTGCGCAAAGTCGATTCCTTCGAGTTTAAGATGACCGAACTGACTGCGTCCACTCCAGCCGATATCCTTTCCCGGACGACCAGGCTCGAAGCCCAGGTATTAGAACTAAGCGACCAGGTCGTTTCGGATTCCAGGTGAGAGCGAGGGAAAAAGACACAAAGTCAAGACGCAGATGGCTGATTCTACTTCAGTTCCGTCAGTGATCACAGCGTGAGGACTTCTCACTACACGCCGACTTCACTGGCTTGTGCAAGATATGTCCCACCCGGCTTTCCTCTCTCTTGTCTACTTGCGTAGAGCTGACGTTTGATTAATACCCTATGGTCCCGATTCCCCTGTGTTTAAGTCACGTGTTCTGGTGTTTTTCATTACCTGGTTGCCTGAGGCTATCAACCCATAGTGGATCTGAGGCTCTTCTCCTTCGCTGGGCCGGGTCCACTAGTTGGCTTTGATCACACATCGTGCAGGTAGGATCATCGCCAACGTGATCGTACGTTGCTTGAAATAGTAGATCTTTTGGTGGCCATGGAAACCGTCCGCTTACTTCCTCGTTCTGAAGGTAAGCCGGTCATGATTTTGCCGAGTAAGCTATCAGCCCGAAGGCCGTGCGAGAAAGGAGACATCGTGGGATGGTTGTTGGATTCAGTATAGAGACAACACGAGCGATAGCTATCTAGGGAGGAGCGCACGTGAAGGTCATTCTGGGGTCCAGCGCAGAAATCAATAAGGAGTTAGGTAAGAACATTGCACAGCCCCCGCAAGGCTGTCAAAGAATAAGAAAATATATAGTCGAAGGTAGAGCAGAAGATAACGCGAAACAATCTGCTTTGAAAAGATGATAGAGAAGATTATCCGAAAACACGAGCAGACTCGGGCTTTCCAAAATGTCTCCCACCCACCCTAAAAACTGCACGGGTTTTGGAATTCGGAGGTCGAGCCTGATTTGCTGCAGTGGCCAATTATCTCCAGTATCATAGGTTCTGGGTTCTGTACCTTGTCCCACCCACCAATCAGAAGGCCATTTAACAAGCGTTGGAAAGTCCAGACAATCCTAATACCACAACTCCAAGCATCATTCTGTTGCGGGGTAGGCTAGCTTCATGTTGTTCATCGTAGACAAAGAACGGGTGTAATTCACTTACAGCTTCTTGGTAGGAAAACCTTATATCTTCAGCGGTTCTTCTATCATGGAGGCTTTGCCTATCCAGGACTTGCCAGGCCTATATCTCCAAAACACCCCTCACCCAATCCAATCCACCTCTCACTCTCAGATCTCGCTCAACGCTCTCACTTCTCATCTGTAGGATACCCATCACATCCTCCACAAGCGCCCTCCCAGACCCCTCCGCCCACCAAACCCCACCATCCAACATCGCCAGCAGCGCTCCCCAGTGCATAAGCACCAACAGCGGAAGCGTCTCGCGCCGCCGTAAACAATCTACGAAGCCCCGATCGACCGTAGCGAGCCACGTAAGTACGGACACGGGATCCTGCATCGCCGCATAGCGCTGGAAGCACTTGCAGAGGCGGGCGATGGCTGATGAGATTAGGGCGTGGCGGCTAGATTGGGATAGCTGATGGTGAAGATGATATGTGGTAGTATTGATGTGATCCCGAGATTGGAGCTGGTTCTCGGCCACATTAAGCTCATTCAACCGCTCCAATGCCTCCTCCGTGTCCCTATCAAGCTCCGCGAGCCTCGACTCGGCCCAGAAATTCTCGTAGACGAGACAGGGATCTTTATCCTTTAGCCACGGCAACGTGAGCAGGTTTATAAGTGCAGTCCCCTGCACGAGTTCGAAGAGGGTGAAGATTGTCTCCAGCATGCTCGTGCTGGTGGTTGGATCCGAATCCGATCTCGTTTCCGAACCTGCGGCACCGGAACGGGTGGTGAGTTTGAGGACTCGAGGGAAAGCAATCCCATTAATAATCGTAATTATTGAATGAGCAAAGACGACATCACAGTTTTCTTGCGAGATAGTCTCGATTGCCCTTTGGAAGGGTTCCAGTGCGCGGCTCTGGTAGTCCATCGCCACGTCGATGTAGAGTTGTATCGGCGCTTGTCTCCGGGCGCGGTATTCATCCTCATCTTTGCGAGCCATGGTACCAGTACTAGTGCTAGATCCGAGCCGCGCAGCCGTGTGCAGCGCCGCAATGGATAGTAGCCCATCGAGAAGGAACTCATTCCCTTCTTCGAGTGCGCGCCGCGGGATGAAGACTTGCCACTCATCCCTCCCGAATGGGCCGGTAAAGAGGGATTTGTATGTTTCCGTGCTGAAGGTGTGCATTAGTTCTAAGTTGAGTCGATATGATGATGACGGTGACGCTGGCGATGGGTGTGGGTGTGGCTGGCTCAGTTGAGGGAGATACGAAGATGCACTTTCATGTCCAAGATTAAGGTGAGGAGCAGGAGCAGGAGCAGGCGCAGGCGACGCCGTGCGCGAGCGCGTAAGAGTGGGCCGAGCACGGGATGATTGTATTGGGAGCTCGGCGTAGGCGCAGTCCAAGCCGCGAAAGCTGCAGTTTGCGCAGGGATTCCCGGACTCGTCACACTGATGTGCTTTACATTAGCCGACGATCCAATCTAATTTGATTCCTTCGTCGGGTGTGAACGCATCGTCTGATCTGATCTGACAGGTGTATGCTCATATCTGAAACGAAACATTCGTCACTCACCTTGACTCGTCGTTTCTTACAGACCAGGCATCCTGTTCGTGACTTTCGATGCGAGCGGAGCGGCGGCATTGTGCATGGATGAACGCCTCTCGGATTCGGTCTCGCTTTCGGTTTGCAAACACGCTTTGATTGACCAAGGCCAGAATTTAAGGTCCGCCAGACAAAGGGTGGAGTGAGATTAGGCAGATGCCGAGATTTGGACCCCAAATGAGCAGCCAATCGGATGTATCATGTCCATATATCCGAGACTCAAAAGCCTCAACTTTTCTTTCAGGTTCAGTCACTCGCAGACTTTTGTACTCGTGGCATCGAAAGAAGGGGCTGAAACAACACCAGCTTGAGGCTCTGCGCTGTGAGTAAGTGGCGAGTTGAAGGGTTTGTCCCAATTGCACAACGTTCTTTTAAAGTCAACATGATTGACATATTTTCCAAATTTATATTTCGTTAAGATACTAGTTCACATAGCCCCACAAATGCAAAGAAAATGTACAAAAGACGTAGTAAGTGACCTAGACATCCAAAATGCAATTGTCTCCTATCCGAGTCATAAGCAAGGTACAGTTTTTGGTAGCCATGGTGATGGAATAAACGAGCAATGTGGGCTATAATAGACTTCCAACGAGAGAATATAAGGTACTTAAAGGCAGAGTCCGGGCCGTACGCCAAAGCTGGGCTTTGTATCTCCGGCGTGCGTATGTTTGTACTACACAGCGCACCCGCTCCTTGTAAGTCTCGCTCTCGCTTTCGCATTCGCTTCCGGCTCGGTTGGTGGAACTCTGGCCCACACCGGACTCAGCCTCCACTGCGCGGGCTTGGCGACCAATTCGATGCCCACAGTGCAAGGAGACTGGAGCTCCGGGAAAATGTCGAGACTGGGGGTCAGAGATGTTCTCTCTACTGCTTAAGATCGTTTGCCCGGCTTGTTGGAGAAAGCACGGATTTCTGTCCCAATGCTTCCAGCGGGCGCGCAACCCAGATTGTTCCTTTTGAACAGATCCACGCGCTTGTCGGTCGTGAACAGGTCGTTGCGGTCGTTATTGTCCTCAGAGAGGCCGGGGTGCAGGACGAGCTAGTGTCAGATAAGTCCAACCGATCCTGCTTAAGGCCTGGAAGGGCTTAAGGTATTCTAATATTAATAGAGATGTCGTCCGGGCCGTTGATCTAGGTGGAGGATCTGAAGGAGGTTGAGAGGTCTGTCATTCTAAATAACTGGGGAAACAGCACTATTTAAGCACAGGAATCGACTAAACTAAATAAGGAAACAGGGGCTATCTAATATTACTGCTCCAATCGCTATATCTCGTGAGTCCTGAGAGGAATGTTCGATGGAATAGTGAGAGGAATGCTTGCGCGGGGTCTGGAGCCAGGGGCTCCGGCTGATACACCCCCTCAGCGGTTGGAGGTTCCTAATTAGGATGGGATGAGGCTCGAGATATTAACCATATTTAACATCTTGACAAATTCTTGGTGTAGTGGTTTTGGGAGAGCCTTAGTAAGTCTATCCACAGGCATAGATCGTGAGGGAACCTAGGTGACTCGTTGTCAGAGAGCCGCGCTAAGACACGGGATGCTGTCAGCCAATAGATTTGCCTAGTAAGATTACGGTATGACGGGATATCACGAGTCGACGTGATATCACGTCGATGCCGGGATGAAAGGTTAATCCGGCCGATCATATCGGACGATTTGACGCTACGACCAGATAGGGCTACGGTCATATCAGGGAGTTTGACAGAACATAGCGGGTGCTATGATGGGACATATCGGGCGATATGATAGACACGGTATTTAAGGACACTCGTTCACGTATGTAATTAGTTTTAGTTACTGTCTGTTACTTTCGGAATCAAAGCTACCCTACCTTTCAGAAACCCAGTTTACCTTCTTAGTTCGTTAAGAAGCAGTCTTCTCACATCGATATAAGAATACCTTAAGCCCTTCCAGGCCTTAAGCAGGATCGGTTGGACTTATCTGACAATAGGAGATCTTAAATAGTTTAAAGGGTTTAGCCTTAGGGTTATAGGACTTAGTAGATATTCTTATATATTTCATGTACTAAAAGAGTTTAGGTATTATTAGAGTAGTAAGGATAGGGTAAATATAAACTATCTTAGAAATAATAGGGATAAATTAAGAGAGGGAAGACATTAGGATAAGGAAAGATAAATAAATTATAGAAGATAAGATAAAGAGGAAGAGGAGAGTAAAAGAAAAATCTATAGAATATTATTATTATATTACCTTCTTTATTTACCTTACTATTAAGTAAAAGGTTTTAAGGCTAAATATACTTAATTATACTAGAAGGCTATAGTTATATATAATAAATAGTTACTCCCCTCCTTTATTTCCCCTCTAAAGCTATAATAGAAGTCTTTAAAGACTTATAAGGCTAAAATTAGTTATAAAAGAACCCTTTAAGGTTCTATTTATAGTTCTATAACTATTTATAATTATAATATTCTATTTCTGGATCAGGACAATCCCTTAGGGATGGGGGTACCATGTCATGGTCAGAGTGGCCTAGATGCCTGAAGGGTCAGGCCCCTAGTTAGAATAGTTTAGGTATATAAGGTGCCTAAGGGATCAGGCTCATCAGGAAGGGCTAATAGCTAGGGGTTAACTAATTAACTTAGTTAACTTAGCTGATCCGCTCACACAACCTGAGGAGGTTAGCTGAGGGGTGAGCTAAGAGGTTAACTAAGGAGATTAAGAGACCTTAACTTAACATTATCCTTTTAATAGCTAGTTACTTAGGTCCCCTGAAGGTCCCAGATATCTTGCGAAGCAAGGATTAGTTTTATCCTAATTCTATATCTACCTTGGTGATATTATACCTGATCAACTTCTCTTTAAGACTCTTACATTCATGTTGCCCGCGTGGGCCGTGCCCGGCAGCACCACCATCATGGTGGTCCCGTTGATATTATTGCGCCAGGACATGGCGCGGCGGTGCCAGCAGGTTAGGGTATCATGTGTGGCGTGGGACCAGCAGCGGCCGCCTAACAAGGCCACCATCGTGTTAGTAACGCCCGAGTCCATGGTAACAGGCAATTTCCAGTCATTTATCAACTAGTTAGTGATGATGCGTTGGTTAGACAGCGTGGTGGTAGATGAGTGCCATATTATTATAAATACCTAGAAGGATTTCCGGCCGTAGATGGCGTAGTTAGGCTAGTTAGTGCGGGCGCGGTGCCTAGTCCCTAGTCCCTGAACGGACGGGCGTCCGTTCGGGTTCTTCGCCCGCTGATTGGTCCATGCCCGGTGCGTGCTCCCGTCGCCCGTCAAGTGCGTGGCCCCCCCAGCCGGCCCCTAAGAAAACTCACCCTAATTAACTAACTCCCACTAGAGCCACGCCTCCTACTCCTCCTCCACCACCTCCTCTTGCTCTTACTCTTGCTCACTTCTTAAACTATAGAATACTACACTAACTACTACTAGCAACCTACCGCCATGCTTACTTTGCTTCTCTTCTTTGCTTTTTTCTACCACGCGACGCGTCCGCGTCTAGTGTGACTAAACATGGGAATTAGAAATCTACCTAGACTCCCCCTTGGCCTTTACTTATATTCCCCTAAAAGACTATCCCCGCGCAGGCTTCGCGAAGAGAAGCTCCCTACTTAACTCTTAACCTATTAATTAATACACGTGTCCCGCTATGGATCTCTTCCTCTATAACCCTACGTACCAGGTGTGGATCTGCACGGCCACCCACTACCAGTACGCGGTGACCCCCTCCACCTTGCTTACCCACCTGCGCACCCGCCATGGCGCCCACCTATCCACCGCGACCCCTGCCCTCCGCGAGGCTGCGCTGGCCATGATGCTCCAGCGGCCCTGGGCGGACCCGGCCCAGGCGCCCGGCCGCCAGCCCTCCACGGGCGACCCGCCCGTGCCGGGCCTGCCAGTCTACCAGGGCCATGGCTGCCCGCACTACCCCTATATCGCCCGGACCCCAGATTCAGTGGACAAGCACCGCCGCGGAAAGCATAGGGGGCAGGATGGGGAGTGGGGGCCAGGCCAGCTCTCGGTTGCGCGGGCGAGGGCCCGCCAACAGGCCCGCCTTGTAAACCGGGTAGTATCCTGCCAGCGCTTCTACCTTAGCAAGGCTGGGAGTCATTTCTTCGAGGTCACCTGCGCCCCAGGCGCCGCGGACTAGGGGGCAAAGAAGCAGGCGCTGACCACCGCGGAGCTTGTACGGGCCCGTGTGGACCAGGCGCTGCGGGAGGGAGAGGCGGCCGTTAAATGGGAAGCAAGCCAGGTGCCAGTCCTGGATCCACACCCTACCAAGGTATCCCCATGGCTAGAGCTTACCCGGTGGCCAGAGTACCTGCGCGGCCAGGATCTGACCATGGTCGCCCTGCTAGGCGCCCTGCCCGATCCCCGCGAGGAGCCGCTGCTGGTGCAGCTCAGCGCGAGCGTGCAGCGGCTAATTAACCAGGCCTACCACGCCATCCGCGATGGCCAGATCAACGAGTTTAACCAGGTCCAGATCAACACCTTCTTCCGCCAGCCGAGTGTCTGGAACCGGCCGATCTAGATCCGCCTGCAGCCCAAGACCTACCACCGCTACAGCCAGGTGTGGCAGCGGCTGGTCTGCTTTGCGTACCGCAGCACGCGGCCGGACCAGGCAATCCAGCTACGCCACCAGCTTAACACCGGCCAGCTAGCCGCGCTGGACCGCATGGAGGAGCATGGCCGCGGGCTAGTAGCGCTTACTACGGAGGCTATAAAGCCCCATACACCAGTAGTAGCCAGCCAGGATGGCCCACCTCCTACGCCACCCACCCCTAACCCGCTGCCACGGCGGACGGTCCCCTGGAAGCGGAAGAAGGACCCAGCTGGGCTAGTAGGCACCCTACCACGGCTCGCACCACGTCCACTAGTCCCCACGGCCGTGCCCCCTATGGCACCCCTACCATCCTGCCCTACCTAGATAGGCCAGGCTCCTGAGCCTCCCCGTAGCCCCCATGAGGCAGCGCTCCAGGCCCAGCTGGACCAGGCAACGCTAGACCTCTTTATCACGCTGCTAGACCACCCCCTGAAGGGGGACCTGTTCGAGAGCACCCTGGTGGGCTTCCTCGCGGTACTCGGGGTGGATCCTGCGCGCCAGAGCTTCCGCGACCCGTATAGCTATACCAGCTCCCTGTCCGGGCTGGTGAAGATGGCGCAGATGCTGGTCGCCCTGCGCGCTGTCCGCGAGGCCGAGGCGGGTCTAGTTAGCCACGCCGCGGACGCCCTAGATGAGATGCGCGAGCGCTTCCTGCTCTTTGGGGTGCGTGCCCCCTTTGGCTGGATCACGCGGCTACGCACGTACGGCAAGAAGATCCAGAACAGTACCACTAGCATGGGCTATATCTACTGGAGCGATGACGAGCAGACCCTAAGCTATAAGGACCTGCGCCTGAGCATGCGCGGGCTGCGGGAATTCATCGCGGGGCAGGTCTCGCGCGCCTAGGTAGAGCTCGCGGGCCTCTTCCTCCTACATGAGGAGGAGGCCCGCGAGGAGGTGGTGCCGCGCCTGGCCCTGCACGAGCTACAGGATGACCCAACTAATAACACGCGGGGGTGGAACTTCCTGCGGGACCCGCGCACGCGGAAGGCCCTCCCTACCCACGGGGACCGCTAGCTACTAGACCGCGTGCTTGGGGCGGACTGGCTGCGCGAGGAGTTCCTAGAGGTCCGCCAGATCGGGCAGGCGGATGAGGTGCTCTGGCGGGAGGGCCCTGTGGCACAGTACCTGCAGCAGGTGGACGGGTTCCTGCAGCGCCTGCTCCTCCTCGTCCACATCACCAGCGGCCAGCCTGCGCGGGCCACCGAGCTGCTGGGGCTGCGCCACCGCAACACCCTGCAGGGCCGCCACCGGAACATCTTTATCAAGCATGGGCTGGTCAGCACGGTCACCACGTACCATAAGGGCTATTCTATTAGTAACACCACCAAGATCATCCACCGCTACCTGCCCAAGGCCGTGAGCGAGCTGGTGGTCTACTACCTCTGGCTGATCCTCCCCTTCCGCGAGGCCCTGGAGCGGCTGGCCCGGGGCCACCGTAGGCCCGCCTCGGCCTTCCTCTGGCCGGCCGCGGGCGGAGGGGACCAGGGGGGGAGCTGGCCGAGCGAACGCCTGCGGAAGGTCCTACAGCAGGAGGCGCAGGCGCACCTGCAGACGAAGCTGAACATCCTGTCCTACCGCCACGCGGCCATCACGATCTCGCGCGTGCACCTGAAGTGCGGCGGCTTCAAGCGGGACTACGGCAGCACGGACGACGCCGCGTTCAATGAGCAGGCCAGCCACGGGAGCTGGATCGCGGGCACCGTGTACGCGCGGGGGCTGCAGGAGGCGCCCGGCCACGTGGAGGCGCGGCGGCGGCAGTACCGGGTGATCAGCCGCGAGTGGCATGGGTTCCTGGGCTTTGAGACGTACCTAGGGCCCCGCAAGCGGGCGTGGCAGCAGGACCAGGACCAGGACAT